ATAATATTATTTAATATAATATTAAAAATATATAAAAAAAAATTTAATTTTTTTAAAATATTTAAAAAAAAAATATTATTTTAATATTTTTAAATTATTACGGACTACTTAGATCGCCTGGCTAATCGCTTATCACCTGACCTAATCGCTTGCCTAATCGCCCGCGACAAAAGTTAGGCCGTGTCACAGCGCCGGCTGTTACGGATCACCTGAGCCCATCGCCTGAGCCAATCGCCTGTCCTAATCGCCTGTGACAGAGGCCAGGCCGGGAATGGTGGCGTTCCCGAGCTTTAAGCCTAATGGGGCTTAGCTCCTCACCTGACATCCCCTTACTTCTGACATGTATATGTATATAGATCTCTCCTCCTCTCCTTTCTTCTCTCCTTAGCTTTAGATTCTAAATGAATAGCCCGACGTTGCGTCGCCACCTCACACCATCGTCACACTGCTGTCACAGGCCGGGAATAGTAGCGTTCCTTAGCTTTAAGCCTATTAAGGCTTAGCTCCTTATATAACATCCTTTTCTTTTAGTATATATATATTTAAATCTTTTTTTCTTTTATTCCTTTTCTTTTCTTTACTTTTAGATTCTAAGAAATAGCCGAATCGATACTTCGTCTATGTCACGGTTATAGAGTCACGTGCCCGCTACGAAATACTCACGTGACCGCTCGCCTGTATATATGCCCTGCCTTCCGGCGCTTCCTTCCTTTCTTTCCTCTTTACCTTTAGATTCTAAGAGATAGCCTAATCGATTCCTCGTCTACGTACTTGAGTCCAACCGTGCTGTCACAAATGCAATCTCGTTACTAATAGCTTGTTGTTAAGAAACTATATTTGAGTTGAGCACGAAGCTCCTATCTACTTGGAAAACTATCTGCTTATATAGAACCTTCCTGCTCAGGGCCGAGAGGGCCCTCGTCGGTCCGCTCGGTCCTCCCCCGAAGGGACCGACCTCGTTCCTCTCGGTCCGTCACGTGATCGTTGATCCCGTGCACCTGGGACCTTCTTGTCCCGAAGTATCTCCAGCAAGCTCGCTTGCTGGGCCTATCGTAATCGCTGTTCGTAACATAAATATATTAAAAAATCGAATTAATATTATATAAATAAATTTCGTTAAAATTTTCGGTAAAACGTATTTATTCGCGTAGTTCGTAGCTTTAAATTCGTAAAACGTAGTCGAAAAAATTTCGTTTTATAATATTATCGAATATTTTAATTTTTTAATTTTTTAAGCCTCCGCAACCCCGCTTATTCCGTCCCGAAGCTGCGCCGCCCATTTTCATTTAAGGCGTGAGGCTTCGCCCCCATGATCTGTTAGGAGATTGCTTCCACCATCTGTGTAATACAATAGTCGGAAGGAAGATCTCCACGAGTTCACTTAGCCTTGGTTAGTATGCAGCTGTTCATTCCTCATCAACTGGGAGCCCTGTCCTTGGCCTACTCGAACACCTGCCACTCCCGTAAAGCTGGAGATGTTCATGCGAGATGGCTGACGGTTTTTTGCTAGAGGTGCAATTAATGTGACTGTTCATGAAATGCAGCTGGCTTTGGATTACTGCACTCGCAAATGTACGCTATTTAATATCTGCGAGGAATTCCGTGTTCTTTTCTTGCGGTGCTATCGTAATGGCACCCAAGGGGATGTGTTGATCACTCATTGTGCAGTCATCATAGACTATTATGATTGAGCATATGTTGAGGAATGGAAGAATCATTACTCTTAGTTAGTGTAGTACTAGTTCAAGGGTATGATCTAATGCATGATGCATCGACTCTACTACTGATGACACCTGTCATCAGCTAGTGGGATCGAGCATTATATAAAGCATGAGGACAACCCTGTAGTTTTTAGAAAATTAAGTCAGTTATCACACGCGAATATCAACAGGATGCAGACCATTACCATTCTTGTCGGTACCCTTGTGCGTTTGAAGTCCGGATCGGCTCAACCTTCAGTTACCTACACGATTCTCCACCTCTGGTACGCCAGCGGATGTCTCGATGTGCGGTACGCCTCATCACAGCATTTAGATTCTTCCAAATTAGCCGCAGGATGCGATACCCGGACTAAGATTGATCCCTGAAGTTTTTCCCGCACGCGGATGATGTGCAACATCAAACGGGATAGCACAGCATTTCAGCTGTTTAAATTTTGCAAGACCCATTACCTGACTGCAAAGCTCCGAGGAAGAAACGTCCACAATAGCTGTCCCGTGGATAAGAAGTTTGTTGTGTAACAACGAGGCTTCAAAAGGAAGTGGGAGCCAATGCTGCTGTCCCCGGCCTCCTCGAGAGAGAATCGAATCCTGTATATATATATACTGCGGTAGTGCTTTTCCTGAGGGCCAGCACACATCGCTCTTGACCTTTCCAATACTGTTGAACTACATACCTGCGAAGCCGTTCTACCCCCCGTTCTACCCCCCTAAAATATTTCGGCGACACGATGAACAACGGCACAATTTATCTTGGAGTTTGGACCGATTGGTCTTACGGGCCAGTTAGTAAGTACTTGTATATTGTCTCTCTTTATTCAACTTGATTTGTTCAAACCCTTGTTCATGAGATGAGCTTTGTTTCGCCAACAAGAAATAGCTAATAATGTATAGTGGGTGCGACCCTCACAACCACTCGGAAATTTGGAGATCTCTTGATTGCTTTCACTGCTTTTCTCATCCCCTATGTCGCTTCTCGCTTTTGGCGAATTTTCTGCCTCATCTTCCATCGCTGCTATTCTACTGCACATTCTCGCGATGCTCTTCATCATCAACGACAGATTATCCTACGCAATTCCTCATCTCCGGAGTCCGGATTATTTTCACTCTTCAATCTCTTCTTGGCATGGCGGAGGTCCTCTCAACAACCACCGATCAAAACCAAAAGGCGCCTTTCTCGTCTCCTCCCAAGTGCACTATTTGCTATATGTTGTATCTCAGCATTCATTGTAGCTGGTGGCTTATCATCACAAATATCGACCTCTCGCGGTGATGTGGTCTTACTCAAAGGCGATCAGTGTAGCATTCCGTACTACGGAACGAATCTCACAGTTGCTGGTGAGGGACTCTATTATTCGGCGATGGGAAAGAGATTAATGGACGCACAAAATTACGCGCAACAGTGCTATTCGGCGACAAGTTCCTCATTGCTAGATTGCGACAAATTCGTTGTTAAAAACCTCAAAAGCAAGACCACGCAAACGAATTCCACTTGCCCATTCCCGGGTCCCGGCGCCGTCTGTCGAAACAATGAAACGGGACTACGAATAGATAGTGGTTACCTCGACAGTAACGATGACTTTGGACTAAACAACCCAGCCCATGAGAGGTTACAGTGGAGGTATGTACTCGAGTGCGCTCCACTTGTAACAGAAGGCTTAACTTCCAACTTTACCGATCGAAATAATGCGACTTGGGTGCGGCATTCAGATCTTCAAAAGGCAGAGCTTACCCGAACACTTCGAGGGAATGAGGTAGAGTTTCAGGCCCAGACATCCCAAGTGGAAGATCGAAACCGATCTACAATGATCTGGAGTAATGACGAGAATTCTTTGTCAGTACCTTTGCTCTTCTTAGCAAACCTCCATGCAAGTCTACCTGACATTTTCCTAATCGAGTATTATGCAGTAACCGAGAAAGGATATGGCCACTTTAGTCAGCGTACAGTACTTCTTTTTTCTAAGAAATCGTAAAGAACGCCCGCATGGCCCATTTCGTGTCAAGTTCATCAAGTGACAAACGACATCATTGAGTTCAATTATCATTATCTGTATTTTTCTGAGCTTATAAAGCAGTATCGCCTAGAGAATGCAAGATAAGTGTTGCTTTCCCATTGAGGCTACGACTGCTGAACTCAATGACGGTGTTCATGATTCGTATCGTACTGATGACTTCAGCTTACATAGACAATCGAATTTGATTTCAAACGCTGTTCGCTTCGAGTGATTCTATCTAGATACCCTGGCATGAGCAGAAGAGAAGTATATAAGTATTGCCTTCCCTGCTTATTAGGAAGCTCTGTTCTTTATTTCAAGCTCCTGCCTTTAATCAGTCATCTGCCTTGCAAAATCATCAATTCAAAGCACTTATCCTATCCCAAGAGCTTCACAAAAGGAAATTCGACATGGAGAATCTTCCCGTAGACTACTTTGTCACCTCTCAAGCTTTCACCAAGCAGACATACCGAGATGTCTATCCAGCTATTGATCCATCATCTCCTCTCAACAAACAGGATGGCAAAGTCATTGTTATCACCGGAGCCAGCAAAGGTCTTGGGAGACTTGTAAGCTTCATTCGATCTTTGCCAAAGCAAATCCCAAGGGCATCGTCCTAGTAGCAAGGACAGCGGAATCTCTTCAATCAGTCGCCAAAGAGATCAATGCTATCAACCCGAACATCGAGGTCCTCCCCGTACCCACGGATCTCACCAACCCCGACTCCATCGCAGCAATGTGGGAGAAAGTAAAGACCAAGTTCGACCACGCCGACGTGCTAGTCAATAACGCGGGTACCCTTACCGATGCTACCTCGGTCAAGGATGCGGACTCAGGAAAGTGGTGGTACGACTTCGTAAGTTCTTCCCTTCCCCCTCACAAAATTTATTTCTAATACAGAATCCAGGAAGTCAATGGCCGCGGCACATTTCTCATAACCCAGGGCTTCTTGAAGCTTCTCGGAGACAAAAAGGGCACGGTCATCAACCTCACCACGGGCGCTGCCCACACCGTCTTCCCGAATCTCTCCGCCTACTCCATATCGAAGCTCACCTCGCTCCAACTAATCGCCTATATCTCGGCTGAGAACCCGAACGTGAATGCAGTCTCGGTTCATCCCGGAATTTTGCCTACTGATATGACGATTGAGCCATTCAAGAGGTTTGCGCTTGATACGCCAGAATTGGTTGGTGGTGTGGTTGTTTGGTTGGCGAGTGAGGAGGCGGAGTTCTTGAGAGGTAGATATATTAGTGCTAATTGGAGTGTGGAGGAGTTGGTGACCAGGAAGGAGGAGATTTTGAAGGAGAATAAGTTGACGATGGCTTTGGTAGGGAAGTTTGGCATGGATCAGTTTGCTTGAATGAGTCTTGATGTCGGCCTGGGCGGTGTTCTAGGAGCTACACAACGTCGAGTGGCGTTTGATAGCGATGGTAAATCTGAGATGTTTGGAATGTAGCTGAATGTTTTGGTAGAATCGGTGCATTGTCCTCTTCTTCTTCTTTTGCGTGGTATTTGCTGAGGATCTGGCGATTTTCATATAAACTTGCTCTCGGGAAGGAACGGCTCTCTGTGTTGGTGCTTGTGCTGTCCATCACATATAGGTCGCGTACTCTGTTGATCTTTCCTGCCATAAATTGCATTTCGCAGCACTCAAAGTAGGGATACATGATACCGAGATGAAGGGTCGTGATGGGAAAATCAACTTTCCTCTCATCACTGCCCGTGACAAATATCTTGCCAGGTAGCCACTCCCTGTTTCTTTTCTTTCCTTTCTTTTTGTCGAAGGATCTTTCATGAACCTTAAACCATCTCACGGTGGTCATTCATACCCACGGTCCACTCAACTTAGTCTCCACCCATTCAAGTCCCAGCTCCCCACCCAACTGATCATCTCTACCCCTCCTCACACACTGAATCACAACACCTCTACCCTCCATACTCATCGACATCCTCGAAAGCCTCACCCTAGACTCCTCAGGAATCACCCCATCTCTCTCCCCCTCCTCCTCAACCTCCATAATCCACTTCCCAACAGCTGCAATCATAAACCGATCCCACGGTCCATCATACCGAGAGGTTCTCAGTATATCTACCGCTTCTCTTCGCAGCGTCTTGTCTCTACATCTCAGCAAGAGCGTGAAAAGTGGAGGCACGATGCTCAAGTGAAAATGGTACGCTGGTTGCTGGTGTGTGATTTCGAGGAGATTTCGAGAGATAATCCGACTCAAGGATACCATCTCACGGAATTGGGGGAGGAATTGATCGTATTTGGTTTCTTCTGTGAAAGTTGTGCCTATGACGATGATCTTGAGGGTGAGTGAGTAGAGGCGGAGAATCGTTATCGCTGTTGTTGTTTGGATGTCTTCTGGGTTCTGTTGGAGACGTTGCGATAGCGGGTCAAAGGCAGCCGTCCATCGGTCGATATCGGAAACAAATCTCAATTGTTCTAATCGAAGGGAGTCTGGGACAATGTAGGGCGAGCCATATATCGAGGTTTGAGCATTAATCTCCAACGTCTTCCCAGGGAAGGAGTGAGAGAATTCTCGCGCAAAGACGGCAGAGCCGTTGATGGCCGAGGTCGAGTGTATGAAATGGCCCGTCCTCCTCATCACGACTTCCCAATATAGAGTCGCCTCTCTCAAGCTTCCAAAGCTCGCTGGCATCTCCTTGACTGTACTTCGGCTCAATCTTTTGCCCATGTTGTGTACATACTGACTTCTAACATCTACGAAAGTGATCATTTGGGTATCGAAACGACAAAATGTCATCAAGAGCTCGGATTCAATGATGTGTGTTGCGGGTGATGATATACCATCATTCTGAGGGACGGGATGTGGCGTTGTTTCGACAAAGTGACACATGAGACGGTCACCAATCAGGGCGTGGGAGAATGCTATGTCGGGTTGTTGATGGATGGTCTCAAAAACAAATACCAGGAGGATCGCGATTACCAATTCTCTGACATGTCGACTTTCGCTTTGAGGTATTAGTTGCATGCCGCGAAGCGACTTTCCGTAGAGGCTCAGCGCATATTCGCGTTGCTTATGGGATGTTGCTTTTGAACCGGGGTGCAATTTGGCAAGTTGAGAGGTCTTGACGGATTTGTTGAGGGCGGCAATTGCAACGAGAGCTTGACGAACGAACGGCCGGTGATGTGCTTCTTGAAGCAGTACTTGATTCCAGAAAGAGGATGCAAAAACACCAGACAATTCGACTGCAGTTTCCTCTCGAAAGACCTTGAAGTAAAGAGCTTCAGTGTTATTTTCGAATGGCAGGCTACTGGAAGGTTGGTATGAGACTATATCAGAGGTACTCTTCTTCAGTGCAAGTGCTCGCGTTGATGAAGGTGGTACAAGAGTCTTCGAGTAACCTGGACACTCTTTAGAAGCGTCAAGACAGTATCTGCAAGCTGGTTTTGCTTCGTCGCATTTCAGACGTCGAGCTCTGTATGAGTCAGTATGTCATTGCCGAGACATTCTCGAATGAGGTAAAGTTTGATTTCATTTGCCAATGTTTGACGTGGGAAACTTACTTGCAAGTCCGGCAACCTGTCCGTATCCTCGTCCTCTGGATCCTGGCCTTTGCTTTGACTTGAGGGTCACTTGTTTGTTGACATTCAATATCTGTCTGGGGCACATGATGATATGGTGAGCTTAAACTTGACGAACATTGACTCTGTTCATAATCGATGACATCTGCTCTACCACTTGTCTCATATGGAAATCGAGATGATACTGGGACTTCAAGGTTCTCAGACTGATCAAGAAAGTTCGCTCCTTCAATACCCTTCGAACAGGCACTCGAAGAATCAGGAGTCGAACATCCACTTGACGAGGAAGAGCCAAACGATTCCGGGACAACGAGATTAAATTTCAACAACGGAGCGCGTTTCTCTGCTCCTTTGGATTTCGAGACATAGCTTCTCGCATGCTGTCGAACTTTCCTCAACACTGATCGATCGGTCGCCTTGCTGCCTGTCTGCGTTATGAACTGCAATATTTGTCCCGGGGGAACGAATGGATCGGCATCCGGTATTTGTTCACTTGGGCTATCAGTATGGTGGTATGTAGTTACAGAGAATTACGAACATTGCCATTGTTGATATCTCCTATGCTCGATTTGTCAGCTAAGTGCGCTTGGGATGAGAAGATATATTAAAGTGCAACTTGGCTTGTGCACTTGGCCAGAAGGGAAACAATGAACGTGGGTACTATTTTGAACCCTAAGAATGTTCTGTACGGCTGATGGATCTCGCAATTGAGGTCAGAGGAAGGCTCTTCTTGTCAACCGCTATGTACAGTAGCCCCGACGAAGCAAGCACTTGCTGGTATGATGACGGAAAGTCACATATGCTTACAAAACGCACCAAAAAATTGTTTATTCACTCTCTGGCCAACCATCAATTGGATTGAAGAGGCTGACACTTACGCTTTTGTAAGCAACTCCAAGTCCCGAAGCCAAGAAACGTGATCGCCGAGAGCTTACAAAGCAACAAGCATGAGAGGTAGCTGAGCATGAAAGGAAGATACAGCAATGCAAGCAGTAGAGAGTAGCAGCTCTATGGGTATTGGCTATCAGACTAAGTAAATGGAAACTACTTCTCATTCAGAAAGAGAGATAGTACCTACTTAGGTACTCATCTTGAAGACTAGCACGTGATGCTCTCAAGTCGATTGCCCAGGTGAGGTTTAGACATCCAACTCACGCCCAAGAGCCGTCTTCAAATATACAGAAGCTCTGGTTCTCTAGATTCTGTGACCACTCAACCATTCGATCCTCCTAGATCTGGATTCCGTTACCAACTTCGAGATGTTCTTCCAAACGGCCGCGTTGTCCCAATCCGAATCACAACTTCTGAGAGAGTAATTTTTCAGTCTTTTCACAAATTCATCTGGGCATTCGTCTCTCAAACCCCAAGTTCAAAGATCACTTCTCCCTCCATAATTCCCCACAATCCCCAGCTCTCTCGACACCTCATGATTCACGTGACACTCACCCCTCTTCAATTCCAACCCCTTTTCTCACCCACAAAAACAAGCTTTCCTCCCTCCCTTCCCTCCCAACGAACCATCACCTCACCATCCCGCCCCTCTCTTAAAGGAACGAACCCCGACTGGCCAACACGAAAAGCTTCTCGACATGAAACGCGGCGTCTACGTTGGCGTTTACGAAGACTACTCATGGGCCAGGGATACACCAAGTCGCGGTTCGTTGGCGTGTGGTTTTTGAGTTTTTGCCAGGGGGTCGCGAAAAGATCTGCGAAACGAAACAAAACACGTTTCTTGGCGCATCGACGACGACGACGATGGTAAACACTTAATGAACAGCAGGGAGGCAACAACAGGAAGAAGAGGTAGAGGTAAGTTTTAGAAGTCATTTCCATATCTATAAAACCTCTCCAAAAGGTCCAAAAAAGGTCCCCTAATATATACGGTAGAATCGAAGGGTGCGGCATGTACATATAAAAACGAGTGTAATCGGAGCCGAAACTCCTGTTCCTATCCTTTGCGTTCCTTTCCTTTCCTATCATCGGGGTATTTCCAAAAAGAGATTTTCCCAACTTGGCGCCCATCCTTTCTTTATCTTTAAAGTCCATCATAAAGGTCGTTGAACCCATCGCAGCACGACAAGCGGCGCAGACGCGTTCTCATCTCAAGTTCTTTTCCATTTCTTTTCTGTTCTCCAATCCTTAAACTCCCGTATCCCTCAACCTCTCTAGGAAGATGTTGAGAGATACTCAAATAGTGACGAAAAAGGAGGGGGGTGGGCGGCTTTATGAGGTGACATAGTCACGGCTCATGGCATTGGCGCCTCGACGACGGGTCGAGCTAGCCGTCCCGAGGAGGCAGACAAGCTCGTCGCCGTCGGTGCTGAGGGTCGCGACATCATCCCACTTGTTGTAGGCGTTGGTGCAAGGCCATTTTTGGCACCCGGAGACGGGCGTGTTGCTGCCGAGTGGGAAGATCTCCTTGACGCCATTAGTGTCTTCTGGGTTGACGATAGCAGAGACGTCGAAGTAGGTGGCCCCCGCGTAGCCGTCGAAGCGGACCTCGCCGAGCATGCCGGGGGTGTTGGTGGCACCCTCAGAGACAGAGTACCAGTTGCCAATCCAGCCGGTTGGGAAGGTCTGGTTGGCGGTGGTGAGACCGGAGATGACGAGCTCGGGGATGGACTCGAGACCCTCGTTCTGGGTGAAGACAATGGTACGTTGAGTGCTGTCTTGGTTGACGAAGTGGACTGTGCCAGCTGAGGCGACGGTTGCAAGCGCGGCGGCTGCGGCGAAGACAGTGCTGAGGAATTGCATGGTGAAGGTTATTGGTTGGTAGGCTGGTTGATTTCTTTATATATAAAGATTGCTGTTATTGTTGTGAAGGATTGGTGGGATGAGAGAACGTGAGTGATGTTGTTCTATCAAGTTGGTCGATCTGACTGAGCTGTGTGTTGTGAATGCAAAGAGTACTTGATCGTGATTGTATATCTGAAGTCGTCGAGACTGGTGAGATGTTGCGAGGCTGGGAATGTTCTGAAGTGTCGTAGAGACAAGACTGTCGCGGACAGGAGGCTAGCTGATTCTTCTGGAGAAGGAGTGCTAAGCTTAAGGATAGTAAGTAGCGATCACAGATCGTAAAGGAGGGAAGGTCGAACGGGTTCCGAACGTGCAAATCAAAGCCACGGATGCAAAAAAGGATTGTGTGTGTGAGAGAGAAAAGGAATTTCGAAGGATGGCGGTCAGCCGGGCTTGATATAAGATTTCAGATGGGGGAGAGATGGAGGCCGCCATGGCACGCCGCAAAGGCTCGAACTTCCTCGGTGGGTTTGCAAGTCCAAAGGGCTGCATCGACATTGCCTGCACTGGGCGGGGAGTGGAGCCCGGGTCAGCGTTTTCATGGTGTGGTGGAGCGATGGGGGGGGGGGGCATTGCCAATGGAGTGTGGACCGCGATGGCGCTCGACCGGACGAGGGATTGACATGGTCCAGACGGTCGAGATCTTTTCTTCCAGCGTTCGTTGCTTTTCTCTTTTCAGGCTATGGCTAACCAGGAAGGGATTGGCGGGTGGTTCCTGAATCCTGGCGAGGATGGCCACGCATGCAATACTAGGGTGGACCCAGTCCGACGGGGGGAGGGGGGGACTCGACTAGCAGACAAGGGGGACACTTTTTTTACTTCGACGGACGACGGATGCAGTGGGGGGGGCAGGTCTAAGAGAAGAGAGCGAGGGGTTGGATGGATCACGATTCGCGACTTGACTCGAAGTGGAAACTGGGCAGGGACAGAGATTTACAAAGGCTTGTCTAGCCCTTTGCTGTGGATTCCTTTTTAGCTCTGACCAGTGTTCCACTTTGGAATGCGCTCACGCGGTGATTGGGTGTGAGACCGTTGGTACCTGAATCAGCGCCGCTCTCTAGCGGCCCGCCATGTGTTCATAGGGCATTTGTGCCTGGAGCTTGACCTGAAAAATGTGCTGAGGGGGGTGTGGAGATCGGCATCAGCACTGGCCCAATCGATGCATCCCGCACATGGCTGACGGGAGCGCGACAGCGGAAGATGCGATGCGATGCGATGCGATTGGGGATCTCCCATCTGCTGACGGTCAGAGACAGTGAGGAGAAGGTCTCCATCATCACGCAATTCGGGTGAGATGGCTGCAGGATGTGTTGTCGTTGTTGAGGGAGAATGCGGAGGCTGAGCAGCAGCAATTGTTATTGTTGCTTTGTCGACCTTCTTCCAAAGTTCAGGTTCAAAGCTCCCTCGTGAAACCTCCCAGCGTGAGCTCTTGAAACATTGTTGCCAGGACCCAGCTGGAAGAGTGCAGTGCAGGGGAACATGAGCACGACAGGGACACGACGAAAAGTGACAGCAGCACGGAAATGTCTCCCACAATCTATTTCTCCGGGCCCCCAATCTTCCTTGCCGTGCCTTATCGCAACCTTCTATCCGGCTGCACGCGATGAGAGCCAAGAGAAAACCGTTGATGGTCCGCTTCTGGTGGACCTCAGTCGAAAATCAATTATTACTCTTCGAAATCCCTCGATTCGAACGAAAGAAAAATGCATAATCGATAGTTTGTGCTGCAAGGCCGAGGTCTGCACAGTGAACAACAATGGGCCTGCATTAAAACCAGCCAAGCGTCCCGATCGGGATACTTGTGCAAGGTTCATAATTCGGGTCGTCAAATCACGAGGGATATCACGTCTTGGAGGGCTTGCAGTCGAACAGCAGCAGTCAGCGAGAGTTTTGCCAGCAAAGACTTTTCCTCCGAGAAAAAATCTTGAATTCTTGGTTTTGCCTCGCAACAGAATCCACTTTTGACTCGACTCGACTTCCTCCGGGGCAGCTTCCAAGGTTTTCTGGCCGCCCGGTTGAACGTCTCTTTGGTTCTGCTGTCTGTCCAACTTTCTCGGGGTAGGAGGACGGCAAGAGAGCATACAGCGCATGGGTTTGCCGGTCCAGAGGACGATGACGGGGACTGAGTCCATTCAGAATGACCAAATTGTGCTCGGTCGCACAGTGCGCAGTGTAACCTTCCTCTCACTTCAGGCTTTGTCAGTGCTGTGGAAGCCAAAAATGCCTAGGTGAAAGGACCTCGCAAGCCCCAAATCAAGCCAAGCCAGGAAGCTGTTTTTACTTCAGCGCATGTCCTGTCAGCATGCTGTGCCCACTGGATTTCGCAAACTGCAGGCTGCTGTGTGATGACATGTTAATAGCACTGCGAATGGGAAAAAATCGCGCATACTGTCTTCTTAGAACCCAAAAATTGCTTCTGCAAGCGACCCGGACATCGAATCGGCGTGAGGGCTGTCGCTGTGCTGTGCTGTGTTGTGCTGTGCTGTGCGGTGAGGCCCTTGCATTGGCTTCAGGAACCGATTTCTTGATCGTCAGCCCGTGCCAGGCACAGACAGGGCCAGAGGCACAACAATCACAGGATAAGCACCGAATGGTCGCTGACTTCCGACAGCAGGCAGGCATTCTTGCGAGTACAGTGAAGTACAGTACGTAGTTGGTTGGTCATCGTCCCTCTCGTCGCATTCTGCCATTTTCGTTAATTGCCCATTATTGCCATTATCGTGTCCCTTTTGCTTCCCCTTCCCTTTCAATAATTCCATAAGATAGTTTGCGTTGCGCCGTTCATTCATGATCCCATCGCTAGCCCAGCCAGGCCAGGTATTTTCCTCTTTACCCGGCGCTTAGCCGCATGAAGCAGGAGGCCGTCAGGCACACGAATCCCAGCATCCAAGCCGTTGGGGCGGGATCGCTCTCCCGTGAACGCCAATCGAGAGCAGCAATGCGCCCTACCTTATCCACTTATCGATAACTAATCGATAGAGCGACACACATCCTGCCAACTCTGGTTCCGACCGTGGGAACTTCGGACGGTTTGCGATAGAGGATGACGGTAGTATTGATTTGGATTCGGCGGGATGGAATGTCTGTCGGGGAGAAAAAGGCAGATTCCGTAGAGTAGAGGGCGGAATGGGTAAATTCTGACTCGTGGTACAGTACTCGAGTACTGAATTATTGACGCCTAGATGATTTTGCCATGCAGTGTCACCGAGACGCACGCCGAGAATGGGTGTTGATTGAAGGGTGGGATCACTCTGAGCGAGGCAGATTCCATGTGGAAGAGAAACGTCCTCAACAGTAAAAGTAAAGTGGAAAAGGCCGAGGTGCATTTTGTTGGTGGTGTGACGTGAAGCGTCTTCGCCTTTTCGACCTGTGAGAGAGAAGAGTGTAAAAGCAGGCGAAATGAGCTACTGCTGTAATCCTGGAAAGACTGTGCCGCGGGGAGGTTCTGCGAGGGAAGGTTCTAGCCATCGAGTCAAAAGTTGTCTTGCAGGACTCGAGGTTGTGCATGATGTTATAAGAGATTCACGTGATGAAAAATCTCTTCACAATTTTTGACAGAGGCCGGCTGCATGTCTGGAAGGAGTAGATTGAAGTCATCTGTTATTTAAGACTCATGCCAAATCAATCATCTGTGTGGGTACTATTGCAGAGAAATCTCAGAAGTGCCGACTGTTGCATCGCTGATTGTCTTCGCCTCCATTCTCAACTTTCATCTGCCGAATTCTGACTTCTGAGCTCTCAGACAAAATTCAGGATGATTAGAAGCTAATACGAACGTTGCATACCCGTACCTCTGCCCTTCCTTTCCATTCCGATGCACGGTTCTCATCTTCTTTGAGTCTGAGATTGGTAAGGGTCTGGAAGATTCTTGTTGAGATGCAACCCATGGAGCAAGATATCCTCGCCACCCTGAAAACGCCAACATCAACACTGTCTGGGTGTGCCGTGCACGAAATAGGAAATCATGTTTTCTTTGACACGCACTTTGGTAAGACATGGAGCAGAGACCCTTCGTGCATCTTCTACCCCACTGTTGATTATTCGAGAAAATCTCGGAGGCTGGACAATGTGATTGCCTTGCATAAAAAGCCAAATCGGGTGAAAAACACGGACACTGTGGGAGAAACTCTTCCCTAATGTACAATGATGTCCACTATCTGCATGGGGAGGACCTCCATGCTGTGCAGGAGTTCGTGGGGGCTCAACCAGTAAAGCGAACGTGGATGTCAACCCATTGAGAGCCCAACATGACTAAGAAAATCTTAACGCTGGTCGAAGACTTTAGGCCAGCTTCAAATAACAACGAACGCGATCAAGACTTCGACACTGGTTCCAGCTTAAGCACAAATTTATGACTTGCAGGAGAAGCAGCAGCTCCTGCTTCAGAGACAAGCTTTAGCACGTCGTAGAATGAAACAAAATGGAGAAATGTTGAGGATACAATATGCGTTCCATACATCGATTCACATGCGTCGCTCAGCTGAACAGCCACAGTCTGAGATGTTGAACATCGTATAAGAGCTAGCTGAGACTTCGGACCTGGTTCTAATTTCACGCGAGACATGACTCACCTGTTGTAATACCCCGTACCTACCACGTGTAAGACACTGGTTGTGATATCGAATATTCCATCTCGGAGAAGACTGTGAGTCTTCAAAGTCTGGGTTGTGGTACCCGATATTTAGTGCTCCAATATACGGCAGTTGAGGCGTGCTAATAAGTTGTAAACGGCCACATTCCGCGACGACGGATAGTTGAATCGAAATCGTGGATAATGCTGCTAGGGGTATGATCCTCATGATTCTCGAGTGGTTTTCACAGGTATCCTCCTCCTCGAGTGGAGTAAGAGCAGCCTTTCGCACAAGGTTAGCTCCCATAGGTGACCATTCGTGAAAGATATCAAAGGAGCATCTGTCTCCGTTGAATGGTTCATCCAGATGAGTCCCTGCCTCCGCAATAAGGATTTCTTGTTATAGCTTCGCAAGGTGGAAGAGGTATCCTTTGCCAGGAATTCAGGTTCTTTATACTCAATTCCTCGAGTTTTTTTGTTCAAGACCTTCATGACGGCCTGATCCCTACTCAATTGTAGCATGCCTCATCTCCTCTCCAAACAGCTCTCCACCTAAGTTCTGCAGATATCTCTATCAGCGGCCGTATATAATATTCCGAGTCGGTTGCCACTGCAGTTGGGAGAGGCTTTACTCTCGACTGGAGAAGTTGCACTCTTCGTTGGAGACACTCCGCTATTCCTGAGCATATGTAGAGTGTCTAGCATCTTCAGCGTCTCCAGCATATCGACCGTGATGCTGAGAATCGTTGTTGAAACCTATGCTACGCGGTTGGAGGGTACTCAGTGTCGTCAACTCCTTCACTTCCGTATCAATCAACCATATGTCTGGTCTCCTCTATCGTCGAGATTGGCGTGTTGAAAGCCTTGCTATGGCATCGGCCTGGGCGTTGCTGAGGATCGTAGATTTCAGGTTGACGGCATCCTACCTCATTAGCGAAAGCTTTCGGGATTCAAGCCTGACTACCGCTGTCTGCGCTATCTGCGCTACACGCGCAATATGCGTTGAAATTTGAAGGCTCGGAGAGATCAAGGTTCGGGCGTCGATTGCAGACTGTGTGGTGCTTCGAAGTGGAAGGCCTGCAGACATTGACGAATATGGGTTTGTAGCTGTCAGCCGCTTCGAAGGACGTTTCTTGCTTCCACACGTCGCTATCTAGGAGGCATTGTTGTGAAGATTGCACGAAGAATAAGGATGTGGAGTTGTTGGTCAAGCGGTGAGAATAATCTCCGCAGATCCTGGAAGCGACCCCTCCTCGTCACAACAACATCATCGCGACCACCTTCGTACCTGACTAGCATGTCTTACGTTGAAGCTGTCTTTTCGTCTTGATCATGCCTAAGTTTCAATGTTCGTGTTGGATCCACACTGCGAATCTGACCTCAAAATGGACGATTCTCTTTTCCCTTCAAGTGATACTCGTACTGGAAGTTTTGTCTTGGCGATTAACCTTTTGAACATTCGCTACAACAATGCTGTCTTCCTTGTATTCTTAAGTTCGTGCCTTGTTGGTCTGTGTTCGTCGATTTACAGACTTTCGCTTTGGCTCCCAAGGATCGAGTCTAGTTGTAACAACTTCACATCAAGCAAGCAAAAGATGCCGAGACTAGAGTAGCATCAGTCTAAGAACTGTAATGCATTACGCACACCTTACTGGAACCCAGTGGCCAGCAAATGCCAGCACTGGCAGAGCCAATGCAAGATATGCAAGAAACAGGTACTGCTTGATATATTTCTAAGCAGAAAAGTGACTTAACAAATTCATTAGTCTTCCGTCACCGCTGTTCACCTCGAAGATGAACAATGAGGGACAAGGTGTATTTATTGGAGCTTTCTATACCCGGATTGACCATTGTCATCAAGTGAAATTCAAGTAACAGCGCAGAGAGCTCACAAATGTCCCCCATATCAAACATAACCTGATCCCATCCCCGCTGCCATGGATTTGAGTCCGTTTGCAGGCCTACTGCGCAGGTTTTCCAGCTGCCATGGCTTCCTTCACAGGCCCGCGTTCCATCATCTTCCCATGCCACTCCTTCACGTGCGGGTAGGCATCCAAACTGTACTCCTCCTTAGTAGTCACGAGACTGATGATTTTCTGCCAAGAAACAAAGACCATATCCGCAAAGGAGTACTTGTCACCAACAAGCCAAGGTCCGTCACTGTCAGGTCCTACTTTCTGCTTTGCCAGATGCCCATCCAACACACCAGTAACCCGGTTGACCTCTTTGACATAACGCTCAATGGCGCTTGGGATCTTCTCCTCGTGATAAAGTTTGAACCAACCAAGTTGGCCGTAATACGGACCTTGTCCAGATGCCGCGAAGAAGAGCCACTGCTTTGCATGGTACGCTTCTGGTGTTCCCGCAGGGAACGAGAATTTGTGCTCTGTGTCGTAGCGCTCAATGAGATACCTGAGTCGAACTTTTAGTTACTACTTCTCTGGGTACATGAAATGAGACCTCCTGCCCTTGCATTGCTTCGTGGAAGGAAGTGGGTGAATACAAGTATGTCCAAAGTGAAATGTCTGAGAGTGGATGGTCACTTACTCAATGATTGCACCAGATTCCCAAAGCGTAAGATCTGTGTTTGGGTCATGGATGGCTGGAATACGTCCGTTGGGGTTGATGGCGAGAAATTCCGGCTCCTTGACTTTCGAGAGCGGGACTATAATGAATTCAACTGGCAGGCCGAGCTCACCCAAGAGGATTGCAACTTTTGGTGGATTGGGTCCGCCCTTCCCCCAGACCGTGATTGGCTTTATCTCAGAAGACATGATTCTCTGAAAGTGGGTCAAGATGGGAGGTGGTCAAATGAGAATTGAGGCTAGTAAAGGTTGTTAGTTGAAGATGAAGTGTAAGGTTAGCTTGCTTTGAGAAGAATGTATGAGGAGTAGAGTAAGTTTGATATATAATGAAAGGCAGGCAGCGATGCTTCCTAATAAACATGTCCAGATTCATAATCTTAATCAGCGCCTGCATTCAGTGTTCCTGACTATCAACGCCCCAAGCTTTCAGCCCCGCAAAGTTCAAAATCCCGGGATCTTATGCATGAGTTATGCATGCACAAACTTGAGCCGCGACGGAGTATCCCCAACCCGAAATGTTGACCTCAATATTCGACCCCTTTTGTGTCCGAATAGTCTCCGACAGGTTCGAATTCCGTGTTTCTGCTACACGCTGGCACATCACATCACATCATTATACTGTATGGCGGTGTGAACAAGATTGGAGGACATGCGATCCCTTTCAGCATCCGAGAGCCAGCCGGATTAAGTGAAAGTGACCAGCAACTACTATGTCACTCCACAAATACACAGTCTGATTGATTTGCATGGTTGGAAGGTGAAGTTCCTCAGAAGTTTGAAGAATCATCCAAGAAGTGGTTGGGCTAGAATACTTTTGGCATGCGTTGATTCCCAGATGCACAACATGGCTTGGGAGACCCGGCACACCTTTTTTGGTGCTTCTCACTCGTTTGAAAGATATCCGATGCTCAATTTCAAGCAGTTTGCTAGATACTGTCTAGATTGTATTCAAGAAAGTTCTATGATAACGTCTTTTTTGACTCTCAAACATGTTCCGTATCTCTATAGTGTATTTCACGAATAATAGCCATCCTTTGTCGGTATCGCATATGTCGTCAAATATGTCCCAGATGGCACCGCTGCAGATTTATGCGCCATCAAATATGAGTAGATAGCCGGCGCATCTTGACGTCCGAGATATGACTGCCACACTCTGTACGATGCAGCATAGAGCATTGGCGCGAAACCTCCCCTCAGAAATTCTCGTGCCTTGCGTTGTGCCACTTGTTCATTTCTGCCGCAAAATTCCATGATCGCAATTGTTAGCCATTCTTGGCACTGGGTGTTGTTCCATTTCCAATCCGGGACGTCGGTCGCTCGAATCTCTGGATATTGTCGTAACTTCGCTGCTGGAAGTGTGGATCTGGAGGTTGTTGTATAAGGTGGAGGTCGAGTTGAATTTTCGTGTTTTGAGTGTTCGACACCCATCTTGACTTCTTGATTTCGTAAAATGAATTTGGAAAGAGAAATCAGATTCTAGAAGTGTTCTAGAAATTCTATGACTTCATGTTCTGGAGTCACCCTGAAACTAGAGATAAAGTGGTAAGTAATTGAACCTCATTTTTCGTGGTGCCTTCACTACTCCTAGCCTACCAAGATTCAGTGACAGCATCACATCACCACATTTCCTGTTCACAGTTCATTCTACTATCTAACTACTAAGAATACTCTTTACATCAGCAGCAAAGCGCTCACAATAGCAGCTATGCTCAAAGCCAAAAACTCGTTCATCCATAAGCCGCTCGACGAGGCAGCACCGGTAAATTTTGGTGATGATGCGGTGCCAGTCAAGTTGCTCATCTTTGACGAAGCTGCTGTGACATTCAAAGAAGCGTCCCCCAGAGTGGGGTCTGCCCTCGTACCATTAGCAAACGGTTGCAAAGTCTCCCCTGCTTTCAACCCAGCATTGGCGACTTTCGCAAGAGGCAGCGTCAAAGTATTACACCTCTGTCTCTGATTCATACCCGCGATCACCACCTCCCCTACTCCGGCGCCCATTGTCTCGATGCTTGCATTTGCATTATTAAACACAATCCTTCTAGGAGATTCGATTGTCCACGCTTCCCAAGTTGGCGTGCCCGCAAGTCGAAACGTGTTAGGATCAAGTGTCCTGACGAAAGATATCCAGTACGATTGTACGATTGAAATTGCCGAAGCACAGCCACCATTCGCTGAGTCGATCTTGAAACACTTCGGATCATTTCCATCTGTATTATTGCGTCCCCAAATGGCGTAGAGCTCACTTGTATGTGGGGTGAAAATTCCTTGATCGGCAAGGCCACCAGGAGTTGTGTCGAGAACATTATATCGATACTGATAATTCTGAGCCATCCCTGAGGCAGCGAACATATCTGAAAAGAAGGCAGCGACACACTGAAGCTTTAATTCAGTCATGATGGCCGCATCACGTTGCCATTGAGGCCCTTTGCCCTTTCGCAGAGTCTCATTCTTGACTGAGACGTCACGGCCAAAGAAAGAGACGTTGTTCAGTGAAGCAGGATAAGCGATCAGCATAGACTGAACCTGGGCATCAGTGATAGCTGGTCCAACTGCGTCTCTGATGTGCTTCTCGATGTCTGCGTCCGTGGTTGCGGATTGATTAGAGATGAAATCCGGTGTGCCTTCATTGCTGGCAGCTACATTATCGTTAGTAAGTATAATTTCAGACGGGCTATCATGACGTGCTTCCGTAAATCACAGGTATTTTCTGAAACTTCCCTTGCTCCATCATTTCGTAATGCGGAGCCATGAGTAGTTTCCAGTCGATAGTAGGTCCCCAACCATCACTCGTGGTCTTGTTTTGAAACTCATCAATAGGCATCAACCGCATGCAGTCCAAAGGGTCCGGAGAATTCGAGCAGCCTGTCGAGTTCACATTCTTGGCAAACTCAGCATCTCGATCCACGGCATAAGGATCACCACCCCATCCCGTACTCTCCGCTGCTGCTCCAACAAAGAGATCTGGAAAGCCAGCACCGTTGTTTGCTGTTAGGAGAATGTCAATTGCATTGGCACCTGCGCTGTCCCCGCTCATGACGATGTGGTTTGGATCGCCTCCAAACTGCTGAAATTAGTATCGCCCGTGATAACATAGACGTTGTACTCACTTTGGTAGCATACTGCTTTACCCACCTTGCAGCAGCAATCACTATCGAGTGTTACTTTCGTCTCCCAGACCGCATCTGTGAAGAAAATGCTCACTATCATTCAACCCATTATTTGGCACAGCGCCCTTCGTATCAGCATTCACAACGCTGCCACCGATAAATCCGAGCATCCCAACTCGGTAATTAATCCTCACCACCATCATGTTCATCCCACTTGCCTCAACTAATCCTATTCCATTGAAGTTCCCATTAGAGTCCGAGGTGAATCCTCCCCCTTGAATGAAAAACATGATTGGCAGCTTCGAATCCTCGGTTGCATTTAGCGGGGAATACACAGCGAGGAACAGACAGTCCTCGGCCATTGGCTGACGAGCAGATCCATATTGCAGCCCTTCGGGATTGTTGGCTGATACGCAAAGAGCGCCTTCCTGTCTATTGTGAGCTTCAATTTTCAGAGCAGACTGGAATAGAACCTTGGTTGCATCTTGAGTACTATTTTGTGTCAAAGGTGGCTGAGGTGCAGCAAAGCGCCGTGAACCTGTTGGTGGAGCTGCATAGCGCAACGCAAGCCATTGATTGACTCCATTTTGAAGTGTCAAGCCTTGGTATTTGGTGTAGGTCAGGTCAACTTTCGGAGTCAGCTAACGGGTCGAGTATGAAGAACGGGGGGAGGATATACCAAGTGGATCTACAGCATTCACAATCCGGACAGCCACAAGCACAATATTTATGAATTGAACTCGCATGGTACAGATCCAGGTCTACACTAGTCACTGAGTACAGTAGCGACGAGGGAAAATGAGACAAGGCAAGAGCAAATGAGTGGATGAGGACGAGGGCCGCCTGGGCAGTTGCAAGATACAAATATCAATGAGTGAGGTCGAATTAAAAAAGGAATTTGTCCCGAAATAATAAAGCAGAAAATGCAGGGAAGAAGAACTTTGAGGTGTTGCCAAGCAGAAGCGTCGGTAGACAGATTTGCCTTTCCGAGCTTGCCGTCTCATGTTGAACGTTCAGACGGATCTGGGGCATTAGCCTAGTCTTGATCGATAATTGGCAAATCGTAAGCCAAAACTTATGTTACCCTCCCTGATCATTGGGGAGTTCTGCTGCTAGGGACATGACTTATCGGCCAGCATTTCAGGCTGCTTGTAGAACAGCCTCATCTGGCAGATTCAGGGGTTAAAGGATCGGTAAACTTCCCGAATGCGATATCTCGACAAGGGTCAGCGTTCGATTTATGACGTTGGGAAACTTTATTGATACTTCAAGTCCTCTAACACTTTCAAAGCTTGGCAGAACCTTATTTGAAAGGAGCACTTGGTGATCCGTCTTACCACAAGCCTGATAGAACCACATGTCCCATAAGCATAGGTTTGGAGAATTGTCAAGAATGTAGGGTAATCTACTGAAAATATGTCAGAGAATCTGAAAATGTTCTTTAATGGACCGTGGAAGACAAGGCTCGGTCAACTATCAATGTGAGATCAATGAATGATTGACCTTCGCAAAGAAATGCTTAAACTCTCGCATAGAAACTTACCACGTTCGAGACTACATCAATCCACGACTCTCCCATCCTTGAAATACTTTTCCAGTTCCTCCTCAACATCGTATCCATACAACCACATCGAAAACTCCGCACTGCCATATGGTGCATTAGCATCTTTCTGCGGCTTGTCCGCCCTCTCCTCGTCATCCCTTGTCTGTACTACCAAAGTCTTTGCATACATCCTATCTCTTTCTTCCTGCTCCTTCCCATCTACCAGTCCGTAGTGCTTCATGTTCCCCCAACTAGTCTTCTTGACTTTCTCCGCTCTTGGCTTGCGAATGCTTTCATACGCCTCCGTCAATCTACTGATTTCCTCTTTGCTTCTCACTCGCTCGAGACAGCCGGCAAGGACTGCCGCGTCCTCAACAGTCGAAGTGGCTCCCTGTGCTGTATATGGCACTATGTTAAAATCAGTATGCGTTTTTAACAAATATTCGAGAGCCGAAGGGGTCATCCGAAGAGTTGAAACATATCTCCTTTGATAAGCAGCTCCCGAGCAGGACTCCGAAAGACCTCGACTCTCGGAATGGATACAAAACAGGGACAGGACCTGACGTACTCATTGCATGTGCTGCATCGCCTAGCAGCACTACTTTGCCGTTTTCACTTCTCCAACTGGGCAAGTCCGGGACTTCGCCAATGCGCCATTTATGTACCGCCTCTGCGCTGTTCAATATCTCCTGGATTGGCTCCTCCCACCCCTCGTATTCCTTCTTTAAATCCTGCAAAGAAGCTGGTTGGTTCCAGACCCCAATTTTGGAGCTGCTGGATTCCGGTCCGCAAAAGACGAGATTGTAAAGTGAAGTTCCCCTGATTGTGTAAGCTACGATGTGCCGATGGGGGCCGAACCAGATAGTGCTGCTGGGTTCGGAAACAAGAGGGTTGAGAATTGGCGAGGATCGAAGAATGGATGATGGCAGTATCAGACGATGGGCAGAGTCGGGTGTTCCATGGGCGTGGCTGTCAGAGAACAATGAGATGCGTGTACGGGAGCCGATTCCTAATCAAACATCAGGTAAGATCTGGATGCATATAGAAGTGACTATAGAGATGAGAAAGAAATGGAATTCATACCCTCTGCAGCTATAACAAGGTCAGTCGCGAATTCCTGCCCGTCTTCGAGAGTGAGGGAAGGGGTGCTAAAATCTACATCTTTAACTTTGCGATTGAACTCGACCTTCGCGCCCGCTTTGATCGCAGCATCGTACAGAATCCTTTGATAATCGGCTCGGTGTAGGGTGAGATTGCTGCTCTCTCTAGCATTAGTATCAAATTGATAGCATGCCCTCCACATCACCACGGCTAACTCACAAATATCCATAACGCTTTATTGCCATACCCCTATGCTTCCCTAATACTGTTCCGTTGTCCCACCTCCTGATGGTTGCTCCTTCATTCTTGGTAGCCTCTTCGTAAAATCTATCTTTCAGGCCATGCCGATCAAAGATGCGCATTGCATTTGGCGTGATTTGGATCCCGGCCCCTATTTCCGAAAGACAGGGGTTAGAATCGAGGACAGTAACTTTATGTCCAGATTGAGAGAGGAAGGTGGCAGCAGAGAGGCCACCAATTCCGCCGCCTACAATGGTGATCGTGAGTGGCGTGGTGGTGAGAGTGGACAACATAGTGAGAACTTGAGCGAGGAATCGTAGAGAACATAGGAAGAGAGAAGTGATTGAGTTCAAATAATCGTAGACTCAGCACTGTCGAATTAGAGGATAAGTTGGGAACTTCCCACATGATGCACTGCACCCATTCTAGCTTACTCCACACGTCAGAGAGCGGGGTTCCGCCGGATAGCTTAGGTCGCAAGCTATCTCATTGGACTTAAGAACGACCCCAAATCCGTCCTCATAGATAGATAGATAGTAACGAGAATCCCAAACATTTGCCGAACGCGCTGCCGCTTCAAACTCGATTATAAACATTTTGCATCGACAGATAATTCTCGTCTTCCTGCGAATAGAATTGATGCAAATATATACAGCTATTGCAAGTGAAGCATGTTTGCGAGTCAAGCTCGTAGCTTCGAAAAAAAGAGAGAGAAAGGTACATTTCATCGTAAACGTAAATCATCGTTGGACATAAAACCCATTCGCAATCATCGTCTTCTCCTTCATCGGATCGAATGGCATCCTTATCCCCATCTTGTGTAGCGGTACTTTGTCAATTTGTCTCTGAGCTGCCGTTCTAGAATCCGCGTATCCAGACATCACTCTCTCCATACCTTTAGGCTTTTCTGAACGCGCTTGCAGTGTAGAAGCAGCTTCAGGGCTCCAAATTAGTTGGCCAAGAATAGACTGTGCCATGGAGATATCGTTGACTTCTACAAGCATTGCTGCTTCCATTGCGGCTTCGTCTCCCGCTTGCAGGCCTTTCAAGAGAGCTGCTCGTTGGGAAGGTTCATCGGGACGAATAAAACCCATTATTCGAACTTCCAGACAAGCTTGATCTTGCAATACATCCTCGGAGTCCCGGATCAAGCGTATCTTAATGTTCTTCTTGCTGGCTTCGGTCACACTGGCGCGAGATAACTGTGAAGCATCTATTGGAATAGCCGACACAATTGCCTTATGCCAGGAGTCCTCACTGTCGGTGGGAGTGATGGGATTCCTTGTCCTTTGAACAAAGCGAGCCCAGCCAAAATAATAACCGAAAAGCTGGTTAGAAACATCGAAAGGCAATCCTGTCAGTGCTATGGTAGGCATACTGAATTGTTCGATATGGTCAAGACAAGGCTCACAACGAGCGACGAAATGAATAGGATAAGGTACTTGTGGACCATTATCGACTGGGATCTCGACCTGGCCAATTGTCGTGAAGGAGTCGTCTCGAACTTGATCATATCGACCATTTGCGTTGTCGATCGTGGCGTTAACCTTATCAGCGGCTCCGCTGACGTCGTATGAAGCCGTAGCAGCTTGTCTTACCCACCACGAAGGCATGTATTGCTGCACTTGATTCTGCACAACTGAGGTGACTGGAGAAACCACAGTTCCCACAGTATGCCGAGTGTATGTGCTCAGAGCCATGGCTCCAAGCTCAAGGGGCAATGTGCTGAGACTTGCTCCTCTCAAGGAACTTGGACTAGTAGACGTCGAAAGAAGTCGAAAGACGGGGCTTTGGCAAAGCACTTTCTCCTTCTCTCCCAAGCAAAGGACTAACTGAAAATATCCATCTCCAGCCTCGGCAGGTAGTCTAACCACAGCAGTTTCTCGTAAGATATGGTTCTTTTGAGAATGGACCTTTGCCTTCTTGCAAAAATGTGCGATATCTCTCTGCCATGCTCGTTCGTCTGTAGGCTTCAATTGCTCTGCTGTTACACACATCGACGGGGTGACATTGAACCAATTGCCGTTCGCGCCCATAAAAGCCTTCGCCCTCATGCCCATCTTTCCAGTCCAGCCTTTGCTTTGTAGCCATAATGTGCGTTCTGCAGGTAGTGGTGCATCTGCAAAGATCGAGATTGCAAGAGTCGTGCTTGTTCCTTGATAGAATACCAAGCCATGAGAGTGCCGCAGTATGGTATAATGCTTCGTGCTTTCATATGGGTGTGCGATCAATCCTCCTGCAAAGTGTCGAGCTTCTTTGTATGCTTTCTGGAGATATTCCGAAGTAGAAGATTTCGTGGACTGGGAAGTCGAGGCAGAAGAGGCGCTGCTCAAGGAATGAGAGGTATTTGTTGAAGCAGAGGTTATGGAGGTGGATGCTGTACTGAAGCTTGTATCTGTACGCCCAGGACTAGCAAACAGCTGCGTGTTCGTGACGCGGGGTGGGAGGTCGGTTTCCAAGGTTAGATCAGGACGTGGTGGTGGGACAGGTGCTTCGTCTTCCAAGTCGAGCTTCTGCCACTGTCCAGCCACTTCTCTGCTTTCGGAAATAGGGACCAATTCTCCATTCTGATATGTGCTACTGTTCTCCACCTGATTCTCAATATGCAGCGGCTTTCGGGCCACCCGGAAGCTTCTCGGGTCTTGACTTGAGATAACCTTACCGTTCTCACGGTACGGAGGAGGAGCCGCGTATTGATCCATTTCGAGTCCGCGTCCTCGATTGACAGCCGTCAATTACTGAGAGGTCGGCTCGATCAAGCATGTCATATACTATTCGTACACAAACTGTGCACAATTGATTTGGATATTTCTCAGGACATTGTGGTTGCATTGAGAGCCTCGAGCTTCCGACGTCATGCTGACTAACGTGATGTTGTTTGAGGAAGTCTGATCGCATCAACATTGTCGAAACAGATAAGGATTCCAAAGTCAAATTTCATCTTTAATTTATCTCCAAGGGACCAGAGAGATACTCCTTGCAAAGCAGCCAAGTCTTGTCTCAAGCATTACCGTGTTCCGCTTGCCCTACTAATACTCAAGCTCGGCATCTCCCTCCAGATCACACTCCTCCCTCCTCACTCGTCTCCTTCAGCTTTCAGAAGTAAAATTTTTGTCGTGCTTGTTTATCACATTTTGCGACCAGAATCCAAGTCAAAATCAGAGAGAGTAAATTCTAGAAACCAGCAGCCCTGCTTCTGTCTTCGTCTATCCATCCTTTTTCCGAAGGCGTTTAAATCTGGCCAATATTTGTTGCTTACCAAGCTTCCAATCTCCGTATCCGTGATGTTAAAAATCTGCCCCAATCCCTTCTTCTATTTCGTCCGTTACAGGTTTCGAAAACTTCCTAGGAAATCATTGCGTTCCTCGTAAATTGATTGTAAATCGCTGAGAATATGTGGAGGTTATGATACCATACAAGAGATCAGTAAGATGAGAGCCAGGAACCAGACATTAACGTGAATGACGAAACTTTGACATTCCATAATAAGGCAGTAGTAACTTGATGGTAGACCGAGGGAGTAGAACTGCTAATAGCGACGGTAAGGATACTTTTCACAAGTGTCTTCGGGTGTCATCGGTTCTGGGCACTGAAAGATTGGGACGAAAGACTGAATCCACCAAGAGTTTAGGATCTTACTGCTATGAGAAGTACATATTGTGATTTTCAGAGCGTAAACTGGCATGGAGGCCTCAAGAGTGAACCATGTATCTATGATTCAACTTTATCGCTCTCGTTGATGATGTTGTTGCCGTGTTTTACATGCATAGCTTGGTGGATGACCTCTCGTTCTTCTACTGGAACTCGGACCTCCAACGAAACAGAACTTCAAACCAAAAAGCTCGTTCGATTGGCGTGTGAATTTACTGTAGGAGTAGCAATAATATGCGTGATGAACATTCGAAGTAAATTGTACAACTACAGCATGGCTACCATAGATGAGCTTTGACAAGTTTCATGGCACCTTGGAACTCTAGACACGGAACACAGACCAGAAGCCATAGCGTGTATATGCTGCTCCCAATCAGGATCTCAGCCGAACCTCCGATGAACCCAACGAACGAGGTCTTAGTTATGCATAATGCACGAGAATGCAGCGAACCGAGCTTAAGAAATGGCTTCCAACCAACGTCTTCACTAAAACTCTAGCTTAGCTCCACTAGATAATTCCACATGAGTCTTCGTCCTGAGTCGTAGTCACACCAGTGCGAAAAGTCTGCTAGCTCGCATGCAGCTCGGTATAGCTTGTGCAGAACAATGGCTGATGATAAATGCTCAAATGTGCGCAGACATACTCAAATATACAGACTCATGGCGATCAAGCCACTGCAACATGACTGATCTTGCACTACGGCAGATAGGGCAAGGTTCTCAACAGCATCACCAGCATGGTGCCCAGCGAGCAGTTTCGCTGTCGGCGTAGATGAAGTTGGGCAGGCAATGACTTCACACAGTTGATTGCATCTTAGCTTACAAAAGCAACGGTTGGATCCATATTGCTGCCCAGTTAAACGGAGTGAACTTGGCTTCAATATATACGGTGGCGCGCTGACATGTGCCACTGAGCTCTTGGCAGACGCATGCAAGCAAACAACATCAGACGAGATCTCAACTAGGATTGGTCCACAATGCGCATTACCGTCGCGGCGACAAGCAAACGAATCAACAAGTGTTAGAATAAGCAGATGTCCCAACCTCCGAACGACATTCAATATTGTCGGCCGTTCTCGTGCAACTTTGTCACGATACTTGGCACTTCCTCCCCTTCCAAGCAGATGACTGATACGAGTACAACGTTACCAAATTCTCCGATTTTGGCGAGGCTGAAAGCCACCATGCTGTCTGAGAAGCTGTTTATGGACAGTGCTCGGTGAGTCGTCTCGTGTTCGGCGGCTCAAAAATGTCTGCTGCTGGAAGGCTATCGAATTCTTGACGATTAGTCGGACATTCATGGCCTCACATCCATTCCTGGCCGAGAAATCCGGACCGATGTCCTCTCACTTGGCATGGAGCCTCACGAGATCGAAGACGTCAACGCCAGGAGGTCCTACATATCCGGCTACCCTCTTAGAAAAGTGCCGCCATATTTGGTCCAGGATGAAATGATATCTGGGTCAGTACTTCCCCGTACGTGAGTACATGTACTAGAAGATCGCAATTTCCAGGTCAACAACAAGTTTTGAAATGGAATGCTGGTCTGGGTCTTGGGGAAGTCGAAGCGGAAAGCTCGGGTTGGGTCTGATCTCTCGTATCAAGGTTGAGCACTATGGAGAATCCTGGTCGAGCTCGATGCACCGTCAGGGCAATAGAGTTTTCTTAGTGAGGGGCAATTCTCCCGCGCCAATGGATCCGGCTCACGCTGGTTGACAAACTGGCACGGTCTGCTCCGAATTCAACATGATGCCAAGCTTATCTGCGACCACTGCAGGTCGTGGTGGTATGTAGGACATGGCGGGCCTGCGCCGTTGACGAAGATACACAATCACGCCCAACCATACGACTCTCTCCTGCAGTAAGTCGCCCACTTCTGCTAGCACGAAACGCTCCGTCGTGCCGGCTACCTCTGGTAGTCAGGAACAGAAGTTACGTGAAAGGTGGATGCACCAAGTCCACGAGCGCGTTGCCCAGCGTACCGATGCTCTTGATTCTGTTTTGGGTAATCGATCTTGCGGCGAATATCTTGCTCGGTCTTGATAGTCAGACTGGTAACGGATGGCAAGAATAGATTAAAATAGAAGTCCGATGACGATGATGCGCCGAGGGGTGGAGAGAATCCTTGGCGATAATTGATGAGGGTTGAGGGGCATCCTGGTCAAGCGACTTGTTGGCAGGGCCAAAATATACGCGAGCTCCAAGTACCCATGCCCGGATTGGACGGTTGAAGCCATCGTGATGATGACAGAAAGAAGGGATGGCGAAGATCCAAGAGACGCCGTTGGAATGTTTGTTTTTAAGTTTGTCTTATGGTTTTTGGTAGCGTAGGGCAAGCAACACACGAAGTGGGTTTGAGTGGGTTGTTCCTGCCGCTTCGGGTGGTCAAGGCTGCTGTTGCTGCTGCATGTCTCCTGCCTTCTCTCTTCGGCTACCTACGTACTGCAAGGCAACGCACGCAAGATAAATCTTTCTCTCGCCCCGACTTCTTCTTCTCTTCTTTCCATCCACAAACACGCATACATCCACACTCTCGTTCATCGCGAATCCATCGTCTTCGGACATCTTCCATCGTTCAGTTACTTCAACAACACACTCTCGTTACTACCAACATCCACAATCGTTCAAGATGAAGGCCTTCCAGTCTCTCGTCCCCGTCTTCGGACTCGTCGCCGCCGCCCAAGCTTGGGGTTCTGGCTGGAACGACACCACTGTCTGGACCACTATCACCACCGACATCTACACCACTTACTGCCCTGAGTCGACCACCTTCACTATGGTTCGTGGACCCCACCCCCCCCCTCTTCCCCCCCCTCGTTCTTTTGATGGTGAACTCCGTGGATGGATAAAACCACTTCAACTGCACACTACTTGACGCGTCCTGAGCTGACATCTCGATCAGGGTACCAAGACCTATACGGCTACCGAGAGTGAGACCATCACTATCACTGATTGTCCCTGCACCGTAAGTCACTAGCATATCTCGTAGTTGCACGAGAAACCACGTATTGATTCGTTGTGCAGTACTCCAAGCCAGTCAAGTCTACTTGGGCTCCATCCTCCACCTATGTTCCTGCCAACAGCACTTGGGTTCCTCCTGTCTGGATCACTACTACTGAGACCGTCTCCTCATACACTACCTACTGCCCGGTTCCAACCACCTTCACCGAAGGTTTGAATCCCTTCCCTGCCTCCATTTCTCTCAGACTGACCCGTTATAGGCACCAGCACGTACACTGTCTCATCCGCCACTACCTTGACCATCAGTGAATGCCCCGTAAGTTTGAATTGAATTATGTCACATCTCAACGTGAGAGTCAGCATTGCTAACATCGTCGTAGTGCACTCGCACCTCCACTCTTCCCGGCACCACTTCAGTGATTACCATTGGCACGACCACATCTTACTGTTTGTGACCCCGATCTCCATTCCCATGGCACGTACTAATTCGAGAAAAGGCCCAACTCCTACTGTGATCACATCGGGCTCGTCTGTCATCTCTGTCAGCACCCCAACCACAGTCACCCTACCAATCTGCTCCACAACCACATATCCCATCACCACACCAGCCTCAACTGCACCTGCAAGCACTCTGACCACTGCTCCACCTGCTACGACCCCAGGCTCTGTTGGTACAACCAGCGTCAAGACTGGCCCAAGCCCTACGACCTCGACTCCTGTTCAGGTCTCTGGCAATGCTGCTGTTGTCAACGGCGTTGGCCTCGGCGCCATTGCTGCTGGTCTCGCCGCTATGATCTTGTAAACACCTCTTCCAGATCTTCTCATCTCGCCTTACGAACCTAATGATTTTACGGACGGATGGTATTAGATGGAAGTGGGAAGGAGTTTACAAGGACATTCATTTGGCATCAACTTTGCTTTCCCCCAGATCGGACAGATCATGATATTTTGGAGCTTCTACACACAAACTCGCTCATGTCGCGCTCGACATATTCAATTCTCTCGTACATACTTTCCAGATGCTGCTTGAGGAGGAAGGGCAATCATGTGTTTTTAGATCACCTAGATCGATAATCATAATGCAAAAGCTCACAAATATCCACCCTTCCCATCAGTGTTGCTTTTCATACTGCGTGATCTGCTCTTCCTACACTCTATCGTGCATATATGGAATTGGCTTACTCCACACTTTCAGTCACCGACCATTGACGAAGTGGGTATGTCGTTGAAATGTGTGTGGATGGACTAGGATAATTCTTATCTTTGCCCTCGTATCCGCCTGCATGCTGCAAGCCCACCATCCTTGCCCGCATGAAGCACCTGATCTGATATTTGCTTATTCACATCTGTACAAGCGTATGTATGTTTCTTCGTATTCATATATTCTCTCCGGGCAATTGACGGAGAATCTCACTCATCGGATGTCACAACGTCGAGCGATTCAACGTGTTCATTGTCCGGATTCATTGTGTGCATTATTCCACATTGAGACTTGTCAGCCACTGTCGAAGAACCATCTCAAACACCACGGTTCCTTTTGCTAGAACAACGGGGTTGTCCGGCAAGCCCTTGGACATGAAAGAACACAGTCAGGTGAAGCCATATGTCTCCCCTTTTGTGACTTGGCTGCCAGCGGTCTAGCCAGCGATGTCTTTCCCAGCTTGAGACATTCCCACATTCGCAAAGCTTGAATTTACTACTTCTGCACGTTTTCATTTCTCGTGTATGATCTTCCGTACTTTGACATTCATTTTACGTGTTGCACACTCTTCTTCGTGCTTGGGCTGCGAAGTGTTGCCGATGAGATGCGGCAGCCAGCCAGGCTTGAAAATATCCCGTCACAGGCTACAATCAAGTACGGCCTGAAATGCGCGCTTCACATTGCATTATTCTACTGCTTTTTATTCCGCTTCGACGCGTTCAACCTTCTTTTGAGTGTTGCTGCGATCTGTGTTGCGTGGCATGGTCACGGTGTCCTGGCTACAACTTTTCGATGTACGCGAGGCAACTCTGGAGTATGACAGTGAATGTTTTCTGGGTATTACTTGACTCTCTCTCCTTGTTGGACATGGTACGGAGGCCAGTGACGATGAACTCATGGGAACTCAAATATTGGAAGTATCTACGCACAGGAGGCTGAGGTGGGCGGAAAACGCCTAGATAGCGTTCATGAGCAACAAGCTTCTTTTGCTTCTGAGGAAGTCATGATCAATCATCGATATTCATGTTCCACTTCCCTTCATCTATTTTGTGATTGATTCTAAGATGCTCTGTTCGACGAAGCCAAGGATATTTGTTATGAACCTATCACTGGCTTTTAGTATTATAAATGGCATTTCACAAAGCACTACGATCGTCTCGTAGGGAGGAGCCTACTATGCCAGATTGTTAACTGCAAGTCAGCATCGTCAGTAGCCCTCATCGAAGGAAACGATCAATCCCTTCATTCAACGTCAATGCTAGATACTCGACGCTTTCAAGGTAAGATGAAAGTGCCATCCGCTTTCTCCCTCAAACAAGAGCATCGGAGGTAAAAATATCTCTGCAATCCGAAAATACCTGCGTTAGTGTCTTCAGACCGCCGAACCCTTAACAGCCAGGCTTCTCAATGAAGATGCACCCACAGAGCAGTGGTGTCTCCTCCCCGGGAATTCGAGAGCACCAGACCTTGCCTCCAAATTTTGTTGCACATCGCAAATTCTCCTGCTCATTGCTCCTTCCTATTTCTCAAGGAGACTTTTTTGCACACCAAAGAGCTGATAGGTGACAAAGCTTAAAGTCTTGGCTGACTTGGAATTCAAGGGGGTTCGCCCTACACTGGAAGCCATTACAGTCTACTAATGTCTGAGCTGGTCTCGAGATGATATGATACTGTATGAATTTAACAATTGCGTTTCGACGTTTAGCTTCACAATTTCATTTGAGTTTTGTTGCACATCGCAACCCGAGATGCACCTTCCTCAGATACATCCTACTTATACGTCATGACCTAACTTTCTCACTCATTGCAGAGTCCAATTTGGTCTCATCTCGGACGCAGCTCATTAATTACAATATACTGGGGCTTGCAATGGCATCCTAGTGCAGTCCTAGTTTGTCATAGAATTCCTTTGTCTCACTCATAGCCGCTTGAGATGATGTGTGAGGAGAAGTTCTAACATAATCATTTTCCACTGCCAGTCAACAAGAATAGCCTCTACGATCTCTTCCACTTAATGTATTGACCATGTGTCCCTGGACGATGATGGTTTGGGTACTGCAAGATGAGATACTCTTTATTGTTCTACCGACTATTTCGCTGCAAGGCTCATTGTTCTTCCATTCCCTCACGTGTATGCGCCTCTTGTCCTTCCAATACCAAAACAACCCCAAAAGTCGTTTCGTCATTCCATGATGCTCCCAAACAGTCTATAGCCCAAAGTCCGAATATTGACCCCGGGCTACCTGGCCATATCATCTATGAGCTGCTTCCATTTTGGACACTCTCTCCATTGTGGGCGCTTCCTCCATTCTGCCCTCGTTCTTTCAGGCCTTCGCGCACCTTTGGCAAGATATATCGCCCGTAGTCAACAGCATCATTAAAGTTGTCATAACCACGGATGGATATGAGTGTGGCACCAAGATCGACATAATCCAGAAGCGAGTCTGCAACAGTCTGGTACGAGCCAACCAACGCGGTTGATGCTCCTCTGGCGTTCGTCGCTGTCACAGTAGGATACCAAAGAGCTCGATCCTGAACCTCTCCACGAGAGGCGATATCAAGCAGTCGCTGAGAGCCTACATTCTGCGGTGGTGGTGCATCAGCTGGCACTTTGCCTTGTCCCTTGGCTCGATTTCCCTTCAAAGCATCCAGGGTCCGATGCGCCTTCTCCCAGGCGAGATCATCGGTTTCAGCAGTGATGGGACGGAAAGTGACCCAAATCCGTGGGCGATCAGTTCGACCTGCCTTCTCTGCCTCAGCGTAGATTCGATCGATCTGCTCTTTCGTCTCCTTCAATGGCTCTCCCCACAATCCAAATATATCAGCAAGTGAGCCGCCCACGCGGTAAGCCTCGTCCGATGATCCACCAACTGAAACCGGAATGGTACCATTGGTGGGACGAACACGATTGCTGAACTGCTTGAATTGAAAGTACTTTCCATCCCAGTCGAAGGGATCTGCGGACTCCCATGCTCGACGAAGAATGCGGATATACTCTTCAAGTCGTCCATATCGCTCTTCCTTGCTCAGAAAGTCGCCTTCCTTTGCTTGCTCGGCATCGCTACCACCAGCTATGAAATGAACGACAACTCGGCCTGAGCTAAGTTGATCAAGCGTAGATAAAGCTTTTGCTGCGACAGTTGGGTAAAGTGTGTTTGGTCGGAGCGCGATGATGACTTTGATGTTTTTAGTTACAGAGACGATAGTTGCGCCTATTGTGAAGGGATCAAATGAGGAAGAGTCATATGGGATCAGTGTGTAGTTGAAGCCATAATCATCAAGTGCCCTTGAGTACCGAATGAGGAAGTCCGGATCGATACCTGCATTAGGAATGGGAACCAATTCAGTTGAGGCGTTAGGAGGGGTGACACTGATGAATTCTACCGCCATGTTGATATGATGGAATGCTTTGCGAGCTCAATAGGACTAAGTGCCAGGAAGGAGAGATTTGTTCTGCCTTATAGAGTCTTTTCCTCAATTAGTAATTGATACATATAGCGACAAATGCGGGGGTAATCACGCCTTACAGGTAACCGAACTCAGGCCCCCCTTTATCGCCTGTCACACCATAATCGCCTGCTTAAGCGAATCTCTTCGGGTCTGTTATCTTCAAGTCGCGCAATAACATCCAATAGAGCTCAAAAATATCCTTTTCTTGCAGGAGAACCTGACGACTTGGAAAAAAAATATGTGCAAGTTCAGCTTTAAGCCGATCAATAGCTGCCGACTTCACTCCGACCCCACTTTTGAGACAATGGCACAAAATCAGTTCCTCGAGGCATTGTCCTGATGCATGAGTAATTGTTGCAGGTTGGGACAGACGCTTTCTGATCTGAGTATCAGTCGTTTGTGTCTTGCTTCTTTTCGGTTTCGGTCTATAGTTGTAATCGTTTGAGCCTCATTGAAATCGACGAAACCTTGATGCTCGCAGCTCTGACGGCTAATCTAATCGCTCAGTAAAATGTTACGACTTTTTGTATATTCTCAACTTTCGAATGTCCGTACTTGAGAACTGACTTGCCGTCCAGATATGTCAGTAACTAGACTAAGTCATTTTGACGGATTCGTTCATCTTCTAGCCTTTACAACTTTGAAGACCAGTCTGCTCAGGATCTAGCACTCGGCATAGGCTGCGTACCTAGTCGATATCGACCTAGAGACACTCATAGTATTACGACCAGATCAATAACCTAGAAGACCGGAGACGACTATGCACCACGTGACTGACTGATGCTCCAAGTATAACCTCGCATGAAAGAGAGGACCAGTCGCACTGAGCGCATTTGTCCAAGCTGAGGTGGCCCTGTGGCGCAGTAATAGTACCGATATTACATCCAATCAGCCTGTCTCAAAGATCCAATCATGCAACAACAGAGAGATGACAACTGCCAACATTAACATTTATTTGAAAATTGAAGTGATACTAGTTTAGGATTCCTGGGAAAGGAAGATTCTTCAACATAGAGGGAATTTTGGTCGTTCTTATACGACTTTATCCTTCAAATTCTATTTCTCAGTTGGGACTTAGCCCACATATTTTGTCCCACAAACTCTACAACAAGATGGCCTTCCATTCGAATTGGAATACTGATTTGATAGTATTTGACACCAACACAAGATCGGAGAAGCACCGGCATTCTTGTCTTGTAAATGGGCTACTTGATTAAGCATACATTTAGAGTTGAAACTATCATGTTGACTTAAGCATAAAAAGAGACGAAGACGCGTAAACAGCAAACAATCTGTGGAGCACCAAGCTAAAACGTCACTAAATCTGGGGAAGAAATATCAGATCAAACAAAAGATGGAGAGATGTGTCTGAAACGTCTCCAGAACACATGAAACGAAGATGTTTAACGGTTGATGTCAGCGCACCGTTTGAGCGGTTGTTGCAAGATTCATGCTGAAATGAAATGGGGTGAAATGAATGGCCGCAGATGATGCCGAGGGATTCTGGAGGGCGCGCTTCTGCAAGGTACAACCCCTTTTTCTAATCTCTGTCCCCTGTCTGTGGTTCCTGTTCTAGCTTCTTAGAGAGGTGAGAAACACAAGCGAGGCGCCATCGATGGATGGCCCGAGCGTCCGCCCTCCAATTCCATCTTCCACATCTCTCCGCCTCTGCCATGTCCTTCTCGTCCTCGATCTGAGCCGTGACGACTTCTCTTTACCGTCCAGCGCAAAGACCACTTTTGTCGTGCATTTGTGCACATTACCCTCCTTCGTTATTGTCAATTGTTTTTAAGTCCCGAACGCGTCTCGCGTCCTTGTTTGGTCTCGCACGCCAAAAGTCACTCATTGATTCTCGCAAACTACACTCCTTTCAATATGCAGTACTTGTCGCTCCTCTTGGGAGCTGCTGCTCTGGTCGCACCAGTCTTCGCGCAAACATGGACTACCTGCAATCCTATGAACGTGGTAAGTCTGAAGTTGTTGGGGGATGACTTCCAGTTTTTTGCTGTCTGGAGTTGATGTTTAAATGCACTCCTAAGACCTGCGCATTTACTCCCGCAGTAATAAAAAAGCTTTACTGACTTTGTTTTCGACTTGCCCGAATGATCCCTCGCTCGGCATCAGTCATAATTTCGTCTTCAATTCCTCCGATACTGTCACCAATTCGTTCAATATCACTGCTGGATCCCTGGTCTATGGTACCAATGGAACCGAGTTCACGATCAACAAGAAAGGCGACTCTCCCACCATCCAATCGCAGTTCTACATCTTCTTCGGATCTGTGAGTGTTGTTATGAAGGCTGCTTCCGGTCAGGGTATCATCTCGTCAATTGTGTTGGAGTCCGACGATCTCGATGAAGTTGACTGGGAATTCTTGGGTGGAAATGGAACGCACGCCGAGACGAACTATTTTGGGAAAGGAAACACCACGTCTTTTGACCGCGCTATCTACTATCCTACTGGTACTGACAACCGAGACAACTTCCACAACTACACTGTTCACTGGACTTCGGATCAATTGCAATGGTACATCGACTCCCAATTGGTCAGAGTTCTACCATATGCTTCTGCCAATGGAGGCTACAACTATCCACAGACCCCCATGACCGTTCGTATGGGTATCTGGGCTGGAGGTGACTCTGGAAACAGCAACGGGACGATCGAATGGGCTGGTGGGTTGACGGATTACAGCCAAGGTCCATACACCATGACAGTTCAAAGCGCCCTTATCAGCGATTTCTCGACCGGTTCAGCATATCAGTGGACCGATAAGACCGGAGATTGGCAAAGTATCAAGGCTATCGCGTAAGTTACCTTCTTCTCTCTATGTATTGTGCTAACACTTCCCTCAGTGGTAACTCAACTGCGGCCGAGACAATCCTCAAAGCAGACACACCGACCCTTTCCATGGCTCAGAAATGGCAAGCCCTCCCTCAAACAACCAAGATTGCGGTCTACGCGGGCAGTGGAGGCGCTGCTGCAATACTCATCGCTGCCTTGACTTTCACCTGCATTCGTCAGAGGCGCGCTGGTAGAAAGGAGCGCGATGATTATAATGCAAAGGTTGAGAAGGAGCGTGAGGAGGCATACCGTGATCAGATGGAACTCCGTGAAAAGGGACTCGGCGGTTGGGATCAAGGTGCATATGCAAAGCAAGGTGATGATGCACTCGGTGGATGGGGTGGAGCCCACGTTCCTCCAGGATACGCAGCTGATGCACCAGCTTTGCCAAAAATGCCATCGAACGTTATGGTCAACGAAGTCCCATCAAGAATGAACAGCCCGGCCTTTGAAAGAAGCATGAGCCCAGTCTCACGACATCAGACGCCTGCTCTGGTCAGCCCAGGCCCCGAGAGCCCAAGAACCTGGAATGGCGGCAATCAAGGAGGTATGATTCACAATGCAGGCAACGCATACTCTGGTGGATATGGTGGATCTTCGAACATTCCTAGAAGTCCCTCGTTCCCTCTGGGCAAATCAGTACCTCCTCAACGCGGGTTCTCGAGTGGTGGATATCAAAGATTCTAACTCTGAATGGCAGCGTGGTATAATCTCTTAATGGTCAGGAGTAATTGGAGTTCGAAGATACACAGAGCTCATGAATATAACGATGGAAGTGCGCAGCCGGCACTGTGTACTTCTACATGTACAATGTCTGGATCAGTGGGCCTTTGTTGTGTTAAGATAGGATTGCGGATATCAAATGAATGCAACAATTGAAAACATCCTCGCGATGAGGGCCATGCTCAAAATGTGCTTGTATTCCATTCGAGAGCTAGTCCTCCTCGCCAGGTTCTTTCTTCTTCACTGGCGCATCCTTTCTAGCAGCAGCTCCTGCATACTCAAAGTTCCTCTTGTTCAAGCTCTCCCTGTACTCTAAAACATGCGCGGGTATTTCAGCAACCTCATTATACGGACCAGGGACCGGCTCTCCAAACTGCTCGTACAATGGTAAGACGCCAGTCTGCAAAATGTTAGTAAATTTTCCCCACGAAATCACTTCTAGTCGCATCACATACCCACACACTTCCAAGTACTTCCTTGTTGCCAAGGTCTCCTTTCTCATCATTGGGCACACCTTCTCGAACTTTTGCACTGCCACTGTCGATTTTGACCCTTAAGATCTGAGTACTTTGCATTTCAGCTGCGTTAGGCGGCAGCCTGGTATGTCTCCAGCGGTCTGGGACAACAGAGTTAGTGATAAGCTCCATAGCCCAGAGCTTCTCATCTAGGTCTTCTACCAGTGTCGCATGGCCGAACAGCACAGCGCTACGGTAGTTGTAGTTGTGGGAGTTTGGGGTAAGGGTCAAGACTACACGTATCAGCTAATATGGTAGGAACGTAGCTGCAGGAGAGCTTACCAAGCCCATCGACTTTTGAAGCTGCAATGCAAATGGGAAGTCCCTTTCCTCCTGACGCGCGACTGAGGTTCATTATGCGAGACGAGACATAGCCATGGAGGTAACACTCTAGCGGATCACCAAGGGACGCAGATGGTCGAGAAAACGAGCCCATCTGTCCAATAAGAGGTAGAATCACGGGGAAGGGATCTTCTGGCGACGGTGAGAAGGAGACCTTGTGCAAGTTAGTGTCTTGTTCTCGATATTGGACGTAATATAAAGTTGGAATATAAGATCATATAGTTCTAGAGTTTGTGGGACAATATAAGTGGGCTAAGTTCTGAGTATGAATTGAGATTTGAAAGATAAAGTGTGGTACAAAGGACCGGAATTTTCTCTATCTCGAAGAATCTGCTTTTGCCACTTATATTGTCCTGTAAACTCTGGAACAATGTGATCTTATTCCGATTTTACAATTGACTTGCATGGAGAACAGGAGTTGTATTGATGAATGTGTGGATCGTTGTCAGAGAGTAAACAGCTATATGATATGAGATGTCTTGATTACTCATAAGGAGAACGTTTGTACCTTGATGCTTGTATCTGTTCACTGTGTTGTGAATGTCCTTCGGGTACTCAAGAGTATGGCGAACCATGGCGGTCTCGGAGCTTGAAACAGGATTTAGAAATTGCCAGAATATACAGAGCTCCGGATTATAAGATCTTGTTATTTGGAAAGGCCGTACGAGAATCTCGAGAGTATCTATAATAATCTCATCGGCGTCTCGTCCCTACATGCATGTAGTTTCATAGCTCCAAGCTTTATGCGGAAGGTCCACGCGATATCAACACCAACAAGTCACCTCTGGTCTCCACCCACGGTCTACTCTCCTCCTATCACCCTACAAGAATTACAGACTTTCTTATCTCCAAATGCCTCGCCGCTTCAGACCGTTCACCTGGCCAGCTTTGATACGATGCACGTGATCGACCCCGGCTTAGATTTCCGCTTCAAGCTTCACAACCCCGCCAACCCCACTTTCCCCACGACCCAATTACGGTCCAGAGATCAGGTGAAAATACATCTCTCAACCCCCTTACTCGTTATGCCTCTCCTCGAAATAGCCTGCTTCAACATCGAGTCTGGACTCATCGCTCAAGCTGCAGGAGCAGACAGAATCGAACTCTGCAAAAACCAGCAGTTGGGAGGAACTACGCCACTTTTATCTGATTTCCAGGAGCTCAAGAAACATGTTGAGATTCCGATCAACGTCATGATCCGCCCGAGAGGTGGAGACTTCACCTACGATGTGAATGAGATACAACAGATGGGAGTTGAGCTTGAGTCATTCCGAGATCACGGGGCAGATGGCTTTGTCTTTGGAATTTTGGGTGCCGGAAAAGTTGACATTGAGAAGTGCCGAGATCTGATTGAGAAAGCCCAAGGACTGCCTTGCACGTTTCATCGAGCTTTTGATGAGATAGCAGAGAAAGATATGTTGGAGCAGTTGAACGTCTTGATGGAATGCGGGTTCACATCAGTGCTTAGCAGTGGGGGCCAGAAGAATGCTCAAGAAGGGATTGAGGTCTTGAAGAGATTAGTTGAGACTTCGAAGAGACGTATTGATGTGATTGTTGGTGGTGGAGTGAGGTCTACCAACCTACAAGAAATTGAAAGGGCCACTGGCAGTGGAACGTTTCACTCGAGTGCCATCGTTGATGGGGGCGAGGTTACGAGCAAAGAGGAGGTTGAAGCTTTGAAAGGCATAGTCCGAAGATAATCGAAAGACTTGTTCAACCGGTCGTAAGAAGTAGGAAGCTAGGCATCAACAGACGAATAATGACCATGCCTTCGATCATAGGGGCTCCTATCTATTTCCTACGTGCAATCACTCATGAGAGGGACATTGGTCCATACTGTCTGCTCCATGGATATACGGTCCAGCATGTCACGAAACATTGGATTTGGACCTACTACATCTTTCTGCAGAATAATAAATTCGGTGTCTAGAATAGTATTTTGTTTAGCGCTTGGGCTCAATTCAGACTCCACGGCCGTTCCACTCACGGGACTGAGGTCTATTGCATGCCCAAGGAGAAAGCGTCCTGTGAAAGAGTAAATGCTTCAAAAACCATGGGTATCATTGCTCAATTCCAAATCAAGGATTTCCATCAACTCCAAACTCCAACCTTACACGGACTTCCCGTACCAATGCTTTTGCTTCTTCGACCTCGACGCCATCCTGGCATAATTCTGTCGCTAATTGCATGGCCCGGGTATAGTCTCCGATCCTCATAGCATGCTTTGCAAGCCACATGCGTGCTTTCGAAGTTGCTGCTGTGACTCCGGTGCCTGTGTCACCTCCTCCACTAGCAGCAGCAGGCCGAGAGTCGTCATCAGACGATGTTGAGTCTGCGTGTATGTTTATCACGGACGTGTCCAAGTTGTCGGCCGTGCCCTCTTCCTGAGCAACACACATCTCCATATAAGACTTCGCCTCTCCATTATCGCCCAATCTCTCATACATACCAGCAATCTGGAGAAGAATTTCAGGATCCATAGCACCTCCCCGATCACGGCCGCCACTACCAAAAGAGCTGCCAACACCGGCATCATAATAACTATCAGCCAGTAAAGCTCGTTTCAGTGCTTTGATACCTTCCAGGTCCCGTCCCATCTTCTGTAGACACGAGCCTACTGCCATCCACATTTTGCCATCCCAAGGACGTAGCCCTGCGGCTCGTTTGTAGTACCACAGGGCATAAGCGTGCATCTCCAGAACTTCATATGTCTGACCCAAGCCATACCAGGCGCGGTAGTCCCTCCGATTGACGTCAACAGCTCTCCGATACGATTCTATGGCAGCGTGGGTATTCTTCAGCTCAATGTATTCGTGGCCCATGAGCGTCCATGCACTGAGGCAAGATCTGTCAAGTGTAAGAGCGCGCCTGAAATATTGCACAGCCTTCTCATGCGAGGATAGCAGGGAGTAGTAGTTTCCGATTACAACACACGACTCTGGTCGGAATTTGTCGACTGTGGAGCATAAGTGTGCTAGGAATGATAACTTGGGTCTCAGATTCATAACATAAAGGATGTTAGAATAGTGATCCAGACAGTCGAGTCGGTGAGGGTGCAGTGCCAGGAGGTTGCTAAAATGCGCATCGGCGGACACAAAGTCTTTCGTATGATAGGCTAGAAGCGCCAGGCAGGTAAGCAGGAAAGGACTAGTTGGGAAGATTGACAGTAGTTGATTGAGAGAAATAGATAGTGAAGGTGTCGATTGATAGAGTTCGAGGGAAGTGTGGAGGTGGAATATATAAGAGAGGATATTTTGAGGAAGAAGAGGCGAGATACGATTGAGCTACAGAGATGTCAGTAGGCACAAAGAATACGCACAAAGTCATCTCACATCTTCGACACGGCTTATCAGAGATGTCATCTCCAACCAAGAACCCCAATTCATAGGGTAGAGATGAACACTTCGAATCAACCACTGCATAGCAGCTTCGTTACTCTTGTCTTTCGCCAACACCATACCATATCTAGAGTTTGTCAGTATCTCTTCAAAATGTAGAGTTTTGTACCTACAAGTATTCCAGCCATCCCTGACTGCCAACAACCTCGCCATTCTCGGCTGAGTGCTCATGGAACCACGCTTCCAGGAACCGACTAATTATTACCAGCTGTTTGTTGACCACGTTTCCTCCATCATGAGGGCCCATGACCATCTCGCTATCTTCGTCTTTCTTCTTTTCTCCAGACATGTACTTAGCATACATGGCTAAAAACAAGCTTTTCTGGCTCAATCTTGGCAAAGTAACTCCAGTTGTGGAAGTTCGAGATGAGACCTTGGCTTTGCCTTTGGACAGGGGATTCGATGCTCCTTGATTTACCTTTGTGGATGCAGTCGAGAGTATTCCTGACAACACGGTGTCTGGCAAGAAAACTGCTGCGCATCGTTCATACTCTCGGCAATCGAAGAATGACTTTGCCAACAGATATTGATTTATTTCTCTGGCTTCAAGATGTGCTTCTTCCGGGTCGAGGTTTCCACTCACCACGATTGGCGGCAGACCTTCAAGGGGGACCTCTGTCATCTGGGAATCTTCCGCCTCGGATGCATTGTCTGCAGCGGGTATGGAGGTCAAAAGCTCGGCCGCCCTGAATTCAAGTCAATGGAGATCTCTCAACCCTGTGCTTTGTACATACCACTTCGCGGACTGATACAAACATCGTTCTGAGCACTTGACAACGGCATCCTGCAGTGCCGCACGCAGTTGCGCCGTTTCCCGCTCGTTCAGCGTCATGCTGGGCGGCAGACTTCTCTTTACAGTGTTCGAGCCCAAGGACCATGTATAAAGGCGTTAGATGTGCAGCTTGCTTATGCTCGTGCAGACTTTCTAGGGGCGGCCCGTTCCTCAGGCACAATAGATTTGACGCGTTGCCTTTGTTTGTTGTCTCGGGCGGCTGCCGATCAAGCTAGGACGAATCAGTGCGGATCGAAGCTCGTGGATCCAGGCTGCAATTCGGTGCTGGTATTTGGAGTTGTACAGGGCGTGGATGTTTTTACATTCGAGACTGCACGGTATATAGAATAGAGTTTCTGGAAGGGACATCGCGATGGGTCGCGCTTTCTAAAACTGCCGTTCTTCACCGCTTAACACCCCACCAAATCCCTGACCGCCTTCAAAACAAACAAAGTCCAAGCTCCAAGCTCCCCTTTTCCTCCATCGTCGACAGATTGCACTGCTCTACACGGTGCTGCTTGTCGTCTCTTTCCCTCTACCGTCCATACTTCTGCAAAGAGTCCACTGCTCAGTCATCTGAACATTGATTCAGCCATGGCAAAGACCACTACCCTCAAAGAATTCGAGTCGGTGTTCCCCAAGCTGGTTGAGGATTTGCTCGACCATGCCAAGCACTACAAGCTTCCCGAGGAGTTTGTGAACTGGTATAAGGCTGTATGGGTACTCCCTAGTCCTCCAACTTGCGTAGCTAACCAGATCTATTAGTCTCTTAATGCCAATACCATCGGTGGGAAGTGCAACCGAGGGATGTCGGTTCCTGACTCTGTTTCCATGCTTCTAGAGGCTCCCTTGTCCGAAGAGCAATACTTCCAGGCTGCTACCTTGGGATGGATGACAGAACTTCTTCAGGCCTTCTTCCTGGTGTCGGATGACATTATGGACAGCAGCATCACCCGTCGTGGCGCACCGTGCTGGTACCGACAGCCCCAAGTTGGAATGATCGCTATCAACGATGCCTTCATGCTGGAGTCTGCGATCTACACCCTTCTGAAGAAGTACTTTCGTTCACACCCGTCATACATCGACCTCGTTGAGCTGTTCCATGAAGTCACATTCCAAACGGAGATTGGTCAATTGTGCGACCTTCTCACTGCACCAGAAGACAAGATCGATTTGGACAACTTCTCGTTGGCCAAATATCAATTCATCGTCATCTATAAGACAGCATACTACTCCTTTTATCTCCCAGTCGCTCTCGCGCTCCACCACCAAAATATTGCCACACCAAAGAACCTCAAGCAAGCTGAAGAAATCCTAATCCCTCTTGGCGAATACTTCCAAATCCAGGACGACTACTTGGACAACTTCGGTCTCCCAGAGCATATTGGCAAGATTGGTACTGATATCATGGACAACAAATGCTCGTGGCTTGTCAATCAAGCTCTTGCAATCGCCACTCCGGAACAGCGAAAGGTGCTGGAAGATAATTATGGTCGCAAGGACAAAACAAAGGAGGCTGCTGTCAAGAAGTTGTTTGATGAGTTGAAGCTCGAGCAAATCTACAAAGACTACGAGGAGAAACGAGTTGGTGAAATCAGAAAGATGATTGCTGAGGTTGACGAGTCTGAGGGCCTCAAGCGGACTGTGTTCGAGAGCTTCTTGGCCAAGATATACAAGCGTAGCAAGTAGAGGCCCGCCCCCAACACGGGTACGGGTTCATGCTCGCGAATCTTGCTCTCCCTGTGAGCTCTCAAGGAAAATAATCCGCCTTGCACAATGGTGTTTATTGGGCATAGTTGTAAGCATTTCAGCTCTTTGCAGGTTCCTTGCTCATTATGCATAATACCACTGTGTTTAGCTTTTCATCCCGTACTTTCCCAATTCATTAATTTTTCTGGCGGGTGACTACCTTGACCAGCGAGAGCGCTCCGCTCTGGCAGCAGCCATTAGTAATATGGAAATGATCAGGCATGCATCCATCCACAGATGAAGATTCATAGTTGCTTTGAGTTCGGGGGCGTGCAACTCCAGCAACCTGAGGCACGTATTCGAAATACTGAGGAATGGTAAAATAGCTTGTGATTGGCGAATATATCCTCATATCCTCTCTATCGGGTCAACAATGGCTTACTCCGTTCAAGAATATGGTCGATGGTGAGGTCCAAAGTCCTAGGTTCCTCAATTTCGATCTTCACTTCTAGGTACTCTGAGATATGATTCCCCTTGCATCTGGCCTCAGCCTAATGTCAATTCGTGATTGTATTAAAAAGGCTGTGGAGCAAAGTGCGTAGTTCGGTCCACAAGCCTCGAGTTTGAATAGCACCAATTCCCCGTAACAGGAAGCGACTCAACATCGCAGCAAACCTGAACTGGTCTTCAAAAGTGAGAGGATCAACGAAAACGGAATCATACAAAATCATGCGACCTGTGTCCGCTTCTATATCCACTCGCGCTACAAATTCATCTTTGTTTGCAACCCTAAACTCGACAACTGCAACAGCAACAACATCCACCATTCTTGGAATTGGGGTATCGCACTCACCGCGCAAAGCAATCAACCAATGGCACAAACAATGGAGTTTACCTTGGAAGAGAGATTGACCATGGGAGCATCTATGCGCGCAGTGGCAACACTTTCAGCAACGGCGACAATTTTGGCCATTGCAGCGTTCTTGCTCTTCAAGGAGTTTCGGACATTGCCAAACACCTTGATAATTCTTGCCTCCCCTGCTAATCTCCTTTCCAACGTTGCCCAATTCATTGCAGAAGATGCTCTCGGAAATCCAGAAGGCGCAGAGTGTCAACTTCAAGCTTTCATGCTTGAATGGTGAGTATTTGAGAGACTTCTACTCTATTATGAGCTTATACTGACAACTAAAGGTTTGTACAATCGGACCCGTACTGGTCCTGTGCTGCGTCCATAACAGTTGGGTTGATCTTCTTTTATCGCTTCGGGCAAGAGGACATCAAACGACTGTACTGGTGGTACTCTCTGCTCTGTTACGGAATTCCCTTCGTTCTTGGGCTCGTCTGCCTGCTTGTCAACAACCACAACAAGTCCGATCGATACTTCGGCAATGCAGTGGTAAGCACCGGATAGCCATTAGATTCTTCTTATGATGACTCCCCTATCTCTAGGAGAGTTGAATGAACTAACCTTGCCTAGATCTGGTGCTGGATAGATCCAGAACACGCTGTAGCACGCATCTACCTCTTTTATGGTCCTGTCTGGGTAACAATAAGTAAGTGCCAGACTCCTTTGTTCTTCGTTCTCGCTAGCTGTCGAGTTTGCTTGATAGTGTGCCTAAATAGCGTTTCATCTTTCACTGTTCTTATCCGCAAGACTAATACAACTCTTTGTAGTCGTTGCAATCTTCTTGTACGTTGCCGTCGGAGTTCGGGTCTTTACAGCGCGTTCAAGACTTGATGGAGCAAGAAACAGTCCATACCACAGCGCTCTGGTCAAAGGAGCATGTAAGTTCTACTGATGATCCACAGCGTAAGTGTTCACTAATGAAGAATGAAAGCAAATGCCTCGAGCGCCAAATATCCGAGTCTCGGTAGTCAAAACACTGATGTAGAACGTGGGGCTGCCTCGATAAACTACCCGAGGCCTGCGTGCTCGACTTCGCCTCCTGTTTCATCTGCTTCTGCCTTCCAAGCCCGTGTCATTACGGCCAATTCAACCGAAACTCCTAGCACTGGAACTAAGAAGTTCTCTGCTAGAGTGAAGGAGTTTGCAGTCCGAACGCAAGCTCTCTTCTCGTTCTCTCGGGTTCGTACAACTTTGGATCGGTTGAAGTTGGATGAGGTCAAGTACAAATATACGAGAACGGGCCTGTTGTTTGCCATCTCAATCCTAATCACTTGTACGTCGAATTCGGCATTTTTTTGATATTCACCCCAGGAGCTGAGGTCTTCGGGATCATCCCCAAGAGCCACTTATCCAAGAAGATGGGTTCGACTTCATGGATAAGCTCATCGACTCCCATATCTCTACCAGAAGTGTGTACTGATTTATCTGTAGGGGTACCACCGTCGGTCAACCGTGTATATGGCATTCTGCACCCAAACAGTCCAAATACGTATGCTCTTAACGTCCTCGCGGCCATTGTTCTGCCGAGTCAAGGCCTGTGGAATGCGATCATCTTCTTCTCAACAAGCATCCCAGTATGCAAAAGGGTTTGGGCGGAAATCAGGGCGGGACGACGAGCGAAATTTGTTGGTAAAATGTTTGGTTGGAAGCCAGTCGCAATCAATAACCCTCTGGGTGTTCATGGCCTTTACAACTTGGTTTAGACTGTGCAGGCGTCGGTGGGATGGACTGTGGAAGAAGTGCTGTGCGATGAGTGTCCCTTATGGTAAACAGGATTCTGGAAAAACTCGACATTCGTGTCAAGGAAATCGTACTTATGGTTGTACTTAGAAGGAGCTTAACAGTCCTTAGACAGACATTCAATTTGCAGGTACCTGGCTCGTGACTCTGTTCCACCTCGAGTGGTAATCTAGGACGTCGAAGGCGGAATTGAGAGGCTGCGATTGGTATAATCCATGTCCACAAGAGACTTACGTCTTTACCCTGTGATTATTGACTCATGGGCTGCTATTTCTATTTCTTTTCCTGTCTACCATTTTTCCGTTTTGCATTTCTCGCAGTATGACTTTTGAAATCAAATAAACTTTGCACGGGATTGTCACGCAGGTGGGTATCGACAGGAGCTCACAGCCTGTAGTCACTCTAATCCTTACGATGCGGCGTCATGAGCCATCGGAAGTCTTCATAATATTTAGTACCGATACATAAATGATAGAACAAAGTTGAAACGTCAAGATTCTTCGAGTTTCGAATTGCATTACGTTACCCGTATCATGATCCAGAATTGTCAGAACAGTCAAAAGCTCTGCCGATGAGACCACTGGCATATGCATCTCTAATAGAGACTGCTACACCATACCTGCAGATGTCTTAGCACAGATTAACAGGCTTGTAGGAAAGATAACAAGTCGAAGTTCAACTTACGTTCCACCAACAACCAGAAACAGGCCAACAAGCAGAATCAAAACATGTAAGTAATAGACAGACTGTCTCTTCTTGGCTCCTGACCGGTACTCCTCGAAATCGTACATCCATAACAAAGCTGGGAAGATCAAGCTGAAAGGCGCAAAGCACAGTGATCCTGCAAGGCCGAGCAGATAATTTAAAATGGGGACGGCTTCAGCTATGATGAAACCGAGGACGCCTAATATCACGTTGGCACCAAGCCACGTCGTCCAGTGAATAATGGTGTTCTCTTGTAGACTACATCTTGTCAGCTTGACTTTTCTCCACTGCCATATGAGTACAATACTGACTGATGTGTGTTTCTCAAGATACGAACAAAAAGTAATTTGGCGGCAACGTGCTGATAAATGCCAACACCGATGACCAAGCCGGGCAACGCGATTCCATACGAGATCTTCTTGAACAATGTTCCAGCAGTCCCTAGACATTGTCATTTTCGAGTTAGTATACTTCTTTTGGAAATCAAGAGAAGCTCGGGATTTGCTCGGCTCCATTGGGGTCCTGCAGCGGTTGAAGCTCATGAGACGACCTAGAAAGGAGTTCAAGCTCCGAAGGGGTCACATACCGAAAGCCGGCGTACTTATCCACACTCCACACCAATGATAGATGACCAACGAGAATGTCAGGTACATCGCTCCAACCAGAAAACCCGCAACTAGGCAAGCCTTGCGATAGTCTCGCGGTTGTTTCATTTCAGAGATGACAGGCAAATACATCGACGAGCCACTCCCGCTGATGAAAATATTCGCACTCGCCGTAATCCCAGCTACAAATGTTGGATGAGCGATTGCCGCCCAACCAAGGTCAAAACTCCCAGTCTTGGGTGCGGCGGCGGGCCGGTTCTGCTGCGTTACCGCTACTACAAATATGAAAACTGCAATGAAGAACGTGAAGAATCCAATCCAAGTTAACCACCCTAGGCGGGAGAAAGTTCGCACGGATGAAAAGCCAGTGATCAGGACAGCAGCAACAAAGCTGAAGAAAATAGTGCACGCGCCGTGGTCTGAAAGTGCGTTAAGCGCCGTGGAGACCGAGACAATGCCAGCGGCTGTAATAAGAACTTGGGCTACAAGGATCTGTACACCGACAAGCTCTCTACCAATGCGACCCCATAGAAGTCCACACATATCCGCCAAGGCTAAGGATGATTGTCAGGGACAACGATGTCGAAACTTGAAATTTGACGAGTGTTACTTACTGTGACACTCCGGGTGTCTATTACGAAAATCCCCAAGTATGATAGCAGTGTCTAGGCATATTGTGTAAGTAAATGTCTGTCTTAAAGACATTCGTGCTGATTTCTTACAAGTATTCAACACCTCCCACCCAACGATGGAAAGTGCACCTCCCACTGCCCCAAGAGTTGCCACTGCAGCAGGTCAGCGCTAAGTTTTCTCTGTACAGTAGAGACTAAAGCCACGAAAAGCTTCTCCAGGACCCAGTACAATGAATGCGACAGCTGCAGTAAACTTACAAGCACCAGGGACGGCGAGGATGCTCATGGCGAACTGGATCTTTAGAAAGATGATGGTAGCCCGGGGCCAACTAACAGTGCGAAAATCAACACCATTTGGCGACTTTTGAAATATTTCATGTGCCTCCCGAACTTCTTCCTTGTCATATACAACACCTTCTCTGATGTTATGAGCCTCGATATTGTCTTCGGCCATGTCGGGTCCTGGTTTGCTGGAATGTTCCATATTGGACATACTATACCTTCTTGTGAATCTGCCATAAGGGGCGAACTGGTATTTGAATATGGGGACCCCATCTTTGGTATCGATTCCCGTACTAGGGCCAGTGTGGCCGCGATGTCACTTTCGTTATCGGCCGGCCGTTGGTCTCTGCATTAGTAGCGCACGCTTTGTCGGGTAAGACCCATGTTGTCGGGTAAAAGACTCCAAGTCTAGACATTGATAAGAATGGGGTTTAGGACAGATAGCACGATGAACAAAGCACAAATAGCAGGAGAAAATTGCACTGGGGATGTTTTCAATAGTTTGACGAATATTAATTATTAACAGTACGTACTAGCTTGCTTCTTTGTAAGATTATCCTCGACATGTTGGCTTGTAAGCTGAAAGATGGTACCATGATGGTTATATGCCGCGACTGAATCAGGTCCTGGAGGATCTCGTTCATGGCGACTTGTAGAACCACTGAGTTGTAACTAAACGAATGTCTTGCTACGATACATTGTGGCAACGTTTCGTAACGTTTGCTACCAAAAGTCCTCCAAAACAAACATACAAACATCAAAAGTAGAAATTTGAAGCGAATGGGCTTTCGAGTTTCCATCGTGTAAGAAAATTGCCTGGTTCCTGCTCGAGTTCTATTCCTTCAGCATTTATGAAGACATACCCGGAAGGTGAGAGACCCCTGAAACGTGTTAGCAGATTCACTTTAGTGAAATACGTCTCTAGAACACCTACATCCGTCGATGTTCTCTCCGACCATATCCTTGACGGTACATTTATTAGCAACCGACATATCCTGCTTGGTAATAGAGCCGCAACCGTCGTAGAAGCATTCGGACTTATTCATAGCGCGCTGGAGGGCATCACCCTTCCAGCCAAACATATAGTCAGCATGAGTGCCATATCCACTAGTGCCCTCAAAACTCCACACGAAAGGGTTCGGATCTCCCGATTTCCATAGACTTGAGAACTTGGTCGTGTCCCAGACGGTCTCATAGGTCACCTGTGGTACGCGAACGGGATGAGATGATGGGCACGGAGGGGCGTTGGTGAAACCGTCCAAAGTAATAGTGTTATACATGTGGGACTGGTGGTCAGGGCTGTCAAGGTTCTTGCCGTCCCAGCATCTAGGCACTCGGTCAGTATAGGAATCCTACGCACTGGGCATATAGATAGGAGCTACTGACGCAGGGAAATGGTGTGTAACAAAAATACCAGCTATTCAGCATGTCAGCTCTGTTAACGTGAACGACACCAGTGATCCTAGAACTATGAACTGTCCGCGACTGACGGGCAGACGAGTAACATCTGTTTGTTCTCTTTGTTCTAGTCTTGATACAGCTCTCAGGTCCAAACCACTCGTCCTATCAATGTGACTAATGTCGGGCAAGGGAGTAAGTTTACCTGGACATGGTTTGGTGGGAAAGTCCCTCATCTCTGGTCCTCGATTTATAAGTGTTGTGAGGCAGTTGTAACTTAGACCGATATGCTTTGCGGCTTGGGTAGCATTGGTTGTAGGGCTGCCGACGGTCATACGAAAGCCCTGAGGAACATTGACGTCTCAGAGAACAGACTCCTAGGGAGATTGTAGCATCGGCAGACTCACTGGCTTGAAAACAGTTATGGGCTGCTGCTTGAGATTGTCCCTCGACAGATCATATGGCGTGTAGTAGACCGTTATTCCACCTGTGGTGCCAGATGCGAGTGCCGCATTATTGACAACTGGCTGATGATGAATCAGTATGTGTTTTGAATAAATGACGAAGAGCACCAGTGCCAAGGTCTCTCGAAAGAGCGCCCCAAACTTTGTCTTCCAAGATTTATCTGAAACAAGTGTGGATCTGACATACCACTCGGTGATAAGAGCCATTAGTGGGGTGCTTGAAGTACATAACAGCAGTCCAGTAATTAGAGAAGTCTTCTGCCATCTGACAAGTGGTACAGCTGCCCCTGGCGCCAACACTAAGCCGAATGAGTTAGTCCTGTAAAAAAAAAATGGATGCATGATTGGACAGCTCAAAGAGCTTGGAGCTGCGAACGGATGCTCGTATAAGACAGCTCCTGAGGCCGAAGCTTCTATTGAACAAAAATGTATTATTATTTTGAGTATGGAGCCGGACTTACTCGCCAGTCATAGTAGCATTGAATTGATTACCGCCAACTACTCAAAATATTAGTGCGTGAAGCTAATAGAGATACTTGAGCGGCGCCCTAAACTTCAGAGCTGCCTTAAGACCTTGCATATGGATCGTGTCCATTTACTCGTGGCTCGGTTCCTAAGACAGCTCCCAAGTCCTGGCTCGCGTCGAGAAGCATCGATTTGATATGGGATTAGCTTACCGATATGGTGTAAATGAGAAGAGGGATCAGAGCCAGGCTGCACGACGGGATCAAGGCGCTGGATAGTCAGACTCGAGCATCCAAAACGAAGACCTGCCTGGACACTCGCGACGAACGCGGCGGCAACGGAGAGCGACTTCATCTCAGCGGTGATTGAGTCTCAGCAATGTACTTTCGCAGAGGCAGACGGCAGAAAGGAGAGAAAGAAAGACGAGGAGAGAAGCAAGATGTGAGAGGTAAAACACGACTGGGACCCCCTCTTGTATATGTGTACTTGCATCCTACAGAGTTTCGGTATTTAATGTATGGCATCTCCAAGGTGTCGATCTAAAATATGCAAGCGAGCTCCTATTCGATGCATTTATAAACACCCATAGCACATGACCGAACCTGATATTGGGGTGAGGTCGCATTGCTGTGTTTTATGGTCGATTGAATTCTCGGCCAAATGGCCAAGAATAACCGGTCACATTGCGATTGATATAGTGTTGTGCTGGCTGCTTCGGCACGTGGTGTCGGCAGTTGTAAATACCGGATTGTGGCAGGCAAGTTTGCGTCGCAAAGGATGCAATTTGAAGTTCAGGATAAAGAGGAAGAGAGAATAGGGGGTGCTTTGAGATTTGATTACTAAGCGAACGAGGAGTGTGCGAGTATGATCTTAATATCGAAAGTATAACCAACTGGGTTCATGCAATTCTGGCAAAAGCTCGTTTATTTGCAGCTCAAACTGTCGTTCTTGCAACTTTTGCAGGAATTTTACAGTGATGTAGTATTGCTGATTTGAGAAGGGCAATGGGCTTTGAATGATCAGAGGGCAGGTTTTCTGTTCTGCTAGCGACGGAAATCACTGTATGCAAAGCAGTTTCTCTGAAATAGTAAGCTCATAAATCTGTACCTTTATGATCTATATTGAAGTCAGAAACAACATTCTTGGAGACTTGTATAATGTTAGCATTGGTATATCCTTTGCCGGCTACGCAAGCCTCCTTCTACCGTGATCGTTCTCTAGGAGTGAGGAGGTAACGGTGTTCCTCAAGCAATGACCTTATCCACTGTCTACGTACCCTTTGAGAGCTAAGCCTGTTTCAGGCTGCAGCAAATTACACAAGAATGTCATTGATGGATTGCCTAGTGGAGGCTTTATGATCGCGGGCGTGACTTCACTATCACTCAAGCCAATTCCCTCTGTACAATCAAACCTGAGATTGGTGCCACGGCAAAGCTTTTGGAGGTCGAGTGGGCGAGCTGGTTCGAGTTTAAATACTCGGAATCCGGAAAATTCCTTGCTCGAAAGGTGATAAATGAACTTGGCACTTGTTCTTTGCAACTGAGAGCGCTTAATTTTTTTTTTTTTTTTCAATTTCTACCCAATGATGTAGTTGAATTTATAAATTTGAGGTTGAAGTGATTTGATATATGGAGTTGAGATCATTGCAGCAGCAGTATGGGTGAGTCTCAACATTGGTTGTCGTTTCGACAAGTGTTGTATGGATATGAAATTCAACTATATTCAGACATGCCCACTAAGTAGCTATCAGAGAACCACCTCTTCCAGTATACTGCAGGGATCGATATTTCAGTTCCCTACAAGCCTGTTGCGCCTGGAATCGGAACAGCGGTCTCGGTGTAGTCATTTTGAGCTCTGTCAGAATCGATGTTCTCTTTGTGGCCAAATTCCTCAACACCACCTTGAGGAGATGCAAGGGTATCATTTGCTCCTGGCCTAGAGACTTGAGCACGAACAAATTCTAAAGTATGAGTTTGACTCAAATTGCGAACGTCATCTTGGCCTGTCCGAGAACCTTGGGCGAATACTCGTGATTCGCCATAACCGGTTGTACCGTCGAAATCGACATCCTCAACATGGTGAGCAATTGAAGAGACAGGGTGTTTTGGAATCAAGATCTCATTTGTTGACGCATCAGAAATTTCTTCAGTTCCGATACTCCTCTTCTCTTTTTCGGTGCTGGTAGGTTTTATCAGCACCGGGTGATCTAGATCATTGATATCTAGCCCTGCTAGCATTTCTCCTGCCTTTGTAGTGGGCACCATATCCGCGCATCCCTCCCAATTCCCCAACCCCAGCTCCTCTTGGGTCAATCGATGGAGCTGTAGGGTGGCATTGGTGTTCCATTCTAGGCGTGCATAAGTTTTGTACTTGCGTCGGTGTTGCAGGCAAGTTAGAATCGGGTCCAGTATGAAAGAAACAGAGATTATGAGAATACTGAGGATATAGGTGAATAAAAGTCCGAAGAGGCTGAATGAAGCGTATGAAGTACTTTGGACTTTCTGTGAATCGTGTTAAAATTGCAAGTACATAGTGCTTCAATAGACAGCATACAATCACATGAATTGAATTCTGGCAAACTTACCTGGCTGTTGCATAGCTGGCGCTCTTGCTCGTTCTCAGGACTCCATTCGAATTCTGACTGTTCAAGCATGGGGTCTGAGGGTCCAGACGCGACGTCCACGAAGATCGCTTGAAATGTAGCGAGTATTATATCAAACCAATATGATACGTCAAGTTGCCATTGGTTTAAAGGCAGAGGATATTGTATAGAGTTTATCAGAAGCGACTCAGACGTCAAGACTTGAGCTCCAGGCAGACCCGCAGCAATCATGTTAATATCAGCACCAGATTCAGCTAGCATGAGGTATATCCAGACGAAGACCGAGCCCAGTTTTGACGTAGAGGATGGCCGAGCTGTATAGTTAAGACTAAAGTCTTCTGCCGTCATATTGAAAATCGAAGCCGTTCCAGAGACAGAATGATAAAAACTTGCCAGTGGTCCGCATTTGCCAGAAGAGCACCACTGGAATCGTTCTAGACTTGATCAGTATTCGATGACTACCTAAAGGAGGGAATATCATTGAGAGGTAGTGTAAATTTAATCTAGTCGAGACATAAAGAAGGGTCACTAGAACCGGTAATGTAGGGCGGCTGCAGCCCTAGAAACATTTCTCGACCCCACTATCGTCGCATTCAAGGCAGTCAATACGAAAACAAGGCTCACCGAGACATCCCATTGGACTCCCTGCTTCTACAGGGATGTAACCATTTGACACTGCCGAGGGAAGCTCTGTGTCTGTCAATGTCGCAGCGTATCTCGTCGCCCGATACCAATCGTCATCCATTTCATCGTAGAAGATAACACCATTCCCAGCAAGTAGTATGATAGACACATCTCCGTCAGATCGAAGAAGCTGAGTAATAAGGATGAATGACGACCCTGGTGCAAAAACTTGCCCTTGATACGTCACGGATTCGGCACCACTAATGAAGACAGGAATTAGAACACACGGTAATGTCAACAAGAAGCAACATGTCAGGGACTGAATGAGAAACGGTATCATTCCGAGCAAGTGGGCAGGGGAAGACAAGTTGAGTAAACTTACTCACCTCAACCGGTAACTCAGACCCTGATTCGCACTATCCATAGATCCAGTTCCTAGCCCCAAATAAGAGTACTGAGCCTCCAGACTCGGAAGGACGAATGTGTAATTCGCCACGGAGTCACCGGTAGTTTCATTGACCAATGCCCAGGGGCCATAGTTATACCCCACCATAAGTCTGGAATCAAGAGCAAACTCGGAAACACGAAATGTGGAATCTGCTTCGAGACAATTCTGAGCTCTCGACACGGCCGGCAACGGAAGTGGGCATGCAATGCTCTAACTTTGCAATAAAGTTGGTCTCGCAGCTGTCCTAGCACTTGCTGTTCCTGCTCTGGTTCTTCTACAAACCATGTTTATCTGGCGTGGTGTGTTGCCAAATGATGATCTGGATGCGTTCAAATCGGGATGAGCTTTTATCCCATCTCTCTAGGAGGTTCAAGCGGCGACGGGGCCGATGCAGAATTTGTTGCCTTGCCATAACGTGAGGAGATATTAGTATCCATGATCACTTCACAGAGCCATCAGTAGGTATCCACTTTCGACCTGCAAGATAGTCGTCCCATTGACCCATGAAGCCATCCTGGACATTTCATATTATCCCTTTGATCTCTAGATGAACTCAACAATCGAATAGCTCGAGATGAACGCGGCGACAAACAGTTTCGATTGTGTGCTCCATTTCAGATCGTGCGGTAGATGCGACGAAGTTGCTCCTGGAGGCAGCAGATGGTCGAAGAAGTCAACAGAGCCGCATGCAGAGTCACTGAAGGATCCAAATGAAATTTACTTCAGTCGATAGCCACTGGCGAGGTCAAGGTGGAGAAGGGATATGCATTAAAGATGCAGGAGGAATTTGAGGATGTCAGATCGCTCATGCCTTTTCCACTGTTGATAGGACGAGAATATCGTTGAAATCTCGACTCTATGAGTACTAATGAAAGACTACTTCGTATGATGCTGCTCATGAAGACCCAATTGTTCGGTTTGCAAGAGTTCACAGGGGTCGACGAGGTTAGATTAAGGGGCAGTCCCCGGATCGCCGGATCCGGATTGGTCTGATCCTAATTTGGATGGGCTCCTGGAGTGAGCGCAACCTTAAAAGATGCACTTCCCTTCAATTCCCCGTACATTGACGCCGATCTCAATAGAGAAGCAATGATCTTCCGGCATTCGTTGGATTCTATGACCAACTTTACACGGGCCTGACTGCGAGAGATTCAACCTGTGTCTAGACAACGATATGCAAATTACCACTCCCTGGACACCTGCAAGGAATGGCAGAGGCTTCTCTTCCCAGAAAATCCGTGAGGTCATAGAGTAGATTGTTCCAGAACCACGAGTCATATTAGGAGTCGATCCTCTCCATTCTTAGTCTCAAGTAATCTCACTGGCGGCCTTGAGCCAAGCTGTGATGTTTCTTCACGAGCCTCATTTTACTCACTCGGTAATCGAACCATCATAGGTTGAATTGGGCGCCAATCACGGTTTCCCTTTCTCCGAGCCCCGCTGTGCTTCAAAGAAGATGTTCAATGGAGGCTGGTTCGGAGCATTCGGACAAAGCTGCTCTCAATCTCAAGGTAATTTTCCCTTCAGTTGTTGAGTCTGTGTTGACGAAACATATAGCAAGCTACTGGAATGAAAGTACAACAAGTTTCGGATGCGCGGGACCGGACACCATCGAAAGTTTGTTTCAGCATACCATCGTCTCTCCACCGTTAGCATAATCTCAACAAGGCAAGCGCAGTGAATCTTTGTCCCAAGGCTGATCTGGTTTGCAGATGACCGCTCGGGCCGGATACCAACTCCATAATTTCTCCTTTCCTTTGACGCTGAGCACTGAAAAATCGTCTATTCTTATTAATTTGTCAAGAGAGGATCGTGAGTCTCAGATCTACGTACCATCAGCTTGCTTCCATCGATCCATCCTGGAAACAGCAATCTCCTGCTCTATTCATCTTGGAATGCATATTGCAATTGCCCATTGGATCAAGGTTCCGACCATGTTGAAGTTACTGTTCGGAACCATTCTAGTGAACCAACATCCCTGATATGGTCTTCGGTTTCGATCTGGGGACGTGCAGCTGAGGCAGTATATAGTATAGAAATTCCCTGCTTGCACCTCTTCTGCATCCTCATCTGATTTCTGTTTCTATTTCATTTACTTCGAGAGACTCACTCGTTACGGTCCTCGTCGTTCTGTCACTCGCTTTGTTGTCGTTCACCCATCACACTCTCTACAGTTCCACTTGTTCATTCGAAATACCTTCATAATCTCGTCAACATGGTCAAGAAAGTTACCATTCTGGCCATTATGGTCGCATTAGCCTCGGCAGCTCCAATCGCCAACGATATGTCACCAAGAACGTTCCCTTCGTTAGGTGGCTTTGTGGCGTCTTCAGGTTCAGTGACTTCAGGTCTCACTACCACAAAGGGATGGACCACCGGCGTTGCCAGCTCTCTCGAGGCATGTGCAGTTGGTGTAACTTCTGGTAAGTCTCTATCTTGGAGCAGTTTCTTTTTATCGACCTCGTTCCTCGAGTAAACCTTTTGGTAGGTACATTCTGACTGAGAATTTTTGACAATAGGATGCGTTGAAGACAGTGCTAAAACAGCTCTTGCATCCTGGATCTCTGGTGCCGGGGCTGCATTCTTCGACACTGCTACATGCAAAGAAATCAAAACATGGTGCACAAGTTCCTCCGATGTAGTCCTTGCAGCCTGGGCCCAGACAGCCATGGAAGGAGCACTTGTCGCCGAGTCCTCTATCTCTGCCGCTGGTGGAATCTTGTCGTTTTTCAACGGTGTCATTGAAAGCAGCTTTGAAGGAGAATCTTGTTCTTGTTCTGCTTTGGGTTCAGGTAAGTCGAAATTATTTCCCGACCTGGCACGAGACTTTATTTCTCACTGTCGACAGGTGACCTTGCATCACTCTCTGCATTCCTCTCCGGTTCTACTGGAGCCGCTCTCGAATCTGTCGAAGCTACTATTTTCGGCTCCCTCAAAATGTGCGCCTCTGGTGGTATCGCCGAAGTTCTCAGTAGTTCAGCCCGTGCATCTTTATCTGCATGGTTATCGGGACCCAGCTGCACGCTCAGCGCAGACCTGATAGGATCCATCGAAGGGTGGCTCTCAGGAACTGTCAGTGGTGGTGCTGCGGTTGGTGGAAGTAGCATATCTGAGTCAGTCAGTGGTAATGTTCTTAGCAGTTCTGCTATGGGCTCACTATCCGCCTTCATGAGTGAGTCTGCCTTCGTCGATCTTAGCATAGAGATCAAACTTGGTCTTTACGCTTGCTCTGCTGGTGGAATTTCTGCTTCTCTTAGCGGTGCTATACAAGCCTCCCTGTCCGCATGGTTGTCTTCGTCTTCCTGTACCATGGACGCTGGTCTGAAAGCTTCGATGCAAGCATGGCTTGCAGGAACAGAGGGTACTAGCACCCAGGTTGGAACCTCTGTTGACGCCTTTGGATACATCTCTACGGGTGCTTCTATCGCTGGCAACTTCAACGCTTCTGGTTTCATGACCGCCAGTGTCCAGGCATCACTTTCTTCCTTCTGTGGTAGCTCTGCTGGCCTTGCACTCGACGTCAGTATCCTCACTTCTCTCAAGTCTTGCGCATCTGGAGAGCTTTCGTCTTCTCTTGAAGTCGCAGCAGCGAGCGCCTTAGCGGAGTACCTCGCCTCTTCGTCCTGCACTCTGGAGGCTGAGATGCGTGGCTCTGTCATTATGTGGCTTTCTCTTGGTATTACTGGTGCATCCGGAGCGTCAGCTGGTGTTGGAGCTGGAGCAGGTGCTGGCTTTACCATTTCCACTGAGATGGCTACTGAGTTCGCTTCAGCTGTATCTGCTGGCTTCAATTTGAGCTCGAGCTGCAAGGGTTCGATGGGCGTGGCCATCTCAGGCGAAGCTGCCTGGGCTGTTTCTATCTCTGGTCGTGCTGAGATGATTGCTTACTTGGTCTCTGGCGAAGCTGCAGGCTTGAGCGCGGAGGTTGAGACAGCCATGTTTGGATGGCTTATGGGCTCTGATTGCAGTGGTGGGAAGACCGTGGGCTCGTCATCGTCATCTTCTGGGTCTTCCTCTGGATCATCGTCCTCTGAATCCTCCTCTGGGTCGTCATCTTCCGCATCATCTTCAGAGGGGTCATCTTCAGGATCTGAATCCAAGTCAAGTGGCTCCAGCTCAGGAGAGGAGGGCTCTGGCGATGAAACTTGTGACGCATAAATTGCAGGTCCCGTAACTCAGCAATGCTCCCTACCATCGGATCTCGTCAAGAATGTCCTTTGCTTCATGGAGATAACTATTTTGCTGCATGTTGGACAACTACTGTATAATATTGTGTACACATACTGAGTGACACTTATCCTTAATATGTTTATTCTCCCTATCACCAACGTTTAATGCTATCGACTTTGATTTTCTCACCTATTTCTCGATTGGTCGTAGTACGACTTCTCTTCCTATCATATCGGAAGGATTCTTCCACTCGTGTAACCAATCCCCTTGCTTTCTCTCGAACATATCAGAGCGCCATGTTCGTAAGATTCCTTGATTGAGAAATCGACCAGCCAATCTACCGGCGCTACGTCAACTCCTCACATACAATTGATGGGAATTTTGCGGCAGTGGAGCCTGCCAAGCCCTGCGAGTAATGCACGAAAGCCGGGGTAGCTTCTAGTAACCTTCTACCCCGCAATGGCGCGAGTAACCTCAATGGCTTGACCGAGAGCGATGTAACAAAAGCCACCGAGATTTGCACCTTATTCCCGGTTTGGTAGGGTTCGAGAAAGATGTTGACTAGGATGTTGGGGGATCATTGTACCGGCAGTCGTATGGTTCTTTCTTATCTTTCCCTCATTTTTCTAATATACTTCTATCTCTTCTTATTTTCTTTATTATTCCTACTGATGGTCGAAGAATCTGCAGAATGGCAATATTCAAGAAACAGACTCTGAAAACGAAGAATGAGAAGACGAGGGCGGCTGAATTAACGCTTCGGCAGTCAATATACCCGCTCGCTTTGGTGACCATTCTGTTCTTTTTATGGGTACGGCTACACCATTTGAGATATAACAACCGTTCACTGACACAGCAGTTCAGGGTTTCTCATATGGTCTTCTCGATACCTTGAACAAACATTTCCAGAACACACTTGGAATTACGAGAGCTAGGTCTTCTGGACTTCAAGCTGCCTATTTCGGGTACTTGACGGTATTCCGAATCCATCAAAGACATTGCTGATATAAAATTAGCGCATATCCTCTTGCCTCTCTCGGTCACGCAAATTGGATCCTCAGACATTATGGCTACAAGCCAGTGTTCATATGGGGTCTCTGCCTCTATGGCGTAGGAGCGCTTGTCGCTTGGCCGTGTATTTTGCATCGCTCTTTCGGAGGTTTCTGTGCTGCCATTTTTATTATTGGCAATGGATTGGGGTCTCTGGAGACAGCTGCCAATCCATACATCACTGGTGAGTCTCTTCTCCGCACAGCAGCAATGGCATTGGAGCTGATGACCTCTCAGTGTGCGGTCCACCTCGATACGCTGAAATGCGAATCAATATCTCTCAAGCATTCAACGGAATCGGAACAGTCGTCGCTCCCGTCTTGGGTTCATATGTCTTCTTTCTGAAAACAGCAGATGATACGCAAGCTTTGAAGAATGTGCAATGGGTATACCTAGCAATCGCTTGCTTCGTCTTCTTGCTTGCCATTGTGTTTTATTTGTAAGTCTCTCACATGTTCTAATATTTCAAGAGGATTTACTGACGATCCTCAGCTCACCGATCCCTGAAATCACAGACGCAGACATGGCTTTCCAAGCAGAAGAAACACACGCAAACGACGACATCAAGCCTTTCCGCAAACAATATCGACTCTTCCATGCGGCATTCGCTCAATTCTGCTACACAGGAAGCCAGGTAGCAATTGCGTCATATTTCATCAACTATGTTACTGAAACGCGCGCAAATACCGATTCTTCTCTCGGTGCGAAATTTCTTGCTGGTGCTCAAGGTGCTTTTGCTTTGGGTCGATTCACAGGTGTAGGCTTGATGAAATACATCCGGCCGAGATGGGTTTTCTTGTTTTACTTGACGATGTGTATCATTTTCATCGCTCCCTCAATCACGCAAAGAGGAAATACGGGCATGTCGATGCTTTACATAACCCTCTTCTTCGAGTCGATCTGCTTCCCAACCATCGTCGCACTAGGCATGCGAGGACTGGGCAAATACACCAAGAGAGGCTCAGGGTTCATCATTGCTGGCGTCTCTGGAGGCGCTTGTGTGCCTCCTTTGCTAGGAGCAGCAGCAGATGCAAATAACTCGACAGCAATAGCGATGAGTGTCCCTCTGGCTTTCTTTGTGGCAGCTTGGAGTTACTCTTTGTGCGTTAACTTCGTGCCGAGCTATCGTGATCCTGCAGATAAGTTTTTGACGACGAAAATTGGAATTGAGGGTGCCGGTGCCGGAGTAGTTGAAGATGAGGAGAGTGGTGTTGGAAGTGGCCCAGAGAAGGCAGGTGTTGTGGAGAAAGAAAATATTGGTGAGCATGTTGACAACAGTCCCGAGGTCAAGATAGGGTGATATGATAAGTACGGATGAAAGACTAGAGCGTGTACTTAGTGTAGCTAGTTAAATCAACACAATCTCGCAAGTCGCAAAAGAACTGCCCAAGACCCTTTTCTACCCCGTACATTACAAAGCCCAAACTCAAGATGTGATGTTCAGACAATATCACTCTTTCTTGCAGAACTCACTTTTACGAAGACTTTGAGTAGGTTCCATGTCAATAGAAACAAGGGCAAGAAAACCAAAATATGCACAAGCACCGCTTATCGTCCAGTACAGCACCAAACACTATTACTGGCGCTGGATGGAAATATCTTCTCTTCTCTTCGCTACATACGCCACTGTAAAATTCACCTTTTGAGCATCAGAAAAACTAAATACATTAACCAAATCCTAAGTTTGTGCAAGCATAGCAAATGACTTCAGGAAAAGAAGAAGGAGTAGCACGTGATCATTATAAAATTTCCAGCTCACCTCACCTTAAGTAATTGTCTCAACAAATGACGAGGACATCAGCACTTAGGCTCATAAGAAACCCGTTATCTCCATATACGATAGACGAGCAATGATGTAAAAAAAAAAGGAGATGTCCAGAAGCTCACGTGATGCATGTAAATCTGAAAACTTTCTACCCCTTCCTCTTTCAGCCGCCGCGATAAGGATGATGGACGGCACTTGCCATAACATACTGACTCCATATTCTAGACCCTCTTAGCTTACTTACGCTCTCGACTCATTATGCACTAATTGCTCAGCCCAGAATATTCTCAACCGTCAAAATGGTCCAAATGTTGGACATCACAGCAATTTGATATTTTTGGGAGCTAAAATCTTACATCTGTTGGTACAATAATTGTTGGTGCACCCCGAAACGCATACCTGATTGGCGATCTCGTACCACGGTTATGACCTAACATCTGATACATTGTACCTCCGTACATATGCTTCCTTCGTTCTTCTCTTCTCTCTGTTCGTGTCTGTTTGAATTTCTCTAATCGCGATCGACCTTGGATGATGCTTCTCTCGACTATTGCATTATTTTGCTTGTCGTTTGCCAGTAATGTCAAGGGACAAGAGGATGCGCAAAGCCCGTTGACTCCTGATGGCGGGAGCGGCACAGCATGTCACAACGCGGTCAGCATTTCCACTTCAGATGAGAAAGAGTTCTTACTGATGACATTCAGTGCACAGCTCTCGTGAATGTTCTCGGCGAAAAAGTTCATTACCAAGAGATACCATCGTCGTTATTCGATGCTTATTTTTCCACCCAACAACAAGAAGTTGTTCCGGCTTGTGTAGTACTTCCGGGTTCGGCTCAAGATGTTTCACAGGCCATCAAAGTCATCACTCAGCATGAGTGTATTTTTGCCGTGAAGAGTGGTGGCCATGCCATGTTCACCGGCGCTTCGAATGCGCCTGAAGGGATCACGATTGACTTGCGAAACCTAAATAGCCTGCAGATATCTGATGACAGAAAGATTACAGCCATTGGGTCAGGGAATAGGTGGCTGAACGTGTACGATTATCTGGACCCCTTCAATGTGACAGTAGTGGGAGGCCGAGATGTTGATGTTGGAGTGGGAGGCTTCTTGTTGGGTGGAGGGATATCATTTATATCTCGTCGCCATGGGTGGGGACTCGACAATGTCTACAACTATGAGGTGAGTTGCCTAAATGAACCACGGAAACATCAGCGCTAAACTTTCCTGGTAGCTGGTTCTGGCCAACGGCTCAATTTCCATTATCCATAGGGCTTCGAATCCTGATCTTTACTGGGCTCTCAGAGGTGGCGGCAAGAATTTCGGTATCGTAACTCGTTTTGACATGTTCACGCATGTTGATACCGAGATGTGGGGTGGCGTCAACATTTTGCTCTTGGATGATATGCACGATCGACTTGCTATTCTTGGGATTCCGCGCAAGTTCGAATGGACTACTACTGCACTGATTGGAAAGACAGCAGAGTATATCAACAAGCTCATATGCAAAGTAGGCTACTGCATAAGCGTTGATGACGTTGCAAGTATGCTTGGGGAAATTGCCCTTGAGGCTGAGAACGACATATTTGCTCACGCTTGGGCTGTGCCCATCTTCTTCTCTTCTAGCCAGACATATCTGATATCTGCTGAGATGAACCACGGAAAAGGGGTGGAAGGAGCTCCTGGATTTGGGGCTCTACATCGGGCGAAGAAGGTGTATAAAACGAATCGAGTGGCTCGTACAGCTGATTTTGCAAGGGAAATCACAACTTTGAACACCGGAGGCCGGTATGTAACGTTTGCATGACTTGAGCTTCTACTGATGGAAATAGCTGCTCGTATGAAACTGCAACCTTCAAGCTCGACGCAGATCTTCAAAAGGATATCATGCATATATATATCGAGGAGACTGAAAAGATCAGGCACCTAAAGCACTTATTATCGAGCATACCAATGCAAATCATCACCAAAGCCGAGATTGCGCACTTCTTGAAGAATGGATCGAATTGCCTCGGACTGGATCCCGGAGACGGACCATTGCTGCGTAGGATTTCTCACGTGCTCATAAGACTTCTTGCTAACCCCAATGTCAGTACTAGAGACGGCCATGCTTTGGACAGATCCAAAAGATGATGCAACAGTGCTCCAAACAAGCAAAAACATTCTCGACCGTTCCATTGCACTTGCCAAAGAACGTGGCCTTCACCATCCTTTTCTTTATCAGAACTATGCTGGAAAGAGACAGGATGTATTCGGATCCTATGGAGAAAAGAACTTGGCACGATTGCGCAAGATTCGAGATGAATACGATCCAGATCATGTCTTCACTAGACTTTCGCCTGGATATTTTAATGTATAGATAGATATTTTGATTGAGGTTTCAGACTCAAGAGTCTTTCTTTGCTGACTTGCTGTCCTTTTCGCCGTTCTTCTTCTCGTCTTCTATCTCACGCTTTCGTTTCTTGATAGCCTCTGGAGGACTATCTTCAATGAGGTCACTTTTGTTTTGCATCTCGCTCCACTTAGGAAGTCCATCTGGGATGTCGACTAGGCGCTTGGAGTAGAACATATGACATCTTGTCTTGTTAGCGACCGATGTCTTAAAACGCCCCTCGCTGCTCTGTTCCCTCACTTTACAAGCTCAACTTATTTGACCCTCCTCAACAAAAGATGAGAGGGGCAACTCACGTAGGATCAAAGTTCTTCTTCTCCTCCTTACTCTTGAACTTAATCAAACTCGGAAACAACAAAATCATATTTCGTCCCTCATCCATGATCGGGGAACGACAATAGGCACATGACACCTTGCAAGGAAGTTTGTGGCGAGTAGTTTTCTCGCTGCTTTCGTACCAGCCAAGGTCAGAATGACCGTGGGTGAAATTGATGTCTGATTTGTGGAATATGGCTGCCCATTGGAACGGTGCTCCTGGCGATCATTAGCTTTGTAGAAGTCCCTTTTTCTCCTCGTCAACATTCGCTTCAAATGCCCAAAAGACCTTGAAATCCAACGTCCACCGCTTCAACCTCCATTGTCTACTTCCATCCACAACCCCGCAGGACAAGATATCTCAAACTCACCATGCAAAACCTGGCAGGTAGAACAATGACAATACTTGGCATCAAGCGGCTTCTCCCTACTCAGCTGATACCGCACCCGCCCACAATGACAACTCCCTTCGTATAACGCTTTAAAGTTCTCATCATTCTCGTGTACTTTGTATGGCTCGCGGAATTTCCACTCGTTGTGTTCGCCATCGAGATCGGAGGAGTTGTGACCGCCTTGTTTAGCGGCGTCTTTTTCGCGGGTGGTGGGTGCCATTTTGGGGACTGTAGCGGAGAAGGATTTGAGAGTTTGAGAGGGGATGAAGAGAGTGTGGTGAGGAGTGAGGAGGGGTGGAATGATATGGTGTGATTTGCGAGTGAGAAAGCTGTGTGACGTATGTAAAGATCTACAAAGTCTCGTTAAAATGAAATGGGAAGAAAGCAGTCGCATCAATCACAAAGGCATCAAACAGAAAACACAGATGAAGACGAGACAAACTCAAGGTCGTGTGAGGTCTGAGTTTGCATTTATTTCGTGCTGATACACTAAATACATCTCGTCACTATACAGGGGCCCTGCCGCGTTAATCAGCATTGTGGGGTCCTGTTCCTGCGCAAGTCCGCTCGATCATACCCTATCGGTGTATGGCTCGGAGCTTAACCTACGCTGGTTTCACGACAGCTCATTCTTTGCTCCGATCGAGCTGTGACGTTAACACTTTTCCAGATGCACTACCGGTAGCTTAGCCTGAACGGATAGCATCACGTGAGGTCAACTGGAAATCGAGTCTTGTCTGTACTTCGACATGCTTCATCTCCTTGTTGATTGTAGACTCTTACAATATCCTGATATTTTATCGAGCCTTCTGCTTCTGAGTGATCAGTTGCTTGCTAGTCGCCGTGTCGTAACCGAGAACGTTGGTAAGGTAGTCGAGACTTCAGCTATTGTCAGTTTTCCTTCACTTCAAATTAGACAGGAATTACCTTGCTTCTGCTGCAAGCCTCTCCTTCCTCTCCAACATTCGCTTCTGACACTCATCCCACTTTATCGCACGCCTCTTCGGCGAAATGGTCTTAATGATCATTTCGAAAGACCCTGTCACGGGTCTATGATCAGAGACTCGTACTTCATGCCGACGATAATCTAGTTGCTTAACACGATCTTTATCTCTGCCACGATACATCAATCGGTCACACCAGGCCGGGGATCGCTTTTTCTCGCTGCTATCATAATTGTCGGTCCCTACATCATACTTGTAGGTCGGCGCAAAAGTGATTGGCATTTCTGTAAATGATCTCAATTTGAACCATGGGTTCTTTCTCTTTGACGCAAGTAATTGGTCTCTCTCTAATAACTTGCTCAGATTGTTTGACTTGACCGCACTGACCACTGTATCGCGACCCATAGTATCAATACGGTAGTTGAGATCTCCATTTAAGACACAGATTTCGTGATCCAAGATCATGGTGCCATCACCGCCACCGATGTAACTATCTTGTCTCACACTGTGGTCTCTTTCAGCTGGTAATATAGAGCCTTCCAAAATCGCAGTGATATCGGCATTCCGATCTTTGGTCTGAGTCTGGCCTGCAGCAAGATGGCAGTTGATGAAGCATAGCGAGGTATCGTCTAATACGAATCTAATGACCAAGGCTCCCTTGTTGCCAAGGGCTCCACCCATTCCACGTTTGATCTCGGCAGCGCTGAGACTCCTGATCCGTTCCCGCAGTGAAGCTCGAACGAAGATGCAGGTGAACAGACCCACGAGATGTGCAGTGTGAAGTAGGTGATAGAGTTCATCGCGAGGCATAAAATCGTCCAACGTCCGAGTCAAGAAGTCTCGCCAATCTCGATATTGATGACTCATGTGTTCTTGTTCCGAAGGGTCTTTCTTTTTAGACTTGAAAAAGCTCTTGGTAACTTGCTTTTTGTCTTCTAGGTCCACAAGTTCTTGAAAGCCAAAAACCAGGATATCGGGACATCCACTACCTTCAATAAGGCTGCGAAAGAACCTTGCATCCTGGTCCGAATGCTGGAGGTGGTACGGTGTCGTAGCCCCCGCATTCCATGTCATGACTAGCGTTTTGATGGGATTCAGCTCACAGAACTCAGCCTCTTGCGACTGCATTTGAGTTTCAAGCCAGTCTTCTTGAAGCAAGCCGTCCCAGATACGTAGCATATTATCTTGCCCAAGCGAAATAACCTGTGCTCGCTCGAGTGACCAACAGCTGCTTTGATCGGCTAATAACTTGATGACTGGATCTTGATGGGCTTTCCAGTCTTTCTTGACCAGCCATGGTGATTTCGTGGTATCGTAGACATAGACCATGCCAGTACTAAAGCCTGCCCACAGGTAACCACCAACACCGGCAAGTGTTGTGATCTTGTAAACACTAATGTTCACGACGCCAAGACATGAATAATCTCGCCGTGAGTATATGCTGATCTTTCCGTCCGTATGACCGAAGTAGACCTTGTCAGGCTGCGAACTTAACGTGGTGCCGGATGTGATGTCGCCCGTATTGGGTTGGTTGAGAGGACGCTGGAGGACCTGAAATTGCGTCGAGCCATCCACTGTCGGCACGAACACTCTAATATCTTTACCTGTAGCGTGCCATAACTGATCGCCAACTACCATTGAGAATGTGTGACCTTTCGGTACTCTGAAACTTTGAGTGGGGTTGGTGAGATTCGGAGAGCCAGTACTGTCTGCCCACAGATGCAACGTACCGCCATCATCTAAAGTCCACATCTCCATCCGGTGCCTGTAAATCTTGATGATATCGCGACGAGTATGAGAGCTTGTGTTACTTGCAACAACACTTTGAGTCCGGACGTCAATCTCCGAAAGCTCGCCGGTATTGTTTCCCAGCCAGACCCGTGTGCCCTCGTCATTGATGTTCGACGTAGGCTTGAAACCAACAGAAATGATTTTGATACCCTCTGTATGCGCGAGACTGGCCACAATTTCTCCGTCAAGCAAGCTCCAAACTCTCGTCAAGTGACCTGACGTGCAGACAAATTCCCCACAAACGTCAAGAATTCTCGTGTCATACTTGGTGTATATTTCATGAGCACCTTGTTTGAAGAATGGCGGCCGTCGATTCGAACGGGAGGCATCCGGATACTCTCCTAAGTTCGGGTGTAATTCTTTAATGATTGACGTAGTCGGAGGGACGTCAAATGACGCCCGACTATCACCGAGAGGTGTAATTGGCGTCCGAAGTTCAGCTGGGGCACGGTCAGAAGTTCTGTCGACTGTCATTGATCTTCCGTGTGTCCTTGGAGGTGTCTGCAACTGGGTTGTTGGAGTCGAAAACACTCTCTTGGGTGGAGTCGCAAATGTTGTTGTGTTTTCACTTATTGTAGTCACAGATGGACGTGTTCGGTCCATTGAAGGATGTGGGGGAGGTGGCGGCATCATGGCGTTCTCATGATTTCGAGCTTTTGACATCTCCTGTCTGGCCTGAGGTCGAGTAGGTAGAGCTGGTCGTTGTTCTCCTGTTACCTGAGGTACAATTATGCTTCGGCCCAATCCATTTGTCTCTTGATCCTTTCTCTTAGCTATGACGGAGTAGTGTACTGGAGGAGGCTCAAAACTTTGCTGAACAACTGAAGCTTTTTGAGCAGGATTCCTAGGTCTCGGTTGTGTTATAGGGGGTGGAAGCTCATTCTCAGGACTAGGACTGCTACCACTGCTAGGAGGAGTGCTAAAAGGTGAGGTTTTGTCGATGGCACGCTGTGAAGAAGCAGGCTCAAGTGTTGTGGCCTCTATACGGAATGCCAATGACATTGGCTTGCTGGCAATTTTGGGCTTCTCAGCTCGATTAACAGGTGGAGGCTGGCCTTTGCCAGCGGGTGCTTCCCGTCTCAGCTCGCCCGATCTTCGAGGTGGTGGTGGTGAAGGAGGTAGAGAGGCCGGCAATCTGGGGGACTTCCCAGGTCCAAGTAGAGGAGTTTGAGGCCGACTTGGGATTCTGAAGTGTCTTGGAGAAGAACCCCCAGATGTTGCTGACAGTGGAGTCTCCGTGGAGAGGTAGGTGGGAGTACTTGACAATGTCAAGTTCATATTCTTATTCTTGGGCGGTGACTGAGGCGGCAAGACCGTTACAGCTGGAGGTACAGTAGATAGTGGCCGTGGGCGCAGAATCCTGGTAGGAGAGGGCGACATGTTGGCAGAGGTCGTACGGGGTGGACGAAGTCCAGCATCCCCAGTATCTTTCTCCCTGCCCCTCGTGGCCCGCAACACATCTCCAAATGGTACATCTTCTTGTCGCTCGTTTGGTGACCTGAATATATCCCTGATTCCGTTACTGATACTTCCACCTGTTGGCTGGGGTGAGAGGGCTTTCGATCCAAGATTATTATTCGGCTTCGCATTTGCCATTTGTTCGAAGTGGGAGCGGAGAGAGGAGACGGGTTTCTAGCCAGACAGTCAGCATATGTAGAAAGAGCAATCCTCTATGCAGAGCATACTATGGACGAGCCATCAAGACTCTCCCCCGCCGGTTCCTCCATTGCGAAGACGTCTTACTCCAGTAAGGCTTATACGAGATAAAGTTGCGGGTCCATCTGGTTCCCGACCACAGCTGCATAGAATATGTTGCAGATTCAAACGAACAATCGGAGAGGAGACGTCGCGATCGCTTGTGGTCGATCATCAAGCAAGACCGCAGAGAAGGAGGGGCAACGTCTCGTCTTCAAGGGATAAAATCCGGGGACAGCGTGTGCTTTTTCGTTCACCTGAAAGGCTAAGAAGATGCGATCGCGGGAGTTGTTTATGAGGGCGAAATTAGACACCAGGATAGGCATCGATCGTCTTCAAGGGCGTTTCTCCTTTGTTGCCTCGTCATCCATGGAGAAAATAATTCAGTTTGTTGTCGTTGACAAGGCCAGGCAGGGTTATTCTGGGCGTGCAGGGATATGGTAAGTATTGCCGATGGGGCTGTCTAGCTCTTTGAAGCCACAGCATGAGATCACATCAGACCATCTCGGGTCCGGAAAGTCAACAAGAAAGAATTTTACTCTTTCTTCCTACACTGCATCAATTGTTGAATTGAGGATATCATTCGAATCAAGTTATCAAACTGAAATCCGACATCTGAAGGAGAGACCCTGCGAGTCCCTATTCTTCCGTTATGAATACTGTTAGAGACCCGTTTCTCCGTCTCGAGCTTCCTGGCTAATTCATTTTCAAGGTCAAATCTTTCTGGTATGGACCGTAGTGGCTCGAAGGCTACGAATCTCATATTGATATTCTGGCAATAGGGTCGGATGGGGCGCGCTCTGTGTCGGTTGGTCACCGACGTCACGAAAATGGATAATTATACTTACTTTTGGTAGCTGGTGGCGGCGCATACTACTTTGCGAAGAAGTCGATCAATGCGGACCGACAAGCTCGATTTGAAGCCGACCAGAAACGAAGACGGATACAGGAATCTCTCGAATATTCTCCCAATGTCCCGAGTCAACCTGGAACATCGTCAGCCATGGGAGGGTCTCTAAGAAATGGCAATGGAGGTCCGCCCAGAGCAGACCATTCAGGATCCCCGAGTCAAGAAGCAACGTTAGACCCGGCACCAACTCGCCACGCACCGGATACCGAAGGACAGAGGGTACGAGAGAAGAGCAAGTACGAAGCCAGCGAACCTTTCCGGGCCAAGAAGGGCGATAGATTCAGTTGAGACACTAAGTGAGGGAATAGATTCAATTGATCTGCCAGTAACACTGAGAGGTTTATATGGAATACACGAAGCTCGGAGGGTATGGTGTTGATGGAAGCATGGCAGCGTTGAAAACATGTACAAAGAAACGAATCTCCACTCATGGCATTTGGGCTGGGAACTGGGTATTATCCAAGGAAGCTATCTCGACAGCAGAAGGAGCGTCAAGCATGAAAGCCATAGGAGCTTCGTCAAGATACAAATAGGAAATCACAGTTAATAGAAGCTGCTCAGATGGTCTCAAAATACAATTGTTGTCCAGGTTCCTTGAATTGCTGCAGCCCTTGATCGAAATAGTTGTACATGGCTCGGGCATTTTTACAATAACCGACTTCATTTCCTGTCAAATAACCAAAATCTATTTGGATATTAAACCATTAGCAGGTTCTCAAAGTTCGTATTGACCATTGATACTTTGATTGCCTTTCAGTGCCTGTAGCCGCGACGAGGCTGAAAATTTCCCCACGCGAGGCATTCGCGTGTTCTTTCTCTTCATTCTCAACCCTTCCCTCCTTCTCTCTCCAACAACCACCACCACCGTTCTTAACGCTGCAAATGTCAGTCTCCATCAAGATTCAGTCGCGATAGCATGTCCAAGATGCCGTCGCATCAACTAGCCATTGCGAAGGCCAGCTTCTTTGCGGGCCTGCTGCGACCTGATCCTACCTCTCTTCCCCGAGACAGTATTGAGCACTTCCATTCCTTGCTCAACGCAGTCGTCCTTCAGTGTACCCCAGGAAACGTCCAGGTTTGATCATACACTCTATACGCTATGTCAACGCGATGGCTAAATGGCTGAGGATAGAAATGCAAGCAATGGATATTGGAGAACATTGCTCCATCTACAGCAAGATTTTCGGCATTGGTGAAATATTTGACAGTTCTCACATCTTCTTTTGCTGAGCCGGAAGTACAAACTGCTACGCTGGCAAAGCGCGGTCCATCAATCAAAAGAAAACGACTGCACCTGCTATACCTAATGAACGACGTTCTCTACCATTCGAAATATCGAGGCAACGATGCTTCAATATGCGGCAAAGTACAACCAGTATGCATGAGCTTGTTCGCAAGTGCTGCGTCATTCAAAGACTGTCCCAAGCACCAGCGCAAGATACAAGATCTTCTGGAGATATGGGAGGAGAGAAGCTATTACTCCAAAGACTACATTGACAAACTTCGCGAAACTGTCAAGAATGCGGCGGAAGCTGGAGAACATGCAAGTGGAGGCGTCGAGTTGACAGAGAAGGACCAAGGTAACTCTGGGAAAACCCCAAAAGCTACACCTTATGTTATGCCTGCGACACATGGCGATGCATCGACTCCGTGGTTCGACCTACCGGCCGGAAACCTTATGCCTCACATTGTCCCAAATTCAACACGTCCAATCAACCCAGAGATGATAAAGCCGTTGCAGTTTGTGGCGGGACCAGCCGACGAGGGTTTGATGTTAGCAGTCAAGGCACTTTTGGACGATGTGCAGAACATATATGGTGCAGAGGCCGAGCTCGACGAGAAAGCTACCATGGATATCGATGAGCTTGGACAACCTATTATTCTCGACGAGATCACTGGAGATGTACTTGAAGGTGAAGGATACTATGGATGGTCACGATCATTCTGCGAGAAGATGAAACGACGCAAGAAGGGAGAGCAGCCCGGAAATGGTGATGACCGCGAGCGTAGGAGTCGGAGCAGAAGTTCTAGCCCAGGCATGAGGAAACGACGGTATAGTGACTCAGACGGATCGGATGAACGCAGGTCTTCCAGACGACGACGGTCATATAGCTCTTCTCGAAGTCCTACGCCAGATCGCAGTCGGCGTAACGGACATACTGGTCTAGGATCTAGGAGTAGGTCTCGTTCTAGACCGTCACGACCGGCATCTCGAAGTCCCCATCAGTCAGAACAATATTCTCGAAATCCACAGCCTACTCATGCTCCTCCTCCTCCACCACCAGGCTCTCGTGAAGGACTCCCACCGAGACCGCCTATGCCAAATATTCCACCGCCACCACCATTTCACCAAGGTTTCAACCCCAACTTTCCACCACCGCCACCTCCCCCTTTGAACAACATGCAATTCAATGGTCAACAGTATGGAGCATGGCCGCCTCAACCCCCAGCAATGATGCAGAACATGCAATTCAACCAGAACCCTCAAATGGGTGCTTGGCCTCCTCCTCCACCACCTCCACCTCCGCCTGGTAATCCACCAGGTAACTTTCAGCAGCAGCAAGGACAATATCCCCCATCCGGCCCAGGAGGTTGGCAGCAAGGAGGTAGAGGCTATAACAATAACGGCTGGAATGGGAATTATCGAGGAGGCAGAGGAGGCTACAGAGGACGAGGTTGGTCATGATCTCATACGGCAATATGCACCTTTTCATCAAGGCACGTCACTGCAATCTTTCAAAATCCTATTTTCGAAAAGAGTATCCCGAAAAGCGAAGGATCCGAGTCCACTATGCCTCGCATCCAAGGCATAAGTCGCTCAGCTAGGGTTACAAAAGGACCCCCCACGCTGTGCCAAGGGCAAGGAGCGGAGAACCCTGTATATTAGTGTAATATGAAGACCTGGGTAAAATACTCCCGAAAAGCGATAAATGTGCCTTCTGCAGCCGTGGTTATGCGTCTTATGCGTCCGTGAGAGAAAAAGTGACTAGTGATGCCTCATGCAAGTGCAGTATTCTCGGGATTTCCAGATTCGTGTTCCCGCTCCTGAGCGCGGACCCCGAATTTACGAGAACATGAGACGATTCTTGCTCTAAAATCTAGATTCTAGAGATAAGGATGGCTTCATGTGTACGGCGTATAATTCAGCTCAAGATAATGAAAGCGGCTGAGGAAGGCACGGTTCGTTCTCGGCTTGGAGTTCGGCTTTCTCGGCTTGGCTTACCATATGGCGAGGGGCCGAGTCGAGCGAAGGATGCCGTGTGGACATTAATGGGGGCTTCCGTATTTGGGGGCGCGAGTGATTTGAGATGTTATGAGGTAATAGTGGGGGCAATAGAAGCTTGCCCGTTATTGCATCAGTCCAGGTGAAGTCTGATTTTGGTGAGGTCCATGGGTTGAGAACGAGGATGAGATGAGATTGAGATGCTGTCAGTTTGTGTCTGCTTTCGCTCTGTTGCATTTGCGAGCGAGTCAAGTGGTTTCTTTGATGATGGAGCTTAGCTGAGCTTTTGTAAGATCTTAGTTGTTAATAAGTCGATTGCGAATTGAAGCTTACTCTGAGTCGAAGTCACATGAAAGGTTGTTTCAGTTTTACCTATGCTTCTTCGTTTTGTGATGCAGTTGTTCTCAGTCAGATAAACTCTCCTGCATGTACCTTATTCTATCTGTCCTCATTTCGGTCTATCATATGGAGGGAAGAGTTGCTCTCACACTAAAGTACTCCATCGTACTGAAACGCCTAGAGATAGCTCATTACTTTATCTTAGGCACCTTTCGTATCAGGATCAAAGATAGGCTATGTTTCAAATAGGATTCAAGCCGCAGTTAACATCTCTTTGGCTTTTTCCTCTTCCTTCTTGCGTTTGGCAACCAAGCTTGTTTATGAGTCAATAACAAGGCTTTAATCTAATCTTGTCAATCTCCCCTATGCCTTGTACCTATCAGAAATTTACAGATCAAAAGTTTCAATCCATCCAAAGGTGCGAAGAAAGTGATCGTGCATTCATCGTTTGATCAAGAAGAAGTAACTAAGCAGAAGCTCGATCAACAAAATCGCATTCAACTTCACTCTAAATACATTCCTTTTTTCTTCACTAAGTAAAGGTACACACATTTTCAATTTCAGATTCCATTTTGGACCGTCCAAAGACTGAGCAGCTATGTTGTTCATGATCTAAAGCGAATGTTAATTGCGGGTGCAGTAAAACTATCTCCCAAAACCAGCACTTGTCCTATAATACCAGTAACGTAGAATGCGATTAGAACTTTCACTTGTAACCACAATTGAATGTTTCATTAAATCAAAACATCACGGATTGTGAATGTTTGTCAAGAGGCGAGCTACGCTATTGAAAGCCGAGGTTCGTATCACAAGAATGGGGGATAGTCATCCACTGGAGGTCGTAATTGCGGAACTTCAACCGGCATCACCCAGACCCTCAGATAAGCTTCTGATAACAGTTTTTCTTCCAAAAACCAACTCAATTCGCCAAGTAAAGGGGTTATCGGCCATATCGGCGGTATCAATAACTTTCCCCCAATTCTCAGCCTCCTCCGTTCTCGCGCAGTTTGCATTGATTATTTCTTCCTTCAACATCCAAATCAAATTTTCGCATAAGGGGACTAAAGCCTCGCACCCTACCATGAACGCGACCCAACTCATCGCCGAAGTGCGATCTTTTCGGGATGTCTCAGTCTCCCGCATCGAACCTCCTCTCGCGGAACTCCCTCACCCACTTCCCAAAAATGTCACGGGAATTGCTAAGCAGGTACTCACTGAGGAAGAGTTGAAAATCACTAAACTTGATGCACCGGAGTTATTGAAAGCTATCAGGGACAAAACGTTCAGTTGCGAAACCGTAACTAGAGCTTTTCTCCGAAGAGCAGCATTAGCCCAGAAATTGGTTTGTCCTTCCCCTTCCAGTCACACATGTCAACTCCAAAGAACACAAGAAAACTAAAGCAGGAACCAGACAAACTGCCTAACAGAACTCCTCCCCGAAAAAGCCATCGCCCGAGCAAAATACCTCGACACCCTCCCCACTCCCTCAGGACCCCTCCACGGCCTCCCAATCTCCATCAAAGAGCACCATGGCATGAAAGACACCACCACCAACGGCTCCTACGTAGCATGGATCGGCTCCCCGCAAGTAGGGCCCTGTGCCGTGCAGGAAGTTCTCTGGAAAGCGGGAGCGGTGTTTTATGCTCGCACCACGCAGCCGCAGGCTGTGATGCATTTGGAGACTAGTACGAACATTTATGGTGTTACAACGAATCCGTGGAATACAGACTTGACGCCGGGCGGAAGTAGTGGGGGTGAGAGTGCGTTGATTGCTTGTCGGGGGAGCGTTTTGGTGAGTTTTTGTTCCTTTGGTTATGTGTATTGAAGCTGATGTAAATAGGGAATGGGTGGTGATATTGGGGGCTCAATACGATGTCCTGCTGCTAATACGGGTATCTATGGTTTCAAGCCAACTCCTGGTCGGATCGCCAAGCAAGGCTCGTTTAATGCTATTGTTGGTCAAGAAGGGTGATTTTCCCATTTCGTCTTATCCATCCTTCCTGCTGGAAGAGAACGCTTCTGACACAATAAATTAGCATCATGGCAACTCAAGGCCCCATGGCGTCTTCCCGCTCTGGGTTAGATTTATTCATGGAGACTTACCTCAGCTACCAACCTTGGATAAAAGACGACTATTTGGTTCCAATTCCGTGGCGACCTGTTTCCCTCCCACAAAAACTCAAAATTGCTATCATGTGGTCGGACGGAATCGTGACTCCTCATCCTCCCGTCACCCGGGCTTTGAAGTCTATTGCTAAGACGTTGAAGGAGTTGGGGGCCGACATTGATATCGTGGATTGGAAACCGGAAGGCCATGACGAATGTTGGAATCTGACGCAAGCTTTATATTACGAGGATGGAGGGAGGACCGTCGAGGAGTTGATCAAGAAGGGTGGAGAGGAGATGTTGCCATTGACGAAATGGCTGATTCATGGGAGTGAGAATGTGAAATATAGGAGTGTGGAGGAGGTTTGGGATGTAAGACTCTCCCTGGTCGACCATTGGAGGTCATGGCTAACGGCAAACAGCTCAAAGCAAAGAGGAATGCTTATAGGCTGCGGTACAATAATCTATGGCTGAGGACCGGAGCAGATGATGGGCATCCGGTCGATGCGATTATCTGCCCTGCTGGACCCGGCCCTGCGCCTCCACTCGGCAATGCGAAATATTGGAATTACACTAGTCAATGGAATTTGCTGGAGTATCCAGGCGCTGTGTTTCCAGTCACATTTGTGGACCAGGATTTGGACAAGAAGGATGCAAAATATGTTCCGATGAATGAACAAGACAAGTTCAATTATGACTTGTATAGTCCAGAGAAGTATGTCGCTGCGCCAGTCAGTCTCCAAATTGTTACGAGAAGATTTGAAGATGAGAAATGTTTGAAGATACTAGAGTTCGTGGAGAAAGCGATGGGAAGAAAGTGAGGGGTCGATGGCCAAAGTATAAATAAATGCAGAATCACCAAGAGGAGGAAAGTCCCATCACAAACATAACATTAACGTAACTACAAATAGTGCACATAAACTCATCGGGATATTCCTAGGATCAGAACTGGACATGAAAGAACACTCGTTAATTCATGGAACACACACACAAAGGCAGGTACTTCCTACCTAAACATTCCATCATTCAAAGCCGCGGCTTGAAGTTTCGGGAAATACTGTGATTCGTTAGTATTGACTTTTCGGCTGGAAGAAATTGAAGAACATACAGGGGTCCCGAATCCCGACACTGGGTCCCATCCTGTCGTTGCAGGGAATCCAGTAGTGTTGCATCCAATCGCGGAACCGTTCGTGATGTCGGTGAATGCAGTAGAACCAACAGAGTAGAGCCAAGGGTTCATAAAGCCGAGGACAGGCTTTCCAGCTGCGAGTAAAGCGTCGTTGACGAGGGAAATAACCGAAGCGGCAGTTGGACTTGAAGCGCTGTTTTGATCGTCAATATCTACATGAATACGAAGACACTAGAGCATTTACCTTGTTCCATCGAGGAAAGTCAAGTTTCCATTCCAGATCGTCGCAAATCGAAAGCCCTGAGCTGCGATATCGGGATAACCGCGTCCAGAAGCGTTGTACAATCCTTGAAATTGTGTCCCCAGACTGGTGATATAAGCGGGTACCACCTTATCCTGGTACGAAGGTCTCGCGAAATAGTTGCTGAATCCGCCTCCACTGGAGAAGCCGTTGGCAGCATCAAATGCTACTATCTCAGGAGAGATGTTCTTCGTGCCTCCAACAGAGGTGATATATGGCTAGGTATGTTAGCATAACATCAAAGAACAGTGCCCAAAAGTGACTCACACAACCAGCAGGAAATGCAGGCAAGAATGAGCTTGTATTCTTGCCATCGTTTGTAAAGCAGTCTGCACTAGGACCAACGCCATTATCTCCACTGGAAAATAAAAGGGTAACACCTCTTGCTCCTAACTGGGCAAACCCATTGCAAACAGAAGTTGCAAAGGACAGTGGAACAGTCTGTTCATCGTCACCGTAAGAGGTACTAATGACTTGAGGAGTGCTGTTTAATGCCAAGACGTAATTGAGCCAAGTAAGATACGGCTCATTCGTGTCAGTTGGAGTCAGAAGGTCGGGCACGAAAGGTGGAGATCCACCAGTATTGAAGGTGGTGAGGGGAGTAGGAAACGTGATGCCAAGGATGGTTTCAGCGTCAAGGTTGCCTTCGAGATCTTTTCCTGCGGCATTTTCGGTTGAATTGTTGGGAGTCTGTTGATTGTCACCGTCGGCGACGATCACAGTGGTGAAATTAAAAGCAGCGCCAGCTGCTTCTGGTCTGAATCGTGTGAGGAATAGATTGACATCAGAACGATTGTTCGCCTCAGAGAGGTAGTTTGTCAGGCCGATCTGGTTCTCTCCAGCAGACTTTGGGGTATAGTCGATGGTACCTAAGATTATTAGCGATATAGGTCAAGTTCAAGATCATGGAACTGACCGTAAAGAGTCCGTAAACACGTAGGGGTTACGTTGGTAACATTGCATGCTTGATCAACGGTCGCCTTGCTTTGAGTATCGACAGGATCCATACTATACTGGCTCTGGTCCACGTCTGGTAGTCTCATAAGAGTCGTTCTCTTAGCTCGTGGCTGGAAAAATGAGTTGGTTGGTTGGATAGTCTCAATGTGTTCATGCAAATGCATAGGAAGAGACCATTCAGGAGTCCGAACAACGTGTGATCCATCTCTGTGTCGAAATACAGAGTACTGAGTATCAAGCAGATCTTCCACAGTCGATACCGGCAGTGTAACCTTAATCCAGTCTTTGGCGTGGCTGTACTCAAGTTGATCTTCGGTCACTCCATTCCCACACAGCCAGTCATGGACCTGAGCTAGTGTTTCATCTGATGGCTTGACAAGCCCAGTCACCTCAGCTTTTGACAAATGCTGGCCATATCGAGGGTGAAATGGGTCAGAGACTTATTCAAAGTTAGTAATGGTTTTTGAAGGGGAAGATCCTGAGTATAATCATGTGACTAGTCTCAATGTTTTTAAACATTACCTTCATACAAGTGACGTTCGAGCTCATTGAAATTTCCCTGCTTCACACCTATGTGGAGTTGGATTTTATGCTGAGATGGAGCCGGTCCAACTCGAGTCCACGACCTTGGTACAAAATGTCTCTCCTTAAGTGCATAGTCTGCTCGACGTTGGGGAGATGCTGAGATTGTGCCTGCACACGCAAGCAATGTCATCAAGACATTGCGAAAGATATGTGATACCATGACGAGCAGCTGCTGTGGAGAGGGACCTTGCAGCTAGGACGTCCGGGTAATGCAGAGTCTTTATCGACTAAAGAGATGAGAAGACCTATCTATCAGTAGAGTATATTCATATAATCAAGAGTTGAAGATATCCAAGCATAATACTTTCCTGTGCCACGGCCCTTGGTCACAATCTGTAGGGATAATGGTCGGAGATGTGTTTCATCCAATGCCGGCACGAACCTCTCCGATTTTGGTGTTATCTTGTCATAGATCTAGACGATATGATAAAGGAAGCATTAAGACAGCACAGCTGAGATATTGACATGTACAATGCATTAAATGAAAAGCGATGGAGCGGTTGAAGAAGATCGAAGGATGTTGATATTAAAGTCGCACCGTGCAGAGGCGAGGATACCGTTTCACGTAACTTTACGCGTTTGGACCTCGGCCAATGATACTGTGAGGCAGCTGGATGAGGCTAGTCTATTTTTAGCACCTCTGCTGAGATCATCTCATTTCACAAGTACTCTGTACTCGAGTACCTGCCTGTAATCAATTTCTAAACATCAACCACAACAATGCTTCGAAGCTCGAATGATCACGAATCCAAAGGCACAGATCATGTGGTCCAATTTCCGAAGGAGGTTCTTATCGAGATTCCTCTGTTAGCGCACTTCTTGATCCTTCAGTGGCGCGATTGCTTTTGATTTTGGTATTGACGAAATGCACCATGACTGCTGGGGACGTTCTATGAATGTAATCAACAAGGCCACTCCGTGAGCGCGCCATCCACACGATACTGGGAAAGAGAGTTCTAGCCCAGCATCGATTTGGCCGCAAGCGTATGCCACCAGCACTGATATCTACAGGCTCCTTTCACAACCCCGTTTCCTCTTATATACCAGGTTCGTTGCATCTTGGACCTCTAGGTCTTACTTTTTGAAAACGAATAAGATTCTAGATTCCAGGTCTGAACACGATGCTGGCCAAGTGGCTTATTGGCCCTACTAGCAGACAAGCCTCCGATTCAATGAACACGGGAGGAGACGGGACGTCAAGCCAGCTTGTACCTATCAGGAGGACGTTTGGGTGTTCTCTGGACGTACAGTATACTTGTTTCTAAACCGATGTCTCGATGGAATCAAGGAACATTCAGCTCAGCAACAACAAAGTCTGCTATGTCCCTGTCAAAACATCCCATATCAGATGGTCAGGTGGTATTCGTCTATACAAATGTCTAGACTCAGACAACTCAGGGAGTGAGGTTCGTTCCAGTTCAAGGCGATATTGATTGCGGAAGACCTCGAATATGTCTTGGTTGTGTACACAAATGCCCCGCTAGGTTCTGGTGGCATTCGGAGAGAATGTGAATGAGATTTGGTACACAACAGAGGTCGCTCGCACTTAACCTTCCAGTCTATAGAGTCCAACAGAAACACAGAGGTTGCTCCACAGCAACGGTTTAGATGAAGATGTCCTTCCTTTCCCACGACCCGGGTGGGCGTATGCTGATTAAGCGGGAAGCGTGAGAGCTATTGAACACGGGTCGGTTGCTACCTGTTCAAGCAGATGTACGGGGGTTCAATCAATTCAGTTCTTCAGTCCTACAGTCCTACAACAACACAGAGCGCCTTATACGTCACAAGTTCCATGAGTCAAGTCCGCAAGTCACGTCCGAACAAGTCAATAAAACCATGCGGTGGCACGACACTCACGGGAGGGGTCGACCTCATCATCTTGCATGCTCAAAGGGTCCATACTAAGTTGGCCACGAAAGCCCGCGAAGTTGCCCCGAATCCCTGGAGCAAGCGCCTTTGACGACGGTATTTGCTTACAGGCAGGCAAGGCAAAGCGCAACACATTTCGCTATCCCACTTTCCACGACTTGCCTATCTGTTTGACTCTCTGCGCTGGCCCACCACAGCACGATCGGCCCGCGAATAACCACGCCTCCCAGACCCTCTTAAAGACGTCAAGCTACCTTTTTCATGTGCGAAATAATCCCAACTTGGATCGTAAAGCTTGATCTTCACTTACTTTCCTTACGGCTCTGCCCGCGTTAGGCGATGCGACTTGCTTTGGCTTGGTGGACACTATCACGATTCCACGATAGCGAGCAACACTGAGGGGCAGCGGCAATTCGAGGGGTCCTAAAAGCTGACGATTGGTTTCCTCCCACCATCATCACTCCACAACTCCCAACGCCGCCCGTCGCAACACATAAAAATCCCGTCAATTCAGCATTCAAATCGCTCATCAATTGCTTTCCATCCGCCCTCCTAATTCACCCTGACGACATTTTCCCACCCCTCGATTTCTTCTCGGCATCTCGCGCACGCTGCACGAACACAAGCACACGCACCTACAGCGTTCCCCTGGCAGCCTTCCGAGCCCCGCGATCACCGTAACCAGGGCGTTCATCTTGATTGTGTCTCTGTGAGAGGACCCCCACATTGGTGGCTTGCCCGAAACGCACGATTAGAGACCCTCTCATGCACGACGTACAGCATCCGGCTAGCTGCAATCTCGACCCTGAAGCTTCCTGTGCATCGTGAGTCGAGTCAAAGAATAAGAAGCTCAGCGAACCCCGTTGACCCCCCATCTCCATCCTGCCCTACCCTATCCGATCCTATACTACTGCCAGTCCGAGAATAAGCTGAGTTGAGACAACGCTGCACTATCTGCCTTGATTCCCGTCTCGTGCGCGTGGGATTGCTACTGCTCATCCCGTCTGAGCAGCTTGAGGGGGACTGACTGTATCAGCTGAGGGAGCCAGAAAGCTGCCCCCCATCTCTCCCCAATTCGCAACCTTTGCCTCACTCACGCACACCCTCCTCCTCGTCTCTGATTACCCCGCCGATGCGTTGCAAATCGTGCAGCCGCGCTCTGTCTCTCGACCTCCCACGCCAAAAACCTCACCATACAGCTGCACCTGCCCGATCGATTGTCGTCCCGTCAGCATCATCCATCTGAGTTTTGGCCAGCCGGGAAAGACGGTAGAGAGACTCAGCTTGCCGTTCTGGTATCGGGTGGCTGCAAGGCACTGTCCTGTTGAAGGTCAGGCTGCATACGACCCCGGTCGTTTGGTTCGGAAAGCAGCCGATTTGGGCATATAGAATCCAACATGAACGCACAAATATCCTTCATTGTAAGAAATCTCACTCCTGTCTTTGCGTGACTTGTGTGGCATTGTTTTGCTCGAGTTTCTTGCTTTTACGCGAGTCTCAGGTCCTTGTGGTGTCCTGTCAAGACATCTTCAAAGAATCGTCACTTTGTTTGTATCGACGAGGCTCCATTTAGTAGAGAAGTCGGATGTCTGAGGTGTCCATGTGAGAATGGACAATGTTTCTGCTCACATGCATCGATTGTCTCATACTATTTCGATCTTTCTACTATTGCCATCATCTTATATCAAGAAATACTCGCACACATGGGGCTTGCTTTCTCATTCATGTTCTCAAACATACACATCAGACCTGTCGTCGTATACGATACTGACGAGAGCCATGAGCAGGAGGGTCAATTCAGCCTCATACATATACCCTTGCAACTCTACTCCTCGCTCCTGCAACCTATACTGCGAGTCCTCCTTCCCCATGGCGGACCAACACATTCCAACGAGCCAGAAGGACTTCTCGAAGGTCTCTCCATCGACAACAAGCACGGCTTTCTCAATATCAGCGTCACACCAATCGAGTGCTCAATAGTCTGCCACACGTCCTGGGCCCAGAATGTCTTCGCACCAGTAATTTCCCGCCTCCCAAAAGAAGCCTCAAAACAGTGTCAAATCTCAAAAGACACCTATATAGTCTTCTCCGTCAGCAGCGCGGGAATGGAAGCCGGCCAACGAGTCATGGATCTCACTGCCCCCTTAGCCATGGCTGGCATCCCCATCTTCTTCATCACAACCTATTACACAGACTTCATCCTCGTGCCCAGCAAAGATCGTCAGACTGTCGGCTCAGCTCTTCTTGCACGGGGCTTCGAGTTCTCGGAGAATGACTCGGCGTACGTGGCGCCTACGCCTATGTCGCATGCCAGGATTCCAAGCACGACTTCCGACCCCCCGAGCACGCCGCCGCCGAGTAACGTTGCGGAGCTGCAAATCAGGACGTTCTCGCAGTTGAAGAAGAAGAATGTTGTCCCGTTTGTGGAACCGGGATTACATCTCGTGCAGTGTTCTGGGAAAGAGATCGTACCCGGGGATGATTACCCGAGTCGGAATGGAGCCAATGGACATGTGAGGAGTTGGCTGGATAATATTGATCCGAAGTTATACGTTGGGCTTATATCTGCTCTTAGTCAACAGCCTCGCTTCCTCTCTTTGACCTTGGCGCAAGAAGATGCTCCTTCTCTCCTCATCGATAAATCGCTACTTTGGCTGTTTGGGAATAGTATAGCGGGCGACACGGAGGGTGATCTGGTTCCTATATTCCTGGATCTGGTGGATTTGCCGTTAGAGAGCACGGGCATTGTTTGTGGTGTAGCAGGGAGATTGGTTGATGAGATGAGGTTAAACGAGCAGCATGAAACTAGTCATGGGAGCGAGCTTAGTTATCTGAGTACGGCGAGAGCTGGAGCAGTCATTTTGAGCAGTGAGGGGAGTGCAAGGGCTTTGGAAGCGCTGTTGCCACGGCTGGAGAAGACTGAGGTCTAAGTCCAACATACGAGAATGAGCCAGGAAGGAAAGAAAAACGAAGCCGGATTTTTCAGCAACTTCAGAAAGGTCGGAAAGCTACGAAAATGAACGAAACAAATACTCCCCTTTTCCCTTGTTCATACGGATAATTTGCATGGTTGGCCGGAAACCAGGATAGATAACTGGGACTCGGGGTTAAAAAGGGAACTGGCTGCATTGCATGGTCGTTGGATCTTTCTCCGGATTATTTGGATGGGTGGTTACTATTTGATTTTAAAAACTTTTTACTTGCATCTGCGCGGAGTTTTGAGTTTGAGTTTTGTTTATGGCCTTGAGGTTGAGGAATAAGACCAGGGGAAAAAGAGATGGAGAATGAGATGGAGAATGAGATGGGGGATATGTCTATCTGTGTAGATATCCTTGGCTGGTATCAAGATGCGTTGCGATGTGGTGATTTGCGAATGCAAGAATCAATGAATGAGCGTTTTACTGATTCGAGTTTTCTTTTACGAGCGCCTTTGAGATGTGATGAATTCTTTGTTTATACATTAATGTTAAAAATCTAGTGAAGTCGAATGAAAATGCTCTTAAGAAATTGGAATTCAACTCAGGAGTACAATAATTCTCATCTACCGAATTTGACAGGAGGCACACGATACTCAGAATATTCACTCTTGTACTCTCCAAGCAACCTGTACCAGCTCAACGAAGATATTCATCACTCCTTATCACTCACGAATCACAAACAGGCGTCTTATCCAGTACCCATACCTCACCATCCCAATAAAAGACAGCGATCACAGACCGGAGACTCTCCCGACTCAGGACTATCGATATTCGAAATCCCATTGTTGTCTGATCTACAGTACCGAAAGAAATATCTCGGTCTTGGCATCCGAGTTAAGCATAGAAGTCTCGATGACCTCATCGTGAGACCGATGAGTGATGAGCGGACTCGGATTGCGCGAGTTCAAGATGAGAAGATCAAACATGGTCTTATCGGTCTCATCTCTATCTCTATTCTTAAAATAGACCTCACTCGGTGAGGTTAGGAGACTTTCTTCCGAGATGAAAGGAGGTTGCAAGGTGATACAAACGCCACAAAAGTGAGACTGATCACCTGGAGAGCAAAGAATGCCTTGCATGCCTGAGGAGGGGTAGTGGCGGTGAAAGGATCCACAGTGAAGGAAGAATGCGGGGCAAAAACATGGAAATCGAACTTTGCGGTGTTTGAGTTTGAACGATGTGATTGGCGAGAAATCCTTGTTTCATTTGCGCCACATGCGGGAACATTTTGATGATGTTCGATCCTTCCCCTCAATTCGAACATCGAGATGGAGCTGTGCATCTGCGTCGACGGAGGATCAATTAAACCATTGTTCTTGGAATCAAGATATTGCTGTTGATGGCATTGAGATCCTACGTGATAAGTTGATGCATTTGCTCATTTATGAGCCGTTTGTGACACTCCAAGCTCCACATATCATCAGATCCGGGAGGTCGGCGCCATGACGTTGACATTCTTTCTCGATGGTGGTTCCATCACTCGCATCGAATCGAACTGCCCATGGCCATATCCTGCATACTAATACGAGTAAATCGGCTGCCTAGACGGCCAGCGAATACCAGAGCATCTGGCCAGTCGACCAAACAAGGTACATGAAGGCGTTAGTCACAGAAATGGCATAGCAGGGAAAGGCCAAACGCTCCCAGACCTGCAATTGATTCGACCAGACGAAGGGAGTGGGACAGCTGTGGCTGGTAATTGGGCGAGAGCAGGGGCTGGGGACCAAGAGCTTGAGGAGAAGGTGAAAACGTACCGCGTCATCTGCTACTGCTGTTTTTCGTAGCTGCATTGCATCAAGCTAGGTAGTCGAAAGCTACTTCCCCTCTCTTCATCGTCTCGTCGTCACAGCTTTCACTTCTTCATATTCTCTTCCACTGCCATCTCTACTTCGACAATCAACTTCTATAGCTTTGGAAGTATCACAAAACCAATACGAGGAGACTACGACAGCAGTTTTCAACATGATTTCCCCCGATCAGGTCATCGACGTCTTGAAGACGAAGGCTACCTCCAGCCTGCTGGTGCCTACCTCCTCCTCCTCTCCAACCCCCTTCCCCCAACCAACTGCTATCCCAAACCGACCTCACTATGAGGAAGTTGGTGAGACCGGCACGAAGACCCTCTGGGTAAGCACTCCACATCTACCATCTGCCAAATTAAGCTAACATCTGCAGGTTGTGTTCGTGATCATGTTGCTATCCAGCTTGGCATTCATTGCCATGTCATGGAGAGTTCCAGTTGTAAGTCCTATGGACCCTCGCATCTGCAAAGCATCTGCTAACTCCCTACTAGCAAAAGAGACTCTTCCATGTTATCACCACCCTCATTACCACCTTCGCTACCATCTCTTACTTCGCCATGGCTACCGGTGATGGAAACTCATACGCCCACATTGTCATCAAGGAGGCACACAAGCACGTCCCAGACACCTTCGAGGATGTTTTCCGTCAAGTCTTCTGGGCTCGTTACATTGATTGGAGTTTGACCACACCTCTCTTGCTTTTGGATCTTGCTTTCCTTGCTGGCTTGGATGGAGCTTCCATCCTCGTTGCCATCGTTGCAGATCTCATAATGGTTCTCCTCGGTCTCTTCGCTGCTTTCGGCCAGACTGATGGTCAGAAGTGGGGATACTATGCTATGGCTTGCATTGCCTACCTTGTTATCGTCTACCAGTTGGTCATCCCCGGCCGTCGTGCTGTTATGGCCAAGGACAGCAGCACTGCCAAGCTCTTCGCCTCCATTGGTGGATTCACCTTGATCCTCTGGACACTCTACCCAATCGTTTGGGGTATTGGTGATGGTGCTCGTAAGTGGTCTGTTGATGCCGAGATCATTGCCTATGCTGTTCTCGATGTTCTTGCCAAGCCCGTCTTTGGTTTCTGGCTTCTGTTTGCTCATGCCAGAAATGCTCAAAGCATTGAGGGATTCTGGAGCAATGGTCTCAACCACGAGGGTGCTCTGAGAGTCGGTGATGACGAGTAAATTACTCGTTACACTATATTGTCATGAATGACAATTCAACAAGATGCCGCTGGATTCTTGAAAAGGAAAAAATATGAAGTACTGGGGAGGAGAGAAAAATGACAAAGCGGGAAAGATTATGATGAAGGATAGGATCGGATTTCTTTCTCATGGACATGGCACGTTTCTGCTTAGCTTTCGAGCTTTGGTGTATCATAAGATTGGCAGTGCATTATCGGCTGAATTGAAAAGCGTGCATTTACATAGTACTAATTATGTTATTCTCGCTCACCACTCTCGCTTCGCGTCTCGTCTCTCTGTCCTGTTTTTCATGTATGAAAACGAAAAGAAAGGGACTATTCGCTCTCGGTAGTCCGATCTATGATGCACCGTCATCGCTGTCATGTATCTGCCCCATGACTTGAAATGTTCTCTCTTGCTGCAAGAGGATCTTCCGAGCAAGCTGCGTAGTATAGGATTCTGTACAATATCAAGGACATCATTACCTACAATTCTTAATTTCGATGCCTGCCTGAATCACATCTCTGTTCGGGATATACGTCCTGAAATCATAGTAGATCTTCAACCTCCCTCCCAGCTGCGAAGGGATACTGCGGTTTCTTTCCTTGTTGAAAGCAGAAAATAAACGCTTAGCGCTGAACCTGAAGGGTGGGTGGAATTCATCCAAGTAGAAAGTAATAGAAAGGAGATCTGAGTCGGTACTTGCTTGGTAGAGTGGAGGGGAGGGAGGCTTGGATGAAAGGTGAGAGCAGCTGGTAGCAATTCGTATTGAGGTGAGAATTAAGTTCGATGGGATGTAAATAGGAATGTTAATTTGTGCGTATTGTGTACTGTGCTAACCATGTCATATACATGTCCTACTCGAAGGAAGACGACACACCTAGTATTGTTTTATTGTGAATATCGCTCTTTGTGGTTGTAGATATACTATCCCACTTCTTCCTTCATTCGTGATAGTACGGTACCAATCCTGCACCCTCTCGATTCGCTCAGCGCATTTGAATTTACTCAGTCTCTCTGGCTGTATCGTGACCACCCGAATCTCGAGTCATCAAAGCTTGAATCAATGGAGTTGGAGAGTCGCTTGCAAACATTACACTCATAGAATCCCACTCGGGAGTGATAATCGAATCAAATGAGGGATGTTGTCCGTTTCAAGGTATTTGCACGAGCACCATTAGACTTCGAACCCATTTTTGCTCTGACTGAGCTTTTCGTTCGCGCTAAGCGAGCCCCTATTACTGCGTTTTTTCGAGCAAGCATACCCATCTTTAACGAGGAGCTTTGGAGCTAGGGTCGATTATTTATGCAATCAACGTGGAGAAAAAGTGGTCACTGAATATGGGTAGCAAGAAGGATTAGCAAGGAGTGATGTAAAGCAATTTATCTGATCTTGCATTTTCAGACGTTTGTCTCTGATCGAAATAAAGCTGAAACAGGTTAAGGCGCCGGATTGTTATCCAGAAAGACATAGCGAGATCCGCAGTTTGTGTCGCTCTTTAGTTACAACATCCAATGCTCTTAATGGCTGAAAGACAAGCACAAGAAGTCAAGGTCATATCCACCAAAGACTGTTTTATACAGAATAAAGGAAGACAAAGCCCATGACCCTTGTGATGAACCAGCAACATGCCCGTTGGAGCCAACAACAGTTCAAAGTGCTAGATCGAAGTGCGCTTGTACTCTATGAATTCAAATCCAAGGATTGACTTCAGAGCTCGAAGCAGACTACAAGAAAACAAAACAAATATATTGACTCATTTTGCATCTGTTCGTAGTAATACAAGATCCAAATTGGGACACTAAAGCTTCAGATATTCTTGGTCACCCCGGGCTCAATCTCTTCCAAGATTCCTAGCAATTCCTTGTACACCCTTTGTTGTGCATCTTTGCCTTTCTCACTTTGAACCCACTTGCTTGGATCCCTGACCTTACAATCGGTCATGTATGTGCCATGCGTCTCATCTCCAGCACAGGCGGCAGCAACCAATGTTCGACTTCCCATCTCTGTAGTCCTCCCAATCAGAATCTTCCCGATCCAACCAAGGAGATTGAGCGGAAAGGATGCATGCCTCATCAACTCGGAATGGCAAAAGCCAGGTGTGAGGGTGTTCAGAATGATCTTGGGTTTCCCTGACGATGACATTGCGGGAGCCAATTCGCGAATAGTAAGAATTTCGAGAAGTTTAGAGACATTGTATTTGTCGGATTGGTATTTTGGGGACCTGAGGGCTGAGAATATGCGTGGTGCGGATTGTTCTCTGAAGGAGGCCTAGAATTGCGTTAGAAGAACTCAGTGATCTGCGAAATATGGAATTGACCTGTTCATGGGCATCTGACGCTACAATGGTCAGATGTGGTGTAATATTGTACTTGACAGCGTCTGCTCGCAGCTTGGGAAGCAGCAGCAATGCCATCAAGAATGTGGATATGACATTGACCGTGATAGTGCTCTCCATATTCTCACACTCCTCGTAGGTTGGAGTCGCCACGCCAGCATTCTCTACCACAGCATCCAAACGTTCCAGCTTCGAAGCCCGCTCGCAGAATTGTCTGACACTCTCGTAAGAGCTGAGATCGACCTGCCATACCCCAACCACATTCATACGCCCTGTAGTTACCTCAATTATCCTCTTTGCTCCATCACCTTTCTCCTTGTTCCTGCAGCCAAGTATAACCTTCGAGGCCCCTAGTCGTACAAAGTGTCTTGCGGCTTCGAGACCCAACCCGACATTGGCACCCGTAACGATGATTGTCTGGCCTTTGAAATCGGCATCAGGATATGGCAGCTTCGTGAATTGTGATACAAGGAATGATCCAACGAAATCGGCGGGCCTGCTTCATGGTTAGCACATGCCAGAATGTGTCTACCGCAAGGGCGAGTGAGTGATTGCGACCTACAAGTGGAAGTAGGAAAAAGGATTCAACATTGTTTCGACAATAAGATCTGACTTCTAGCAATCCTCTACCTGGATTGTTAGTTGTGTGGATTAGCAGCTTGATTTGTTTGTAGAGCAGAGGAAGGAAGGTTCAACGATGAAACCGCCACCCAAGCACACGACGAGGACGACATCGGTGTATCAAGTTTTAGCTTGGGATCTGAGCAGTCATGACCATCACCTTGCAGTCCCAATTGCTGGGCGTAGCAATAGGGTGTGCGACAGGAAGTCGCACATTGTGAATATTTGAAGTAAGCTCCGAGATTATTGACAAGATAAGCTTTTCGGCTGGATGTTGGACATACCTAGCCCTGAACCTCCAATTGAGCTTTTGCCAGGGTCTACAGTAACGTGCACTCACAACGGTATGCATTTCAAGTAAAGGCTGCTATATCAAGCTAGCTGTCGCATTAACACGAAATAGAAGGGCATCAAATATCGTCCATGATGTCCATTTCTATCAAATGAAACAATGTCACGTGCTATGAAATTAGCAAGCACCTCTATATACTCTAGAAAGCAATTCATTGAAGTTTAATTTTTATTAAATACAAGATCTTGGCTATGTAAACGTTCTGTATCTTCTGATGTATCTCTTCGTTCCAGATTCCCAGCAGTGTTGCAGAATAACAACGGCATTATCAATACTTTATACAGGAACAAGTAAACGTGCAACCTGCTGCTCTTCCTCCTCCGAATAGAACGCAGACCAATCAAGAAGGCTTCGGTTTGGCCTCACAAACCCACTGTTGGGTATTAGTTGGTGGAAATAGGCCGGGTCCTCGGGACTCCAGAATAAAGCCACAGTCTGGGGAAAAGATGACTGTAGTCATCTGGAGTTCTTGCGTATCGATGATAGAATCATCATATAGGCAATCGATGGGAGGCCTCTCCCAGTCATGCATTGTAGTCCTAAGGACTGGGTGCTTTTGTACATAGACCACATACTCGCATCGCGGGGGCACATCCAGGCTTGCGTTTTGAGGAGTTTGTTTACCAAGCCAGGGAATATGGTCATCTTTCTCCAGCGTTCTCCGTATCGTCTGATTCAGCAGTCTTTGGGTCGTTTTGAAGAAGGGTTCGTTCAAGTTGAGATGCGGCAGTCCAAAAATGCCAGCGAACTTGTCACTCGTAGTCGTCATCATTAAAACTCCCAGTCGAGGCCAATGTACTCCATAGACACGAATCTCCAATCCTTCGTCAACAGTGTTCTCGTCCTGAATTTTCAAGGTAGCAGCCACCTCTCTGATCAGCCTAATTGAGCCATGCAGACCGTACTTCGTGATGATGCCTTTTTTACCCTTATCCTCAATGACATCCGGCACTTCATCCAATTCCATCTCTTGACCTGCCTCCTGGTCAATTTCCAGCATGAGCCTCCCTTTATTTCCTCTTATGTCTGGGTAATCCGGTTCCGAGCCCATAGCCCATCTCTGCCAAGTTCTCCCAGAACCTGTCTTCTTCTCAACAAAGCCACCAGTATACCGCACCCAATCCGCATGCAATGCTTCTGTTGAGTTGCCCCAATCTGTCTCCGTCGAATCGCTCTGTGGCATGCCATCCCTGTAGAAATAACTCGCCCTCGCCTTCTCTCCCAATGCAAAACACCTATCCTTCCATGTCGCAAGCCTCTCCCACGCGAATCCAGCTTCGGCTTTGTATCCAACAAGATCTATCCATCTGCTCTCCACTCGAGCTCGTGGGCGCCGTATAAATGGACTAAAGGACCCCAATTGTGTAGATTCCAAGACACGCAGAGCGTCCCATGGGGAGAATTGTGTGCGAGGAGAGTCGGAGAGGGAGGGAAGTTGATGCGAAGGGTTGAAGGCGTGGAGAACGAATAAAAAGAGACCGAGAATCAGGACATTTCGAGCGTATTTGGCGACTCGCTGGGAGCGCATCTGGATCGTGGCGTATGCGGGAGAAGTATGATATCCATTCCTAAGGGAGAGGCCACTTTTAGTGAAGGTTGGAGAGAGCAATGGTGAGTTGAGGTGATTCTCGAAACGCGGAGGCGTTAATGGTGAGCGGAACGAGCCGTTTCCTTAGGTTCAACAGCAAAACCGCATTTTCTTCATCATAAAACGTGACGATAAGACATAAATCGTTACCTTGATCATAATCATGAGTCCAGTTTCTCCATCGATCATGCAATCGTCGTCTGGAGGCCTCGAGTTTTGGATGAGGAACAGTATCTCATCTACTTTTCGGCACGAAGACTATGGTCACTTCTTTTACCAACACGCTTTTTCGCACTCAACGAAAGGCGGCCCAGGTCCCAAGTCTTTGCCAACCCATAAACTTACTCTTGAGCAAGTGCCCCCTAATGAATGCATCGCCATTCTATCAGCTCATTGTGCCAGAATCGAGCGAGGCCTGAAGTCGTCAGAGGTCAGTCCAAGCGCCGGAGACCTGGAATGATCAATGCATGTATTAAAGTGAGGCCACTCAAATGTCTTTCACGGGAGTCCAAATACACATTAAACTGATCACCTGGAGGATAGGATAGTCTATGCTGCAAAGATGGGTACTTACAATTGCTCAACCTGTCGCAGAGGATCCCTTGATGAGCCTCTCCGCTTGACTGTGGATGATTCTTGCATCAAGACAAGGCTGACAGAGATACGAGACACCTCTTCCATGGTAAATGGGCTTGTTTGGCTGCAGTCTCAGCTTCTCCACATTGAAACTTGATTATCCCAATACTGAGTATTAGTTTTATATGACTTATTTTTCAAGTCACGGCCCCTGGATGTACTGGAACCTGCTAATCGCTTAATTCAGGGGTAACTTGGCCGGCTAGCACCTACTGGCGCGAGATTGAAAGTCAACAATACATACTCTTTAAGGATCTACATAAGATTACTCAGTCCCTCACACACTTCATGCCAGGCTATTGCTTTAGGCACATTTGGACGGCTAGGCGGCTAGTTCCTTCCCCCACCTTTGAAGTTAGTGACTTCCGGATTCTAGCCGATGCCGGCCTTTGCACAGAAGAAGAAACGTTTGAAGACCGGTACGTTTTCCTGTGGTCCAACCGATCAGTCCTTCATCTTCTAACTGGACAAACGCCACGAAAGCATATTGTTCCTACATTCCCATCATGAGCCCCATCCCTCCTTCAGGTGTCTGGTGTCCAGCTGTCACATTCTTCAATCATCAGAATGACACTCTCGACCTTGTCGCTCAGAAACAATACGATGCGTACTTGTCAAAGTCTGGCCTCGCGGGACTCGTGATCCTAGGTACCAATGCTGAAGCTTTCCTGCTCACTCGAGAAGAACGATATGCACTCATAGCCGCAGCTCGCGAAGCCGTAGGACCAACATTCCCTATTATGGCTGGCGTGGGTGCACACTCAACCAAACAAGTCATAGAGCTCGTTAAAGACGCAGTTAAAGCAGGCGCCAACTATCTCCTTATTCTACCACCCGCGTATTTCGGCAAAGCTACTTCACCTGCCGTCATCGAGAGGTTTTACGCTGATGTCTCAGCATCTTCTCCCATTCCGATAGTCCTCTACAACTTCCCAGGTGTCTGTAACGGTGTCGATATGGATTCCGAACTCATCACGAAGCTGGCCAAGAAGAATGACAACATCGTGGGCGTCAAGCTGACTTGTGCTTCTGTTGGCAAGATCACACGGCTTACAGGTTCCCTTCCTGCTTCCGAGTTCGCCACTTTTGGAGGACAGTCAGACTTCCTTATTGGTGGTTTGTCAGTTGGCTCCGCTGGCTGTATTGCTGCGTTTGCGAATGTCTTCCCGAAGAGTTTGTCTAGGATCTACTCTTTGTACAAAGCAGGGAATGTTGAAGAAGCTCTGAAGCTGCACAGGATTGCGGCATTAGCAGAAAGTCCTTGCAAAGACGGAATTGCAAGTACAAAATATGCTGCAGCTAGCTTCAGTGCGAAAGCGGCAGGAATCGAGGGCGCGGAGGAGAAACTACAGCCTCGGACTCCCTATGCTCCACCGTCAGAAGATACTAAGAGTCGTGTAAGATCTGTCATGGCCGAACTTGCCGCAATAGAGTCGTCCCTGTAGAAAGAAGTAGAACATTCGAATGTACTTCTTGGACTCAATTAGCTCAGACTGAAGTTGAAAGTGAGTCGCGATGTTCATTTTCGCTAAAGCTACGGGGGGTGCGCACGGAGCTCTGACAACCCCTGGCCGAATCTGCCTGGGAGCTTCAGCTCCCCTTCTTCTATCCCATTCTTATCTATTCTCTATCCCGAATGAGTCCTCAGCTCTGCCCTCTAATGTCTACTCAAGGGCGTGAGATTGTCAGAACGTAACATGAGCAAATGTAAGAGTCATATATCAAGTGATATATAGAGACGTCCTCCTCTCTCCCCCTTGCACTTCCCTCCAGTATCCAAAATGTCTTCTTCTACAGCCGCGCTCTCGCGGACTTTGAAAACCATCACTCTTACCAAAATCAATGAGCTTGAGAAACAGCGCAAAGCATACGCTCAATCCAAAAATGCCATTCTCCAAGCTGCCGCCGAGGCTCCACATCAGCGTGAGAGAGTCCTCCGGCTTCTGGAAGGGGTTGAAGACCTCAATCGTACTTCGATCTCATCCTCAGTGGACTTCTCGAATATCCGCCGATGGTTGTTCCAGTCACACTACGACTCTTCCATCCCCGACGCCACGTTGAACGACTTTGAGACACAACTACATGCTCAGTTGGAAGTTCGCACTAGGAGACTAGACCTTGGTCGCCTTTATTCCAGTCTCCTGACCGAGTGGCTAGATGCAACCGACTCATCTGAGGACCAGACTATGGAAGTGGATGACGAATCTTTGGAGGAATCATTCGAAGTCATCGAGAAAGACCGGCTAAAACAGCTGACGGAGAAGTTTGCATCCGTTGCCTTCTCGCCATTGGAGACTGATGTAGACGAAATCGAAGACTACCTTGGGGGTTTATTCCAAGGAGACATTGGCGAAAAGGCACTCGAACGTCTTCGGATAGCGACGTACAACAAAGGCGTCCACATACTGAGAAACAAGACTGTCTTCGACGAGCGCACGATCAAATGGTGCCTGAAAGGACTACTCTCGAATGATCTACTTCGAGACGACAAGAAAGTTATTTTGGAGGAGTTCCTTCAGGATCAGGTCGCTCGTACAGAAATCTGCGACGTGCTGAACATGAAGTTTGCGGACCTCGAAAATTGGAATTGGGATGCTGGACCTGAAGGGTTGCCAGTTGAACCCAGGCGTCAATTGAATGGCAAATATAGGATTATGATGGATGAAGATGTATTGGACGCCATTTTCCTGCATTATATCGGTATGATGTGGTCGGTTGGGATGAAAGGCATCCTTTGTGAAGTTGGAGACACTCCTGGGCTATGGAAGCAAGATGTCAACATCTCTCGGGAGGTAAAAGACCGCAGACGATATTACTTAGGCGAATATAGTTCCGGACTGGAGGCCGGAGGTAGTGTTGAGAAGGCAAGGCAGGACATGTATCGCAGAGATTTTTTCCTGTCCCAACTGCCTTCCTCAGTCATGGAAGGCGCCGGAGGCTATGACGACGACGAAACCGAGAGCAATGATTGGGACTTTGATTCTTCTGACAAGAAGTCGCCGAAACAGGTCAAGCAGCAGCTTCTTAGGATCTTGGCGACAGAAGTCCAGCTTCAGAAGAACATCAATGGCCGAGTCGCTGTGGTACAGTCAGACTTTCAATGGTTTGGAACGTGCCTCCCTCACAGCACTATTTTTGCCGTTCTGAGATTTGCCGGTATGGACGAAGAATGGATCAGCTTCTTCAGAAAATTCCTCGAGGCTCCTCTGAACATGGGTCCGGTATCAGACCACACAGAGCAGGTGCGTGTGAGGAAAAGGGGAACACCAATGGCACACGCTTTGGAGAAGTTTTTGGGCGAATTGGTATTGTTCTTCATTGATCTTGCAGTCAATCAAGAAGCAGGGATGTTGCTTTACCGATTCCACGACGATTTGTGGCTTGTTGGTGAGCCTGAACGATGTGCGAGGGCGTGGAAGTCGATGGAGCGATTCTCGGCTATCATGGGTCTCGAATTCAACAAGAGCAAAACAGGCAGCGCGTTCTTGACAAAGGAGGAAGAGCTTACCTATGAGGACTCCGAGACTGTAGCCGGGCTTCCTCCCGGTCCTGTTTCTATCGGCTTCCTGAACCTCGATTCAGGATCTGGAGATTGGGTAATCGACGAGAAGAAGGTAGGCGCCCATGTCAAGCAGCTTTCAAAACAACTGTCCGGTGCTCCTAGCATCTTAGCTTGGGTGCAAACATGGAACAGCTGTATTGGACGCTTCTTTGGCCATACCCTTGGAGAGCCTGCGAACTGCTTCGGTCGCGCACACGTGGATTCAATCTTGGAGACACACAAACGGATCCAGGATGCTATCTTCCCAGGTAGCAACGCATGTACATTCCTGAAAGATCTGATCAAAGAGCGATTTGGAGTATCCGACGTTCCCGATGCATTCATATTTTTACCAGAGTCTTTGGGAGGTCTCGGTGTTCGCAATCCATTCATTGGTCCTTTTTTGGTACGCGACAATGTCTGCGAAAGTCCCTCAAAGCTTATAGAGAGCTTTCTTAAGCAAGAAGCGGATGCATATCATACATGCAGACGAGAATTCGAGGAGCTGAGCCAGCAGGGAAAGAAAAGGAGACTGCGAATCATCTACACCGATGAGTATGGAGACGCTGATCCAGCACGAACCTTGCAAGATGCAGAGACTTTCATGAGCATGGAGGAATTCGTCTCCTGCAGAGAATCGACCAGTCCCGAGTTGACCTCTGTTTGGGAAGAGCTTATGGAAGTCCCAAAGAAAAAGGAGATTGTCGCATCCACCAAAGTCGCGCAGACACCCGGGAGATTGTCGTATTCGCAGCCTGAATTATCCAGAAATGACATGAAGAGCGAAATCAGATGGATTCTGCAGATGTATGAAAAGGAGCTGATCGAAAAATGTGGGGAAATGAGTATCGTGGAAAAGAGTCTGTTGCCACTGGGTATCTTGACGATCTTGCGCAAGAAAAAGGTTGCTTGGCAGATGGTCTTATAGACAAGGTGATGGTTGATGACAACTAGGAGATAGGCGTGCTCTTATGATTTATGAATTGGAAACAGATGTTTTCCATGCTTATATTTAATAGTCATTTATCATGCTTGAAAACTAGCGCCCAATCAGGGTAATCGCATGAATCGCCTTGCGAATGAGCTTAACTTCATTGTCGATTTACCTTACTTCTTTGAAAGGGTCCACTAAATTTAATCTGGGGAAGGCATCTCAATTGAGACCGTTCGTTTCCCGAGTTCATTTCTACAATCAAAAACGCGCAATTCTTGTACTTGCGCATCTTCACTTCGTGACCTTGGGACCTCCAAGACGAGCATACGGAGCAGCAGAATGCCTTTCTCCTTCAACGAAGCGCAAACTGCGATTCTTGACCGGTATTGGGACCAAAGACGGTACCTTTTCAAAAATGGCCGTCTACCAAAGAGAACCAGCATGAGCGTAGCAGTTCAATGCGCTGAGGTCGGGCCATTTGTATCTTCTCAAATCATTGGCAGGTGAGTAGCGCTTCGAGTGTTTCGAAGAGTTGCCAGAAGTCGTCTGCGCCGAATGCGGTTGGTAATAACTGTATACAGGCATTTTGCGAACCGCGTGGCAGCAGAGGAAGGTCGCCCGCGAGCCCATCGCAAAACTCCTAGACAATTCGAGCTGTTGGGAAACAGTTTTGAGGATGACCCATTCCCTTCAACTGGCGAACTTATCTTGCTGGTTCATGAGAGTGGCTTGAAGCCGCAGCAAGTGAAGAGCTGGTTCGACGGTCAAAGGCAGAAGGCATCCAAGAAAGGCGAGCTTCTCACTACACGAAACAGGGAAAATGACCCGTAAGCATTAGTGCGTTAGGGATGAACGAATTATATACTGATGATAGAGATAGTAATGACTCAGCCAAGATGTGGAGAGCCTTTAAGAAGGATCCAGGGAGTTATTGCAAGGCGTTGTGCCGAGGAGAGATCTCGCCAGTTACTGGTAAAGCCCAAGAGGTCGAGCTCGACGAGGAAGAGGGTGACGAGGAGAGTGAGGTAGACGAGGAAGGCGAGGCTAAGGGCGGTGACGATACAAATCAACAGAGTGAAGAGCTTATGTACGGACCAGAAGAATCGCGAGAAGAATAGCGGGAGTAGACAATCGTCAGCTAGGAGCAAACAAGGACGAGTAATTGTTCTTCAATCTCGAGGAAATACATACCAATCTCTACATAAGTTCCTCTATTGTTGATAGATCGTAAGTTGGAAGGTAGTGAAGAGATTGGATTGTCTTTTTCTTTTACAGATTGCTTGGGTGCTACGAACTCAAGAAACGGTAGCATCCGAGGTAGCTCCGGGAAATTGCTCAGTCCTCGTATCTTTCCAACCAAGCTTGGCTAATGTAGACTCGCAGGTGTCTGACATTTTGTTTTCGAATATTCTCTCTCTTCTGTATTGAGTACTCCGATTAAGACAGAGTACCTCATTGCACCTCATCTCTAACGATCGGACGAGGAAACACGTGCTAGCGTGTTTAACCGTCGCGTCTCCGCGTCTTCAATCATTGTGAAAACAACATTTGAACCATCAACCCTCAACTCCCAACGCCAAGAATCTATTGCAAGATGCCTGCTCCCTTCAATGATTCTCAGATGGCAATCATTGACCATTACTGGTATGACAGGCGCTTTCTATGGAGAGATGGCCGGCTTCCCAGCAGACACAGCATCATGGTTTCGTTGCTATGCAGCGATGTTGGCCCAAGGGTTACATCACAAGCAGTGGGAAGGTTGATAATTTCACAAAATGTTCTTTCAATTCAAGATTCATATGCTGATTGGATATGACAAAGATTTTATGCGAATCGCCTTGCGGCAGAAGAAGGTCGCCCACGCGCCGTGCAGAAAACCCCAGAGCAGCTCGCATTGCTGACGGCTACTTCGAAAGAGACCCATACCCCAGAATTGGCGAGCAGATCATATTGTTCATGAAACTGGATTGGAACCGCGGCAGGTGAAGGGCTGGCTGGAACATCAAAGAAAAAGGCTCAATGAGCAGGGAGTTAACTTGACTTCCGGTAACCCATTGGCGGATCCGTGAGCCACTTTCGTATACAGTACACAACGAACTGGTGCTGATGATGTTTTTTCTCAGGAGTAATGCAGCGAAGATGTGGCGTGCGTACAAGAGAAATCCCGTTGCCTACGTACAAGCATTGTACCAGGGCGAGATTTGTTCATTTACTGGGGAGGCTCTCGCCTGAGGATAACGAAGTAATCGGTGATGCTTGGCAGCAGAGGAACGAAATGTATAATAGTCACGGCGGATATTTGATTCGAGAGCTTGGGTGTTACTGAATGGCAAGTACCATGGGTGAGTAAGTGACAACTCACAGTATATTCTTCATCTTCCTTCCGGGTGGCGCAGGTTCTTCAGATTCTCGTGTAAGAGCTAGATTGATGTAAGAGGCACCTTGACCGAGTCAGGCAAGTATTGAATGGCAAGGGCCCGTAAATCCTCGGTCATACACCTTCTCATCTTGGTAGCGTGCTCATATTGACAGTTCTTTTCTTCGCCACGACGAACACTGCTAGAGTCACATGCAAGAGAAGTTTCTCCCAGGCGATCGAAGAGTTATAAAGTCTAACAAGAATGGCTGCAGCATCCTATTGTAGCACTCAGTTCATCCCTCTCAAGCGAGTCAGCACTCGCCAGGGAACTATTCGTACCAATAAGGTACGGGGCGAACCAAACAGATCGATTTACACTGCCCCCAAGAAAACCTCGGAAAGTTCTCAATGAGTCTGGAACATGCTCGCTTCAGTTGTCTCGGATCTCAAAGCATTGTTCTCGGTGTGACTACAGCATTCCTGAGCGACCTTGTTTCCGACGTGATTTTTCAGGGAAGAGGCTGGAAGCTCGCAAACTCGGATTACGAGGAGTGCGAGCATATAATTGAGTGTTGAGAAAGAAAGAGATTTGCGATTTTGACAGCGATGTGCCAGAACAATATGATGCTCTCAACAGCACTGTCCTGGAAATTTTGTGGCATGGGAAATGACTGGCCATTTCTGAGCCATCCTCTCATAATTACAAAGCATTTCTTTCCGGAGGATGGTTAGTGTCACTTTGCTGCCTTTCGCATCGCCCAGAGTTAATGTCGATCTCCTGAAACAAGAATATCTCTGTTTATCTCTTCATTCCTCTCACTATGTTGCCCATAAAATTTCTGAGACTCGGCGTCTCAGTGTTCCAGCTTAGTCAATACTCTTCCAATTCTGAAGACATCTGAAGAGCATTCACTGTTGTGCCAGGGGAGCCTCCATCGCTAAACTGGTACAACTGCCAGTGCGGCGAAAACGTCATCTGGACATTCAACGGTCTCATACACACTTATTTCAAGAGCACTCCAGAGACTACAAATCAGATGGTCGTTATGCTGCTTTTGGCCTCTCCAGTTGCTCCTGCTCCTCTACCTTCTTCCACAGCAAACCAGATCCCTACACCAATAGCAGCTCCACCATCCAGGACAGCAGCCGTGATCGTGGCCTCCCGAGATATGCATGCATTCCTCCATGAACATCAAATTATGCTCCATAAGTCTATATCCCTCTATGGCAAGGAGATGTACTAATGACTGTAGGCGTAATTATATCCAGCAAACACGACATATATGCTACAGCTCTCCTGCAAGCCATCTCCTGCGGCTTTTATGCCTTATAGCGACAACACATATCTCAAGAGAGACGGCACATACACAGCGCCAAATAGCGCCGTCGGTGCTATATCAGTATTTTAGGTTGATGTCACATTGGTTGCACAGGATCCAGTGTTCGTCCACGGCTGGTCCACAACAATTGATCCTCCTATAGACGCAACTTCGCCCTTGGGGAGTATTTGCCTGAAGCCGGACTGACAGCGAGGAATTTTGTCCTCTCAAACGATGCTTCTCAAAGTCTAGTATGAGAGAATTGCGGCTTTCCCGATGGCCCTCCCGGATGGTATTTGGATTCTACCACAGGCATTGTTTATGTCATATTGGATGGTGTCATGAATAATAACAAGATGCAAATCTTCCTGAAACCGGTCCTTTATACGTGACGTGGCGAGCAACTTTGCATTAGTATATGTAGAATTAATCTTAGAGCTGGAACTCCAACATCATGCTAGCTTTGGAACATTTTTTGGACATACATGGACACCATTTGTATCTGTGTTGAATCGTACGAAAATTGGGAAAGAGAATCCATTCCACGTAAGATATTTGCTTCGCATTGAAATTCCATGATATGATCTCACACCCATATACCGGTCAAAATGTTATATCATTCATACTTGATTTGAAATTGAAACATTGATACTTTGCAGGGGGGAATTTACAGGTTTCTCTCACATCGGTATTAACCTTGGCAAATTATAGATTAGTCAAAGTGCATTCACTATCCCCACACTCTATTGGTCTTGGGACATAATCTAATGTCTGCTGTTTGACATACCTTTACAAATGGCAAGAGATAATTCGCGACCAAGTAGAATGAACAGAAAGTCTAGGGAATAGATAGGTACCTAGGTAGACTAGAAGGTCACGTGGAGGGATAGTTTTCGTCCTCACTGGACAAAGTCTGTCAAGGTTGTTCTGGCCTTGATGTTCATGGAAGTTTTTCAGTATATCCTTGTGGTTTGAGAGTCTTCTAAGAAGTTTTGCTCTTGGTCGTGCCATGTGCTAAGTGCTTTTGGTTGCGTCATGTGGAGACACTATACCCATTTCACTCTTCAATCCCTATACCCGATTCTACTCATCTATCCTATCGCATTAAGTTGTATCTTAAGCACACTCCGCAAAGAGCTCCCCCAATAATTCTTCGGAGTGTGAGAGATTTGAATGAAGAAATGTCTAACCCTCTTCGGCAACGCTGAAACACTAGTTGAACAGAAACCGACCTGATCCCGTTCCTCGACCGTTTGCAGCACTCCACCATTGCACAGCACTCAAGTATAAGCTGTACGGAGCAACTTTTGCTTCCAAATTAACATTTGTTTCTAATCTACAGCATAATATAGTATTCGAATCCTCATAATCTGTTCATTTTGGTCTTATCCTGCGCTGAATACAAAATGTCACGAGTCGCTCCCTCAAGACGGCCATTGAGAGCGATGGCCCCTCCAACCTCTGCTCAAGCTCCAAACCGAGCCGGAGTCTTCGAAGATCTTGACTTTGCTTCATCTGTCCTTATTCTCCGTCTGCAAATAGAGGATATCAACCAACTCCTTGGAGCACGTAACAACGCTTTGTCTGGATGGGACCAAACGCTATTGGCGCAAAAGGAGGAGCTTCAGCGCGCTCTATCAACTCTCACAGATAGGCGGATTGGTCTTGGCATGTCTCATGCGCTTGCACGTATGTACCATATCCTTTTTCCTCTATTAAAGGTCCCTTTCCTTAGAGCATCACCTGATGCTCTTCGACTGTTTGAAATCCCCTAAATAGGTAGGTATAGCAGATACATACAGGTGTCCATGAAAACTTAGAGTCTGAACAGCCCGACTTCAGCTTCTATTATATCCAATGTTGTGATGCCGCTGACCTCATTGTTTATCTTTAGAGGATATTAAAGCCGTTAATGCTCTCGTGGACGAGGAGCGTCAAGCCGAGAACGATCGAGCCATGGCATGTGAGCTTGCCGGTCTTCCTGCTCCTCCCAGGAGCGCGGTACAACCCCTTGCTACCCTTTCGGTTCTTCCCGCGCAGCAAACCAGACGAATGGCGGCATCGGCCAACGGGTTGGGATCTCAGAATACTAAAAATCGCCATCACAGAGTTGAGTCCACTCGTGATTGTGTGAACGAAGAGAGTGAGAACATGGATCTAGACGAGCCACGTCGCAAACGTGACAAAGTAGGAAGCCAAGTCATAGATTTGACTCTCCCTGAAAAACCAGCTACTTTGCCATGTGTAAGCTGCGGCGATGATTATGACCCTACGTTGTTGGCGCACATGGCTTGTGAGCATGACTATTGCCAAGATTGCGTGCAGAGAGTTGTCGTCAATGCTCTCAACGATGAGGCCTGTTACCCACCTCGCTGTTGCAGGCAACCTTTCCATGTAAGTTTTGCCGCTGTGAACTTCACGTCTCGGAGATGTCTGCTATCCTGGCGGCCCAGGAGTCTGGCGTCCAGCTCTCTTACAGATCGAACATTTGCATGCTGACACTATGATCTCGGATTACAGATAGATGCTATGAGGCACTTCCTAACCCCCGAAATCATTAGTGGATTCCACGAAAAGCAAATCGAGTTTGGCACGACTAACCGCATTTACTGCTCGAATCCGACTTGCTCGACTTTCCTCTACCCCGCAAACATCACTCGTGATAGAGGGGACTGTCCCATTTGCTTAGTCGCAACATGCACCATCTGCAAAGGCGCATCCCACTCCGGAGATTGTCCGCAAGACACTGGTGTTCAGCAAGTACTGGCTCTGGCTAATGGAGAAGGTTGGAGAAGATGCTCGAAGTGCAAAGCCGTGGTTGAACTCGGGCATGGTTGCAACCATATTACGTTCGTTAATCCGATACCCTGTTTGACCCAATTCTAATTTTCTGATAGATGTCGTTGCAAGGCTGAATGTGGGAATGTCCTTCTCATTGTATCCATTCGCTATTCAACATCAATTACATCTCCTCTGTGTCGATTGAATTCACAAAAACATACTGACTGATGTTCTAGGGTGTTACGTATGCTGTGCCGCATGGAAAACGTGCCCATGCCCTACTTGGCACGAGGATCGGCTGCTCGCGCGAGCGGAGCATATCGTCGATCAACAGCCAGCTGCTGCTCCACAACCCCCACAACTACAGCGACCTCAACAAGTGGCGGCTGCACGACAATACGCCCTCGAACACCATAACTGTGACCACCAAGCCTGGAGCAAGGTTGGTGGGTTCGCCAACTGCGATGAATGTGGTCGGGATTGCAATAAATACCGATTTCAATGTGTGGGATGTCGTATGGATGCGTGTGAGTGCTCTGTTCTTCGAATACATAGAATTGGCATGCTGACTGCTCCCAGGCTATGCTTGCCGCATGTATAGGCTATAATTGGACACTTTCTTTTTACTCCGAGGCCGACGGATAGACCAACGAAAATGAAAGGTTTGTGCGTCACAGTTCATGTGTGGATGAACTAGGAACATGGGATGTGTTGGAACGTTGTTATTGCCAAGTGTGTATCTTTAAACCTTTTGTGTTTGTATTTCTCATAGTAATACGTGGAACTAGAATAGAGGGATGAGAGACGACGAAATATCTGCTATTGCAATAAGTGTTTTTTTCCACCAAATTCCTTTTTATAGAGGCTCAACGGCACGTAATGACGATAAAGCTATTGTTTACAACTCTCGAAACTCTCAAATTTCTCAAAGTAATCTTTGGTCTGTTTCAGGCAATCAGAACGCAGTCCCCTCTGATATCAGACGTGAAGAGTTCCAGAGAGCGTCGGGTTACTCAAATTACGTGGTCTCTGTTCTTCTTCACCTACCTAGCATATCAAGTGATTCAAAGCATGCACTGGTTTTTAAAACAACGAGAAGTTGTTCCATAGTGGCTTGAGAGTCTGCTATGTTGCTTACGTTTTGTTTCGGCTTGCTTTATGTCAACATTAGCTGGGTTAGTATTTGCGCCTGTTTTTTCTCCTGGATTTCTCGATACTTCAACAGATAACCATGCAAAAGCAGGCTTATTCGCCATCACAGTGTGACAATACCTAGTTGATTCCCGCCAGGACAGTTTTTGAGACAGATGACATTTCCTTTTGTTCTTGTCCCAATGCATATGTCGTCAAGTCGCTAGTGGATTTTGTCTTGCTCTCCAAATTCAGTGACTTGGGGTATGCTACACATGTTCTTCACGTTGTCGGCATCTACTGTGATCTATCAGACATATTATTTTTGCAAAGTCATGAAGACCAAATAGTTCAACTTATCTAATAGCGCTGGGTAAATTTTTAGGTATTAAGAAAGTTAAATGCTCGCTGTAGCAGCCCAGAAAGTAGTCTTAAACTTTTGACCATTGGAGCCATTTTCGACATAATTCATCATACATAAGATTTTGAAAGGATAAATTTAGTCTCGGTTCATAATTCTGTAACATAGCTGAATGTTCATTATATGGCATACCATACTAAGTTCACGGCTTGTCCATATACAATATAAGATTTTTAGTCTATATTATTTTGAAGAACTCATGGAGTCATGCCTCCGTCCACCTTCTCGCTTCTAACCAAATCTCTCCTCTACCCGCTCCTGGTCTTCGCGCATCCAGCTACAATTCATCAGAGCACCATATCAACTTTAAGTAGCTGCGGCTTGTTGGGCCAATATCGCATCGGTCCGAGCGTGAGGTAGACCGATCATACCTGCTGCGTCCGAAGGATCTCGACCTAGATAAAAGCCATCCAGAGTGTTCTGCCATAAGGGCCAGCCGTTAGGTGCGTCTTCTGGATCGTCCCAGTGTACAGAGATAATATCCATGTTGGGATCAGCACGCATAAACAACGTGATGCAGGCATGCAGCTTGTCGGCGTCTATTGTTTTCCCCATGATATTGACAATTCTGCCGCTACCAGATTCCCATAATGCGAGCATCATCTTGAGAAGTCGTCGTCCCAGGACTGGATGTCTCAGATACTCTCTGGCTTCTTCGAGGTTAGTGATGCCGTACGTCCTGCTGTTCGCGGATGCATAAAGGCCGAGAACTTGAGGATATATGTCTGGTGAGAGATTAGTACTCGAAAAAGCTGAGAATCTGAAGGAAGCTCGCATTGTTGGAAGCTGTCTGAGGAATTGCAAGCAAAAGACTTTTATTGCTCATACATCACAACCCATCCAGCAGCTCCAATCTCAGGAGCGCCTAGGGGACCACGCATTCAACAACATGGGGCTAGACTTACACCATATCCAATCCTTCACTTTGTTGCCTGCCTTTATCTCCGCGAGAGCTTGTGTGTAATTCCCTAATCCAAAGGCTCGGGTTGGCGCATCTTGCGCCGCTAAGAAACGAGCGAGGTTGTAAGGATCTAAACCCATAGCGAAAAATAAAAAATCTCGAGAAATCGAAAAAGATGCTGTCGGTGTATTGATGTTTAAAGAATTTTGGGCAGCAAAATTAAATGGAGCTATAGAACACCACTTTCACAAAGGCTTCCATTTACAAAGACGTCTTTGTTGTAAAGAAAAAAGAGCTTTGAGCATTTATCCGCTTTCCAACATGATCATTGGATTATGCTTGGCTTTGTTTGTGTCCTGTTTGAAAGAAACGGGTAACTATTAAGATTGTGTAAACAAAAATTCTGTTTGCAGTGACATGCTCAGACACAACCTTCACTCGATTGTAGAAATATAGTAATAATTGGCAACACAATTCCACGCCTCACGGACTTTTGCAGTGCTATCTGCATGCTATAAAATCCTTACTTCCACCATATTAGGGTCTACGAACCCAATTTTTCATTCAAAACTAAGTTTGTTCATCGCAATGAGGGGTATAACGACGTAAATTCAATGGGTTGCACTCAGAAGTATACCTGCAGCGATTAGTTTTGATGTGTACACAATGCTTGATAGAGCTTACAAATCAGATCAAAAACACTCCAGACCAAAGTCATCTGCCATAAAACCGGTACGCAGTACCTGAAGAATGTCAGTAAGTATAGCCGATTTGGCAATTTTTTTTCCAGATTGACTCACCGATCGCGATACAACTCAACAAACCCAATCCAGAACAGCCATTGCGATATGTATGGAAGCAACAAGACTATGTACGCTTGTGATACCGTCTTCAAGACATCCCCACCTAGACCCATTTGCTCAAGCCACCCCACCCAACCCTTTGTTTGGTAAGGCTGTGCTTGAACTTCTCCGAGATCATCCATTGAGTACCCTTCTTCTTCCGTATTCAAATCTGAGTGGGCTCGGAAGCATCTCTGGATGAGATCGACAATCTTCTCGAGTGTATACTTCAAAGTATTCCAAGATATTTCGCTGTAAGACTTCAGAAAATTCCAAAGAGCTAGGAACACTAAAGTAGAAACCCGGGCACCAATTAAATACTTCCACACCACGTAAATGTAGAAGAATGAAATGGAAATGACCCAGATCAAAGCGCTTGAGTACACCAGCATAGCCGACCAACTGCCAAAAACGTATTGAAGAGCTTTGACTTGGAGGTAACCCCGCGTGGTAAAGAAGCTGATAACTTGTATAAAAACAACCCCTCCAATTGTTTGCAACATGACTTCGGACAATAGAGTTGAAACTCCAGCCGAAATGTACATGCTTTGCTCCTTTTGAACGGGAGAAATAGCAGTGGCAATAAATGCCAGTCGAGGTCTCGTGGCCCACAGACGGATAAGGGTACCGATATCCGGGCTTGAAAATCCAGCTGTCCGTTTAGCTAATACGGCGTTGATAAAGTTTGCAAACACATTAATGGCAACGACAATTATCGAGATGGCGGGCCATGACTTCGAGCCTGCTACTCCATAGGCCGCTTTAGTGAACCATCTCAGACCGCTAGCCAACCGTTTGATCAATTTTCGTCTGCCTAGGAACCAAGTTCCCACACCAACAATGGCGTTGTTGATAGCGAAAGATGCGAGATTCAGTGCTTTGCTTGGACACTGGGAAAGCTTCTTGTTGTCGGTCGGAGAGAGTCTCCACGCGAATGGGTACAGATCTTGCAAGATCGAGTAGGATCGGTCCTGGACTTCAGGCCATATTGACACAAATGTTGCATTTATTGAGCTGTTGAGTGGTCTGGTGTAGTCTTTGCAAAGCTCTATGGCCCAATCGTAGTATGAAACACGGTCATCTGGAGTTGATTGACAGATTTGTGTGCAGTTCATAAGCGAGAGGCTATTGCAAAGACACATTTGTGGTCCAGGTGGGAATGCTTCGCTCCAGCATTGTTGAGATGCTGCATAGAGGGAAGTGCAGGTGCTGTTTATAACATTGACGCAAAATGGCGGCTTTGACCTAATGAGACTCAAGTAACCTGATGGACTCGAATCCACAGTGGAAGCTGTGCCTGTTGGTTTCAAAGTCTCGGAAGTATACATATCAACAAAGTAGAAATGAGTATCCGTCGAGCTCTTGCTGAGAGAAAGACTCATCGTCATTGAAGTGACAGTTGCTTGTAGTTGATTGAGATTGAAAGCCTGAATGGTATTGTCACTCGTTCCTGCTGTACACACCTGTGATGCATAGCTCACTGTAGGTGTGGATTGCTGGCAGGCTTCGGAAACTCCAGACGAACTGTAGAAGGATAAGTATCAAAGCATCAAGTGATTCAGAAAACTACTTACCAAAAACTGACCCACTGATCGAAAGAGTAAACCTGAGGGCCCGCACAAGTGGTGTAGGTAATGATAGAGGATACGTAGGAGTAATCCACGAAATGGTCGGTCGAGGTCTGAGTATATGTGGTGCCGCTCCAACTTACAGTCTCGCTGACGAACGTTTTGACCCAAATTGAATATGTCTCATAGTAGAGTGAAGAAGGACGTGTCTGAGTATAGGTGGTAAGGGTTTGATAGTCGCTATCGGCTTCACCAGTATAGACATAGGCTGAATTCGTGACAGATATGGTGGTAGTTGTATACGATGTGGTGAAAGAATAATATGAAGAAGTATTATAAGAAACAATAGTGCCTTGTGAGAGCTCAACATCGCCCGTCCATATGGTTGAACTTGTTGTTAGCATATATGGTTCATACGATGGCGTGGACGTGTACACACAAAAATATCGGCCATCAGATGAGATGCATTCATCTCGACTGTTGAAAGTGAGGGTATCTGATCCGATCAGGTATCCGCTTGAGCATCCCCATATTTCTGTCTAGTTAACGAATGAGACCGAAACGGGATATGGCTCACTCACCCAAGGCAGATTTGCTACCGTTCGACCATGGTCCAATTGCACAGATGGCAGAAGGTAATGTCGATTGCCTCGTTGAAGCTATCACCACCTGACCTAACTTAATTCCCGTTGGTGTTGGAGATGGACTCGCAACTGGTGTACTACTCGAGGCAATTTGACGAGCGGAAATTGGTACTTGACGCTTCCATGGCGTTGCAGAAGCTCTTGGTTCTGGCTCATCGAATGTGCCCAACCTTACTGGAGATGTTGTTATACCGTGGGTCACAGTAGTCGTCGACGGTACCCACCGTGCCCAAGTGACTAAGAAATACTGCACGAGTACGAGCACCAAGACCAGTAATGAATTTGGCATCGAGGAGGACGTTTGGCGGTACTGTTCTCGACACTAGACATCTTGCTCAATATATTATCGTCATCGAGGCTGTGTGGTAACAACACAGAGTCACGAGGCTGTGTCGTCTCGATCAATATTGGAGTTGAAGCCTCGTTTAGGGACGAGGCGTTTTCTATTGGCACTTTACGCCCGAAACAATGCATGCAGCTACAGCCACACTATAATGTAATGCGCTATGATTCTGAAGGAACAAGGCTTTATCTGAGGCGCAGACGCTCAAAGTCTGAGAATGAGCTGTTTCTATGGCGCATGTTAATCAAGACAATAATTATGGTGGGCAATCGACATTAACTTACTAGGCTCTCTATTACTAACCGTTCTTATCGAGTTTCCATCTCTCCAAGACTCGAGCTGCGGCTGATTGGTTCATATGAGCGAGATGGTTTTAGATTGCGTTGATGATTTTCTAAGCCGCCATTGTTCTTCATGATTATCTGAACTGTAGGACAAAGCCAGAAGCCTACTAGGACTTAGAGATGTCGCATCGAGCCAGTCCAGGTATTGAAGGTCGACAAAACCATGTTCCAGGATTCTCGGACCTCCTTCTTTTCTTGCGGCCCATGATTATGAACTCAGTGAATTGGTGCAGCCCAACTTGTATCAAATACTCAGACCACTTATTCGTTGAAAATTTGTGCCTGGAAACTGCTCAACATATGAGTTACTAGGAAGCTTGTGTTTTCAAAAAAAAAAAAGTATTGCTGTGCCATAATCGAAAGATTCACTGGTAGCGCAACTGATTTGAACACCCTTTGCTTAACTTTACAACAGTAGGATGATATCTAGGAACACTTCGATGGAAAGGGATCTGTAATTGACACGGAAGCGTTTTGCCGTAGCGTAACAATCGACAATTGTGGCATATCATCGTCGATATTGGCAGTATTCAGAACTTCAATCGCTGAGGACATTTGCAAAGTTGTGAAGAATCTATCAACAAACATACAACGATATCGTTTCTTGGCTTTGGGGTTTCAGGCGAATTGAAGCAGTCAATGACCAAGTCATCCACCCCTCTTGGACAAGCAAGTCTGTCGCGGTTGATGACGAAATTCTTAAGCATTAAATCAATTACAGGCGCCATCGACTCCATCACTTCTATGTTCAAACTTCGAAACACAGCATACGGAGTATTTTCCCGGAATGGGACATTGATAGGAAATAACGAGATCAGGAATCAGATTTGGAAATTTCCCCACATGTACTCACCCCCACTTTACTACATGCTGCATTAGCCCAAGTCGGACACACTTGCTTCTTTCTGCTCCAACAAGGCAACTATGCCATGTATGCGCTCGTCCCATGTGAAAGTAGTCTTCCAAACTACTTGGTGGGGTACATTGCGGAGGCAGTCATGCTGGCAGACGAACAGAGTAAACTAAAGTATGCCGAACAGCTCAACGTTTCTTGAACCCTGACTTTCAAACATCTCTCTCACCCTACTCTCAACTGAAAGAGAAACGAATTTGAAAATGCCACACGTAACAACCACCGAAGACCCTCAAACCATCCCCTCAAACGTCAAGCTCTTCGTAAACGACGGCCCTCTCCTCAACCCAGGACGACTTCGTCCGTCATCCACCTCTCTCCCCATCGAAGAGCTTCGAACCCGCTACACCACAGACGGCTACCTCTTTCTCAAAAACCTCATCCCTCGCCCCGATGTTCTCAAAGCTCGAGAACAATACTTCACCTACCTCTCACCCACTGGCGTCCTCTCCCCCTCCACCTCCCCCGTAGAAGGAATCTACGACATCACCAAGCCCATCTCTCAATACCCCGGCATCGGCGCCGGCGCCACAGGAGCCAACGGACACCCAGGCGAACACGCAGCCGAATTCGTCGACTTAGCGCTCAAAGCCCACGCTGAGCCATGGTACACGGATTTCTGCCAACATCCCGCGCTCCTCGACTTCGTGAAGCGGTTTACGGGGTGGGAGGAGGATACGGTGGCGTTCCGGAGGACGTTGTTGAGGAATAATATTCCGGGGACGAAGGCGATTGGGGTGCATTATGATCAGATATTTTTGAGGTATGGGGAGGATACTAGTGTGACGGCTTGGGTGCCGATGGGTGATATCTCGTTGCTGGGTGGTGGGTTAATATATTTGGAAGATGGTATGCTGCTCAATAGCATTGCACGGCTGACTTAAAGGGAACGAGCTAACGAAATCAGGCGTGGCATTGGGAAAGTCCTTTGAAGAAGACTTCTCGATGAAAGCTAAGGCGAGCGGGTTGACGGACGAAGAAGCTAAGTCAGCTTTCAATCAGAATATGATGAATACTGGTCTCCTTGATGATGGACCGGCACGGTTCGGAAGAACTCATGATCGGCGATGGCTCGTGAGTGAGTATGAAGCTGGAGATGTTGTATTGCATAGCCCTTATACGGTGAGAGGTAGCCAAATTCATGGAGAGCTTGAGTGCTGAGACATGAACAGATTCACGCTTCCACTGTCAACCATGATCCGGATCATGTGATACGTCTGGCGACCGATTTACGATTCGTGGACTCATCCAAGCCTTGGGATACGGTAAGTTATGGAACCGAATATCTTCGGACGAGCACTTACTTGTCATAGCGGTGGTCGAAGCTATATACGCTCAATGACGGTGTTTAGACGGAGCTGTTCATACGCTTCCTTCCGCTGTCGTGGCAGCTCTCTCTTCACAAGTGAATCCAGTCACCTAGACATGAGATGAGTTTTAGGAATGTATTGAGGATGAAATCATCCCAAGAAATATATACTACATTCATTCCGTCTACTAATCATCAACAATACTCTGTGATAAGCCCAAGCAAGCAATGCAACCATCATCAATCCATTCTGTCACGCGAAAACCTCCTTCCTCGTCGTAGCAATTATTCGTCAGTGACGGAAGCGAACTTCTCATTCATGGCTTGAATCAGATCCTCGTACTATAAGAGTCAACTTAGTCAACCTATACATTCGAGATGAAACATACCTTCTTTACAATTACGTCCTCCCCATCGCTGGGAACCTCGAACTTCATGCTTCGAAGTTGCGATTGGAGTTCAGAAGTAGCCTCTCGAACCTTGCTCCAGCTTTGACCTTGTGCCACCGACTTCTGGGCTTCATCATGGAATCCCATCATGGCCTTCATCATCCATTCGGTCTTCCAGATAGGACAGAATTGATCGTAATCACTGTATCCGTTTTGTTGCAAGAAATCTTCCTTGATCAAAGCGGCAACATCGAGAGTGATCTTGTCTGGATCAGACAAAGCTGACTTTCCGACCAATTGTACGACTTGGTCCAATTCTTCTGAATCGGAAAGAAGCTGCTTGATGCGGTCTCGCAGTCTTGGAAATTCTGGAAAGTCCTTCTCGTAGTACTTATCCAGGACAGTGGTGTACTTGCTGTAACTGAGCGAAGTGTTGATTGAAGGGAAATGTTTGCGCTGAGCGAGCTTCTTGTCGAGACCCCAGAAAACCTGGACTATACCAAGAGTACTGCTGGTAACAGGATCTGAGAAATCACCACCTGGAGGGCTGACAGCACCGACGATGCTAACAGAACCCTCACGCTCTGGTCCACCAAGGGCTTGCACCTTCCCAGCACGTTCGTAGAAACTAGCAAGTTTGGCACCCAAATAGGCAGGGAAGCCTTGATCAGCAGGCATTTCTCCCAGACGACCAGAGATTTCACGAAGAGCTTCAGCCCATCGAGACGAGGAATCAGCCATCATAGCAACATCTTTGCCTTGATCGCGGAAGTATTCAGCTACTGTCTTCAAGACCAAATCAGTATACACTTTTTGACAGAGTTACACAAGCTGAGGATCACAATCGTGGAGCTGAGACCCGTCTTCTACGGCAAGCAGCTCCCGAAGACGAGTCTGGACAATTCGACTCCCAAATTGTCGGGCAAAGCGAGGGTGATTTTGACTTACTATACCAGTATAAATAGAAGCTTCACGAGCGGCCACAGGCATGTTGGAAGTGTTGGCGATAAGTGTGGTACGCTTCATGATAGGCTCCTTGCGGCCATCAATCTCGATTGACAACTCCGGGAAGTCCATCAAGACTTCAGCCATCTCGTTTCCACGCTCTCCGCATCCAACGTAGATAATGATATCACTGTTGGAGAATTTTGAGACTGATTGAGAAATGACAGTCTTGCCACAACCGAAAGCACCCGGAATACAAACGGTACCTCCTTGAACACTGGGGAACAAGGCATCCAAGACACGTTGACCAACAATGAATGGCTTGTCGGCTGCAAGTTTTTCGGTGGTGGGACGAGGAACGCGGACGGGCCAGGTGTGCATCATGCTATACTCGGTCTTCTTTCCGTCGAATTCGACCTCCAATAGCTTTTCGTCGACCTTGTAGCTGCCCTTCCCAGCGATTCCAGTGATGGTACCGCGGGCTCGTGGAGGCAGCATGATCTTGTGGTCGTTCACCAGAGAGTTTTCGTAGACAGTGCCCCAGATATCTCCGCCAGTGATGTGGTCGCCAACCTTCATGGTTGGCTTGAAGTCCCAATCCTTCGTTCTGCTCAAGGCTGGAGCAGCAACACCACGAGGGATGTAAATGCTGTTGGAAGTATCGGCAATATCTTTGAGAGGTCGTTGGATACCATCGTAGATAGTTTCCATCAAGCCGGGGCCTAGTTCGACGGAGAGAGGCTTTCCAGTTCGAATAACGGGATCGCCCACGGTAACACCAGCTTCAGTTCATCAGTAACATGTCCTACAATGTCTTGAGAATGCCCTACCTGTCTCTTCGTAGACCTGAATTGTAGCTCTGTCCGCTTCGATTCGAATGACTTCACCAACGAGGTTATCGTGTCCGACTCGAACCTAGATACTGGTAAGCTTTGAGTTGGAGCTTCACCAGATACGCAGACATACCAATTCGTACATGGCAACACCAATCATGTTCTCTGCAACCACGACGGGTCTACACCAGATCAGTACTTTGTCAGGATGTTGTTTGAGAGCTTGGCATACCCAGAGACGGAGTAAATCGAGCCTGGATAGCTGTTTTTAGCTTCATTTCATCATGTTGAATTGCTGTTGAGACGTACCATATTGCTCCTCACCATCTGCATCCCGAGCTACTTCTTTCTTGGGACCCATCTTGGATGATGTTTCTTCGAGATTCGACTGCTGTGCAGGTCCTGGACTTGGCGGCGGTGATAGGAGGAAGCCTGGTGAAGGAGGCAACGGAGGTAGCTCTGGGAGTAGTTCGTCTGAGAAGCTCGGTCGTGGTGTACGACGAGACAAGGTTTCAATGTTCCGAGCGCGGACTAGATCGTACAACGAGGGTCGAGCTTTCAAACGAGGTCGAAAACCAACGTTCATGAACTTGCAGAGAGACTGGCAATTGGATGGCGGTGTCAGTCGAAGCTAACTTGGCAGATAGGTGCGGGATCTTTTATGTGAGGATAGCTTTGGCGAGGAAAAGCAAATCGCGTTGATAGACGACGCCCCCACTATGCAAGTGCAAGCAAGACGAGTCAACTGCTCCTGTATTTTGGGACAATAGGCAGCAAGCAAATGGCACATATCATCTCATCATAATTAAATCATCTGTATCTATTGTAGTTAATTCAATTCCCGTTTTTGACTTGTGTAATTCTTGTGAACAGATCCGTGAAATGACGATGTCTCTCTCTCAAGGCGGGCAACCAAGGCCATAGTACGGGAGCCGACTCCCCGCTATTCTTCACCTCTAGCTGCAGAACTCTAGCAGCAGCAGCTGCCACCACAACGGAGTAGAGATTTCATGACTGCAGCTGCACGGAGGAATGATATGCATTCTTGACTCCCCAAAGAGCAGGATTACATATTGGATGCTGCACAGTGATCTGACCCGGGTATCTTGGTCTATCACATGTGCAAGGTTGCGCCTGATTCAGCGGCAGCGGAATCGCCTTGACAGTGGTGTCGGCAGCCAACCAGTTACCTACTGACCCTTCAAACCTGACCCGCAAGACAGCGGCGATACTGCTAGCCCGGCCCTGATAGCTTACCTACTTTCCTGTATCGACGACGTGCACTTCATCCTACGACTTCTATCCGCACTCCACGGCCTCGAGAATGATCACATTCACCAGGAAACCCAACTCAGCCTTGGATAGCAGTCTATTCGCCATTCGCGCGCCCTCGGACTGAGCAGTCAGCAACTAAAAGCCACCGTCAAAGCTCCATATCGGATAAAGCCAGCCATTTCAACCACATCACGACTCCATTCTCGAGCCAAGTAACCTGGGTATCTGGAGAGACAGCTACTCAGATACTCCGCTTGACCAACCAGTACTCACGCGGCACGCCGCAGAAGTCGTCCTGGCTGACGATCGTCCCCAACCTGATATATCATCCCCATCCACCTCCGACGACCCATCCACCCCGACAACCCCCTCATTACCTCCCAGCACAAGACTCTCAGCCCCACAATCTAATCAACAAACATTATTAAACCCTTCTCAACAAGCTGCCTCCAGTTCTGCCACAAATACAGCGTCCGACGACTCAGAAGACCTTCCTCTAGCCACAACCTCCATTCTCGGTCGCAGACGTCGAAATAGATCCCCAGACTCGGAGGACCAAGAGGACCGCCACGAGAGTCTGAGGGAGAGTAGACCGGCAAACGAAACAGACCACCGCCGAAAGAGACAACGACAAGGCTCTAGAATGAGAGCAGAGGGGGACAATAGCACTTCAAATGGTACCTCCAGGCCATTCTCGAACGGGTCTGGACCCTCTCCTCTGCACAAAGCGGCAGTGTCTAATTCTGCCAATGGAACACGACGGTCTTCGATAGCTATGAACGGCTCGTCGAGTACAAACGGGCACTCGAATTCTGGGATCAAGCCTCGGCCCCCATACTTTGGCCACGACAGGGAAGAAGTAACAAGGATACTGATACAGGCCTTGACAGACTTAGGGTATGACAATGCCGCTTCAACTTTAAGCCAAGAAAGTGGCTACAATCTTGAGAGCCCAGCTGTGGCCAAGTTTCGAAATGCTGTTCTGCAAGGAGACTGGACACAGGCAGAGAATCTACTGTTCGGAGACTCGCTTGAGGAAGGAGGGGTGAGCATTGGTGGAAACGGACTCGTTTTACAACAAGGTGTCGACCGGAATGTTGTGCGGTTCTGGTTACGGGAACAGAAGTTTCTTGAGCTTTTGGAACAACGTGACACTGGGAAAGCCTTGATGGTTCTTCGACTCGAATTGACACCACTATATCAGGATACAAACAAGCTTCACTTTCTTTCAAGGTAAAATCCTACACATCTTTCATATACATCTAACTGACTTCTTCTCTAGCCTCTTAATGTGTCAGTCTACTGAAGACCTGAAAGTCAAAGCTGAATGGGACGGAGCAGAGGGCGATTCACGGCATCGTTTGTTATCCGAATTGTCAAGTACGTCTATCGACTTGCTGCCGAGAACTTGACTAACACTAGCGCAGGTTGTATATCCCCTTCGGTCATGTTACCTGAGCATCGACTGGCTATTTTAATGCAGCAAGTTAAAAGGCATCAAATCTCGAAATGTTTATACCACAACACGGCATCATCACCATCTCTTTACCAGGATCATAGCTGCGATCGAAGCAACTTTCCTACGCACCCAATTCTAGAATTAGACAAGCATACTGGTGAAGTTTGGCATGTCAAATTTTCGAATGATGGTACCAGATTGGCTACTTGTGGCAAGGACGGCACATGCGTTATCTACGATGTCGGGTCATGGGAAGTTCTCCAGTGCTTAGGATTGCCCGAGAAGGGCATATGCTCTGTTGCATGGAGTCCGGATGACAGCATGATTGTGACGTGCCAAATGGACTATTACGCCATTCTATGGGATGTCCATGTAAGTTCCCTAAAAGGTCTGATTTTGAGCTCAGCTAATGATTCCAAGACCGGTAAGCCAATAGTCAAATTACCTCGCTTTGAGCAACCAGTTGGCGCCTGCGTCTGGGCGCCAGACGGAAGGTCATTCGTGACGGGTGTTCTCGACAAGGAACGTAACTTATGCCAATGGAACACCAGAGGCGAATTGATCTTTGATTGGGGGAAAAGTCATCGAATTCAAGACCTAGCTGTTTCGCCAAATGGTCGCTTCTTGGTCGCCATGACTAATGAGAAGATGATCTATGTCTATAATTTCATCACACGAGACCTAGAGTACGAGTTGGATCTGGATGCTCAAATGTGCTCTGTTAGCATAAGTCAAAACGGTCGGTATTTACTCGTCAACAAAGCCGATGGAGAAGCTTGCATGTTAGATCTGGAGTCGCGAGAGACCATAAAAAATTTCAGAAGCGATGATCCGGGTGGCAATTACGTGATCAGAGCCTCATACGGAGGTGCTAACGAAAGCTTCGTCATCGTTGGTAGTGAAAGTAAGATCTGTCCCTCGAAATCTGGCACATTTTGCTAATCAGATCACTTAGGCGGCAACATTAATATCTGGCATAAAGAGTCTGGCCAACTTGTCGAGAAGCTGCAACATGGAAAATCGTCTTGCAACGCAGTCTCATGGAGTCCTACCGACCCGTCAATGTTCGCTTCAGCAGGCGACGATGGCAAAGTTCGAATGTAAGTTAGGACAATCCCTTTTTGTTGCAGAATCCTAATAATTTCACAGATGGGCAGACATGGATCCCCAAAAACGACACTCTAACGGCTCCCGAAACTCAAATGGGAGATAATGACCCTCTCCAACTCAACAATTTCAAGCATCATGTCGGCGTAAAGGGGCAAGACTGGATATCATGATACAGATACAGCATGGGCGGCGAAATCAGACAATTCGGGCTGGTCGTGGTGACAGTATGAGCATTCGAGGACGCAGCATTTGGTTTCGGAGTTCAGGCTAGGTACATCGTCACATCACCTCTTCACTTTTTGTTTTGCCTTGCTTCATGTCACGCAACGGCACGACGAGTACAGCGTTCGATCGGTCAGGGTCACGCTCCGCTCTGGTCAGGGTGTCGTCGGTCTTGGTCTGGAGTTCGGCATGCGTTGATTTTAGAGAAGGCATTTACACTAGGCAGTTGGCGGGCTGTGGTTATTTCCGAGACAGGGAGGAACATGCCTTGACCTGACTTGGCCGGCACAGGGCATCCTTTTATCATGGCGGATACCTTCAAGATGGTTGCATATGGCATTGTATGTAGATGAGCTATTTGATAGTGGTAGTGCGGTGAATGCGGACTTGAAACATATGCATATCCTTCCTTCGCCCGTGGAATTTTTGGATGTTGATGTTTGTCTCGAGGTCAGTGGTTTTGGGGTCGAAATGACCTCAGCCACAGACCAACATTCAGATAAGATAAAGAGTGCGATGTGCAACAAAATTCATCACGGACATTGAACCCACATTTCTGACCGTCGAAAAATTGGATGTGGTGAATTGTATTCCGAGTTTGGGAGTTGATTTGTAGCCTTTCTGGAGTCGGATATTATAGTGATTTGACGACTTTGAGGTTGGAGAGCCTGGATTTTTGCCCTGAATATCGGTACTGTTTTCGAAGATCCAACCCTACTTGATGTTCGTGTTGAATATGACTTTGGTTTCAAATCTTGAGATTCCTTTATAGTTTTTTAAGGCAGTCTAAGCATTAGTCTAATGTCTGGGTTGAGTCGAGAACTTTTCGAGGTTGAAAGGTGTGCGTCCCGGTTGTGGTTATTGGCATTGGACATAAGCTGTCAAATCATCGTGCTTTGGAAACACGTCCGAAGTTTATTATTTTTTGCTATTCTTGAATTTTTCAGTCTCATAATCAATCAACCTCATCTGCCCATGGAATCGCACTCTGAGCACCCTCCTTCTCCACCGTCCTCCCAGCTGCTTTGCAAGCCAACCTCACCACACTTCCCAAATCCACATTTCCCCTCACAACATTGACTGCATAAGCACCCACAAACGTATCTCCCGCCGCCGTCGTATCAACTACCTTCTTTACCTTTGCCGCTGGTACAAAGTCCCCTTTCTCTTGCCCCGAACTGGCGAAGAATGCACCTTTGGATCCCAGGGTGACGATCACGTTCTTGACGCCTTTTTGGAGAAATTCGGAGGTCACGGTATCCCAGGGGAAGTCTGAAGCTTCGACGGAAGATACAGAGCGGGAGGTGAGGAGCGCAGCTTCGCTTTCGTTGACTATTAGGTGAGTAACGGCTGAGTAGATGTGATCTGGTAGCTTGACAGCTGGCGCTGGGTTGAGCAGCACGTCAACTCCTGCCTTTCGTGCTGTTTCGAGGATTTGTAGTACGGTATCCAGTGGGATTTCGAGCTGTAGGATGATAAGATCTGGTAATGGCGTTCCTAGGGACTCTGGTGTGAGGAAGTCTGAGGGTTGGAGGGAGTGGTTTGCTCCATTGGAAAGCAAGATTCTGTTCTCGCCGCTTGATTCCTCAACTAAGATTACAGCCACTCCTGTGCTTTTGCCTTCCACTACTCGGATCCCAGAGGTGTCGATGTCGTCTTCTTTCATACCAGAGATGAGGCGGGTCCCAAATGCATCAGCTCCTACCGCGCCTACCATCTTTACCGCAACATCTTGAGTTATCGGGGAAGCTGTTCCTCTTGGATTAGGACGCGAAAGTCGAGCACATGCTACTGCTTGATTGGCTCCTTTGCCGCCTGGTCCAGTGCTGAACGATGTTGCCGTTAAAGTCTCGCCGCCGGATGGGACTCGAGGAGTAAGGGTGACAAGGTCGGTGTTTAGAGAACCAATGATTGTTATGGTTTTAGGAGCCATTTTGGACCGTTGAACGGTGCTCAAGATGAGATTTGGTACTTTTCGGATGCCTTTACTTTTCTTCCAAGTTTCAGATAAAATTCACCAATGCTGTGAAAGCACTGTACCTCTGGAACCGAGACTGTTGATTGGTCTAAAGCTGAACCAGTAGAGTTGTGTCCCACACTTTGGGTTCGGTGTTGATGGTACGGCGGGCACCCAATTTTTGAGAGAGCTTAGTAGATCTTGGATATTCTTCGTTCCGTATTCGATAGCCTACCGAGTCCGAATCGTCTTCGAGGAAGCTCACGTGTTCAGGCTTTATATCGGAGCCTGAAACGGACAGGGAGGACGCGTAGGTAACTCGTAAGCTCAAAGGGCGAGAAATCTGAGGATAGTAGCTTTTTTGCGTCTACCTAAAAATGAAAATCGAGTAAGCAGATAGACATTAAGACAGTGACGAGATAAAATGACCGAAACGTCTCTCTTAATGAGTTGTCGAGATAGAGAATCGAAAATTTGAGACAGTTGTCACGAGGCTGATTTTCATACGTATGGAGAGATGACATCGCCGTGATCGCAACTTACTTGAAGTATGCAACTCCTAGGTGAGATATTGCAAAAGATATTTTTAACTTGTTAAGGTTCTCATTATTCACAAAGTCGAAAGAATTTCGGACTGTAATAACTCTCCTAACATTCAAGGCCGCTTTGGACAAGCCACCCCTGACCTTACATCACAAACGAGTCGCGCCTGCACTTTCAACAACGAAAACCATCTAAGCCTCAACTGCCAGCGCTGCACATACAAGACCTCCCACCCACTTGCACACATCTATCAACCATCGAACATACTACAGCACTCCAAGAGCACCTTTTCGAACTTGATGAACATGTCTTCAGCCGCGCAAGGCGGTATCTCGGACCCTGGTCTCATAACGTCAGAGTCTCCTGAAGCTCTCATTTGCGCCGGCTTGCTAACAGACTCGGCAGACTGGTGAATAAGTTACAAGATGTCTTCACGACGGTCGGCGTACAAAATCCTATCGATTTACCGCAGATAGTAGTGGTGGGTAGTCAGTCGAGTGGAAAAAGTTCCGTGCTGGAGAACATAGTAGGCCGAGACTTGTATGCCGCCACATGTCCTTTGTAGTGCACTGCTGATGTGTTTATACAGCTTACCTCGAGGTACCGGTATCGTAACGCGAAGACCGCTCGTGCTCCAACTCATCAATCGTCAGCCTACTGCAGCGAAGACAAATGGTGTAAAGGCAGAAGAGATATCCGCCGGGGCCGATAAGGAAGCAAATGCTGATGAATGGGGAGAATTTCTGCATATTCCAGGGCAAAAGTTCCACGACTTCAACAAGATTCGAGATGAGATTGTCAAGGAGACAGAAGCAAAGACTGGTCGGAATGCTGGAATCTCGCCTGCTCCCATCAACCTTCGAATATACTCTCCTAATGTCCTCACGCTTACACTGGTGGATCTGCCAGGATTGACGAAGGTGCCAGTCGGTGACCAACCCAGGGATATCGAGCGGCAGATTAAGGAAATGGTGTTGAAGCAAATTAGCAAGCCGAACGCTATTATTCTTGCTGTCACTGGGGCCAACACAGATTTAGCCAATTCAGATGGATTGAAGCTTGCTAGAGAAGTAGATCCTGAGGGCCAGAGGACAATTGGTGTGTTGACCAAGGTCGACTTGATGGACGATGGAACCGATGTCGTGGATATCCTGGCTGGGCGAATCATTCCCCTGCGATTAGGTTACGTACCAGTTGTGAACAGAGGACAGAGGGATATCGACAATAAGAAGGCAATCACAGCTGCATTGGAGAACGAGAAGAACTTTTTCGAGAATCATAAAGCGTACAGGAATAAGAGCTCCTATTGCGGGACTCCTTACCTTGCACGCAAGCTCAATCTGATTTTGATGATGCACATCAAGCAGACGCTACCAGACATCAAAGCTCGCATTTCTGCTTCGTTACAGAAATATACCCAGGAGCTTCAAGGTCTCGGCGATTCGATGCTCGGCAATAGTGCGAACATCGTCCTCAATATCATCACAGAATTCTCAAACGAGTGGCGGACAGTATTGGAGGGCAACAACACAGAACTCTCTAGCGTTGAACTTTCTGGTGGTGCAAGAATCAGCTTCGTGTTCCACGAGTTATATGCGAATGGTGTCAAGGCGGTAGACCCCTTCGATCAAGTCAAGGATATTGATATCAGGACTATTCTCTACAACTCTTCTGGATCATCACCAGCACTTTTTGTTGGCACGACTGCATTTGAACTGATTGTCAAGCAACAAATCAAGCGTCTAGAAGAACCCAGCTTGAAGTGTGTTTCTTTAGTCTACGATGAACTTGTCCGCATTCTTACACAATTACTTGGCAAGCAACTATTCAGACGGTACCCAGGACTGAAGGAGAAGTTTCACCAAGTCGTCATCAACTTTTTCAAGAAGGTCATGGACCCGACAAACAAGCTTGTGAAAGATTTGGTAGCAATGGAATCATGCTACATCAACACTGGTCACCCAGATTTCTTGAATGGCCACCGGGTAGGCGAGGTTTTCAGACTCATATCACCATAGCTAACTAAATTTGCAGGCCATGGCTATTGTCAATGAGCGACATAACTCGACCAAGCCGGTTCAAGTGGATCCTAAGACGGGCAAACCAATGCCGGCCTCATCTACTCCCGTCCGAGCTGCAAGTCCAACTCTTGACAGCATGAACGATGCCAATGGTGGATTCTTTGGCAGTTTCTTTGCATCGAAAAACAAGAAGAAGATGGCTGCTATGGAAGCTCCACCACCAACTCTCAAAGCATCAGGCACCTTATCTGAACGTGAAGGGATTGAGGTTGAAATCATTAGTGAGTCAATCTAGATAGCAATTTCGGATCACAGTACTCACACGTCTAGAACTTCTAATCCAATCATACTATAACATCGTCAAGAGAACGATGATCGACATGGTGCCTAAGGCAATTATGCTGAACCTTGTCCAGTCAGTACCGAAGCCCCTTTTGAACGTGCATCACTAACCATTTCCAGATTCACAAAGGACGAAATGCAACGAGAGCTTCTAGAGAACATGTACAAGACAGATGCCCTCGATGAACTACTCAAGGAAAGTGACTACACTATCCGGCGAAGGAAGGAGTGCCAGCAGATGGTTGAATCTCTATCACGTGCGAGCGAGATTGTGAGCCAAGTACAATAAGGCAATCAAATTGATTCGGAATGAAGTACAAGGGCCCGTCCGGCCGAACATGAGGCTACTCGGATCGCTTAGAGCTACGCAGCATTTTGTGTGCTTGCACCCTAGACTGTGTCTTGACGAACATCCTTTTGATACGATACCTCTTCTGGCGAATAATGACGTGGAATGACCAGCGGCGATGTGGACAATGGTGTGCCCTTCACAATCTCGGCGGGAAGCATTAGGGGGATGGCAACGATATGAGCGTGAAAGTTGTATGGTTCTTGTTATTTTCGGCCCTCTGCTACATCCAGACATTCTAGATAATGGAAAGAGATTCATCAACAGCCAAGGCTTTTCGTCTCACAAGGGCTATCAAGTAACGTATGGTTGTGGTTTCGGTTTCATTATCTTCCGTGAGGCTACATATCCTATCTGCAATGGCCCAGTCAATCAATTCCACAGCAGCACGATTGCATCTCACGATCGGACACAAAGATCTTGCAGCGGAGCTTTCCCAGCCCTACAACAGCCTCGTAATCTCCACCGCCTTTCGGATCTGTCCCTACCCCTCCTCCGCAGACCAGTCGTCCAATTCCTCGAAGGCACGCAATCTTAGCTGTAACAAGCATCGTAACTACGCAGCGAACCGGCAGCTCGGAACCATATTGCTCTCACGTTGGTGTGCTCCTAGGTTTGTCCCGCTTGTTTGCGCAACGCCAGGATGCGCCCAACCGGTGGCCGACGGCACTTGGAGCCGATTCATGGAGGAAATAATTGCCATGTGGAGGAGGTTTCTCCTGTCGGGATTGTGGCGACGATGTCTCTCCCAGCTAGGCTTGTGGCGAGAGGTTCCTCCTGGCTGGGATCGTGGCGAGGAGATAGCGAGGAGGGCGAATGAAGAGGTCGGAACAGCACAGACGGGTATTGCCCTGAGCGAGGCGTTCGCTCCCGCACGGGAGTTAAACGCATTGACAGGCTGTTCGGTGCGACATTGCGCAGGAAGAAGCAGCTGGCAGCTAGTGACTAGGAACATCAATCTTTCATGTCGAGATTGAAGCTCCCGCGGTGGGGCACGGGCATTGGCTTGGCTACTTAAACTTTCCCAGTGGACCAGAGACAAAAGCTGTAATCTATCCATTGTTCAGGAGACAACCATACTTAGTGGGAAATCTGCGAATGAGATCCCTCGACAGCTGAGCGAATCGTCATATTCCCGAAGTGGCTGGCTCGGCAAGCAGTTGCTTTTTTCGAAGCAAGTAAAGAAGCTTTCGACTCCTGACTATTGGGAATTTGTTCTTTGAACCAAGAGATAGGGATATAAAGTCAAGAAAAGTCGCTGAAGAAGAAGATGGCTGTAGCTGCAAAGGAACTTCACTGTGGTAGTCAAAGCAAAGTCTCTTGTACTGCTCAATTCCAAGCTTGCTTTCGAAAAGGCAAACCAAATCTCACCATCATAACACCAATCATCAACATGTCCAACGACGATCCCCCTTCTCCTCCTCCAAACCCTCCTCCAAGTCCATCGAGGACCATTGCTTTCGGCGATGGAGAAACCACATAGAGGTATGTGTTGCGAGCTATTCATGGAAATAGAACAAAGAATGACGATCGGCAGGTACTTCTTTTTGCAAGCCTATCCACCCGCCTCAAAAGGCTTGCAAGCCTAGCGACGATCGTCTGATACACGATGCGGCTGCACTCAGCCCCGTCCGGCACTTTCATATTGGAGGAACAGTACTGTACATTGAATAGAGCGCAACGGAATGGAATGGGACTTAATGGGAACCACGGCAGGATCTCTTGGCGTGGATGGGATGGATTTGACTTGTCTGTGGGAATTTCGGGACGTAAAATTAGTAGACCTGGTTTGGGCGTTCTCAGAATGGTGTGAAAAGGACGGAAGAAATATTTGATAGAAATCGCTTCCCATAGGTTGCAATGGAGCTCCGTCACTATCCATTCTCTGTTCCACGGCCACAGCTTTCGACTGTGAGACTTTCCTGAATCTCATTCCTTATTTGGCGATTTTCGAGGGTTCAGCGCAAGGCCCAGAATGTCGATTACAATTTGGAACTCGATTTCTTGATTAAACCTCCGTTTTCGATGTCGAAATCCTTACCTCGCTTCCACCCGAGCCAGTGGTTCAGTGTTTCTTCACCTCCACGCCCAGGAACGAGAATTGTGGCTACGTATCCTGCTCCTTTAATCCCGGGTCCTTGTCCCGTAGCTGGGTCTCTTGGCAGATCCGAATTAGAGACAGCTAGACTAGGGGTGTTCCTTAGCGTCACGGCTGGCCTCTGGTCTCCTTCTCTTCCGTTGTCCTTTTGCCGAAGCTCTGCATAATCCAGTACTGGAGTACAGCAGGCATCTGTGCCATCAAAAATCACCTCCCACTCAGACCTTGTCTTGGCTTTGAATAATTTTGTAAAGGTGTGTTTTAGTTCAGGCCATGTCCTTCGATCATCCCGTGTCCTCTCAATTCCTTTTCCCGAGAGGCCGAGGCCTTTTAGAAGCTCTGCAAAGAATTGCGGCTCGAGCGCGCCCACCGCCATATGTTTTCCGTCTTTTGTCTCATACGTATCATACCAAGGGCAGCCACCATCAAGCACGTTTTCCCCTCGCGGCTTGTTCCACATTGGCGTATTCAACAGCAATCTTGGGAATGTGGCGAGGTAGGCGCTGCCATCCACCATGTTTGCCTCGACGATCTGCCCGCGGCCAGTCTTCTCTCTTGCAAACAAAGCAAGTAATATTCCTTGAAACAATGTGGCCCCTCCACCAGCAAAGTCTCCAAGAATATTGGCAGGTGGTAGCGGGTTCTCTCCTTTTCTACCAAGCATAGATAAGGCGCCAGAAACAGCAATGTAGTTGATGTCATGCCCAGCCATATCCTTGTATCTGCCATCTCTTCTGAATCCAGTCATACGTCCCACTATAATCTTCGGATTGAGACCAAGCAAGATATCTGGGCCAATTCCTAGTTTCTCAAGTACACCGGGGCGAAAAGGATCTAGTATTACATCTGCGTGGGAGACGAGAGCTTTTATAAATTCGATTCCGGAGGGAGATTTCAGATCAATAGCCACTGACGATTTGTGTCGTGTAAGGAGATCATTCGTTGGAGGTGGAGGTCTCGATGGAGTATCTGTATGGGTGACATTCGGTATTGCTCGATCGATTCGTAGGACGGATGCTCCGTTATCGGCTAGAAGAAGGCCTGCGAATGGTCCTGAAAGTTGTTAGTTGGTCGAGAAGTTGCAATTGCGTGGGGGATTGAGCATACCTGGAGCTAGGCCTGCCAACTCCAAGACACGCAAGCCAGTGAGAGGGGCTTTTCCTGTCATGTCGGGTAAGTGTGGGGTATAGAGAATGTGGAAGAAGGAATGTTTGTCTTCGTGTCAAACAATATCACCAATGAAAAATTTGACCACAGAGACAAACATCATGGTGGGATGTACGGAGTAGAGGTCGTAAGAAACATAAAGGGTTGCCAACTCTGTCCCTTAACCGGAACCGAGGTTTGTCAACTTAAGCTTTTGCGGGGAAAGCCCGAGCCGAAATCCTGGAGCGGACCGAACAAGGTTACCGAATCCGTTATTGCCAATTTTCTACTACTCAAAGCTACTGTACAGGTACATGCTTCACGGAAGACTCTTTCATCCTCGTACTGCTGTTGCTCAAAGCTTCATTTATCACCCTCTCAGTCACCGTGCCGGAGTCTGATTGACAGTCTAGCGCCCCTGACTCACATCGAGTTGCCTTCAGATCTTGCTCCATGAGCGCGAACACAAGGGTGTCATGAATACTTCAGCAAGATACTCCAAGAGTGCCAATATCTTTCCAAATAGGCCATTCTGGAACGAACATGGAGCTTGGGTTGAAGCACCCAAAACGCCTCCGATATGCTGGTGTCCGAAAAACCCTCCCCCAGCAACGAACCTGTGTGAGAAATGCCGAGCAATTCGAATACGCCATGTTATCTTTTGTGAAGCTGAAGGTCGTGTGGTTGATCTGGGCAAGTTGAACGATCTCGTTCATCGTCCCGAATGTGACTTTTGTTCTTTGATATCTCTCGCCTGTCAACAAACCTGGTGGGGGCGATGGGATGAACCAGCACGCGAGGGAACAACTTGTTACATCAATGCTCTTGATCCAATGAGACAACAAGCCAAGGGTTACGCATTGCAATTCACAGCGAGGGTTCCGTCAAATTGGCAGTGGCTTGAGCTTGAAGCTGTGTTCAAAGGCCATGACTCGTATCTTGAGCCATCCAGCAGCAGATTTGAGATCTGCCCTACGACAGACGTGGAATTCCTAAAGACATCTGTCAAGATTTGTGAATCAAATCATGAACGATGTGTGGCGGTGGCTGGTTCAATCACTCCGGAGAAGATGTTGATCATCGATTTGGAGGATATGTGTGTCAAACCAGCCCCTGGTGGTTGCAGATACGTTGCCCTGAGTTATGTCTGGGGCAAGATAACTGAAAATTGGCTGGCACTCACACGGGACAATTTCGTTAGCATGGGCCGAAAGAATGCGTTGATAGGTGCAAGCCTACCACACACGATCAAGGACGCCATGCAGCTGTGTCTCGATCTTGGAGAGCAGTATCTGTGGATCGATAGCTTGTGTATTCTGCAAGATGATCCCGTCTCGCAGAAGCAACAAATCGATATCATGGACTTGATTTATGCGTCTGCAACCTTGACTATCGTGGCAGCTGCCGGAGACCATGCCAACAGTGGGTTGCCCGGAATCAGGCGATGGTCGAGGACGGCCAAGCGTCAGACTATCACGATCCAAGACATTGAGATCAGCAATATACTGCCTCGTATGGCGGATACAGCTGAAAAGTCCGTATGGAACACGCGCGGCTGGACGTATCAGGAGCGTATGTTCTCACGTCGGTGTATATTCCTCACCGATGGACAGGCATTTTATGCTTGCTCTGAAGAGGTGTGCTATGAGAGAAAGAATCGTCTGCTTCCTACTAATTGGAGTGTGGAACGTCTGGATACCAAGTACAAGTTCAAGACGTTAATTGAATTTTACTCACATGCTGTTCAAGAGTACACACTTCGGTCGCTGACATCACCAGCGGATATATTCAGAGCTTTTCAGGGGATCATGAATGACATGACTCAAAAATGGGACCAGAAGTTCTTTTTCGGCCTGCCAAGTAAGAACTTCGAGGATGCTCTACTCTGGCAAGAGGCAGGTCAAGCAGAAAAACGAATTGCAAATGTGGCTCTGCCCAGCTGGTCATGGGCATGTGTGAACGGTGCTGTCAAATTCTCGTTCACAGAAAGAAGAGTGGTCGAGACTTCCCAGATTCCGGCTTTCTGGCCAGATGATCAAGAACCCAAACAATTCGGCATTGATTGGCTCTTGAATGAAAATGGCTCGCAACTTTCCCGAATCAACGATACGCCACCATTTCCCGCCAGTTCTACCTTCTCAGCTATCAAGCCTCCCGCAGATCTTGTCAGTACGACTCTTCAGAAACCCGGTAGACTATTGTTTGAGACTCAGTATGCAATTTTCAATCTCGCCAACAATGTTCCTTTTGTTACGGAAGATTCGTGGTTCACGGACTATACACAGGATGTTAATTTCTCAAAGAGATCAATTGCAAGCATACTCCGAGCTGGGAATCCCGGCGATCCCATTGGTTTCATTGAGCTAGATAAAGCCTGGGCGGAGCAGAATCTAATTCAGGAGGGGGAACCGCACCCATGGCAGTTCATCGCCATCTCACTGGCAGCCATGGATCCGAAGGATTTCATGAATCGTCACTTCACCGCGAGGAGAAATGTTGACTATCCCCTGGTCTTAAGCCGCAATGTCAGAGAACTGATTGTCAATGTCATGTTGGTAGAAAAGCTGGAGACTGTGGCCAGAAGGCTCGGCGTTGGGAAGGTCTATCTCGATTGTTGGGAGCTGGCTGTTCCTCAAAGAACATGGGTGGTGCTAGAATGAAAGGGAGTCATGCACCACGGATATGGACTATGTCTCAGTAACAAGGACATCAGATTTCTCCGGCGCCGCTCTGAATACGTATTCGGTGGTGCGACTTAACGGTGCCGGAAGTAAGGGCAGCCACTGGACCCTAACGTCCGCGTTTTTGAGACCTGCAGCACATTGCAGACCGAGATCAGTAAGCCTCCTCAAATTGGATCAATATCGAGATCTGCCATCGGACACCTCTTCTTCAATTTTGTGGAGAATCCAAATAAGCGAGACTCCTCGTTTGTTCAGTCTTGGGCGTCCAATGCCACTCCAAGATTGCATCTTTCATTTGTGAGAACTCCACAAGCAAACCCCAGCATCTAGATTTTCAAGCAAAAGCACTTTTCTGGCATCTCCACAGCGGCATTCTTGTCCAAGACATAATTCCCATGAACTTTTGTCCTTTTGGACCTCCAGGTTCGGATTTGCGAAGCACCCGAGCTCCATACCAGAACTCTGCAGCAGGGCAGAATGCTGCGCTTCGATGACTTCCATTAATATTGTTTCCACTACTATTTACCATCTTTGAACGACCACGACTCCACATTACGTCCTTCCTATACTACCGCGAGATACAGAAGTCCTTGAAGACTCACAGTCAGCTAAAAAGGCATCAATTTTCTGCAGCGACGCAATATGGACTCGGTGGAAACTTCCTGGGACGCATCCCCAGAGATTTCTTGTCCCAATTAAGATGCCGTAGCCGGATTACTGAAGTGTTGACCTGCAAGTTCGACTGCGATTCCCGCAGAGTAGCAAACATCAGTGTGCTGAGAGCACCAGAGAGTGCTGCGTGGCCCACTCTATGGTAAGTAGATCCTCATCAACACATATCCAGGGGACTTGGACTCCGCCATCATTGCTCATACATTGGCCAGTACAATGTACACATGCATGATCTAATCTGCTGCAGGCCAACCAGCATAGCCTCCGCATGAATTTACGGAATACTACCTAAGCCTTGGTAGCCCTTGCGGATAATTCCTGACCAGCATATCACCTGTCTACAACAGCCATTCGAACCCTTCGAAGATTGCTAACTCCGGGCATACAGGTTGTCTTCTTGGCAGCCAGAGCCGCTTTCCACAGCTCAGAAGTTGCTGAATCTTTGGACATTGCGTCGTCCCTGAAGGCACAGGCTTTTTGTACTTTCTGATGCCACCAAGTTCAATGCTGTGCGGGAGCAGGGGCTTTTGGACTCTGCACTTCTTATTGTCAGACACTGACAGTTGGCACCTTGCCTGTTCAGGGTAAGGAGGCTGGTGCGGGGTAAAAGAACCGACATAAGTTGCATGAAGACTGCAGTTGAGATACACAAGAAGACAGAAGAGACCCAACTCTGCAAGCTCAATATTTTGACGCGCTTCAGGCCAGCTTTCGGATTCTTAGCTATGGTTCTGAGTGTAAGTTTGAAAAGCTGGTAAGGTTTAAATTTGTTACATTGGGGGACAATTTCTTGTCAATTCTTTTATTTACATACATTTCCTTCACCGAATCTGGGCAACGTAGCATTACCTCTTTTCCAACGGTCTTCGTGTATCTTTCTTTTCTTTTGATTGAACACGTGTTGCACCTGCATCACGAACTCGTGTTCCAATGAACTCTGCAAGTGGCGTCTTGCCTGCAGAGGCTGAAGTACGATCTAGATCCTTATCTTTTATCTTGGGTCTTGATTCGTAATCACATCCGACTGTCGGCTTTCCCATCAACATTGGTCTCACAGTACGCTATGGAATTTGTTGAGTCTAGAGATGTCGTACGATATCCTGTTCTTCATCATGGAAGTGGGACCTTCAGCTCCTCTGAAGCAGCGGTGAGCGCTGCGAGTCGTCGAAAGCTGTCAAAGTTGTCCTGCAGTCTTGACAACGGGCCGGTCCACAAAGAATCAGGGTAGTATTTGCAAAATATCTGAAACATCTAAGCTAATCGAGACCATTGGCTCGAGAGTGTGGCAGTGACACGTGACAACCGAGGGCAACTCGAATACCTATGCCAGATGTTCGAGAGCTCTGGACATGTTCATAGCCAGTAAAACCATCAGTCGCGAAGCAAGTTCGGGGCTTATCCTGAAAAATATACGAACATTGCATGAGAGTATGTATTAATCTTTATAAATACAAAAAATTCCGCGGCGGAATGAGCGACAAGAATAAATACATGTGGACAAACTCAGCATACAGATCATCAACTAAATACCAGGAACATCAAATGCAGAATTATCCGAGGGCCAGTTCCCCATATTGGCCGGGTCCTTCCCAATTCTTATAAATTGTCCAACAGAGGGCGTCGGTCCATCCAACACGAATAACATGAACCATCCGGGAGGTGCTACATGAGCATTTGGTGGAGCTGTGAGTATGCATGTATTGCCTCCACAAGTCACCGCCGGGAAAATGGTTCTCTGGCCCATGGAATTGCCATGAGTTGATACCACGGATCCTAGCATAGAGACCTTGATGTCTGCTGTAGAGCCAGAAGTGAGGGTGAATGACACGCTCTCTCCGTAGTCCCAGTCTGTGCTTGAAATCTCGAATGTTGGTCGAGGAAGGCCAGAAAGTAGATATGGTGGGCTGAAAACCTCGACTCTGTACTCCTCGGGCCATGATCCTGCAGGTTGGATGAAATCACCAGAGGGATCAGAGCCAGAAACGAGAACACGACCATCTACGAGTAACGTAGCCTCGGAATGGTACAGACGTGCGACGGTAGTGTTGCCCATGATGCTCATGCGAGAGTTGTGTGGCTGGCTTGGGTCGTAGAGAACAGCGTTGAAGTTGGGATCACCACCCAGGCCGAAACCTGCTACACCGTGCTGTCCTCCGTTGAGGATCAAATATGTCCCGTCTGGTAGACCAGCGATACTTGGCATGACACGTCTTGAAGGCTATTCAGAATGCTGGGTCAGTGGTGTAGACATTTCAGGCTTGAATTTATTTACCATTCTTTCAATGACCCAAACAGGCTCGGGGTCTTCTGGAGCTGTTGTTATGCAATTATCAAGAGCAAAGCCACCTATTGCGATTTCATTAGTCTTGATTCTCTTCACTTGTGATGCGATCTGCTCAGAGAGGAATGCATCTGGACACTTGACTTACCATCTGAAGTACTTCCACCACAGATCAAAACTTCCAGATTATCAGTATAAGGGGCGTATTGGGGTAGTAGAGCCATGGTCCCCTCTAGTTGATAGTTACGTCCAGCAGTAGGATCATTGACGGCGCCAGGCATGTTCGGAAGTGTCTTGATGGTTTCGAAAGTTACCTCGTCCAAGATACGAGCCTCGTTATAATATGCGATGAAGATACCAGACGGAACCACGCAAACGAATGGATATAGGTTGAATGGCGCTGTGCGATCCAAGAATTCCAAGTAGACGGTCGTATTGGAGTAACCGCTTACTGTTGTCGGGTCAGGAACACCTGTTGCGGGCAAGATTTCAAGAGTTGGTTGTTCTGCGGCATTGCTTCCGATCTCACCACCAACGACTACACAAATTAGCCATTAATGTTCTCAAATTATGCGAACCGTTCCATGGAAGAAGACTCACTGAGCATAGACCCGTTGGCCATAATCATAGCTGAAGCATACCAACGCGGCACCTGAAGAGACACCACACCTGGATCCTCCTGCCAATCGTTTGTCCCTGGTACACCAGCAGATCCGTCCGGCCAGTAAAGTCTAACACCGAAATTTGACTGGCCTGCCCAGCCTCCAATAGTAATTTGTCGACCTACTTTGTCAGGTAATGTTAGTCCAGCTGAGCAAAACACGTCGGTTTGAAGCCCAGTCATTGTTCTCCATGCTGCCGCGAAGTCGTCAATCTCAGTCAAGTCCAGTTCGTAGGCGCCTAGTATAGAAGTCAGCATGTAGAAAAGCTGTTCGTTTCGCAGTCACTGAGGCAGGATTGGATTGAGAAGTGCATATTGTAGTATGAAATGTGAACAGATCTTCAAGAAGTGGGGCATACCTGTTCCGTTGGGCTCTCCAGAACCATATTTCTCTGTAAATGTAACCTTGCCAGTAACGACTTGAGAGACCATAAGTGGCACGACGACACCACCAATCAAGAAAGTATACTCTCCCGCTGCAGGACCGGTAGGGAAGCCGAAGTTGTAAAGAGGTTCAGGTCCATCCCAAGCGTAGTATGACAGGAGGTTTCCAGATCCGCAAAGATATGAAGCGTTACCTGCACACACAGAATTGCACTCAGAATCAGGGACGATTTGAGGCGGCGCGGCGCGATAGTAGTTTTGAACAGCGTTGGGATCTGTTGAAACGCCAGGATATGACGCAACTGCGATGTTCTCCACATCGCCGCAGACTGGATTCTTGTCAGTACAGACTCATCTCCAACTCCGGACAGGTGCTACTGACAGCATTGAGAACCATATTCCAAACCTGCCGCATTGTAACCAAATATTTGACATTGTTCTATGCATGCGCTTGGGGTATTGCTCGCGTTTTGCCAAACCATGTAGGGGAAGGTGCTTACGATCTCATTTGGATCTTCAGCGGAAGGAACGTTGTCCCTGGTTCTATTGTTAGCTCTGCGCGCACATGTCGTAAGACCGACTCACTGTAGACAACCCATGTAGACCCAATTGGCGGGTAGATCAGTTTTCTGAGCAGCAGGCGACGCATAGACCTTCGGCGGGCCGTCCGTAGAGGAGAGCGATATTCTGTTCCCTGCTCCACACATTTCGGCTTTATCACCACCGCATGGCATATTGCAATCGGCTTGATTTGGCGCAAGAGATCCTCCGTTGTAGATAAAATTGTCACAGTAACATTGAATACTCCATTCAACTCCAGACAAGGTATATCCCAAAGCCGTACAAGTTGCAATGCACGATTCTTGCGTCAATTCTAAGTTGTCGGGTTGCTGGTGTTGTAGAATACGTCCGTTGTATCCGTCCAAATAACAACCTTGATACAAACCTGTTGCAATGGGTAATGGAGCTTGTGTACTTGATGCAACCGACGAAGGAACTGCACCTGATACAGACGAAGGCATTGCGCCTGATGCAGACGTTGATTGCTGAGTCGATGGACCGACCTTGTATAAGTCGAGTCGACTGCCAGCACCGCAATACTCGTATGGATTTCCTGGACATATCATATTGCAATCTGTCAACGGAGCTACCACAGAGCCAAGATTGATCACATCTCCGCAATAACCTTAGATTTTTGTCAGCATGTGTCTTGAATGGTAGAAGATTGAGCTGGGACGTACACTCTCCGCCATACTCAGCTCCGAAGTATGTGTAACCAGCACAATCAGATGCACATAGTTCCAAAGTCATGCCAGTGTAATTGAAGAAAGCTCCTGGTGAAAGTGCTCTCACTCCAGTAGCTTCTGTGTAGCAGCCCAGGAACGAATACCCTTGAATTAGTGTATTGGGAGATAAAGTAGGGCTAGAATTTGCTGTCGATGAAGTTGTGATCGAGGACAAGAGAGTCACTAGTGTAAAAGAACTTCCCACCGCTGGTGACGCTGTGAGAGAAGAGGACAGGATAGTCGCTTCCAAAGAATAGCTCGGGACTGCAGATGATGAGAACAGTGACGAGCTGAGTGTTTGGCTGAGAGATGTGGACCCGAGGGTTGATGAGATTTCTTGTACCGAAGAGCTTGCACTAAAGCTCGATGAAGATGAGCTCAGTTGTGAAGAGCTACTAAATTGCCAACTAGAGGAGGAAACAAGAGTTGAAGAGCTACTCTGCGATGAGCTGGCAAACTGCAATGTGGATGACATTGAGCTTATTTGTGAGGAGCTGCTCGATCGGGTGCTGAAAGAGGAAACAAGAGTTGAAGAGCTAATATCCGATGAGCTGGCAAACTGCGATGTGGATGATGTTGAGCTTAGTTGTGAGTAGTTACTGGATTCCAAACTAGAAGAGGGAACAACACTTGAAGAGCTTATCTGCGATGAACTAGTGAATTGTGATGTAGATGAAGGAAGCACTGTCGAGCTTAGCTGTGAAAAGCCGCTAAATTGTGAGCTCGCAGAGCTAATCCCTGACGAGCTGGATGGAACTAGCATTGAGCTCAATTGTGGAGAGCTGCTCCATTGAGAGCTGGAAGAGCTGATTCGTGACGAGCTGGTAACTTGCAGTGTGGAAGAAGGCGTGGGAACCAGCATAATACTAGAAGAAATGGAAGTATAGACCGATGAGCTCGTTTTCAACGAGCTGGACGATGATGGCGTCGATGTGAGCGAGCTTTGTAGACTAGATTTGATACTTGAAGCTGAACTGGAGACATTCAAATATGGAGAAATGCTAGAGGAGCTCTGTTTGCTGCTTGTCGTCCCAGAAATGGTAGACGAGGTCTGTTTATTACTTGTTGTCCCGGGAGTGCTGGAAGTGGTCTGTTTGCTGCTGCTTGTTCTTGGAGCCGTAGAGGAAAGTTTTGATGTCGATGTCGACGAGGATAGTTTGCCAGAAGAACTTGACGATTTTTGAGAACTAGTGGGACTTTGAGAGCTTGTTAATGATGATTTCTGGGTACTCGACGACTTCTGTGAACTAGAAGAGACTTGCGAGCCAGAGGACTTTTGGGAGCTCGTTGACTTTTGAGAAGTAGACGAGACTTGAGTACTTGACGATTTCTGGCTGGTCGATGATTTTTGAGTGCTCAGAGAGACTTGAGAGCTTGACGTTTTCTGAGTGCTCGATGGTTTTTGAGTGCTCAAAGAGACTTGAGAGCTTGACGTTTTCTGGGTGCTCGATGACCTTTGAGTGCTCGAAGAAAGTTGATTGCTTGACGACTTCTGGGAAGTGGAGGAGACTTGAGAGCTTGACAATTTCTGGGTGCTTGTCGACTTTTGAGAGCTGGAGATTGGTGTGCTTGACTTTTGCGTACTTGACGAAGTACTCGCTTTCGAAGTGGAAGAGGATTTGGTCAAAATACTCGAACTCGCTGTAGTAGCAGAATGGGTGGTCGAGCTTGATGTCCGGGATGTTGAAGAACTTTTGGAGTTGGAGCTGGAGCTGGAGCCAACAGCTAGTACGTAGGGCTGTAATGGCACAGAGTTCTTGTAGTTGTATACATCCAAGCTGTTCACTCCACCACAGAACTCCGAGTGGTTACCACTGCAATGTGTGTCACAACCTGCCAAACCAGTTTTCGCAAAGGTAACTCCGTTCAGGATTGTATTGCCACAATCTATCAAAGCTGTCAATAGGGTCCCTTGTAATTTATTGCAAGCAGAGAGAATCCTCAATCATTCTCGGACATCTTTCCTTGCAGAATACCTGAAAGCAGAACTTACAGCATGTTCTCCCATGTTCCACTCCTGCCAGAAGGTAGCCTGATTCCTGGCATGCCGTCGTACAAGCAATGACAGTCAAAGCTCCTTTCCCTCCTGTAGTTGCAAGCGTGTTAGAGAGAGCTAGTCCAGGTTTTGCTTCCCTAAATTCGTCTCAATTAGCATATATATGAATTGGAAATACCAGTCATTTCAGACCGCCATCTGCAATGAATAGCACACGTTTGCTTAGAGGTGCCGCACAAAACAAGAAAGTAGCTGAAGACAAAACTTACTCATAACATCCTGCGAAGAACCAATTGGGAGGGCCTGGATTAGTTTGAGAGAGCACCGCGGCAGCTCTGATCGTGAGGGCATTCGAAGGCGAGATCTACTAGATATTAGAATGCAACATCGCCAGAACTCCTTGAGATGGGAAATACCTACAGCTGATAATATTTGAAATAAACTGAACCCAACTCTAAGAAGCCGTACCATTTTGAAAATTTCCTAGCGAGGAATAACGATAGTGATGAATGTCTTTGTACAGAGTGAGAGAATTAGAGATCATAAGAACTACCAAGTTAAAGAAAATACATTGACAATCAAGCATGAAACTCAAAAGCGAGAAATATCAACGGGAGATTTAATGGCTTGGCCCCTTGACAAGTTCCAAGACTTCGGCAACATCCTATCAAGGACTGCGTATACATTTCAGATGAATTTGGGCTCAATGGCCCCGCAAATCTGAAATATCAAGCAGGAAAGCCTATCACTTGCGTAAGAGTGAGACACCTCGAGGGATACAGGAAGTCGAAAGATGCGAAAAGCAAAAATTGCCGGAAATGGTAGACGCTACAAAGCTTGATAGACGCCACAGATCCAGAATCTGCATCGTTTCCAAAAAAGGAGAAGATACCCCATTTTTTCTCCACGATTAGAAAGCATACGATTGAGGTTTGATACCAACAAGAGAAGGATGACACTCCGTCAGGAAGGGAAGACATGCTACAGCAAACAGAAGCACCCCTCGGTACAGAATTGAGCGGCCAAAGGGAGCCCCTGAGTAAAGATTCCGAATCTTTGAGACAAAAAATGAATTTGTCTTCATGAAAGACAGATCCAGAACCCGGGACCTGAATTGAGGTCTCACCAAGCAAATTCATCTCAATCGAGTCTGAATCCAACGAGACGAGTCGTATGATATTGACAGTCTTTATCGAGTCCTTCGCTGAAAGGGTGTATCGATACTCGACACCTTGGCAAGGGGTCGCGAAGGGATGTTCGGAGGAAAAACTTTTTAAACCTGTTATCATGACTAATGCGGTCCGTCTTTCATCCGGGCATATCATTTCTTCAGCTCCTATCTGAACGCTCCGCTCAAGGTCTTACTAAAAGTCCCATTGAATCTCTCAGGTTCTCAAGAAGGCGGCTCGGATCAAACATTACCAGGTCACTCCGACATGCTGGTAACGGCGACGAAAGAATGAAGAGACTCTATCAATGGCCACGTGACTAAAGATCTGCACCAATGTTGACGTTCGTCAATCAGATATACTGTATCCCTTCTGATCCTCTGTCTAACTTTGTAAACTTCCCAGGAATTGAGGGACAATTAAGTTATCCAAAAAGGACGTAATAATGCCCAGGTAATCTTTGCGTCCAATATAAGCGGCAAAGGCACCAAGGCTCAGGGCTACACTGTATCCGAGATATTCACCCAAGCTTCAAAGAGGACTTTCTGGTTATTAAATCGGCGTCTGTAAGCCTCTGCTTATGAGATGCCGGTCAATGGCGATGGGACAATGAACCTTACAAGTATTTCTATCATTGATCACATGACGGGAGTCGAACCAAAGTTCTTGCAGTCAAAAATCAAAAATCAATGCATTGTTATGCTATCCTATCTGCGAACAAAGCAAAAGTGGTATCATCCAATCCCCATAATCACCGAGCAAGTAAGACCCAACTCTCCATCCGTCAACACTCAATTCTTCTCCTTAATCTCGATTGGTTCAGGTTGAACTGGCTGGATATCTTCAAGATCCTTGCCATGAGCCACGATGTGTCCAGTGGGCAACATGTTCAAGCGATCATCATCACGATCCAAGTTGCGGTACTGGAACCAGAAGCAAACTCCACCGATGAAGGCCAAGACTCCCATGACACCGTAGTTCCACACGAGTAATGGATCTGTGGACAGCGAGACAAAGGCTTCACCCAATGCTGCTGAGATGGCAGACATGAAGAGATTGACTGCCATGACGAGAGATCGCATGTTCTTTGGTGCCTTGGAGAAAGCGTATTCCAAAGTGGTGATGGACGCGAAGATTTCAGAGATGGCGATCTAATTAAAATGTTAGCACTGTGAAGCGTATATAAGAGGGGGATACACATACAAGCACATAGGCGGGAGTTTGTGCCCAGACATTGATACCGACAGTAGGGCAAGGAATACTGCCATCGGCAGCGCCGCCAAGAGATACTGGCAATGCCAATGAGGCGTAGTTACCGCACACACTCTGCTTATAGATGTATGCTTGAATAACAGCTGCGCAGACCATTGCGAGTGAGCCGGTGAAAAAACCTGCCGCGATCTTTTTGATGGGCGTAAAGTTGATCTTGTATTTCCGAAGAAGTGGGTAAATAAACAGGTCGCAAATAGGAATCAAGATGATGAGGGCGAAGGGATCGAGATTCGACATGACATCGTTTGGAAGGCCGTGGAGATCCATGACAGCAGCTTGAGAAGTCAAGTTATTGTTGAGTTGGTTGTAGGTAAGCCAGTATAGAGGCATCCAGCAGAAGACAGAGCAAGCGGCGAAACCTCTACCGACTTCATCAACCCATTGATCGTCAAATGTCATCCAAGAAGGTCTTCGAGAAGGCTCAATATTGGAGGGCTTTACTCGCTCCCAGAACATGCCGTCGTTGAGGTTCTTGAAAGTTCTGACAGGGTTGATTGACCACTGGCCCTTGTTTGCCAACAAGAAAAGAGCACATGATTTACCAAGAACTGAGCCTGCAGGTGGGGTTCGAATATAAATCTTGCTACCGTACCAAACAACAGCAGGGCAGAGACAGAGGAGGGTCGTGGGAAGAAGGTAGGCGAGCCAGAAGCCGACGTATTTCTCTGCATACACCATGCCGATTTGTCCAACCAAAGCACCGATGTTAATAAACAAATAGAAGTAGTGGTAGACTCGGGACTGGGTTACAGCTGGATCGAAGATAACTCGTTCTCCAGAAGGCAGTTCGCGCACAACCATCTTCGTAAGGTGCAATTGTTCGGCAATGAGTGGGGAGATGTTTGATTTGAAGGAACCAGTACCAACACCCATGATGATGAGACCAATAACTATTGAGAATTAGTATTTATGCTAGAGACTTAGAGGGGTAATGTCCCTGCTACGCAGAGAGGCTTTGACTTACTGAAGGCCGACAAAGAGTTGTGGGGGTGGACAATAACTGGCGGAATGGCACTCATCACCAAGACGATGTGGCCGACAATAGCAATTGCAAGAGCATAGCAGATGGTCTTGTAACGTCCAAGGTATGTATCCGCAACATAGGCACCGAAGAGAGGCATCAGGTAGACCCAGAACTGGTTGAACGTAGTCAAACCCGTGGAGGCTTGCTGGCCCATGTTCAATGCACCGGATTGACCTGAGAATCCTGCACCAGTCTTGCTTCCGAGGGGCAGAGGTTGTTGAATGAAGTTGGTGACTACAGAATGAGTTATTGGGATTCCTTAACTTTCAGCCTTGAAGTATACTTACAAACGACCGTTGTGCCATAGTAACTAAACCTCTCGCACAATTCAACAAAGGCGAGTGTGTAGACCTTCCATGGGATATGATCGGCAACTCGACGAAGAGTGTGCAGCTCTTCTTCGGTTGGATATTCTCCCTGGATTTCCTCATCGCTCTCGTCATTTTGATATTGAAGGCGAGATTCGGTGGGCATGCCCTCGACTACCAGAGGAAGTTCTTTCTCGTGGTTGGCAGCGGGTCCTTCATGTTTGAAGTCTGGGGCTAAAGCAAGAGATGGGTCGAGCTTCGCGCCAGCGGCAGCATCGTCAATGTTTCCAGGCATCTTGTAGATTATTCTCGTTGTCGATAGGAATATTGGCGATGATGGAGTTCAGGAGATCAAAAACGGAGTCGGATTGGAGGGGAGGGGTTGCCAAGCTAGAGGAAACCTGATACTCGCGTATTTGCCAAACGACAAGAGTGAGGGTATGACTTGAATCTTTATATGTATCGAGGAGTCCTTGGCACAGCTACATGGGAGTCGCACGATATCAAACCGATTCACTAAAACAAGTGCTAATGATCTATCACAAGCCAATCATTGACCTTTGGTTTGTGGCAATGTTGCATACCTCTTGGCATGTTGCTGACTTGGATAAATCGAACATCCTATTATTCTGGCCTTCGGTGCAGCCGCGGAAGATCAACACGCTATCCCGAAGCAAAACCGCCTGCCCTTGCCAGATTGAATGTAGCATCGGAAACTCCCACTGGACAGTCTCGCCACGGTGGACGAAATTGAACCTTCGCGTCGGATGGTCCGTTCAGGAGCTTGACTGTAGTGTGGAGAAGAAGGACTAGGAATGAAGCTAGAAGGACCGAAGAAGGCGGTGATTAGGAGGCTTATCCGCCAACCATCGACTTGGCCAATTACCAGCTGAATCGCCCCAGTACAGTTGGATTTTGCAGGGAACAGGGCACGGACTGACTCTCCTTGCATTTGCGCCACCTTCTCTGAGAAAACGACTAATTTTTCCTCATTTACAGCTCGATTGTGCGATCTACTATGATTCGTCGTGCTGGTTCTTGCCAAGCCAACAGTGTGGTGTTACCACCGCAAATAAGAGAAAACGATCAGGATCACACGAGTTTTGAGCAGAAATCCAACCAACTTTAATTTCGAGGAGAGTGAAGTAAATTCTTCTGAGTGGCTAGAGATAAGACGAGTAACTGTCCAGATGTTTGGAAACATAAAATGTATGAAGTTTGCAAGAAGAATCTGGATATTATTGGGAATTGCAAAAGCTTATTACTTCTCTTGGCACAATCAAGCATTCGGAATTGCGCATACCGAGGTCAACCGTGTGGCCTCTGTTTGGTCTGGAACAAGTACTAGAAAGAGTCCAAAAAGAGTCCAAAACACCCACGAAACCAAAGACATCAGAGCGCAAAAATCTCTTCGACTTCTGGCCGAGGATATGCGTGCCGTTTGACATTTTGTCGGGACAGTGAAGCACAGAAGAGTAGTGAAATGAGGCGCTGGAAACGGGTTCGGCTGCAAGTTGCTGTCGCTTGACGGCCCAAAGCTCCAATGACTTCTGGACATTGTGCGACCTCTCTGCAGTGCCAAGATCTCGCAGCAAGATTTTGAAAAGCCTCAAAACGCCCAAACAGGAAGCTCGTCATCTATGAGAAAGTCGTGAATCGAGGATCACGACGTTGAAGAGCACACCACCAACATGTTGCCGTTGGATTGATTTAGACCGAGGGCAACGGCGCAACCCGACTTTTGGTGGCGAATAGTGGCGCTCGGTGTGGCGTGAGAACAGAGCACCATATTTTATCTCCTCCATCGTGTACGATGCGACAGTGTTTGGCGAATACATCTCTCAAGTCTGCGACACTCGTCGTCCAGACAATTGTTGTTGTGATGAGTGCAAAATGCTGTTGAGCACTGGGTGAGGACTCTACTTATATCAATAAGTCCCTTTAAATCATTATACTGAAGTAGGAAGGTGCGTGTTCCAAGTAACATATGGAAGATTCTTCATTGGCTGCACTTCCGTGACATCCGAAAGTCCTGTCTAACAAAGCTCGTACACCTCGAAGATATCTACCTATGCAGAGCTGAAAATGGAGTTTGGCACGTGATAAATTTTATTCAACTTATCAATTCATAGCTTGTTATATTTCTTTTCACTTAGGATTGAGTATATCTTCATGTTCTATTTTTGATTGTGCTGAAATGAGGGACGGGTGCGGTCTTATGGCTCAAAGCAGTCTCGAATTCTGTTTTACGCTTATCTCAAGGTCTCTATTCATGAGCTATAATAAAGAAACTATGAAATTTAGCACTATGTATATCTCAAAGTTTACCTGACTTATATACTTCATCCAAGACTCCCGTTTGGGAAATTCTTCTTCGAATGACTAATCACGTGCTTGTGCTCGCGATGGCTGATCATGGATGACAAAGGATCGAGTGGCTCACCAACGTCAACATCGCAAGCCTATCTCACCATCACTCCTAAGATGCCTCCATCAATGAACTCCCCTTCCGCTCCAAGCCTCGTTCCAGCAGGTGATAATGGCACTCTCACATCATCAACAAATGAATCCCGACACGCAACTCAGAAAAGAAACCGAGCCCAGTTGAGCTGCACCAACTGTCGGCACGCCAAGCTGAAATGCGATCGAAAAGAGCCATGTTCACAATGTGTCAAAAAAGGAAGAGAATCGCAATGCATCTTCCCTCGGCCGGCACCTCGTCGAAAACCGGCAGTGAGCATGCAAAACAGATTGAAACATTTGGAAAGCCTGGTGAAGGGTGCTATGTCCGGTCAAAGCCCGATGGAAAGTCGAAGCCACGGAGATGAATCTTCTCCTAGTATCAATTTTCAGATGGATGAGCAATCGAGAAATGCCAGTACAACCGGATTCGGTGCACCTGAAGCCTCATCTGGGAAGGTTCTTGTGGACGAAAATGAGACGACCTATGTCGGAGCGACTCACTGGGCAGCAATACTCGAAGATATTGAGGAAGTGAAAAGTTATTTCTACGAAGAAGTTGACGACGATAATCATGAAGAAGACGGAATGTGGCCTACCGCAGCTCTCTCATTTGATATCGAAACCCCAGCAACGAAATTTGATTTACTTGCTGCATTACCTCCTCGACTGGCTGTTGATCAATTGGTGTCTCGATACTTCAACTCGAACAGTCCTACGTTGCGTGAGTCAGCTGTTGAAGTCCCCCTCACAAAGCCTCACTTGCTGATGTTGGCCTTTATGCTAGATATATTCCACAGCCCCACCTTTCAGAAAGAGGTAATTAGTATTTCATTATTTCTGGACATTTGTACAGCTATCTTCCTATCTTTTTTCTACAATACCGATACTTAGTGAGTTTGAATAGCAAGATGTAGCTTCTTGGTTGACTGGATCACATGGAGTCCGAGCTTATCCCACCACTCACGGATTCTGAATTCAGATTCTTCAATAATTTTGAGATGAAGCAAGTCGCTAATTATGTCTAGTACCAACACTTCTGGTCGAATCAAAACGATACACCGATAGCCTGGTTAGCATTACTCTATTCCATCTTAGTTATCGCCACATTGGTTGCTCTTGGTGCTGGCGAGGAGTCCCCGGACAATCGTGGATCTCCATCAGAAATGATCCGGTCTTATCGGCAGTGCTCTATTCAGGCCTTGGTGCTTTCACATTACACAAAGCCTGGGCCCTACACGCTAGAGACATTCATGATCTACATGGAAGGCGAGTTTCTGCTCAACAAAGTTGATCAAGTTCAGTGTTACTTGCTCGTTGGTAATGCTGTCAGACTGGGGTTGCGTATGGGACTACATCGAGATTCGAGCAAGATTGGTGGCCATATTACTCCTTTCCAAGGCGAAATGCGTCGACGAATGTGGCATCACATGAAGCAGATTGATCTGCTTGCGAGTTTCCATATCGGACTACCTTCCACGATGCAAAGCATTGACAGCGACACACTCTACCCTGGCAACTTCAGAGATGATGATATTGCGGAGAACATGACTGAATTGCCTGGTCCCAGACCTGACTCGGAACACACACCTATTTCCTACATGGTTACCAAGAGCAGGATCTGCGATATATCTTGCAAGATTGCTACCATCGCAAACTTACTCACGTTACCTCCGTACTCTGAGGTCATGAAATTAGACTCAGAGCTCATGGACGCTCACGCCCGAGTTCCTCACTTTTTCCAATTACCCTCTTCTGGCATTCCAATCACAGACAAGCCGGAACGAATTGTCAGGCGAATCAGCATCGAGCTACTTTTCCAGAAGAGTCGCTGCATGTTACATCGGAAGTATCTCATCAAGGAGAAAAAAGATTCAAGATTCGCTTACTCTAAAGATGCTGGACTAGATTCTTCTTTGCAGCTGCTTCGAATCCAAGCCTTGGCTCACGAAGTATGCCTTCCAGGAGGTCTTTTAGCTCGAGATCGTTGGTTTCAATCAGCGTTGTCAATGCACGACTTTCTTTTGGCTGCTATGATAGTATACCTAAGTGTCATACGCAATATCGGGACAGATCGTGACCCCACCAAAAAGAACGGTATCACACAAGAGCAACAGAACACAATTGCGGCTTTAGAAGAGTCTTACCGAATCTGGACTCAAAGCACTAACCCGACAGCTGATGGAAAGAGAGCTGCGGCTGTGCTGAAGATAATGCTGAAAAAAGTCAACTTGGCAATACTCCGGAATTCAAGCGATCCCAGTACCATAGCTGAGGACACTATGGACCGTTGCGAAAGTTATACATCAAATCTGTTGTCGTCGAATCTGCTAACCAATCTCTCACTGAATGGTACGTCTTTTCAGAAACGTTCCACGTTGTCGTTGTGCACACGTACTCACTGGATACTGCAGGCGATTCTTCGATCAGTGGTTCATCTTCAGCGTTGCCACCTTCAGACATCTTGCCCATCGCTGCAGCTTCAGACACAAGCCCTTCTTCGGGTCGTGAACTACCGTTGGATATTGACCTTTCATTTCTACCCATGGAGTCTTGGGGAGAAGCGGCAGCTGTACCAAGCGATTTCAGTTGGGTATGTTTTCCTTCTCCGCCCGGATGCCACTGCTAATAATGCCAGGAATTATTCGACAACCACATTCGGCCGCAACAACTCAATGACCAAGTATGGCCAAATTTTACAGAAGACTTTGGGACGGGAAATGAGGATTATTACAATTTTGATCTCAACTAGGACGAAATATTATATTACACATATTCAAACACCTCAAAGGTAGTCTTTGATCTCCCGGTTGCAGTATTCGAAGAATTTCTGAACTCCTCCCGTTCCTCCCTCGGATTTGCTCTTGAATCCCGCAGAGATATAAGGAGGCATATCTGCTTTTCGACCCCATGCCATGAGATGCCCACCATTCTGTTCAGGCTTCACATCCGAGGAGAAGGCAGCATACAGTTCGGAATATGCAGCATATACGCAAGGCTTCATTATCGCACCCTGTTCATACTTTAGCATGAGCGGTATAAGTGGGGTTAAAAACTTACTATCAACATCCGAACTGGAAGTGGCCAATGTCTTTGCAACTCTGTTCTCACTACACCAGGATGCAGGCTCCGTTCGATATCAGCAAGTGTTTATCAACAGTCAAGATGCTCTCGACTTACGACACTCATAACTCCATGCTTTCCCAGACGATTGGCGACATCGGTAGCAAGCCAAACATCACCAACCTTACTCTGCATGTAATTTTCCATGGTCCCTTTCAAAACCACAGGTGTACCATCTTTCTCGTATCGCATAGCCTCTACTGGAGCCCATCCCTGCACCAGAGAAACCACCCACACCAACCTCACGCTGAGCTTTGGCGTATCGGGAAGAGTGGCTGTTTTGATGAGAATTGGTTCAAGGAGAAGAGTCATGAGATATGGTCCTAGAACATTTGTCCCGAATTCGAGATCATGGCCCTGGATCCCATCAGCTGCCTTCTTCTACGAGATCAATTGGGACACTTACCAACTTGTCCTTACTTCCAGCCGGCGGACTCATTATCCCAGCATTATGAATCAATACATCTAGCCTCTGTTCCTTCTTCAAGAAACTCTCCACGCCACCCTTGATCGTCCTCAAATCACTCAAATCTACCACCAAGCTGTCCAACTTCCCCTTTCCTTTTTCTGATGCAGTCTCTGCTTTTATCTTCTCGATAGCTCCCTCACATCTTGCTGTTGATCTGGCTGCGACGTAAACGGTTCCACCTGCTAGGTAGATGAATTTCGCGACTTCATATCCAACTCCTGAAGCGGCGCCGGTGACGATGTGAACTTTTCCTTGGAGGGAAGGGAGATTGGAGTCTGTATATGTTGGGGCAGGAGGGAAGAAGGCGTTGATACGAGAGTATGGTTTATATGTTGCCATGATGAGAAAGTGAAGTATATTTTGGATCACGAGATGTTAACAAAATTGAATTGAGAATTGAAATGCGGTTTGACATTGTGGCTACGAGCTTATATATGATCTATCTCAAGAATTCTATTTCAATCTTCGTGAGACTTTGTGACGGCATCGAGAGAAATCGTATCTCCGACATCCCTTGATTCGGACTGAAGCAAAGTCAACTTCACGGAGTGTGTTTTCTTGGTGCTCGTTATGTCCGGGGCCGGAATAAGGTTTTTCCTGAGTCCGTCAGGAAAGTCCGAAGTGCGTGACCGAGCTTATTTCCTGATCAACAGTCGAGATCTTGGAGTCGACGACTTACATCACCATCAATTCCAGTGTTACTCTCAGCATAATGCATGGTTTGGGTCTGCGAGCAGGAGAGCTTCAAAGCATCAGAGATATATCAGTCACGTGCGCGACTCAGAAAGCTCTCATCCGTGACACCGATGGAGCGCTAGGACTCTGAACATGGCAAGAAGCTTGTCTTGGCCAATCGAGCCATCCAATGTTAAGAATGAATTCCCATCAAGAGGCCAAAATAAGGTTGCAAAGCATCCACGAAAGACAGATCCTGGAAGCATTAAATTCAGACTGCGTCAGCATGCTAAGGTCTCCGACTCTCCTAGTCCGGTTCCTTCACTCTTCCTAAATTCGAAAGACGCCCTCAAAATATTAACTGAATACTCAGAGCAACACCTGTCTCTTATTCGAAGAAATCGTACAAAGCATGACGTACTCTCTCATTGCCGGACGTACGCATCTCAACAGAATCCCCTCCCCATGCAATTGCTTCTTCTCACCACAAGCTCGAACCTGCAGGCGCTTGCTAATGTACAAAACCATCCGATCTGTATGATAAGCTGTCATTCTCTCGATGTCTTGACGATATCTCGAACCTCACGGAATGGAGTTTGAGAGTCAGGAAAGATACCTTGAAGGCTAGTCTCTCAATCTTTGAATCATCTCAATTTCATTATCTTATTCCCCCTTTTTTTTCTCAAGCCACAAGCGTGAGGCTGAAGCCATTACAGACAGAATTTCCCTCGCAATTCTCTCACCGGTGCTCTGCTTTCAGTATTAGTGGCTTCGAGGAATCATAAACATCCATTGATCGACTCCCTTCTCTTAAAGGCAATTTCGTCAACGTCCCGTTTGGCATATGTTGCGGATCTCCACAGTCTTGGCATTCGATTGTAACCCTTTGGAAGCTTCCTCGTATTTTATTGTTGAAAGTCGTGTTTGTTTCTAGTGCAGACTGTCGATCCCACTATCACAACTGCTGCTACACAAACCCCAAGAAACTTGACGACAATAGAAGAATGTCTGAGAAATTCGGGGTGATCATCAATCTGGCTCAAGAAGTTGTTTCTGTAGCTTTATACATCAAGCTCCTCCAAGACTTAAATCTTGAAAGAGAAGTTGAAGCACATCGGAGCGATCCTGTAGCGATTCCTGCATTTCACCAGTCCAAGCACTCCGGTCAGTGCAGCATACGCTTGATCTGAATACCTTTCAAACAGCATTGGAATTTGGATGGAGCTTAATTCCAGCAAGCTATCACTCATCATCCCCTCGGAAGATTGTTAGCCATCCATGTCCAACTTTGTTTCGAGTTGCTTCAAAGAATTCATTCCCCCCAAAATCCCATATCTCCCAACCTCCCGCATCTTTCCCTATCCTCCCTACACCCCCCCCCAGTTCCAAAACCATCCTCCCATCCATCATCACCACACTCAAACCCACATCCACCTTTCTGACCAAACCCACTAAACCCCCTCCCTACACCCAACACCTCCCATTCGTCACCTAGCCGTGTGTTCCGTTCCGTCCAGCGTGCATGTGCATACGTGGGTGTGCCACAACTGTGGTACTGTAACACATCCACATCAATAGCCAGCCACGTGGTAAGCGGGGCCCTACCTAGCCTTCGAAAGGAGAGGTTGGTGATTGGTTCTGGTTCTGGTCGAGGAGTGGGGAGCGGTATCGGCACTTGTCTGTTTCCCTTGCTCGTTGGGCGAGGATGAAGCTCTGAATACTTACGGCTTGTAAGTTTCTAAGTTGGTGTTTTGGAAGGGGGGAATTATGGTTTTGGGTGTTTGTTGGGTTTACTCGCCAAGAGTTCAGATATCGACGGACGGATATTCTAGATTTGAAGTCTGTGTTCCTGGAGCTCGGAGTGCTTTGATGGGAAGAGGCTTGATCATTATCATGGTTGGGAATTGAAGTTTGAATAGATCTTTAGTGATGTCCGGCAGGGACAACGACCCGGCCCAAGATGACTGTGGGAAAGGTTGAGAATCAGCTATTGAATACTAGAGGGCCTCTTCTTGCTGGACCTCGAGAAATTCAATCAGAGTAGCTATTCAAAACCTTCATCCTCACTTCCAAACCCCCTTCGTAAAAGTTCTCCAGCACGGTACGAACAAGCAAGCAAGCATAGCCTACTGTAACCAGGAGACCCGGGTACCAGCATTTTCATCCTTCTACTGGCTTAGTTTAAGGTTGAAATGTGGATCTGTTGATCACCTGCTTGCTACTTAGGATGAGGATTGGTTATTGGGAGTTATGGATGAGGTAGGTTGGTCGTTTAGCAGGATTTTATGTTATGGGAAGCTAAGAGGAGAAGGTGCATGCTTCGAGAAATGTTGCTGAGTCGCTCTTTCGTGCAAGGGAATGGGACTATTATGCAATCACAGGTACCACCATCTGCAAAGACCGGTCATGTACACATCTATTCATATAAACATCTAAATCACACCTTTATCTATCAATCCCCTTCTCATCCCCCTCTTTCCGTCTCTCACTCTCATCCCTCGACCTAATAAGCTCAATCCCCTCCTCCCTCCCTCTCTTCTCAACTGGCCTCTCCCCCTCCCTCAACATCCAACTCCACCCCAACCCCACCAACGAAATCACAGTCAAATACCCCCACCAAACCAACCCCACCGCACCATCCTCCACTCCCCATCCAAAAATCACCCCTCCCAGCGCCGGACCCACCGCTCTCGCCAAACTACTCAGCATATTCCCCACCCCATGCACAGCCCCCAACGCCAACGGACTCGGCGCCGAATTCGTGAGCAAGATAACCGTGGACGGGATCCCGAACGTGCGGGCCGTGACCTGCAAGAAGAGGATACACGCGATAGCCGCCGCCTGAGCCGGGAAGTTACTCGATGGGATCAGACAGATGTACGGCGCTACGATGTAGGCGATGGGGAAGATGGCCAGGGCGACGCGGTAGCTGCGCAGGGTGCCGAGCCAGGCTTGGAGGGAGGGGTAGATCAGGAGTTGGATGAGGATTCCGAAGATGCCGAAGGCGGAGAGGAAGATGCCGATTGTGGGGGAGGCGAGGCCGAGGCCGCCGTTGAATTTGATGGCTGAGTAGGAGGGGGTTGATGAGGGGGGTGTGGAGAGGAAGACGGGGAAGATTTGCATGAAGGCTGCGTTGTGGAGGGGGAGGAGGGCGAAGGATATAAAGGTGTAAAGAACTTCGCGGGTGTATATCTCCTTGGAGAAGATGGAGAGTCTTGGTCGTGGGGTGGAGGGTTGGCTGATCTGTGGAAGTGGTGTCTTTGGGGTGTTGGGTTCGGTTTCGAGGAGGCCAATTTCGCTATCGTTTCGCTCGTCTGTGTTGAGTACTGCATAGCCAGAGGATTTCTCCTTCATGAATAGACGTTTAAAAAGTCGGATTCCTGCATCTCCAATTCCCAAGCCCCAATCTTTATGATCAGTCTTCCCAGGCATAGTCTCTTTCAATCCAAAGACTGCAAAGAAGAGACTACACATCAAAACTCCAGCGTTGAAAAGAGTAGGTAGAGCAAAAGGGTATTCTCGCATCCACGCAACTCCTTCTGGATCCTTTGCAAAATTCCACGCTCCTTCGGGTCCAAAAAGCCACGGGATGTTGATAATAGGTTGTGCCAGGCATCCTCCAAGGAAAAGGCCAATGACAACACCCGCATTGAAGATCAGAGGAAGTAACAAGAATGCACGACTCTGGTACTTCTTCTCCTTGACAATCTCAGCTGTCATTGTGCGCATCACGCCAATATTTCCATTTCCCAACCCCGCCAGAATCCGCCAAAACATCACGGCCGGAATCGTGGTTGAGAAACCGAATCCGACATTGGAGATTATTGAGAGGACAATTCCAATGATAATTGTAGGTTTCCTGCCGAAATGATTGGCGAAACTGGCCCATGGGACCGAGGTCGCGAATTGTGAGAGGGCGAAGAGAGATACTAGTAAACCTGCTTGTCTCGAAATCGAAGCTGGACTTGTATCATCTGTAGGTTGTAAAGAGCGTATGAGGTAATATAAATACGGAAGAAGACAGGTATTAGATAGAGGTTCGGAAAGGCGACAGATGGCGAGAATAAATAATTGTGGTTTGTGAGGTAGAGACATCCAAGTAACGGGCTTCGGTTTCCCATCCCCCTTTGATCCCGTCGCCATCGCGGGGTCCGACACTCGCGTTGGATTCATCTTGGAATTTCAGAGCCGCGAATGTACAAACGAATGACTGCGGATGCGATGTATAGATATCCAAGCTCAAGAACGAGTGTCGTCGACCCCTCCACGCGTGTGTCGTGTCGTGTCGTGGGAAGAGTGAAGAGGAGAGTCGTTCAGGATGTCGCTCGCTCGCTCGCTCAGCTCGCTCAGCTCTATTCCGGGAACGGAAGTTGCCTTCCTGGGCTGAATTCAGGGGGTAAGTCACTCGACGAAAAATCTCCGTACCGTTCACAGCGGATCGGCCATTCCAACAAAAAATAAGGATTCTGTGGGGCGATAAGGAGGAGAATTATTTCAAAACAATCGCATGCATGTGTCGCGTCGAGAGGAAGATTTGCGAAAAGAGGGAGAGACAAGAGTCAGGTCACTTTCAATACTTTTATTCGCGGCGGGCTTAGTAGTACTCTCTCTCCCATTTTGGCTGTGGAACAATAATCAATCAAGTTCGTGTCCTTCCCGGCTCAGCTCAGCTTCTCCAAACAATATCGACGGGTAAGCGACCATTCCTGTTTGGGATGATTCTGGACCAATACCATTCATTGATATTGGCGTGGATGCTACCCCCAAATGGTACATCGAAGTGATATGGCTTCTTCTTCCTCTCCTGTCCATGCTGGTTCTCCCCGCTGTGGCGAATCACTTCAAATCAGCCTGCAATACTGTACAGACGCCACCCCGCAGATGATGGATTTGATAGGATGTGTATCTTCAGCCAGAGACATACTTACATGTCCCGGGATATTCCAGAGTCATGCAAGAAGCCAAGCAATAAATGATAATTGCGGCATTCTGTAATTTGTGCGGTGGCGCTGGATCAAGAAGGTCAGGTCACCAAGAGGCGCTTACGTAGTACTCGTTCTTGGGATGAGGAAGGCGGAAGGAGACGAGAAAAATGTCACTGAACACAACATGATCTGCCGGATGTATCGTGGATCGTGCTCGCGTGGTCAACACAACACAAACACCTTTCTTCCTCACCCAATTCTCTCTGCTCCTTGTCTCGGCCAAGCATTAATTTTATTAACCTTACTGTAAACAATCCATCATCAAAGACAAACATTCTGGAGAGAAGACGATCACGCTTCCATCGCCAAATCGCAACACTCACTCCGCTGCCCTGCACACGGCACAGGGCGAGACCATAACCTCAGAGAACTGCAGAACCCACTTCCGAGATTCTGGTGTTGCGCCTGCAGAACACTCGGACCACTATTTCCACCCGTCTACACTACTTACTCTGACCACTATTTCCACCCGTCTAACACTACTTCTGGATTCCCGAGCGAGGCCTGGCCCGATCATTGGTCTCCACTGTGGACCATCGACCGATTGAAAGCAGCTTGAAGCCTTCAAGCTTCTTTCAACGCTCTCGTTGACAAAAGTGCCGCACGGTGCAGAAAACCAGCGATCATCCTCCCCATCCCATCCCAGCCAATCCACCCTCCTGGCACCTCCCGCCAGCATACATACCCGACAGCGTGGTGGCTGTCTCTCATCGCATGTTGGGCGTCGCATCCGCAGCGTAATTGGATAAGCTTACATACGGCTGGAACGGCAGAGGCGGCCACCGTACCCTAAAAAGCAATACCCTAAAAAGCAATACCGACGGGCAGAATACATTAGGGTGCTGCAATTTTTGGTGACCATATATTCTCTGTGTGGGGAGGGGTTCTCCATGTCTTGTGAACATCGAGATCAGTCGAGGTTGTTGGATCCGGGACCTTCGCATTCCACCACGACGGCGTACGGTAGTATTTCGATATCTCAGGACGAGACGAGAACGACCCCGTGCAAGATGGCCGCTTTTATCCCGACCAAGGCGACGGCGAGGTTAGCGACCCTGTCGCTGTTTTGTGGTCTGGGTTCATTTTTATGGGGGTGAGTCGCCAAATATCGCAGCATCACGAGCGGTCGACTGAGGTGGATCTTGAATTTGGGCTCACCAAGGATATAGTTATAATATTGGTATTCTGGCAACGATCTTTGTCAACCCGGGATTTATCAAGGCTCTCCACAGCGTCAAGCCCGCTTCAAAGTGGGCATCTCAAAAAGGTCTCATCACAGCCATTTATTACCTAGGAACTTGGATAGGCTATGTCTTCCTCTCAGGACCACTTGCCGATCGTGTGGGACGACGATACTCGGCTTTCACAGGCGCTGTCGTGACCTGCGTTGGTGCAGCGGTAATGACTGGTGCTCATGGCAAGGATGCTTATGCTATGATGATTATTGGAAGGATTATTTCTGGACTTGGAAATGCTTTGATTTCAACAGCTGTTCCGCTGTACCAGAGGTTGTGAATCCACCTTGGGGGAGGATAAAGCTAATCGTTCTCAGTGAAATTGCTCCAGCAAAGAAGCGAGGTGGTCTTGTGGTCATGAATCACATTGGAATGGTAACTGGTTTGGCTGCTGCGTTTTGGTACGTTTCTCAGCATTCAGACAAGTCTCATACTAACCCTTGACAGGGCCGGCTATGCTTATTCTCACTGGACTTCCAAACTTGGTAATTATGAGGGATGGAGAGAATCCGTTGCGCTTCAATTCATCCCAGCTTTAATCTTCATTGTCGGATTACCATTCTTACCAGAAACGTAAGTGCACTCTCATTTCGATTCACAACAAGTTGACTCTTCAGACCCCGCTGGTTACTAGAAAAAGGACACACCGACGCCGCCTACAAATCTCTAACCTATCTTCGAGCCGCTGAAAACAACCCAGCCGCAATCGAAGAAGAGTTCACCGAGATCAAAGACAGTATCGAAACCAACAAATTAGTCAAGGAAGTAGCATGGTACGAGCTCTTCACAGATCCATTCCTATTTGGTCGTCTCTGGAAGGGAGCTCTGCTTCAATTCATGGCTCAGATGTGTGGTGCTACGGCTATCAAGTATTACCTGCCTACGGTATTCATTGCTCTGGGTCTGTCCAAGGATTTGAGTTTGATGGCTAGTGGTATTGAAAGCACGTTGAAGATTGGGTTGACGATTATGGAAATGTTCATCATTGATAAGATTGGACGGAGGAACTCGTTACTCATTGGTGCCGTTGTCATGGCTGTTGCTATGGTGGTATGTTACGTCCCAGCGAAAGTTGACTGGCAGTTAACAGTGAGACAGGTCAACGGCGCCTTACCTCTCGCGTACCCACATAACTCAAACCACGCTTCAGATTACGCTTGTATCGTATTCATATTTTTTTTCTCCTTCGGATATTCCGTCGGCTTCGGCCCCAACGCCTGGGTCTACGGAACTGAGGTATTCCCACCTCCCCTCTTTCCAAGCCAAACTAACACCTCCAGATCTTCCCCACCCAAATCCGCGCCAAGGGAATCAGTATCTGCGCCAGCGCCGGTGCCATCGGCTCCATTGTCGTAGGCCAATTCTTCCCAGTGGCTATCAACAACATTGGCTCAAAGACATACTTTATCTTCTTCGCCATCAACGTGGCATGTGTAGTGGTACATTCCCCCTACCTATCTATCCTCGACAAACCAGGTTACTAACGAATACAGATCCTAGCAACACTCTACCCCGAAACCAAAGGCAAGACGCTCGAGGAAATGGACACGATATTCGGCAAGTCGAACTTGGAGGACCACGAGACGCACGACCATGAGCATGAGCATGTTGCGGATGAGGAGCAGGTTGTGCATCAGGGGAAGCTGTGAATGGAAGGGAATGGAATGGAATGGGGGAAAAGCGAATGAATGCATGGAGCGCTGCTTTCTGTTTGGGAATGAGATACCTTGGGGGGATATAGGTGGTTTAGCATACACAATTTAATTCTTTCGTCGCGGAGATTGTTTCTTTGGGGTTGTGATGGAGGTTCGAGAAATTTAGGGGATAGGCGCCAGTGGACGAATAGTGATGGAGCGTCTTTCGGGGCAGAGAGGATGTGTGGCCCTGATGTAATGGTGCGGTATCGGTCAGGATCTTTGGTTTTCTTACGATGGTAAGTACCACCCATTTTGGAATAGAAATGCCAATAAAGATTTACACCATCTAATACCTTCAATCAACTGCAGCTTCATCAGAGCAACGATTCGAAGATTCTGATAAACAGAGAAAGGTGACACACATCAAAGCTTTCTCTTCATCCGCTTTATTCTCTATTTAAATTAATAAGCAACAGTTCAAAGTCAACAGGTCGATAGATCGAGTTCAAGCTTCCGTGAGGTGATGCGAACTTTAAGTACGTTTGATCTCACGAATATCAATCTGGATGTCCGTTGATACCGCTCTCACCGACTCATCGACGTATTCTTCTCTTTCCCGCTTGAAGAGTTGTCCTCGCTATATACAGCAATTGAATCCTCAGTATCAAACCTTTTAGAGCTCTCGGCTCTGGAACAGGAAGCAGTTCCAGGATGCCTAGTCACCGAGGATGTAGATCGACCTCATGATCTTCTTAAAGATGACTGAACTAATCATCTGCTCCGGACATATCATGCCCTTGTAGCAATTCATCGAAGCTAGGCCTTTGTGTCGCAGTAAGCTATCAATTCAGGTCCGATTGCGAAGACGTAAGTAAGACTGACATGCATTTCAGCCGCCACAGGGAGGGGCCCAGAGTATTGCGTCTCTGGCTACCAATAGCCAACAAGATCATTCTTCGAAAAAGGATCTGAAGGTCGAGTTCTCGACGAGAAGGTTAGATCACCCGATTGCAAAGTTGCTCCGCAGTGCAACCCCGAGCATAGGGTTTTCTTGCCCGGCCAATGAGACTCCCGGGTTCGTATATCTCCTTTATGTCTAGAACGCGGTGTTAAGTTACGGATAAGTCGCCTGCACTATTGGTCAAATGATCTGGCAAGGTGAATGAGCCGATGGCGTCAAATACAAATCCTCGTTCTCGTGGAAGAAAATCCGAATCTGTAGGCCGTTGATGTGATTTCGCCTCGCTTAAATCAAGGGGCCATATTGCCCCCCCCCAAAAAAAGAATATTGGACTTTTAAATAATGTAGTTCATGAAAATGGTTACAAAGGTCTGCCTGTGCCTTGAATACTAAATACCATGGGAATGCATATCTCCCGTCGAAACTGAGTCACTATGACCAACCAATTCCCACCATCCACGTTCCCCCTTAATCACCTCGATTCCCTCAGTCGGCTTTGACATATTCAACAATGTGTCCGTATCAACAGCTCTGGCATCTTGCCACTCCATCACAGCCTCAAAATCCCTACACTGCTTGTTGACACCGAAGTCCGGAAACGGATACTCCGCCTCCTCTATCCAGTTCAGCGTAATCATATCCGTACTCGCGCCACACATCAGGTTCTCAAGCAGGATACTCACGCAATGCTGCAAATGCACCCACACCCACTCTTCTACCTCTTTTTCCTCTTCTCCCCCATCTCGATGATAGCCCCCGAACGCCCGTTTCCGCAATTGATTCAAGCAGTGAATCTGATGCACAACATCGAGTTGCGCCATGTAAGCGTCTTCTCCAAAATGCCAATGCGGATCCGGAAACCGGGCAGCGGTCAAGGGATCTTTGCCCAGATTGATGATGTCCTGCTTCGAGACGGCGACGGTGCGGATTTCTTCGAAGCGGTGCCATGCGTGGTCTGCTGCTGGGCCGGGGGGGAGACGACCGAGTGGTGGGTTGAGGTTGGTGGGGGTGGTGGTGGTGATGGAGCCGTTGATTTGAGATGTGAAAGTGGGGATTTCGATTGATTCAAGCACGGGAGCTAATGTTGTTAGAATGTTTAGCTTTTGAGAGTTGAGATGATATACGTACAGTAGTATGAGGTCTTTTTCAGGAGAGAGTTAATGGTTGGTGGTTGTTGAAGCGCAAATGTCGATATCAGAGCCAGGGAAGAGACGAGGTTGATAATTGTCCACAGGGTCAATAATTTTGGAGTGCAGAGGCTCCTTTTGGTCTTCGGTCTATGGGAACCTTCGTAGAGTTCTGAAGATGGTAGAAGCGCCTCTCCTTGTTCTTTAAACAAATCGATCATGTTGAGTGATGGTCCAGCTTTCTGCGATGATGATCTGGGCAAGGCAGAACTGAATGAACAGAAATCGGATTTTTGTGAACCTGCTCAAGTGTTGACTTTGGTGGTCAGTATCGGATCGGATATTAAAAAGATGTGGGTAGCTAGACGGATACAACATATCGTTCAAGAGCTTTTCAAGCCTGATTTCGGTGCCTGCATGTTGGTCAGTAGTTCAACAAGCCATTCATTAACGAGGCGGACTTTCTAGTTGATTGAGTGGCAATCCAGCTGAATGGCTCAAGTCTGTCCCTATCGAGCACTGTAGCTGAATGGCTTTTCGCTGATCACTGGCTCGCTGACTGATGATCACTTACAGGCCACGCCGGGTGTTGGCCTAAGATCGACGATTTTTCGGCTGACATCGTCTAAATCGTATATGCGTCAGATGTGTAACCGTAAGCTATTCGGAAAAAGTCTCAAATTGGCAGGTTCGTATGCTGTGATGGTGTCATGTAGCCAATGATGTCAAAATACTCGTTTGTATGTCTGCACTGCTTGCTATCTTCTATCGAGCAATGTAAGCAGCCTATGAATTTCTTCTTAAGATCTAGATCGCAAAATAAAACTTGTTTCGATCCGAAGTCAAACGCCATAAATAGAGCGCAATCCACTCTGGAAGACGGAAACGATATCATCTTCAAATCCTGACGAAATTCCCAGTCTCTGGAAAGTCTCGTTGATCAATAACCAAGAAGCAATCTGCCGTACAACACAATGCACGTCTCCAAGATCTTTGCCATTTTGGCATTTACTGTTGCCTTGGGCTCATCTAACCCACTCCCGTGAGTGCACCTCAACATGATCTTGGATTTTGTGTTCATTAACATTGTCAGCGTCAGGGAGAAGAGAGGACTAGTCATGAGACAGGGGGTAAGTAGTAAATGTATCCACTTGAACTCATTTGCTGACTGTTCCTCAGTCAGGCTATAAACCGATTACTTATCTTGAAGAGGATGTTGGTGAAGTCAAGAAGCGAGAAGCTGTAAGTTGTATTCGTGCTAGTGAATTCACTTCGAATTGCAATTGACTTTTTTTTTGCAGCCAGACTATATACCGATTACTTACCTTGAAGATGACGTTGAGGGAGTCGAGAGGAACTGAGTACCCTTGAAGCTACTGTGAGTACTAGGTGTGTCCACTAGGAAATCAAATCTAATTTCTTTGCAGCGAAATATCTACTCGACGGTTTTTCCTGTACTCAAGCACGTGCGGAGGTATGAAAGTGTTATCTGCAGTCCACAAGGCGTGGTAGGGCCAGGTCTCGAAATGTAGCCTTGTTGAAGAAGAAACGTGCTTTAGATATGCGGTAGTATACTGAATACAAAGCGTGGATTCTGATCATGACTCTGGAATCTAAAATCATGCTCGCACGTGACACTCGCTAAGGATAGGGGAAGGAAAGCGAGAAGCAGGGCACAATTAGGAAGCCGTGCTAGAATCACAGCCTAGATCGAACAGCCTCATCTACGCCTCCTGTAGCAACCCTAGCCGCCTCTCTGCCAGCCTTCCTGCCAAACACCGCACCAGACGTCAATCCGCTCCCACCAGGATAATTCTCATAAAACAATCCTCCTACCATCTCCCCAGCACAGAACACACCAGGTACCTTCTTACCACTTGACGAAAGTATCCCAGCCGTCTGTGGATCCACGGCCAGGCCACCGAATGTGAACGTCACTCCACAGCCAACTCTGACGGCCATGAACGGTCCTTTCTCGAGTGGTAAAGCCCAATTGCTCTTCGGCACCTTGAGCTGAGCTTTCGAAGATTGAGTTGAAAGTCCGTCTTTCACTGCTGGATCCCAGGTCAAGCTTCTGTTCGCATTCTCTTGTCTATGCGCGTACACGGCTTCATTGTATTCCTTCACAGTCCTTACAAAGTTGTCAGGACTAGCAAGACCGTATGACTTGCCCAGAATCTGAGCAAGTTCCTCGATGGATGAGGCGTTCACTCTTTCCACGATCTCCGGTCTGTATTCCTCTTCTCGGAGCCAGGCGATTCCGTGGGAGTCCCAGATTTGGAAAGCGAGGCCTTGAGGCTGCGCGAGGATGGCTCGTCCGAATTTCGCATAGGTGTAGTTTCTTATGTCGCTACCTTCGTCAAAAAAGCGTTCCTGCTTTTCGTTAGTACTTTTCAAGACGTGGGCATGGGATGATTCATACTCCTTGGGTATTGAGGGTGATGCCCAACGGATATCCAGACTTAGTAAATTCGTTTGAGATCTCACGATCACCGGTGTTGGCTGGGGCATTGGCATCCCAGGCCACGGAATGACAGCCAGACCATTGACCGGCTTGCTTGGCCGAGATATCACGAATGGCCATCTCTAGACATTCGCCAGTGTTATATGGAGTGCCACGGACGTATGCAAGATCCCACCCTGGGCCGAGATATTGAGAGCGCATCCGGGGATTGGACTCAAAGCCGCCAGCTACAAATTGTCAGAGCATTTCAAGATAGATCTGTTGGGATTACTCACCAGCCAAGACCACAGCTTTAGCATTGATCAATAGAGTCTTGCCATCTTTATCCTCAGCGAGTAAAGATTTGAAAGCACCAGTCTTCGGATCTGAGAAGATCTGCTTTGCAGCCGTGGAATAAAGAACTTTGACACCAGCACGCTTAGCAGCCCGCTGATGATCCTCAATCAGACCTTTCCCACCCTCTTCAGTCTTCAAACACATACCACCCCAGAACTTCCACCTGCCACCAATCTCATACGCCTGTCTGTTGAAAGACAATTGAAACCTAACCCCGTTTCCACTCAACCATTTCACCGTCTCATTACTCTCCTCCACTAACACCTTCCCTAATTCCTTGTCATACCTCCCTGTCGTTATCCTTGATAAATCACCGAGAAAATCTTGGTTGGTATAAGGTGAAAGATCTATCTTATCGGAAAGAGACGAAGAAACGTTGTTGACAAGGGGAAGAACGTCCGAGATGCCATGGTGCACAGTTCGGAAAGCTCCAGCTGTGAAATAGGAATTGCCTCCTGCCCAATCTTTGGGACATTTGTCAATGAGCAGGACATTTCGGGCTCCTGATTGGGCGGCTGAGATGGCGGCGCAAAAACCTGCGTTGCCGCCGCCTAGGACAAGGACGTCGCAGGTTATCTGCGAGTTGGGGTTTAATTGAGCCATTGGAGAGAGGTTGAATGAGATTTCGCAATTGGCGATTGCGTGAGTACTTAAAATATTTTGGAAGAGAACGTTAAAGTCGAGACGTAAACATCCCGAAGGGGAAGAGATCGGTCTAACCCTCTTGTGGCTAGGGAGGAACCTAGTGCTGTGTCGTGTGGTACGAGGCAAGATGGAGGTGACGGAGTGTAAGTGTCCGTACATGCTGCGATGCAGGAGTTGCTGATTTCCGCCACTGGACGCTGGAGTACAGTGCGACTTCCGCGGCTCGGGCACTAAGGTAGAGGCATCGCTGTAAGGCGACTCGTTTAGTGATCGGGTCCAGATGCCCGAATTCCTAAACTAGCGACTTGGCGAACAGGACAATTCGAGACCTTGCCTTTACCAAAATCAGCACGTACGTTCTTCTTGTGGATTTCACTTCAAAGACATTAACTGGAAACCCTTTCAACATCTCAGTGTCTATTCTTCGAGATATATTTCTAATCAATCAGACAAATAATCTTCCCCGCGTTGATATTCGCCTCCATCCTCCTGTGAGCCTCCGCAATCTCGGTCCAAGGATATATTTTATCAACCGTGATTTTCATCTTTCCACTCGCCAAATGATCCATCGCCAATTCTACAAACTTATCCCTCAGTTTCCCTTGATAATCAGCATTTCTCGTCCTCAGCGTGGTAGCCAGGACCCAGATCCTTTTATTCAACAACGCCCTGAGATTGAAGTCTTCAATCAAACTCCCGCTCATAGCAGCTACAAGCACAATCTTGGAATCCATGGCCGCGGATGCCGTATTTCGATGCCAGTAGTCTCGTCCTACCAAATCGATTATCAGATCTACACCTTTGCCGCCTGTTTCTTCAGCTATCACTTCTGCGAAGTCCTGTGAACGGTAATTGATAGCAATATCGGCTCCTAAGGACTTGCAGAGAGAGCACTTTTCGTCCGATCCTGCTGTAGAAAAGACTTTGGATGCGCCACCTTGCCTTGCTACTTGGATTGCGGCTTGGCCGACTCCAGATGCGCCAGCATGGATGAGCACACTTTGACCAGGTTGTAGGTCGCCAACGAGATGGATTGCTTGGATTGCTGTGAAATATGTCTGAAAGCTTGTCAGTAGGCTTTACTGATGATTGAAGAAGAAAATACTTCTGGGATTCCTGCAGCTATCTCGAAAGACAAACTATGTGGCATGTGCATAAGGATTTTCTCAGAGACTGAAATCTTTTGCGCATACTATCTCAAATATCAGTAACCCTCGGCGTCAATTTGAAGCACTCACAGCTCCTCCATACGCGAGTCCGAACACTCTGTCACCAGGCTTGAAATCCAAATTGCCTGTCAAGTTGTAAGTAATTGACTTAATGTCTCTCATCGTACATACAAGCATTCCCTTTCGCTTCAACAACACCACTGAACTCAACTCCCATAATTGTCCCCGACTCTGGTAAAAGCGGGTAAGGATACTTTGCTTCTCGCTGCATGATATCCATTCTATTCAGACCAAAAGCTTTGATCTGAACAAGTACATCATTTGGCCTGACAACCGGGTCAGGGACATTGTCGTCGATGAAGAGAGCATCGGCGTTACCGCCACCTCCTTTGACGCCAATTGCTTTCATGTTGCAATTCTGAATATACCAATTCAATGCTGACTACCAAAAGATTTACTTGAGTTTTTTCATTCATTCACAAACACATGACTTCAAGGAATTCATATGTTGGAGATCGACGGTGGCGTCAAGATTGTGGGGATGGCGGGGCATAGTGGGGCAGTGAGATTCGCGGGTTGTGACTTTCCGTGCCCCTCTTCGCTTTGGAAATGCCCGTCTCTCTGTCCACTCCACGCGGGGTAATAGTATCGGAGGGCGGCATGGGGAATGGCGATCATGTTTCTCTTTACAAATATATCCGTTCGAAAAGTAGCGTAGCGTGAGGTATAATCACCGTCAAGTAAAGTACATTCAATTCAATTCATCTGTTTATTGGCACCAAGTACTGTACACAGAAATCATGTCTTCCTCAGTCCCCTCATCTACCATCACCGAGAATGAGACCACGATTCGGCTTCAGCCAGGTGGGAAAACCACAAAGAAAGCAGACACGTTCTTCGAAGATGTTCATTTCCTCGGAGACAAAGATGGCAAAGTGAAGATTCGATCACCGCCTCAATTTGATGACCCTCTTGCCGCCAGAAAGTATCAAATGCAACACCTTGCTGTCGCCTTCCGAGTCTTTGCCAAGCAAGGATTTGACGAAGGCGTTGCCGGCCACATCTCACTTCGAGACCCTTTGAATCCAGGTATGTTCATTCTCATGACCCCTAATTTGGCAAACACTCTGACACCAAAACAGAGCATTTCTGGATCAACCCGCTCAGCACGCACTTTAGCCAGGTCAAAGTCAGTGACCTAGTCCTCGTCAACGAGCATGGAGAAGTCCAGCCAGGCGGAGCTCAATCTCCCATCAATGGCCCCGCATTCGCCATTCACAGCGAGATCCACAAGGCGAGACCAGATCTCAATGCTGCTTGTCACGCGCATTCTGTCTACGGAAAGGCTTTTTCATGTTTTGGGCGAGTGATCGAGCCGTTGTATCAAGATGCATTGAGATTTTACAATGATCTAAGCGGTATGTATTCTCTCATCCATTTCCTTGTACCTTCGTAAGATACCAACTAATATCTCAAAGTTTACAATGCCTATGGCGGTACTGTCGTCTCCACTGAAGAAGGTGCTCGCATCGCCAAAGCGCTCGGGCCTAAGAACCGCAGCATCATCTTACGCAATCACGGCATCATCACATGTGGTGCAACGGTGGATGAAGCTGCCTTTTTGTTCATTGCTCTGGACAGATGCTGTCACTCTCAGATGATGGCGAATGCTGCTGCTGGGCCGGGCTGGGAGAAGATCTATATCGAGAAGGAGCAGGCTGAGATGACGCACAAGAAGAGTGGGAATCCTAGTAAGATGTGGTTGGCGTTTCAGCCATATTATGATCAGATCATTGCGGAGGATCCAAGGGTGTTGGAGTGAGTGATTCGTGGATTGTGCATGATGTTTCTAGACCATTTTCATACGAGAATTTAAATCCTTTCTAATTCATGGCACATTTTTTTGCATTAGATTCCGTTGAATACATGCTTGCCTTGCGTGGCATCGCATCTGCTTCACCTTCATCATTCCATTTGTGTCCTAGTAGCAAGTCTCGTCCTTTGGGAATTTCAACCCCATCCAAGCTGATCAGGCATATAGGGAATGTCCATGAAACCAAATAGAGAATCATTCAACGTGTTATCAATGAATCGGGGATCGGCATTGGGCATTGACCCTCCTGAATTTATGTCTTGCGCGAACGTGTCGAACAGGGAAGATAATTCAATTGAGTTTGGTGTAGCATTCACATCATATGAATAACCTGCGTTCGTTCGCGGAGAGGTAACTAGAATTATTTAGCATATGATTCAACAAACAAGATTCAAGAGGCTGTTAACAATGATAACTTACCAGGGGGCTCAGCAATCCCGTTACTATGCATCAAATGTCTGATGATACTCGCAGGTCGCGTAACGCCAGGATTTGGAAGAGACAGTTCGTCGAGTGGCTTCAAGCTTGCTAACAACAGTTTTAAACTCTCGTCACGCTGATTGACTTCCAAAGCCGCATTGCGTACATGTATCGTGCAAGCAACATAAGCAGCATAGCTTGTCAGATACGGCGCTCCTCGCAAAGTGTAGGCTGATCGATATGCTCCAACAATGCTTGTGATGTTCTTTGCTGCAACTGTGCATTTCTTCCAAGAGGCTGCTGCAATCGAGCCAGATCTCAGATTACCTTCTGAGATGAATGGTCGATGCAGTAGTATGACGAGGGAATGATATGTGTTGTGGAGATTCATGACATTTGGTGATACCAGTTTTCGTGAGAGGTTTGGGTCTTCAGACCACGGTTGGAAAGAAACAGAATCTGGAAGCTCCTCATGCCACTTAGTTAGGCACTCATCGAGACCTTTGAGAGCGATTTGAGCTTTGTGCGGAGTAGCGCCCGCGGAGTAGAATCTGCTTATGACTCTCGCCATGAGCTTAGACAGCTCACAAAGCTGCTGGAATGTCGAGACGGAGTGAACTGGTGTCGGCGTATAAAAGGTTTGAGCGGGGTCTGGATACTCAGGATCTACGTAGGGAACCCATAAATCGAGTTCCTCCATGGTATCCATTAGCTCTGTTGAGACATGGCAATCTCGCAACTGCATCGAGAATGGTCGCCCCAGATACAGACTTTGAAGTTTGTCACAGATGAAAGCACCCCAATAGACCCTTTTCCTAATCTCGGCATCTTCAGCTGAGCTCCCAGGCTTTCGGCAATCGAGGTGAAGTCCAAGGTCGAACACCATGCGCATGGCGAAACCGGTGTAAGACCAGCCTTTGCTTATCTCACCTCGGGAGATGAAAGTCGATCCCAGGAGCAGAAATCCAACTACTGTAGGTATACTGGGTCTGCTCCATGGTGGCTCTTGTAGTAGAAGTTCTTCACAGCGTCTAAAGAAACGTCCTCCAGCAGTCAATGGATTTGACGGGTCATCGCGAAGCTCTATCCTATCGGAGTATTTGCTTGCACAAGCGAAGATGGCATTGAGAAGGAACTTGGAGCAATATTGTCCGCCGTGGACAATGTCTCTCATCAAGGCAGGGCGGTAAGTGAGTAGAAAGGTGTGATGTTGGCGGTTCCAATGAAGGTCTAACAGATGCATGGCTACACCGATAGGGACCCCATCGATGTCCGGCAGGAGGCGGATTGAAAACTCCTTTTGCCGTTCCAGAGCTGCATTTGCAACAAGCTGGTTCCGGATGTCATGGCTTGGTGCAACTTTCGAGACAGCTGGGGCAGCAGGGTTGTGAAGTGTTGAGGTAAGCCCAAAGACCCCAACCTGGCCTTGTTCATCTACTGAGAGGTATTTGGAGGCATCAAATTCTCCATCAGAATCATGGGTATCCGCTTCGTCGGCATAATTGGCGTCCGTCACCGTATTGCCAGCTGGTGGAGGGTTTCGTGGTTCTTCAGGTGGAGATTGTTGTATTCGATCACCAGAGGCCCAATCGTAGCCATCCAGATCATTCGAGACTGTCGTCTCGGTCGTACGATGTTTGATACTTCCATCAACCACCGTGACATCATTTAGAATGATTGCAGCCTCTTCTGGACTAGCATTCTTGAGTCTCACGAGGACTCTCTCAAGACTTCGCTTCTCGCTTTGTATTGCGGAGATGATAGCTGAGGATGGTCTGATATCCTGAAGTGTCAGTAGTCAACCAATTCAATGATTTGAATACTTCAGACCACACACCTTGGTTTCGGCTTTTCAAACGTATATACACAGTGCCGTTTATGAGTAGCACAAGAGGTGCACGCAGGCTTCTTCTTGTCACACTTGATCTGCAAATCTTAACTTAGCTTCCATAAGTCTGGCGGTAGTTCTAGATTGTTCACACCTTCCGTGCTCGACAAAATCGACATGCTCGGCATTGACTTTCAATGCTGTTTACATCTGATCGTTGTGATGATGTTGGCATGCTTGACTTTCTACAGTATCAAGTTAGTCGTATGTTTACCTGGCCTACGTTCAGTGCATCTGGTACGAGACTATTGCGAAGGACGATCCTGAATTTGGGGCCGCCCTAACTTCCATCCCCTGGGGAGATCACTGCAGGCTTGTTCGGCATTCACACCGAGCCCTTAGGGCTCATCTCCTGTTTGTGGGGATCTTACTCCTCGGAATTAGGGACAATGCTGTGGGGTAGTAGGTTACCCCGACCAATGCCTCACGAATGAAATCTTGCAGGAAAAAGTGCTCACAAGTTGAGATCAGATGATCTCGAAACGATGCCCAGAGACGGCTATTGCGGCAACAGCTGACAAGACGTGTGATGCAGACGGACTGTTTCGCCCCGTCATGTTCCGGATATTTTACTGTTTGCGAAGAAACTGAAGATGATGCGGGGTTGAAGGAGCCGTGAGCTGCGTTCTAATAGTGGGGGCCAGTGCCTCGAGACGAGGGTTGAAGACTTCTCTCGGAAATACACAACCGCCTATGCTTCAACCTGGTTCTGGTGAACAACATTTCAATTTTTGTGAAAGTTTCCAGAGCATCTATGGCAGCCCAAGGAGAAACGTACCGCTTAGCATTCCCTCCCAATCAGAAACCATACATCTCGACTGGTCTACCGTTTCACAAATCCCTTGTTCATCATGTCACGAACACATTCCATGCATCTAAAGTCTATGTAATCGTCTCCGCATCTATCAGTAAGACGAGCAATTTCTCAAGACTACAATCCGAATTGGGTAATAAGATTGTCGGTGTTAGATATGGCATTAAACAGCACGTGCCCTGGACGGACGTCCTCGAGGTCGTCAATGATATCAACCAAAAAGAAGCGGACTTGATTGTCACATTAGGGGCCGGTTCTCTCACGGATGGTGCCAAAGTTATCGCATTTGTAAGATCTAAACCAGGTCAGTATTGCAGCATGCCTGATTAACAATATTCAAGGCGCTTGCAAATCAAGCCTTTACACTCGAGAATCTGGCCAAGATTGCGGCCGACGCCAAACCTATAGACTTGCAGCCATGTAGCATTCCTATCATCAACATACCTACGTCTCTGTCAGGCGGAGAGTAAGTGATAATCTTGCCCACCGAGTCCAACTCCTTTTACCCCTGAAATTTTTTCGACCTAACTCCAAATGCTTTCAGAAGGGCGAATACTGACTCTAAGAACTTCTAGATATACCGCCAGTGGTGGCGCTACAGACATGCGAACACACCGCAAACACTCATTTGCACATCCTTCAATTGGAACCAATCTAGTGATACTTGACCCAACACTATCGATCTCAACACCCGAACGGGTCTGGATTTCCAGTGGTATGAGAGCTGTGGATCACTGCGTTGAAGGGCTTTGTTCGAATTCTCCTAAAGTGACTGATTCCACTGATGCTACCTACACCAAGGGTCTTCGTCTTTTGGTCCCTTCTTTGCTGCGAACTAAGAAGGACAAGGAGAATCAAGAAGCAAGACTTGATGAAATGCTGGGAGTTATAGAGTCAATGAAAGGAAGTCAGTGTAACCCTTCGCTTGTGAAAGTTGGTACTGACACACTTCAGGCAAAGCAGGAGTTCCGATGGGAGGTTCCCACGCCATTGGACACCAGTTGGGACCTCTTCGCGTAGGGCATGGAGAGACCTCATGTGTCATGCTGCCCCACGTATTGAGGTGGAACCACCTAAATGGAGATGAGACCGTCAAGTCACTGCAAAGAAAAGTCTGTGGTGTGTTTTGGGGTCAGGAAGACATAGAAAGAATGTTGAAATCGAGAGGTTTGGAGCCAGGAACAGTTGATGCAAGTGATATTGTTGGTGCTTTGGTGAGTGAGCTTGGTATGCCGAGAACTTTGAAAGAAGTCAATGTCTCAGAAGACCGGCTCGATGCTTTGGCGGCCAACACTATGAAAGACAGGTGGAGTCCAACAAATCCTGTTCCTTTAAAGGATAAGTCGATGGTTCTCGAGATTCTCAGAATGGCGTTAGGGACATGAACACTGTTGAGATTGAAATATAAGATAGTTTTACTCTAGACGCTGTGAAACAATGTCAGTGAGTTAAATTTCAATTATATATCAAACTTTAAGAAATGGAATAGTGTAAAGACGGCTTGAAGTAAGACACAAACTTCCTTCTATTTCACAGAATTTTCTTTCGCCCTTCATTGTGTTCCGCAACTTCACAAGCTCCAAAACAATGTTATTCTATATTTTCAATATTTCCATATTTGTAGTATCTCAGTTCAGATGCAGAATAGAAATAGGATTCAATTGCATCAGAGCTTCCATTCTACTCCTGTTTGAGCTTTTTGGCAGTCATTCCCTCGCTGAGCAAAGTCACAACATCTTCAACAGTCTTGCCTCTTACTCTAGCTCCAGGCTTCTCCAGGCCTAAGTCAGAATCCTCAGCGACAGCTCTATATACTTCGCTAACACCTTCGAATCTGAATATGATTATTAGCATCTGTTCATCATGCCAGTGTCCCGTTGTCTGGAGGAGATTCTTACAAGTTCTTCTCAAAACCACCATCTTCAGCTGCTGTATCAGCCATCTCGAGCATCTCATGTACCCATCGATACGCTTTTGGCGGCATGGTCGTCAGCCCCTCCTCGGCAGCCTTCAAAGTTTCGGGAAAGTCTCTCTTCAGATACTCTCTCATCTCTGGTAAGACACCGAGTTTATGGGCGGTAGTAAATGACTGGATTGCCAGTGCGGTGAAGCCTTTTGTGTTCATCCCAAAACATATCTTCAATCCTGTTGCTGCACCAATTGAATCGTTCAAGTGATGGATACGAAGGTGTTGATTGAGTGCCTCGGAAGGTATACGAGTGGGACCAGAAATGACAAGTGATGGACAATGCCATTTTCCTGAAGCTTTGCGGTGAGGAACTCCTCCGATAATCCCACCGTCGAGAAACTTGATGTTTGAGTTGGAGGAAAAGAGTGTAGCAACATGACGAGCGGTGCGAGGTGAGACAGCGTTCAGATCTAGATAGTAGACTGGCTCGCTGCGAGAGGATTTGCTGGCAGCAGTGGAGATGAATTCCGCGGTTTTGATAGCATCACGTGGAGGAACAATGGAGAGGATGTAATCGGATCGCTGCACCAACTCCACGTAGTCGGGTAACAATTCAACTCCTACTGACTGAGCACGGTCTCTGGTACTTTGGCTGCATCCAAATTTTAGTAATTGTAAGTGATCAAGTAGTGATATTAGATGCAGATGACATACCTTCTTTCAGACGCATTGGTCACAACCTGGTATCCGTAGTTCTTGAGCAAGAGAGCTATCCCTAAACCCATTTCACCAATCGAGACAATGCCAATAGTAGCCATGGTTGCTGTCGGAGTATTATGTTGAAAATTGCCGAAGTTTGGTCGCTTTTCTACACTTTCAATCGAGCAATTGGATATTGATTGAGGGGTTCACGGAACATTTCGACCCGCTGTTGTGCTAAATGCGGCGTCAGAGAATCCGCTGTATTGAGGAAAGGAGCGCTCGTGTGTGCAGGCCGCAAACTTGACCGCCGACTAAATAAAGTCTTACAGCTTCGACTTGGCAGTGATGTTTTTTCTGTGTCAAAATAGTTCAGCCACAATCACATCTTGTCAGAGTCCGAGGATCTAGAGTCAAGGATCTGGATAGTGCCGAGTACTGAGGTGCGCTAAGTCACAATCGAATGAAAGGTTGAAACCCAGACTACTTAGCACTATATACACTACACTAGTATCACGCTTGATAGTTGTGGCAGCTGTTGAATATATTTCTCTCCTTCAATTCTCTACTGGAATAGCTTCTGTGGTGTGTTGACAAAGAGGTCAAGCCATGTTTTCTCATCAGGGATCCACTTCCTCAACGCTTCTATGTGACCTTTGACATCCACTTCCCGAAATCCTTCAATATCATTCAATCTCTGAGCTTCGGTCTTACCCTTTCGAGAAACACCCAACTGAGTGTGAGGCCAATCTATAGGAGATGAGCTAGATTCAACCAAGCATAAGAAGAACACTAACCAGTTCCAAAAATAATACGGTCTGGTCCTGCCTCAATAATCGCCTTCGCAATTGGAGCCACTGACTCAATACCACCGGCATGTCCATGGTACAGGCGTTCAAATCCAGACATCTTGACATAAACGCGTTTCTCCTTGATCAATTCCAAGAAACTTTGAAACTCGGGTAACTTCTCTTCACCTGGAAAGGTGCCTCCCATATGATCAGCAACGAGTTTGATGCGAGGATCCAGCTCTGTTCTAATCATATGAGCCATCGATGCCCATGCACGAATATCACAAAAAATCCCAATCGCCCATTCCAATCTTGCTAGTTTCGTAGCAAGAGCCTTGACTTTGTTTCCAATTACGTCGCCACCGCTCTGATGACTGTCCTCGAAATCTCAATGTCAGTATACTTTTTGTTCATGCGTATGATAGGTAAGACTCTCTTGTCCCAAAAACAGTGGCCTGAAAGTAGTCATAGAACAGTAGCAGGGAAAATATTTCTTTTGAAAAGGAAGACTTACCCGTGACCCCATGCCATCTCATGCAATCGAGCACCTCTGACCCCAGCTTTGTGCAATTCGTCAAGTTCAGCATCTGTGATATTGTTCACATCAATAGTGGCAAGACCCCGGAGAGTGACCCCCGGCATAGATTTCTGTTTGCTGAGGGTATCCACAAGTGGCGCCGGGGAAGTTCCCTGAATCGAGGCATGAACAATTACAATGTTCTTGCATCCCGTGAGATTGGAAGGATAGTCTTGAATGGCTGCTGGTTTCGGGGTGTATGATCGTGGAGTCGCATACGGAAACTTTTCGGGATCAAATGCATGAATGTGCGTCTCCCAGGCACCTTCGGGAACTAGTGGATGTGAGGACATTCTTGCAGACTGTGATGAATGAATCAATCCGTGAATAACGAACTCAAAATATTTCAATGAGTTGTAACGAACTAAATATCTTTCCGTCGTGGAATGGAACGGTGCGTCAGTGAGTCGTAATCGGCATACAAGGGCCTCGATGCGGGGAGTCGGGGTCGTCACTTGCAAGCTATAATGCGGGGCCCCATAATCCGCGAACGCACACTTGGAACCCGTCTCCAGTCCCTGTGTGTTATGGAGGGCAGGCAGTCCGCCGAATCCAGTTGACATAATTCTAATTCCTTGGTTGTGCTATGTCCTTTCCCCGCCTTGAGTACGAATCGTCGTAGCGGAATAACAGTACCCTGTGCCAAGACGTAATCATCAAAATGGGACTCCCTCCCAGGACTGGACATTTAATCTAGGCTTTCAATCAAGATCTTCATACCTATCGTTAGTCTTTGCCCCGAAGTTGTTCATCATTTAATCATCGAAGCGGTACTTTCTCCTAAGCAAACTAAGATCTTATAGCCAGCCAACAAAAATTGGTTTCGACAACAATGGGTTTGTTGAGAGACCTCAGGAATGGCATTGCCCATTTTGCAGGCTCTGTGCGAATGAGTCCAGCTCAAGCCACGACATGGCTTTCATGTGTAAGTTTCTCTTTGTTACCCGAGTCTCCCACTGTCCGAACACCTACCAAAGAGTAGACTAGATCTCCTTCGTTTAGCCCAGGAGTAAAAGACATTAATTCTGCATGAACACAGCTAATATTTCATCCAGTGGTCAGCTTGGACTCTAGGATCCTTTCAATTCTACTTACTTCCGTTCACTCTTGCATCCCTCGCCAAATACCTTGATGTCGAACAAACCAAGATATCGGAGGCTAATACAACCACTATGCTGTCTCGATTACTCGGCGCTATCATCTTCGGCATTGCTTCTGATCAGTACGGAAGAAAGATTCCACTACTGATTGATCTTGTTTTGGTTGGCGTGTTGACACTCTGTAGTGGATTCATCCATACATATGGTCAACTTGTTGGTGTTCGACTCTTATTCGGTAAGTTCTGACACAAGTGTTACCTTCAGACTTGGCCTGACATAACAGGAATTGCTTATGGGGTCATTTATGGACTTATCACGGCGGCGGCCCTGGAAGCTGTACCTAAAAGAGCGAGAGGAATCGTTTCTGGACTTACTCAACAAGGGTTCGCTGCAGGCTACATGCTCGCTTCTGGCTTCCATCTCGCCATGGGTAAGTACTTTGTTCTCTTGCTTTACAAGTAGCCTGGTTAGCTAATCGCCGGCTGTGCAATAGCGGATTATGAATGGCGAGCCCTGTTCTGGCTGGGAGCGGGGTTGTCCGTTCCTGTCTTTCTCCTAAGACTCTTTCTGCCTACGATCTCCGTCGCTGCAACAGATGAAGACGATGGTGTCGCAGCTGGAGATGTCGACGCTCGAGCAGTCGTTGGGGGAAACTTGTCGTTCATCAAGAAGCTTAAATACGTCCTTCGACACCACTTTCTTGCTGTTGTCTACATGGCTCTACTTTCGGCTTGCTTCGCCACGATGGGTCATGGTTCTTTCGACTTGTATCCAACCTTTCTAACAGTTCAGCGCAAGTTGACAGTTCGCGAAGAGACATGGGTCACTATCCTGCTCCAAAGTGGAGGGATTTCCGGGGCCCTGGTGGGTGGATACCTTGGTAACCGATACTCCCTGAAGTGGGTGCCGTTTTGCTTTGCGCTCTTTGCGGTTCCGTTCTTGCCACTTTATGCCCTGCCGAGTAAATGGAATCTTCTCGGTCTTGGAGCCTTCTTTAGTAAGTTAAAAGCACCCTTGGTTCAAGCATATTTTGAGAGCCGAGTCTTCGAGACACTGTTTCGAGAGAGCTCATCTCGTCTCCTTGATAATTCTTCAGACTCCCTACTGACCTTTCAACAGTGGAATTTGGGTACGGCGGAGCGATTGGAAATCTTGGAAACATTTTTCAACAAATCTGTCCGCATCCAGGAATGAGAGCAGCATTTGGTGGTGTATCGTATAATATTGGAAATGCTATAAGTTCCATAGCACCAACCATCGAGACGAGTCTAGGAGAGAGATTCCCAACAGCACAGGGAACGCCAGACTATGCTAAGACGCAATTGATCTTGGTTGGAATTGTAAGTGAAAATTCCCGAGTTCCTGGTATGTGTGTTAATACAGATAGTGTCTTGGACTGTTGCTACTCTGTTTGGGTTTGATGCCACTGCATAGGTTGAATCAAAATTGGGACATTGAAGATCCGAATGCAGAGGTACCACACGTGGCTGAGCAGGGAGGTGATGAAGAAGACGGGTTAGGCATGAGTTCTCAAAAGGGGAGCCAAATCGAGGCTATTCACTTGGAAAATACTGTAAAGACTTGAGGTTATTACTACGGCGATGATGGAATGATATACGGTATGAACAAGGATGTTTTTCCAAACTTTGTCCAGTAACCTCAAATCAATGTATTCACTCACCCAACATCTGGTCTCGTACATTGTGTAGCCCTCAGCTTTTGAATCCCCGCAACGATTCCCCCAGACGAGACATCCCGTGCTACCATCCTGCCAAAGTATTCCGGATCTGACAATCATGCCCCGTTTTCGGTCTTCCTCGCGGGGCGTCAAGCCTACCATTCCTGTCTTTTCATTCCACAATCTCTATTTTGCAAATAGATTGCGGGACTCGAAGGTGCTGTTCCAATCGTATTTCTATCCTCATTTATTTCAGATCCTCCTTTTGCTCCTTAACCATCGCCTCGTCCAGATAGCACCGCATACTCTTTATGGCACCAAGACCAGGGACAGCCAATCCGTCGCGTTTATCCATCATTCGGGGTGTGGGTTCTGTTATTGATCGGTACGATGTTTTTTCCTCATCTATTTCTATTCGTCAGTAATCGCCGTCTTGTGCGAGTGGATGGGTCAAAGATACTTTCACCACAATCCATCACAGCATACACATCACAGTATTCCGTCACCTTGCCTAGAGTGACCGATTCGACGAGGCCGTGGAAGTTATAGCACGAATCGTAGAATGCGTGGATCTTGAATGGGAAGCCGGCGTAGGATTCTTCGGGGTAGAAAGTTGCTAATCTGGTAGAGATCTTGGGTTAGTCACCAGAGATAATATAGACAGCCGTAGATCAAAATCAGACAAAGAAGAGTCATGCTTCGGACAGTCGAGAATAGAACATTGCTTACAAAGGCGTATTCATCAACTGCATCTTCCCACCATGTACCAGCGCAACTATCGAAAAGAAAACCCCCAAAATGATGAGAGAAGTATCTCGTGAATACATAATCTTTAACAGCATTTTGAAAAAGGCACGTGAATAGATGTCTGATCAAAGTTCGTATCGAGGGCGATGCGGGGATTTATCATCTTGACAGAAAAGCTTCTTTCGGGCTTTACTTGCTTTTTGATCGCCATGGCTGACTGACACAGGGGCGAACAAACCCCCTTGTCAGACTGAATATTGGAGCTGAGGTATCGTGTGCTCAGAATGGAAGACGATGAAGGTACGCAAAGGAGTGTGAGAAACATGGCGTATTTGGTGATAGGTGAGGGGTCGTGGCGTCGTGAAACCTAACCTTGAATGTCTCGGAAGAGATTTGTGGCTGATATTGAATGAGACACATATATTATTGACTAGTCCGGACTGGACCTCGTACGATTGTGCGATCGAGGGTCGCTTTCTTGTTGTACCTTCGTACACTCGTACCATTTTGTCCGGTTTTGGTGCAATCTGACATCGTGTGAGAGAAATCTAGCTCAAAAGATACAGGGGGCTTAAAACATTCAATCAGTCAGCGAGAAGTCTATCAATAGATACCGTTTCTCTGCCATCATTCTCCAAAAGTCTTTAGACGTAGTTGCGTCTTGAAGGGAAATCGGCGAATGGTGACGGCGCTTGCCTCCTCATTCAAACCGATTTGATGATGTTCTTGCGATTGGAAACCCAAGCATTTTGCTGGGTTCGCTCGTGTGTATTAGACTTAAAATCCAAGAGACTGAAGGGAAGATCCAATGTGTGCTACAACAATGTGAAGATTATACCAACTTAGTATCACGTGCTGCATCGACATGTGTCCCGGTTGGAAGTTCGAAGTAGCAGCAGAAACATCAAGCCAAAACTCATTGGAAATGAAATTCAAGTTAAATGGTACAGGTCTAATTGGCCTGCCCTTCAGCGAAGTCAACCAACATTTGAGAGAATTCATCCCTCTTTTCCAGCTGGATCCAATGCCCGCACCCTTCGAGCTTCTTGATGGTATAGTTCTTCAGGCGAGCTGGAGATAACTGCATCGCGACTTCAGCACGGGTGACATAGTCGTTGTCTGAGAGAATAACGAGAGCTGGCACGTTGACAAATTTATTATCCTCGGGAATGAGCGCATCCTCGCCAGCATGGAGACCACGTATGGTAGCTTTATACCTGATAAATGTAAGCAAAGTGCTGGATGGTGTGTTCGGACTAGAAATTTACCAGTTTAATGGCCCCACGTATCCCCCTTTAGCCAGGATTTGATTGTGAGTGGTGACTTCGGATTCGGAAAGCCATTGAGGGAGTGCCGTAATGGTGTTGGCGGTAATCCACGCTTTGGCCGCCCCTCGTGGTCCCAGGTGGGTTTTCCAGAGCTCTGGATCATGTGGGTAGACAAGGGACGTGAATGATTCATTCTAGGTTGAACAATCAGCTTTCTTTCAGGACTCCATGAAATCTGTCCGATAACATACGTGGTGATCACATATTTCGGCAGCGTCATCATCGTTGAAGAATTCCCAATATCCGAATGTGGGATACCCAAACAATTGCTCCGTCATTGCATTCATTGCATCTAGTCGTATATATGTCAGGATGAGAAATCATTCGAGTGAAGGACATTACCCAAGTCAAAACCACTTGGCTCCATGTATGGCACAGATACAAAGACCACCGCCGAGAATTTGTCAGGGAAATAGTTCAATAGGCGGGACAGCAATCCTACGCCCCTTCAAGTGATTCTATCAGCCTTCATAACACAGAAGAGTATGGAGGTGGGGAAAGACGGGGATTGAGTCATCTGTGACTTACCAATCATGCCCCACACCGATAACTGTCCCAATTGACTCCTTATTCAGTATTTCGACGAAGTCGGTTGCCATTTTCTTGAGTCCGTACGCTTCCGGCTCAGTGGGCTTGTCTGTGTCGCCATAGCCAAGCAAGTCGGGTACAACGACTCCGTAGCCAAGGGAAGTCAGCGTTCTGACTTGAAAGCGCCAGTCATAGCTTGAGCTAGGGAAGCCATGGAGAAGCAAGAAGGTCGGCTTCGATTCCTTCGCAGCAACGTGGACATAGGCATATTTGATGCCGTCCTGAAGTTGGACAAGCTTGCCAGCAACAGATAGATTATTCAGGGCCATGATCACTTGATATCTTCGAAGTCAGATGTTAAGGGTGAAGAGTGCTTCTAATCCTGAATATATTCTGTCCACTTTGCCTTTGAAATACGTCAGCAGTCCTTGTTTTTGATATAAACAGCAACAACAAAGAGCTGTGATGTTGGCGCGTTGGTTGCACAGATGTGGCAAGGGATACGAGCGGATGAAATTTGTTGGATGACCAGCTCAGCGGTGCAGATAGTGGCGTACTTCAGAGCTCTATCGACGAATCTCAAACCACGCTTCGTAAATATTGCAAATCGCATCCATGTTAAAAAGTTGTTGCAGCAGGGAAGGTGCCGAGGCTGAGATTCTGGCTGTAAGCATAGCACTTGCTACGACGGTTGAACATCAAGTACTTATGCGGCTTACTCTAGTGGCATTTTTGAAATTTCAAGAGCCTGATCGCAATCTTCTCGAGTGAAGTATCCAAAAATTCATGACGACAAAGGACTCATGGCATCATTTGTACAGTAACAACAAGGTGACATCTTCCGAATTAAGATGTAATCTGCCCGATGACAAGACAGAGAATTGCTCGTACGCTGACATCGAGGTCGTCCACTATTGCCCGCTCGTACCCTGATTATAATACAGCGCCGTATAATCGACCTCATCCGTCTCGTCACTATCAATTTCACTCTCCACGCCATCGGGTATCTCATCTTGCTCGATGTCAGTCTCCACATTATCAGAACCGTTGGGACCTTCCTCCTCCTCGTGGACGGTAAGGGTACCTGCAGCAGGCATTCGCGACTGTCCACCCACAGCTTCACCTTCAATTGATGCAAGCGGTCGATCTGACGCAGGCAAGTTTTCGAGATTTGGGTCGATGACAGGCGCTGGGATATTCCACGCGGCGGGTTCGATGGCTGGTTGAGTAACTGGTCCAGACGGTCCAACTGGAGCTGTGCTAGGTTTTGGTAGGATTGCTCGCTCTGGCTGACTGGCTATTTGAATGTTTCCATGGATGATGTCGTTTCCAGGTGCCTTGGTGACTCTCTTGCGAATCCTCGCAATCCGGGCCTTGCCTCGAACTGCCTTTTTGTGAACACCACTTGTCTGAACGGCCTTGGTCGAACCTTGCTTTCTCATCTCTGCTAATTCTTCTTCTGTAAGGCCAACTTTTGGAAGAGGAACAAGAATTGATTTACTCTTCTTTCCAGGGAGTATATCGGGAACGCGAAGAGCGTCGTCGAACTCCTCGTCGATCAGCTCTTTCTTGCAACAAACAGCCATCAACTTGGTCTTCATGATCGCTCTGATCTTCGCCACGGTGCCTTCATAAAACCAGCCATCACTGGAAGTTTCGCATTTTTCTCGGTACGGCGCATCTCTCATGAGTCGAGCTAGCACCGGATCTGTGACATCGCACACTTGCCAGATTTTGCCATCCAAAATGACTGTTTTGCCATCAAAAATGTGACTCTCTCTGTATTCCTTCGTGGCACCTTTCTTGTTGACTGTATAACTTGTGCGGACGTCTTTCCACTGCATGCCTTCGATTTTCTCTTCCTGTTCAAAGAGCTTGAAAAAGAAGCTCTGGTATTGGCGATATTTTGGGTCAGTCCGAGGGTCAACACCAAATTTGATGAGAGCATCACGAAAAGGGCCACCTCTGAACTGATAGCCAATATATTGGAGAGCATCTCTGAATGTCCACAGTTCTTTGGAGGTGCCGACGCGGTTTACCAAGGCTCTGCGAGTCCAAAGAGGACGTTCATCTATAGCTTGTCGAAGTTCCCCAATCAACTTCAAAAGTTCTGGTTCGTCGGGAGGAGGCGCATGCGCGTGCATGGGTATGGAAGTAGCGTCAGAGCTCAGGTATTGCAATTGGACTTTCCTGCCACCTTGTTTGTTAACAAGTCTCACCTGTCCTGTAGCTTGGTCGACTTGTGCGGAGATATTCGAATTTTGATGAAATCCCCAGTTGAATGGTATTTGGTGCGATGATAGGATAGGAGGGGGAAAGAATTCTTCATTTTCCTTGACTCCTCTGCTGGGGTTGAACTTGAATTCTCGAAGTGTATCCACTACCACATGTAAGTACAGAAACCAAATATTGAATGTTATTACGCACCATTCTCTGCGAAAGCTATGTTGCGAAATTTGGGCATAAACTCTGTCTGACTTGTCGAATGATGGAAATCAGAGAGACCTGACATATGTTAGAGCTGTATGAGAATCAATAACCAGAAGACTTACCTCGATATCTGTGACTCTGCGTGACTTCTCCTGCTACTTCGACAGTGTACTTCCCTTGCGTATCCTGCAGTTTTCGTAGCAAACTGGCAGGCTTGTCCTTCCCCGAATAGGAGTGTACAATCTCAGAAGTCGCAGACGTTGGGACATCGTCTTCCAGTGGAATCCACCCATCATGATGTGGATCTTGAGAGCCTCTCTTGCGCTTCCTTCCAATGCGCTTTGGCACAGTAATCTTCAATAGAACGTTGTTCGTTGGACTATTTTGTGACAGGATTGGGGTGCACATAGGATCATCATGGCGTAAATAGAGAGGTATGATATCTTGGGCGTCACGAGAGTCAACAATCTGCAAAGAATCAGCGTGAACTTTTTTGATATGGGACTTGCCATTCGATTGTCACGGGACCTGAAGATGAATATCTTTAGTAGTTGGAATGATGAGCACTTACCCTTTCAAACGGATGATTCCTTCCAAAAGTCTTGATGCCATTATCAAGATTTTGTACAATCATGGGATGCTCAACGGCAATAATTTGTTTCGCTGGAACCCTTAAAGTAGGAGCGGAGTTCGAGACTACTTCGTCCATTGTTGGTGTAGAACGCAATTACGTCAGATAGAATCAGACACCGTATTTCCGACCGGTGTTATTGGAAGTCATAAATACGATTGCTGATGTGAATACAATACGATCATTGTAATCCCGCGAGGGCACGAGTGAATATGAAGTTGAAAGAAAATGACAGTAGAAGTGTACCAAGGTCGTCAAGGCCCAATCCGGACAAGCGCCCGAGCGTCAATTTTAGGAGCTGGGGCTTGGGCAACTTCGGCCCCTCCCACGATCGTGCGCCTATGTTGTGTTTTGTCGTCGAGTGAAGCCCATTGAATCTCAGCCATCGTCGGTTACTTTCGCAGATTTCATCCTCGCGAGTCCTTGAAGCTTGGGGTGCGCCGGACGCGTGGGCTTTCTTTTGTTGCATCACGACTCCCAAATGATAGCCTGAAGCAGATCACTCGATTCACCGCCCGCTTTACACGACCCATCAACAGCGACGGCAGCGTGCTGCTTGTCAGAGCCTGGATCCGCTGGAAAGACAATCCAGAGTATCTGCGAATTGCTCGTGAGTCGTTGACCCCCCTTGATGCTGAGTCTTGGGCTGTTGGCTTTGGCGGGACACATGGCTAACCTACGCTCCATCATGCAGATCACGAAAGCTCGAGGCGCGAAAACCCACGTCGATTCTAGTCACAATAGCAAGCAGCACACAAGTACTATCTTCTTCATATGTCCGAGCCTCACGAATAGGGTCTCTTCAACTTTGGCAGTCATTACTCGTGCAAGCAGCCTTGCCCTGAACTCAAAGAGATCAGCAAACGGCGACTCTGTTGCAGACCCACACGCTCGGCCACTTTGTGTAGCATCACTTTCTTTTTCGAAAGTGCTCTTATTCACAATTACAACAATTCGTGGGAGGACCTATTGTCATTGCTACAGAAGGCTTTGTGGTTGTGCACGACGTCAGACAAAATCGTGCCAACTTTCTCAACATCTCCACTTTCCTGGAACGGGTAGACGGAGCGACTTTTGGGACGCAAGCTTCGAAATATTTCGCCGTGTGGTACTTCTCGCGGAGTGAGACATCTTCCCGCAGACGGGAAACCTGAAACATAAGCTTGATTGCTATTCACCATGAAAGGCTTCAGGCAAAGAGTTGTAAGTAGCCCCGAATCTCAGTCGTACGAAGCATGAGTCCTTCGGGTAAAGCTCATGTAGACCACTTGCTAACCCGTTCAGCATGATCAGCTCTCGCGCGCCAAAGACCCAAACAAGTCCTCGAAATCTAAGAACAAGGGTGACTCAAAGGATGGGACTTCATCGCCGTCTCAGGCAAATTCGGCGAGAGAAGCGACACAATCCCCAATAACAACCCCATCCTCGTCCACCACAACCCTGAACGATCCTCGGAATAAGCCTCTTCCCCCAAATGATGGTGGTGCCTCGAATCCAAGCAACTCAAGTCCGGCTCTCCAGCCACAATCTGGGTCTATCAGCTCCCTCAATCCTGGACATGGAGCTGGACAAGACCGATTTAATGGTATAAGTGGTGGTCCACCAGTTGGAGGACCTGGTACTCCAAACCGTCATGGACAACTTCCCCCAAGTGTCATTATTAGCCCTAGCGCACCTGTAAGTTGATGTGCTCCCAGGTACTGAGAATCGATAACTAATGAATCATGCTAGCATATTCCTCCCCCGGGCGCCGCAGAAACAATGCCTCACGATCTCGCCCCACCTAAGGCTGGTCAGAAGTCGTTGATATATGATCGACTACAGACGACCCCAAAAGACGTCCCCGAAGGCATCAGAACTCCCAAGAGACAGCACTCCTCCCGATTCGACATTTCCCCACAGCGAGAACTAGAGAAGCTTCCAGGTTTCCATGAAGTTCCTCCCAACCGTCGACAGGATCTCTTCATGCAGAAGATCGATCAGTGCAATGTTATATTCGACTTCAACGATGCCAGTGGTGACATGAAGTCAAAGGAGATTAAGAGATTAGCGCTTCATGAGCTGTTGGATTACGTGGCAAATAACAGACAAGTAATCACCGAAGCCATGTACCCACGAGTGGTGGACATGTTTAGCAAGAATCTGTTCCGTCCCATTCCACCACCAATGAATCCTCAGGGAGAGGCTTTCGATCCCGAGGAAGATGAGCCCGTTCTAGAGGTGGCTTGGCCCCACATCCAGGTTGTGTATGAATTTTTCCTGAGATTCATTGAGAGTCAAGACTTCAATACGAACATCGCCAAAGCCTACATAGATCACAGTTTCGTGCTTCAACTCCTGGAATTGTTCGATTCCGAAGACCCCCGCGAGAGAGATTTCCTCAAGACCACTCTGCACCGAATATACGGCAAGTTCCTCAATCTGCGCTCTTACATACGAAGATCCATCAACAATGTATTCTTCCAATTCGTTTACGAGACGGAACGATTTAACGGTATTGCGGAGTTGCTTGAAATCCTTGGTTCGATTATCAACGGATTTGCTCTACCATTGAAGGAAGAGCACAAGTTATTCCTAACGAGATCCTTGCTCCCACTTCATAAAGTGAAAAGTTTAAGCATGTATCACCCTCAGCTGGCGTATTGCATCGTTCAGTTCCTCGAGAAAGATGCCGCGTTGACAGAAGAGGTATGTATCTTAAATCCCGAGCCGCGGATTGTGCTAATGAATTAGGTTGTGCTTGGTTTGCTCCGGTACTGGCCAAAGACCAACAGTACGAAAGAGGTAATGTTCTTGAACGAAGTCGAGGACATTTTCGAAGTCATGGATCCAGCCGAATTTGCCAAGGTTCAGGAACCCCTTTTCCACCAGCTCGCCAAGTCTGTCGCCAGTCCCCACTTCCAGGTCGCAGAAAGAGCCCTCTATTTCTGGAATAATGAGTACTTCTGCAATCTGGTCAGCGACAATGTCGAGATTATCCTCCCAATTATGTTTGCACCATTGTATGAGAACTCGAAAGGACATTGGAACAGGTATGTTTGGAATCTATGACGCTTGATTGATGCTGACGTAGCATAGGACAATCCATGGAATGGTTTATAATGCCATGAAGCTCTTCATGGAGATCAATCCTCAGCTCTTCGACGATTGCTCTCACGATTACACCGAACACCAGAACAATGCAGAAGCCCGAGAAACAGCGAGAGCCAATAAGTGGAAAGCTTTAGAAGAGCAAGCAAAACGTGGCTCGGCAAATGGCAGCGTCCGGCCGTCAGCGACAAGCATATCTTCCTCCCGATCGAAAAAGGTCGACGAACTTGACCCGATTACCGAAGACAACCAGAAGAGGCTGGACTCATTAAAACTTCAGGATGGAGATCGGAGAGATAGAAGGCCAGCTCACGATCGACAAAATTCGGTAGGCTCCTCCAGAAGCCAGCGATGATTGTCTTAGTACTATGCCGCTTCATTCTGCGTTCAAGGATAGCCTTTCGTGGAAGTTTTGTCACGGGATAGAATTGTTGGCTCGCGCACACCCACATCTTTCTCTTCTCTTCAGCATATTGTCTTGCGTGCTCAGCGTTTGGTTGAAACGGTCTATTGACAATGTCCTTCCAGAAATCGATCTCTCAACCTGGAAGCGATGCGAGTCTTCGAAGTCGATCGGGAAGCGGTGGTTCCCACAATGCTGTCGTAGGACTGGAATCTTCGGGAGAAAGCTACCAACTGGTTCAGACTATGACAGATGAGCAAGCAAGTCATCTTTCTTGATTCTTAGGGCGTCTTGGTGGGATTTCGAGGGAGTGGTCGTGGTCTTGACCTCCTTTCATCTATCGTTGAGGAGGGTTTGGCCTTGGATGTATGGATGTTCTTGCACCTGTTATAGGTATTCATGTATGATGCACAACAAGCATATCGTTTGCGAGCGTTTCATTCGCCTGGTGGTGTGGGGACATTGAGCGATGCGATTGGCAAATTAGTCAAGTCAATGCTCCAGATCTCGATTCTTCTCATTAGACGACACGGATTCTTTCATGGATGGCTGTCTCTCTCCTTTTGAAAGTAAATATGGAGGGTAAAAGGCATCGGCGTTCAGAATCGGAATGCTAAGTAATGAATTGTGATGACATTGCAATTTTCGCTTTATACTTTGTGAGACAGCCAAAAAATAGTTCCTTTGAGAGTGATAGGTGAGAAAGTTAATTTTCGATTTTGATTATCTCACGCCACTGCTGTGCAATGGGAGTGACCTTCTTGTGGTATTTCTGAGATGGAGATGAGAAGATTGAAAAAAGGAGCAAGAATGAACAATATAATGTCTCAGGTTCCTCAGAACATTACAGAAACCTCTCATAATAATGACCGAACTTGTACTATCGAAATAGAAAGCGTAGATATCCAAGTAACTCGTTATCCTCATGCTTGCTGTACATTCCAATAAGCCCAAGGGCTTTCTTTCTGACAAAGGCATTATTATACTTATGGATATGTCTATCTATTCCAGTATGTCCCGGACGCCATGCTCCTATCCAAATCCTTAACACCTTGAAATGCCTTTCCTTCCCCTAGAGATCATAATACCAGCACCAATACCAGCAACAAAATTAACACAAATATCAACACCCCAATACAACAACTACTCAACCCATCCTCATTCTTCTTAATCACCTCCCCCATCCGCTTCATCCCCGTCTGTAACCGCCCTCCAACCCGATCCGCCAGATTATCAGTCGTCTCCAACATCTCCGCCTGCTCCTCCAACTCCCTCCCCATATCATCAGCCTGCTGCCGCAGATTCCCCACCGTCCGAAACACGCCGTCAAGATCCCGATCCTGGTCCGCCATCATAGTAAGCTGCTGCTGGTGCTCAAACTCCGCATTATAATCCCTATCATCCCCTCTCCCCTCTCCCTCAATCCCTTTCCCATTCCCATTCTGCGCAGTGGAAATAATACTCTTCTCCAACTCCTCCCTCATGTCCTCGACCTCGCCGCCCACCTCGTCCACCAGCCGTGTCCGGCGAGCCACTTCCTCGATCTCGAGCCCGAATTTGTACGGGTCTGATTGGACGGCTTGGACGGACTCTATCAGGTCCGAGAGGTCTTCTGCTAGCGAGGAGAGGGAGGTTTCGAGTTCGTGGCGCGCGGATAGGAGTTCGGGGGAGTGGGGGTGCGTGCTGAGGCTGCGAATGCGGAGGTAGGAGGTGAAGAGGGGGCGGGTGTGAGAGAGGGCTGAGAGGACGTCGCTGTGGGGGTTAGTTGGCGGGTGGGAGGAGTGAGGGAGGGAGCAAACATACGCTTGGACTTGGAGGAAGGGGTCCTCTTCGTTGGTTGAGGACATCATCTTGGGTGGTTGTGAGAGGTATCTGCTTGCGGATGGTTGCAGGATGAGGATTGGAACACAATAGAGCCTTGTCCTTCCGTAGATTTGGGCAGAGACCCAGTAGCTGGCTTCGAGAATGTCTCTTGATCACAAGAGCCTCAAAACCGTTGGAATCCGGGGTAATTCTCGGCGTAGATGGAAGGAGTGTTTGCTGTCAAGGGCAGATTCTGGCGTAGGACGGTTAGTTCGGTACACGACAGCCTCGTGGTGACAGGGTAGCTCGGCGCAGTTGGGCTTCCTACTTCAGATGCAGTTTGATTCGCAGAGCACCAGAGCACCAGAGCCTCGTGCCAAAGTATTCTCAGCCTCAATCTATCGTGTGTCCCGTCTTCATTCGATCTACAAGGCTCTTCGTGATGTCCGAAACCTCCAACTTTACTATCCCAGCTCCGGTGTCGCCGTAAAGCCTATGTCCAGGCGCTCTGTCGTGTGGTAAATGCTCTGCAAGCTCTGATACTTTCGGATGAAATGCTGTGGTAAATGTGGGCACTCGCAGCAGATGCTCCCTGGTTGGAACCTCAATTCGTGGGCCAACGATGATACCGTAATCACTGCTGGCACTGCTACCTCGCCGTCTCGTCGATTGGTGGTGGAAGAATTGTCCTCCTTCTCTGCATCAACTGCCTGTTGATGAGTCCTCCTCCTGCGGTGCGCCGTGGGAGACCGTCGAGCATGGAAGGATAGAAGGATAGAAGGATATTCTCTGGTCGGATCTGGATTCCAAGGCTCGTTGACCCGTTGTCTCGGTGTACACGAGGCTGCAGGGCTGAGGATGGATGTTCTGCAGGTAAGCGCCTAAATGTCGTCAAGGGCGGAGAGAGAGCCTGGAGACTGGGTGGCATTCATCCATGTGAGGGCTGTCAACGGGTTACCGGTAGCACGGACGAGAATGCTGGAATATTGCTTCTGATGCTCCACGGCTGTCTGGATATTGCATAACGGTTACACGCAGATGATTTGATATGGAACATCTGGTGCATCACTGGGAATCCCTCTTCGGAATCCTGCATGGGTTTGGTTTGTGGATAATACATGAGGAGGTCGCCCGTGTGCCTAAGATCCTGGGCTTCCTTTTTATTGTTCTCTTCCCCCCTTCGCAAATGTCCAACAACTTTCTCCCACATCATCAATATTGTCCTACCCCTCTGGCACATAGCACATACAGCCCTGCAATATTTCTGCAACGCTTTCCGCTGTTCTGAACGTTACCATGGATGGAGGATGGAGGATGGAGGATGCAAGCCTCTCTGATGATGAGCATGAGTCCTCTTTGCCAGTCCCTACCTAGTCTCCGTCTCAGTCCTAGGTCCTAACCTTAGGCCTCTATGTACGCGTGGCTGTGCTCTGCCTACTCTGCCTTTCACCGTTGGCGCAGTTCGCCACAAGGTTAAGGACGGCTCTCTCATACCTAGTAGAGCTGATGACATGAATTTGCTTGCTTGATTGCTGATTTGCCTTGGGAGCATCGGGGCAAACTGCTGGTGCCTGGCAGATCTTCTTTGTCATCGCTCTTAGCTGCTGCCACCACCCACCTGCTGCCGACTTCCTGCAAGATCAGATGCATTGGTTCACGATCCCCTTCGATTCTCTCTTTCAACCTTCGGCTTCTGTCATATTCACTACACTCATCCAGACTGACTCATATCCCTGCTCTTCTCTGCTTCCCATGGTGCTGCAACCAGATTGGACAGCTCCGGGTCGAATTGTGTGTGGCGAGTGAGTGCCTGTCCGTACATGAACACTCTGCAGGGAGCAGTACACTGCATCATTTCATTCGTGCCAACAACCACAACATAAAAGCCATACCTCTTTTCCAAATTTCTGCACAAATTCTTTTTCAGCACCATTACTTTCAACCCACCTGACCTGACCAGACCAGGTGTCGAGACATTGGAGAATAACCAGAGCCCCGTTACATCTTCTCAACCGAAACTGAATATCTGCACATCTACAGTCATCAGTGATCACGAGTCGCGTGTAACACACCAACATACGTTTTGCCTCTCATAGGCCCAGATAGCCATGAGACAGAAGATGGCCATCAACCAGCTCCTAGAGACTGCCTTCCCCGGAGCAAATGCGGAAAATGGATCCAGTAATCCGGTTGGCATCTCTCCTACCACGCTCCTAGAGACTTTCGTCCCAGGCTATGGTCCCATTCACAAGTTTCTGCTCTTCACTTTCGGCTTCGATGTTACTGTGCTGGTTACATTCGGTGTTGTCTGCTGGTTGAGTGCCAGGATCTTTCGCTCGGCTTGGGGGGTTCTTTATGCCCTGGTGAGCAGCAATTACATGGCAGAGATCACTGTGAGCAGCACGGACGAGATCCATGGCCATCTGATTGCATTTCTGGCCCATCAGTACAAGATCAACTCCAGTCGACGTCTGATGGCTGAGACTCCCTCCAAATCCGCATGGGAACTTGACAGTGAAGATACAGAAACGCCAGAGACTACCGTGGACGCAGAAGGCAACATCAAATGGCTGAACTTCTCCAACCAGGAAGCCAAGTCCCAGCCTCGCTTTACTCCTGCCATCGGCTCCCACAACTTCTGGCATAAAGGAACATATTTCCAACTCCGAAGAAAAGAGGTTGCCATGTTCGATGAACTTGGCGGTGGAGCTGCAGCCTTCAAAGATAAGGAACTGCTGACCCTTTCTTGTTTTGGAAGGTCCACAGAACCTATCAAGAAATTAATTCAGCATGCTAAAGCACACTATCACCTGGGTCACAACGCCAAAACGGTAATTAAGCGTCCTGCGCCAAAAGATATGCGGAGGTTTGGTGGACGGGGTAGCTGGGTGAAGATCGCGGAACGCCCGTGCCGACCCATGAAAACGGTTGTATTGGATGAGGAGAGGAAGCTGGATGTTTTGTCCGATATCAACGAATACCTCAACCCAGCAACTGCGAGATGGTATGCGAATCGTGGTATCCCATATCGCAGAGGTTACCTGTTTTATGGTCCGCCTGGTACTGGAAAGACAAGTTTGACCTTCGCATTGGCTGGAGTTTTCGGTCTGGATATCCACGTCGTCAGCTTATTGGAGCCTACTTTGACAGAAGAAGAGCTGGGAATGCTGTTTACGAATCTTCCGGCCAGATGCATTGTGCTGTTGGAAGATATCGATACAGCTGGTTTGATTCGAGAACCCAGTGATTCGGATGAGAAGAGCGGTCAACCAAACGAGGGGGAGCAAGGAAGCACCGATTTCAATGTTGCAAACCTCACCAAGGCTCTGAAGAAGGCGAATCAGTTGTCGGAGGAAGAGAAGAAGAAGGGGATTTCTTTGTCTGGTCTGCTCAATATCATTGATGGTAAGTCCAATTCTGTCTTCCTATTGCCTGATTTACCTCGTGTAATTACTTTTAAGAACCCATCACTTACACAGAACAGGGGTCGCATCCCACGAAGGCCGAGTCCTAGTAATGACAACTAATCACCCTGAAAAGCTTGACGATGCACTCATCCGCCCTGGACGAGTTGATCACCAAGTCGCCTTCTCAAATGCAACCCAAACCCAAATCAGAGAACTCTTCGAAAGAATGTACAGCAACGATCTTCCCCGCACTACGAAACTCATCACGTCCTCCGGATCTAAAGAAAAGCTTGTCGACGAAAAGAAAGTCCAAGCCAATGGTGCCGCTATCGTCAATGGAACCGGACACACTCTCACTCCTCCTGCTACCCCTGTAACTGCAACCTCAGACGCCAACGGAGAGGCGAAATCAACGGTGACCTTCAATCACTATGCGAAGATTGTCGAGAAGGCGCCAAGTGGCACTCAGGATATCTCGGAATCTGAACTCCATCGTATCGCACAATTATTCGCGGATCAGATTCCCAGTGATATGTTCTCACCAGCAGAGATCCAAGGCTTCTTACTTAAGAGGAAGAAGGATCCTAGACGTGCCCTCGAGGAAGTTAGCGTCTGGGTCGAGGGAATGGTTGAAGTGAAGAGGAAAGGAGGGAAATTGGTTAATGTGCAATGAGGCTACGACTTACAACGACATTATGATCCACGGCTTCTTTCTGCTTTTGCGACGGAGTTCGGCATAGGTACACAGAGAGGCGGTTGACTGCAAAGTCTCAAAATTTGACAGGAAAGATGAGATGAAATACACGAGTTTTCTTTCTCTATGGGTTGAGGGGTGCATGGATACGATGATGGCATTGCATCAGATATGGAGGCTTTTCTTCGATTCGGATACATACTTGCTGGGTGAGGGACATAATAGATAGCCTAGGGGAATGATATTAATACGACATATTCCTTTCAAAGATCTTGTTTGGACGTTGATATAAGGCTGAATGTCCAAGTGGCCATAACCTGATTTTCTTAGTGTCATTTACCATACATAGGGGAATTTCTGTTATTTTCAAACACACATTGTCCGTCATGCTATCAGTCTCCTAAGCGTGCCTAGATCTCTGCTTCTGACAAACTTTCTTCGCTTTCAGGGGCTTCAACTGGGCCTATAACGTGAAAGTCATCGTGGAACTTTAGAACATTGGTGTAAGTAATTTGCGTTCATTCAACGAACGAAAATATGCGGTGAGCCACAGGAACAATCTCAAATCTCGCTACCCGAAGCCTTCCCCCTATCCGTGTAAGCGAGCCCACCATACCGAACACTCCCTGCCCTGCCCCTCGCACGTGTTACACCAAGGCAACATAATCGAAGGTCCTCGAACCTGCAAGGCTCTGGGTTGGACAAACAAAAGCAAAAAAGGCGGCAAGCATCAGGCACTCGGTCCTATGCATAGACCCTTCTCCACACACCACCAACCACATGCAGCCCCGAAACCGCCACTCGCACCAACAATACAATACCTACAAATACCTCCTCTCCCCTCCACCTCTCCCTTCCTCTTGCTCTCTCTCCTTCCTCAGCTCCTTCACTCTGCCCGATCTCATAACCCTCACAAAACAGAGAGAGAAAACGAAAACCATGGCATCACAAGACGAAATCCTCCTCGCAGCAATCCTCAAACAAGTCACGGTGACGAAAATCAACTACGAACAGCTCGCCAAGGACATCGGAGCCGTGAGCGCGGGCGCGGCGTCGAAGCGCTGGCGGAGGTATCAGGGGCGGTTGAAGGGGGCGGTTGGGAGTAATAAGGGCGGGAGTGGGAGTGTGAGTCCGGAGAAGCCTGTGGGGGGGGGGGAGAAGGGGGAGGAGGAGGAGCCGGTTACACCTGTTAGGAAGATGCCGGGGAGGAAGGGGAGGGTGGTGAAGAGTTTTAAGGAGGAGGAAGAAGAGGATGAGGATGAGGGTGAGCAGGATTTTGAGGATATGGACAATGATGATGACGATGATGTATGATTGACGGCAACGCTTGGAGAAAAGCATACTGGCATGGTACTGTAGGAGGTGTTGGCAAGGCTGGGATAGAATGAGGGTGTCTACTTTGTCCTTGTGTGTCCAGGGTCCTCTAGACAATGAGATTGGAAAACGAAGTTGGATGCAGAAATATATCATATTCACGGCCGAACTTCAGATGATCGATCGTATATTTCTTCTTCGGATGGTCCGCGGTACATTCAGTACCCCTGCAGCCGAGTGGAGCGGGACCTGGTTCGGGAAGTGGCATTGAGGTCGGCATGCTTGGACAATTGCTCTTGATTTACGAGAATCTTTTGTGGATGAAAGCAGTATAATCTCGAAGCAAATGGGTCATGTTCATTGCAAGAACGAGACTTTGGATTCTGTAGAAGTCGAGCGGCATTGAACTTTGAGGAGCGGAAAGTGTAGCGGCCCGAGAAACATGCAATAAGAGAAAATAGCAAACAATAAGAGTTGGCTTGCAGTCATATGCACGAAACCGGTAGGCAGCAGCGCGGTATTGTGGACAGCAAGGATCAGCCTCTTTCATTTTGCGAATGACCTGTTCAGAGAGGGAGCGGTAGTGAAAATTCTTCAAGGACTTCTGCAAGTTTCTTTTCAATCATGATCGGTCCCCAGCTCTGCAGACTCCACTCGAACTATGTCTGCAGACAAATGTTATGGTGTGCAATAACCTAGTCCGACGGCTACTCGGCGCTTTTTAGGAATTCCTACCATTTTGATGCATTTGACGTCCGCCGCCACGATGAGAAATATTCTAGAGTATGCTCGGGTGCTTTGAATAAGGTGTTCTTGCTACAGAGCCTCTATTCTTCAACACAAGCTCCATTGACTCCCCGTTGGTCCCTTCGACTGTATGATTGATTGCATGGAGGAAGGGCTTGCAATGTCCCGGTAATACTTTGGAGTGTTTCAAATGCGCGGAGCCACAGTCAACGCTCAGAGGCTGAGCTCAAGAGCTTGAAATTTGAAATGTACTGGCAGTAGCACATTTCTGCTTTGATGATACTGCCGGCTTTGTGCACATTAAGGTTGTGATCGAAAGGAAAACGCGGCTGCAAGGCGATGCGCGTGGATGATAAATCTATGCACTACTGTGATAATCACACTCAGCGGAGAAGCCGGGCGAGCTAGAGAAAGTTCTTGTGCATCGTCATCAAACTCCTGTTCTGTACACATTGTTCTCAATTGTTCCCTTCGAACTACTCTCTTAAGGTCTCTGTATTGAATTCTTGAGCTTCAGTCTTGACACAAAATTATCCACTTGGTCGTACGTTCTTTTTCTGATATCTACACGCTTCGAGCTACCCCGGACAAAGTCCGTGCTAGTGGAAGCTTCAGCCGACAACATCCATCTTTCATCATGGCCGAAGTCCAGCCTCGAAAACAAAGCTTCACAACTCGTCTCGGTTTGGCTTTGAGACCGAAGAAATCGACCAATAGATTGAGGAAACAATCTACGCCCGAGGTCAAAATCAAAGAAGTTCCCCCACTGCCCCCAACGCCCCCAATTGGGAAACGGCTGCAGTATGGTGCTGTCTACAGACCCTCTCAGGATAATACCGACGAGCAGACTGGCGAACGTCGAGATGATACAGATCTACTTCATGGACTAGCACATCACGAATCTCATGACTCTCTCGATTCCATTGTCCAGTTAAAACGAGCTGATCTAGAGGCTTGGCGGCCACCAGGAGAGCCTCTGATTGCTAGCCTACCACCTGCTCTTTGGGAACTTATTGCATCCTTCCTTCCTCCCAGCGATATTGCGAGTCTGGCATTTTCAAGTAAAACGTTGGTGGTCAGGCTCAGTCTTAGCCCATGGCTCGCTCTTGACAAGCCCGAGAACCTCAGTGAGAGAAATACATTCTTGCAGCGGATGGACAATCATCTACCTGCTCATCTACTCTGCTTCGATTGTGGAACTTATCATCGAAGGATTCAACTTGGAGAAGAGAAGCTGAAACCTACGCTCGTATTCAATCCTCTGTACAATTGCCCAAGTATTGGAAAGCCTGGATTCGTACCACCCCGACTCCGCTTGACGCCTGGGAACACCCTCCCATACACATTTGTTCAGCTTGTGTTCCGAGCAATCAAGTACTCGCCCAACCATGGTATTGCTCTTTCTTCGCTCGCTCGACGATGGAAAGACCCCACAAGCGAATGGACGCATCAGAGTCGATACTATATGTACAAAGGACATCTCCTGATGCGAGTTGTAAGCCAAAGCTTTGCGGCACCAAAACTACCACCTAGCGGGCAACGTCACCTTCTTTATTCTCGAGAAGATTACACTCCATACTTTTCCTGCTGTGCACACTGGCGAGATGGCGAATTGATGAATATCTGCAAATGTGCTTTGGGACATATCCCAGAACAGAAGCAGTCGATTGCAACACAGCTGAAGCAGGGACCACAGATACAGATGGCTTTACGGCATGTGAACCCGATTGTCACCTTATGCTCCACTTGTCGACCAATGAGGCGATGTCCGGAGTGTCCCACTGAGTACTTGGTTGAGTTGAAGCTTGCAGAAGATAAGTTGGATCCTGTGGTGAAATTCAAGCAAGTCATTGCTGTGACGAGATGGAGTGATTTGGGTAATGGATCATCACCGTATACGCCTGAATGGACTTCTATCAATGGAGATGGAGAATATCACTCTTTTAATATGATGGGGAAGCGTGCTATTTCGGGGATTTTCGAGGCTCAGTCTGGAGTTACTATGCCGGGGCAGAGGATGTTGTCGTTGAATCCTAAGAATGTGAAATTGGGTGAAGATGGACACGGGTGGTATTGAAACGACTTTAAAAGAGTCAATTGTTTCATGGTGGACAAGACGTAATTCGGGTTTAATACAGATTGTACTTTCTTTCCACGAAAATTAATATGCCTTTCGAGCGGAGGTGCTCATAGAAGGCAGCATAACTAGCAAAAACTTCAAACCAAATTTTACTTATAATCATGGAAACAGGTTCTAATCTCCCGTATATGCGTCCTCCAAACTTAAATATTTGCTTCCTTACGAAGTAACCTTGTGGACAAAGCAGGTTCAGGCCTTCTGTGTGAGCTTGCCAAGAACTCAGGGTCTCCTTCACCGCCTTTGGGATCTGCCCCTCAATCAGCAGAATTTCTCGAGAGCTTTCAACTCAACACAACCTCCCACCGCACACAAAATGGGCAAATCAAAAGCCAAACGGAAATCGCAGATTCCTGCGATTGAAGGTCCCTCGAAGAAGCTCAAGACCTCCACAATCATCACTCCTCCTCCCGAATTAGATGCCGCCGAGCCAAAGACAATACAGAGCATCGGCCTCGCCACCGACGACCTTGAAATCGCTATTGACACTCTAAATACATTAGCAGAGAACCCAGCTGTCATCAAATCGAAAGCATGCAAGGATTTAAGGACAGCAGTCTACGAATTCCGACAAGCTTGTACTACAGGCTTCAATGCTTCTATTGACTCGAATCTCACTTCTCGAATTAGCGGGGCACTTGCAGACGGAGGATATATGGAGGCAAGGATATTGTTGGCGGAGATGAGGATAAGGGGTCAAAAACCAAAGCTGGGCGCTCTGTGTAGATGGGTCAGAGATCTGGATGTTGTGAGTGGGTTGGCAGAGCAGATTGCGGGAGAGACGAGGTCAAAGAGGGAGGAGGATTTACTGGTTGTTCTGGATGCTATCTTACGCCTCACTGGTCCGACTGATTATGCTATGGGAGGATCATCACACAATGGCCCAATTGTCCCAAGGCCGGTCTGGAATTCGAGAGATGGTTCGGAAAGGAGAAAGGTTTACGATAGTGTTCAAGATGGGACGATCCTGAGTTGTGTCTCAAAGGATATCAAGTCACAGTTTCGAACCATTGAAACGACTCCTGGTCTACTACGGAAACCTGCGAATCACCACCCTGCAATTCTATGGGCCTCGAGAGACGATGCTATCCAACTTTCACCAAATCGAACAGAAGCTACCCTTCACAAACACGAGATTGTGCCAAACTTGCGTTTGCTCAAAGATGTTTTGACACCGAGTGAGTGCGAGCAGATTATTGCAGCTGCAGAAACGATAGGATTCACGCCAGATGCTCCGATTCGTGCAGAAGGAGAAGAAATCAGTATCTTGGCACATAACTTCTATTGGATTGTCGATACAGCTTTCTGTACAAAGCTCTGGGAACGAGTTGCTGCTTTGGTTCCAAAAGATGTTGGTGGGAAGAAAGTCAGGGGTCTCAACCGCAGGTTCCGTGTCTATAGATACGTACCTGGTGCGGAGTATCGTGCTCATATTGGTTGGTTCCTCGCCTTTGCTCTTTGTTCCTAACTAACAAGAATCGCAGATGGTGCGTGGCCTCCTTCCGGCATCGACCCAATCAACGACACCTACATCTACGACTCTTCTCTACCAGATGCAAAGCAATCCTCATTGTTTACCTTCCTAATATACCTAAACGACGAGTTCGAAGCTGGAGAGACGACCTTCTTCCTACCAAGTGCAAGAGAGGGAAGCATGAATGCATACTCGGTCAAGCCTATACAAGGAAGCGTAGCAATGTTCCCGCACGGCGAGACGGAAGGAAGCTTGTTACATGAAGGTACAGGTGTTCGGCAGGGAAACAAACCATCGGCGAAGTATGTCATTCGTACGGATGTTTTGTATGATGTTGATACGTAATAATTTATATCATACATTTGCTGTTCGTTTTCCTTGGTGATAAGGCTCTTATTCAGAGGTGACTTTGCAAATCACTTCTTCTAATCCACACTCGCTGTCTACTCTTTCCAATTTCTTCGCAAGTGCCAAATTCACCTGATCAATTCAAACTCGACTTCAGCGAAGCGAGTCCTCAGAAGACGTTATCGGCTCCTTGTCGAAGCTTCGTCTCCCAAAAGGATTGCATTCGAATACTCGAGAGACTAATCCAATAATAAGAAATTGTTTCTAATCCTAAGAAATACGTCAAGAAAGAGGGCCTTTTCCTTATTTCTGTTAGCACCACGGCACATACTCCGAAGCCAATAATGCACTTGTTATGGAAAGGTAGGTAGCAGATGAAAGAGGGCGAAGACAGACATGCACTCATCCCTTTTAAGGCTTTTCAACATTGTTTGTTCTTGAGCTCGTCGAAATTAACCAATATGAGCTTACTGGAGAGACTTTTCTTGCATTCTTTGAGTGGCAAGGCTCAGAGCTATTGGATCGTGGGATACCTTTGATCTTGGTGAATCAGATACAAGGACGGAAACTCGCAAGGGAAGCTCGAATTTATTCGAACATGTTTATATAGGTAGTGTATGCAGGTTCCAGCTTTCTTATCGTAATGTGAGGGAAATATTGCAAATGGATTCGTTAGATGATGAGCAATTTTTTGGCAGATTACTTGAGAAAGGTGGTTGAATGCATCGGCGAATCTTCGGACGGCTTCGCTTGAAATAAGGGCATGGTTGAGGGTGTTTCTTGCTTGAGCTTTTGGACTCTGTTGTCAAATCAGCTTTGCTCCGTGGACTCCACCTGATTAAATTCAAGTAGCATTTGGATTTCAGGAATTTGAGGACATTGAGGATTTTTATGATGTTTTAACATTTCATTTTAAACTCCAATACAACAAAACTTAGGTATCAACGCTAAAGAAAGATGGCCACCCATCAAACCCACTTTCTAACAAAATACCACCTCCAACTCCTCCCCACCTCAGATATCAGAACTCCCATCAACGTGGCTACCAACCGTCCCATTCGGCGGCGTAACAACATGCCCATGTCCATTCCCATTAGCAGTATCACTCAAATGCCCATTCTGCAACCCATTCGCATGATCACCCGCACGTCCATCTCCGTTCCTACTCCCCAGCCAACTACTCCTCGTGTCCGTAGGCGACAGTTCCGCGCCACCATTCCCTTCGATGTCGGTACTGATATGTCCATCCACGCTCCCCAGCCTCCTCACCCTTTCCAACTCTTCCACATGGAGCAAAGCACCGCTCTCCTCTAGCAGCCGCACGATCTCCGTATTGCCCACCTTGACAGCTAGATAAAGCGGTGTATTGCCCGCCAAGTTCCGGACATGCACGCTAGCACCTCTCTTCAACAGCTCTCTCAAGACCTTAGAATCCGGCCCCACGGCAGCAAGATGCAACGCCGTGTTCTCTGCGTAATCCTTCGCGTTCAATAACCCGTGACTGTCAGCATCCAGCAGCGAAACAACGGTCTCCACATCCCCCTTCGTAATCGCATGGCCCAGTGCCGTGAAAGCAGTTTGGTGGTTCGCTATAACAGGTACGTCGGACCCGGGATGCGAGAACGAGGTAAATGACTCCTCGGTCATTTCCCCGCGAATAGAAAGTTGCATCTGCGTCGTTATATCCTCGTAGCTTAGCCCCGGTAACGCTAACAGGTACGACAATTTCGTCAACGCAGCCTCAGTCGTGAGATCGTGGCCGAATACCACGCCAGCTTGTCCCAAGGCGGCGCCTGGAGCGTATAAAGGCGACACGAACCCCGATTGGCATTGTGAGACATTGACGATGACTATCCCGCGCGAGACGGCGGATTTTATCACCCGCGTCATACTGCCGTCTTCGCCTGTGGGAGCATTCCCCGCTCCGAACGTCTCAAGGATCAACCCGCGCAGATTCGGGACGTGCAGGACCGAGTCCAGCATCTCGGGTTTGATGCCGGGGAAGATTCGGAGGCAGGCGACGTGGGCGGTGTCTAGGTTGGTCTGGACGTCGAAACGGGCTATGGTTCTGGGGCGGCGGATCAGGGTCCAGTTTACTTCTGCGCCGAGGGCGGAGGATTTGGCGAGCGGTTCGCAGTTGGGTGAGGCGAAGGCGTCGAAGGATGTTGCGGATACTTTGGTGCAGCGGTTCCCGCGGTAGAGGCGGTGGTGGAAGAAGAGGCAGACTTCGGGGATCATGAAGGTTCCTGCTATGATGAGGGAGCCGAGGAGGTTATCTGTGGCGTCTGATTGTAGGGCGAAGATGGAGGCTTGGGAGCCGGTTAGGATGACGGGTTTTCCGAGGTGGGAGAGCATGAAGGATAGAGCAGAGGAGGAGTAGGCGAGGGAGTCTGTGCCGTGGAGGACGACGAAGCCGTCGAAGAGACTGTAGTTTCGTTTGATTGTTAGGGCTATTTGGGTCCAGCCTGCTGAGGAGATGGAGGAGGAATCTAGTAGGATGGGAAATTCGTGGAGGGTATAGCGGACGTGGCGGGAGTAAGTGCTTGGTGGGGTACGAAGACTGGGGAGGTATTCTTGGGTGTTGTCTGAAGTCATTACCGGGAGGGGATCTGGTGGAGTCAGTTGAGAGAGACATGAAGAATATGGTATAAAGTAGTATGTTTCAACAAGTGGAGAGTGATTGTCTGAAAGGGTGAAAAGCAAAAGAGCAACATAACAGCACCACGTTGAGAGACAAGTAACGACTTCGATACTCAAACGTCAGAACTCCAAATCTCCCCCTTTAGCACTCGCTTCCCTTCAGCCTCAAGCGAACCACTGAGCTCTACTTGAATGGCCGTCCTCCCACGCTGACAGCAAACTACTGTTCCCAGCCGAAGCAAAGTACATACATGCAAGGACCCGCAGCCCTACCACCCCACACTCACTCGAAGCCAAAATCAACAACAAAAGACCCAACAAGTCGACGTACCAGGATTACTCCCGTCATTAAAACTCGGCCGAGGCGCCATGCCCTCCTTGAGGAACCCCCTCGCGGGAACCAAGCCCGCGGGCGAATGCCTCATGCAGATAGTCCCTCCCGTCATGATGATCAGGACCCGTGCCTCGGGGTACTGAGTGGCCATCGTTTCAGGCATCGTGGGATCCTTGCTTGTGGTCGTTGTGCCCCCCGCGTTGAGCCCGGATTGAGGTTAACGATGTCGGTTTTCCCCCGCGCTTTCGATGAGATATGTGGGCGCTGACTGGTTGGGTTTAGGCGGGTGACAGAATGAAAGGGCGGTGGTGCGTGGGTGGGAGTTAAATATAGATTGGGCTTTATAAAATAAATGGTGAATGAGAACATGGGAACTCGCAATGGAAATGAAAGAAAGGGTTCTTATGAGAGATGAGATGGAAAGAGATAAAACGTTCATGTGCGCCCAATGAGCCAATGCCGTCAACGGACGCGCTGTGAGAAATCCGTTCCAGGAATTTTTCTCATTTTTTTGGAGCCGAAGAGGGCCCAGAGGGTTTTAAAGGGGTAATGGATTGGAAAATTTTGATCATGGTGCGAGATCACGGTCGCGATGAGCAATGCTTGGGTGTGAAGGAAATATTGAGTTTCTCGAGGCTCCGATGTTCGGGAGATGGAGGTGTTTGAGGGGTCATGATGTTAAGGCGAGGATTTGGGGATGTTTTGATGATGAGAGGTTACAATGCTCTGGGAGAAGCGAATGGCGATTGTCGGGAATGGACTCGGATACTAAGGTTAACGCTGTGATAAATACGGCAACCGCGTTCTTATTCTTGAGAAGCATATTGTCAGTTCTACTAAGAGACTTTAAGGCCATGCATGATCTTGTTTCCGTGTAGAATTCGAGAATCTAAGTGATTGGGAGTCTTATCCAAGAAATGATACTAAGAGCGTCGGACTGAATATCCAGAACTTGGATGAGTGTCTGTGATTATTGAACTGACAATTAAAGATTGATTGATATTGTCGATGGCTTGAACCGAGTTTCGGGACAACTGGGGTTGGGTTATCGTGAATCGTGTTTGTGAAGTCCATTACCATTACCATTGCGCTGTACTCTAACAAAGCATCAGAGCTAGAATTTTGCTTGGATGTCGGTAACAGCTTCAATAGCTTGAAGCTCTTCATGTTGGTTTCTCTGAAAGTGATGAGAATTTTAATACTGAGCCACGAACTGGTCCGAAATGTCGATATACTTACCCAGAGTGCAATCTTCTCGATATTCTAATAACGGAGAATAGAATAATCAAAGCTCATGAAATCGTCCTGCTGTCCTCGAAAACGCATCGTGGCACGAACAGCTGTTGGTATGTCATCGAGGTCACTCGGCGATGTCTCCAAATTATAACTGCATCTGAATCCACTCCCCAGCTCTGGTTCTTCGGTCTCTCGATACAAATTTAAATGACATTATGTTTCTGCTGTGCTCCCTAGTTTCGATTCACCATCCTCATCCGGACACCAGATCATCGTCGACATCTCTGAGTGGATTGTGTCGCTGCGGTCGGCACAGAGCAGAGACCTTCGAACTCGGATGGAACACAGGCTTCGGACGCCTCACCAATAAAGGCACCTTTGCGTCATGCCATGCAATCCCGTTTAAGGTTATCCAAGAAAGAAAGAAAGAAAACCACGAACCAAGGAGAACCGGGGCTCCCGTTTTGACTTTGCAACTGTTTTGCATCTGCTCGTCTGTTGTTCCTTCACCTCGGGGATCCTCGACGTTTGCTGTGTGATCGATCGTCTGCTGGAACCATGAGAATTTCTTCGGTTCACCAGCAATCAGCTTGCTAACTTTAACCCGCTCTCGGGTCTTTTCCATCCTGATGATTGATCTGATAAGAATAGAACCCTCGAGTGCTGTACAGGAGAATGAACGGTAATGTAATGTCTGGTTACGGTGCAGTCGTTATCCTCGGAAGGTCGGCTCCTTGCCAAGAACCACTCAAGACGGGTCAGTGACAATCTAATCAGCATCATATCATGGACCGTCACTCGTCTCTCGAATCTCCCAAATCTCGTCCAACATTTTCCCTCTGCATCTGCAATCCTCCTCATATCGTTCATTTGCATGTCACTGTGTCTTCCTCTCCACGCTGTCGACCCTGGTCCTGTCTTACTCCATACATTTAACCTTACACTCTTCTCTCCATCTCCATCTCCATCTCTTCCATAAAAGGCGCCCTCTTCCCCCGAAAGTCTTGGCATTTGTCTCCTCCCTAGTTCCGGACTGCCTCTCTCTTCCTCTTCAAATTTCCACCTCCCTCCCAGGCCTGTCTCGCCGTTCCGCTCACCTCACCTCACCTCACCTCGCTTTATCAGATCCTCGCCCTCAAGCCACCAATTCACGCAACACAGTGACATACCTCAGGACCCCCCCAACGCGAATCCCCGTTTCGCAGTGACATTTTCTGCATCCGCCATCAGATAAAGCCAACAATTACGCCCCTTTTCTCTCGAATCTGCACTTTGAGGCCACCGCAATTTCAAACCGCCGTTCTTTTTCGCTCGCTGCTGCATGAACAGCTGCTCCCCCGCGAATGCACCACCAAAAATTCGCCTTCACAACCGCAGCCATGGCCGCCGCGTTGGAGGAAACACCTGTGTCGTATGAAGACCTGGCCGATATCGAGAGGGAATTCGATGATGTTGAGACTGAGATCAGTGAGTTGGTTTCTTCCTCTTTTGTTTTTGGTTCGTGTGGTATAAGCCTATGGAAGAGCGGAGTGTAATCATATCTGATCATCAACTTCCTTGTCGCGCGCCCAAAATTCACGGTGGTCGCGATTCATGAAACGAGCGCAGCTTTATCAGATCAAAACATCTTTGCAAACAGTGGCAGCAAAAACAATTGCTAACCATCCAACGAATAGTCCGCCAACAAGTCCAACTCACAACTCCCCTCTACGAACGACGGTCCAAAACCGTATCCCAAATCCCCAACTTCTGGCCTCTGGTCCTCGAACAAGCTCCCTCAGACATAGACCAATACATCCAACCGTCCGACTCGGCGCTTCTCCTCTCCTCTCTAACCTCACTATCCGTCTCACACTTCGAAATCCAAACCGAGAAGCCCGATAAATGCATATCTCGAGACCCGCGATCCGTGTCAATACGCTTTGAATTCGCCGAGAACGAATACTTTGAGAACAAAGTCCTCGAGAAGAAATTCTGGTACAGACGGAGCAAAGACGGCTGGTCAGGCCTGGTCTCGGAACCCGTGCCTATAAAATGGAAGAAAGACCGCGACCTCACCGGCGGATTACTCGACATGGTCGTCAAAGCGTGGGAAGTTGCACGATCTTCTCCTCCCGCTCTCACGAAGACAAATAAGGGCGAGTTGACGCCCGAGCAAAAGGCGCTGAAGAAGAAGATCGAGAATACGGGTATGGGAGGCCTGAGTTTCTTCGCCTGGTTCGGCTTCATAGGACGGCACGTCTCGGCGGAAGAGAGCGCGCAGGCTACGGCGCTGGAGAGGGAGAAGAGGAGTAAACGGGGTAGATCACATACGAGCGATAGCAGCGAGGAGGAGGAAGACGACGAGGAGGATGATGATTTAGGCATGAGTTTGGAGATCTTTCCCGATGGCGATGACCTCGCTGTTGCGTTTACGGACGATCTGTGGCCGGGTGCTATTAAGTATTTCAGTGCGTATACCCCTTCCCTCCTTCTCCTAATTCAATATCCTAACACCCCTCCAGCACAAGCACAAGAACAAGACGCCCTCTCAGACGCCGACTTCGAATCCGACGACGACGACGACGACGACGAAGCCGACGAACCGGCCTTCAACTCCGGTGCTGAAACTGAAGAAGAAAACGGCGGTCGCCCGACGAAGAAAAGGAGGTCTGAATAAATCAATCGTCCCTTAACCAAAATCTAGATAAATCAGAGCGTGGAGAACGAGAAGCATATACCCCGAGGAAAGAGGCGAGATGATACGGAACTGGACTAGCAAATGAAAGAAATGGAAGGGAAAGGAGTTTAACGGAAATTTTATCAACGGCGAAAATGGCAATGGAACGGGATTGGATGCATGCATGGTATGGTATGGAAGGACGGGAATGATGATACACACGCGAAAGAAAGAATGGATGGATGGATGGAGGTGAGTGTTGTGCAGATAATGTAAGAATAAATAGCATAAGGTAGCTACGTTACGCGAGGGTGAAAAGGGGCTTGAGGGGGCCTGCTTGTCTTAGCTAGCTTCGAATGGATGGAGGTTGAGTGTCTGTTTTGTGGAATACTCTTCTTGCTCTCGATTTACCTCTAGATATGTCCTATCATGAGGATCTGGAGGACTGGTTGATTGCAGTATCCTTCCCTTCAGTCCTCCTATTATTGGCTTTCCATTCCAGTCACAAGTAACATAAACAGCACCTCACGAAGATACGATCCCAAAAACAAAACATCAAAGCACGCATATCTCCATTCACTCCGTATCATTTCTTAACGCATTTTGGTATCTAGCAAAACTCACAAACAACCACCCAACCAGCCACCCACGAGTCAATCCATGCTGTGCTCTGAATTACCATGCTATTTTTGCTGCACGAGAAAACCCCCCACCAAGCCAAACCAAACCAAACCAAAACCCAATCCACGCAATGCAATGCAACGAAAAGTTTCAAAGCTAGCCGCCCAAGATATCAAATGCTACCGCCCATTCCCGTTTTTGGTGTTCGTCACTGGTAGACATTATGTATGTAGTGTGTATGAACGCTTTTCCAATATCTGTGTTTTATGCTCCCGAGGCCGTTTCGTCGTTGTTCGTGAAGAATCTCTTTGCATCTGACCTTTCCTCGTCCGAATGTCATCTTAGAAGGGCATAACAGCGAAAGGTCGAGATGTAGACAAAGTGTACTGCTGCTCTCAAGCAAGCCAACTTTCCTCTCTTCTGGCCGGTGTATTCTCTCCTCCTGTACCGGTCCCGGAATTCAATCCTCCACCCATGACCAACCCATCGTCCTCGTCGTCATCGTCATCATCATCATCGGCTTCTTCTAGGTCCCCCTTTTCCAGAACTCCGTCTTCTCCATCCGTCTCTCCATCAGGTTCGTTCATCCATGTAAGTCCGTTCGCAGCTTCTTCCAAGGGGAAAACCTCTCTTGCATACTCCTCTAGGCCTCGATAACCTTCCCATAACGCCATCGCTTCATCCGGACAACTGTCTTCAAGTTTCCGCTCGCCGAAATAAAACGGTTGCTTCGACGGGTCCTCTCTGCCAAGTGCATACATCTTCTCCAACGCCAGAAGCTGCTCCCTGTATCCATTTGGAATCTTGACTTTAACGTCGATCTTGCTCTGCAGTTTGTATCGAACCGGTCGTCCAACGCCGCGAGAAAAGGCTCGACATGCTTGTCGAGGAGATAACATTTCGTACGCAAGTGCTATCCTCTCGCCATTACCCCAACGCGATGTCCCGTCTTTAATAAGCTGTAATACTGCGGGTCCCACATCGTGCTCTGCATCCAACCAGGGAAGCGGCACGTCAGGATGGAATGGTGCCGTCCAGGTAAATGATCCGTCTTGTTGCAACTCCATACAGAAGAGCGGATACGGAAGTGAGGTGAAGTTGTTGTTGTAAATTCCGGTGTAGAGAAATGTTGTCTTGGGAAGCAAGGAAGGAAGGGAACGAATATAGGATGCTATCGTCTCTTTGCAGCTCCACAATGGTAGCGAAGGCCAACTCTCGTTCTGAAGATGGTGGTTCGGCATGGAAGAATAGATGTAGTGCTCGATTCCAGCAATCACCGCTGCATTCGCCAATGCCTTTCCAATGGCAATCTCGTCTCCCCAGAAAGTGGTGTTGATGAATGCCAACTGTGCACCATGATAAATTTGTCGTATCAAATCATGGTTTACTCCCGTATCGGACGGTGCTAATGCTGGACTAGCACTGCTGGTCGATGTTGGCTTCGTATACAAGTCCCCAACAATGACAGTCACGTTTGGAAGGGAAGAAATCTCATTTGCGACGATGCCATCAAGATTTCGAAGTTGGGCTCGAACATGATATCCAACAGCGGATGCCACTCGAATGAAGGAAGCTGCTTGTCTGCCAGAGGAGTTGACAACAGCAATGGTTTTGCGAGGAGTTGGCATGGGTCGTTTTTTGGGGCGAGAAGAGTGGCAGGGCGAGGTGGAGTAGTTCGAGTAAGACGGATGTTGGACAGCTGTCAGTCCTGACAGTGAAAATGGGTCGGAAGCGAGGTCTGAAGAGGAAGTGCACGGTCGATGCTTGAGCCTGTTGGTGGAATTATCTTCAGGAGGAGGATCGTGGTCTGTTTGATGTCTAGGTCTGATTGCGAGAGCAGACCTTGGAGTTGCGGAGGGCATGGATGGGGTTGCTTGGTAACCGCGTTCCTTCTTTTGTCCACGAAATTTCTCCTTTGAAGTGATCGATGTCTCTTCCAATGAAAAGACCAAATTGTCTCTTTGTTGGGGAATTCAAGCCCCCGCCTCCACAACAGTTGGCGTGATCCTTCCCCTCCCACTCACGTCTTTCTGCTTCGCTTGAAATTGCCTGCCAGTGAGGAGATCAAAATTCGAAGGGGTCTTGCTGACTTCAAATGCTCAATATTTTTGACTTTGGGCCACTGATGAAATGCGGAGCTAGCTCCTAAATGATCCCCCTAGCTGCTCGGAAGCGGATGCCGATCAATGCACCACGGGATGCTGCAATAGTGGGATAGGATGGGTTCTGGAAGGTCTAGGTTTTTTGTTTTCCCAGCTCTGACAAAGGTTCGATGGCCAGTCCCAAAGTTCAACACAGACTCTCCTCAGCTCAGGAACCGGTCGACCTGTTCGATGACGCTGTTACCTGTTGGGGTGCAGTAGGCCAATCGGAATGTGGAGGATAATTGATCTAGTCTCTTGAACTTGCAGGCGGTGAGGAGAACCCTTAATTCTGATGTCCCTGAAGTTGACCGATGAAAGAAGACCGTGATATCCACTTGATACTGCAGAGCTCGTCTGTAAGAGAGAAGGGATGGAAAATTTTCTGCGGCTGCTGCTTGCCTCGGTGCGCTGGCTCGATGTTGTGCGAGGTGAGAAGCGTCCGTTCTGTGAATGACGTTGGGCCAGCTGCTGTTATGTAACAGTATGAGGAGGGCTGCATTCGGCACACTGCAGAAGCATTTGCTCGCTGTATGTTGGAATTGCCTGACGAACGAAACCTAAAGATCTAGATCTTGAAGTACTTGATGATTTGACGATCTGATGCAGTGAAGCAGAATAGGGTTTGAGTGTGGCTGCGGCGTGAGGTGAGGGTGTGAGTGAGATGAGACGAGAACCAAGGAGTTTATGAGTCCGAGGGAACCATGAGAAGAAAGTGGAATGAACAACACGGAAGTAAGAGAAGGAAAAGGAAGGGGAGATGGGAGATATAAAATTATTGCCTCAGTCCAATTTTGCGAAGGACATGGAATTGTCGGGTAAGAGGGAAGGAAGGAGGGGAGTCGTCTAGCTCTCTCTCTTGCTTCCTCGAGCGTACGGATAACCACTTTGACAAGGCAGGTGCTGCTGACTCGAAAACCACGTGCCGGTGGTAATTGCGATATTGCGCCTGTTTAGGCGTCACTCTGCTGTCACCATCTGCTCACTTGTGCCTGAGTCCTTATCTGCTACCAATTCCAACTCTAGAAAGCGTGAAACCTGGATGGCTCTATTGCTGGCTCCTGCGCCGTACACCGGGTATGTTGTACAGTACATTACATGTACCCTGACGGTCAGAGCAACATGCGACGACGGCCACCAAGAAATGCACTTGCTGGTGCGTCCCCATTGGTGCCGCGTTGCGATCCAGAAGAGATTATTTCAGACACTAACTAGCAAATACTGCTCATCCAAGTGTTGCGTGTGAGTAATAGCGGTCTTTTGCGTGCGCGCTTGGTGGTCGTCCCCAAACCCCATTGGATCCATTTAGAGAAAAATAAGAAGAAAATGCCCTCGGTGGTCCCACCAACTCGTCTACCCCTACAGAATCTTCCAGGTGGCATCTGGAAAGTGGACCGCAGGTACAGGTACAGGTACACACGGTACTACCGTCCTGGACCCAGCAGTTCGAGCTCAAGGTTATATGCCGGCCAGGAATGAAGTGTGGAGTGGCTGTCGCTGTAGCCCTACTGTACTCCAGCATGGGACATCGTGGATTCGAGCAGAGGGCGCGCTTGGGAAAGCCATGAGTAAGGGAAACGTGTTGGAGGCACAGGCAAAGGCCCTTCAGTGGAGTCATCCCAGCCATGATGCAAGGTGGTGGCTGGGAAAGGATTTTGTTTTGGTATGTTGCATGTTACATCTTTGGGATTGGCACTTGATAGCGGAGCGTATATTGACTTTCCGTTATCTTTTTTCCTTTGCGGCTCATCAATGCTTGGCTCCTGCAGATATCTTGATCCCAGGCATTACCATGTCTCACATTAGAAAGTCGGTCTGATCGGGTTCATCGGACTGACTGCCGCGATGCCTGACCTTGGAAGGTCTGATGATTCTGACGACAAGATAAGGGTAAAGAATCAATGCCGGTATCTCCTTTTCGATCCTACTCATGGAGGTCACCGATGTTCGGACTTCGTCACCAAGTGAGGGAGATTGCGTGAGCCGGCAATGGACTTGTTGCTCCGTTTGAAAGGAATTTCTCTTGACGAGCTGACGATGATGCAAGTGTCATGGCATGCGCTTTAATTTGTTCAACTTACGTAATCTGCCGCTTCCATCACTGGTACTCTTGACTTCAATCGGTCAAGTCCTTTCTTTCTCCAGCATCACCGAGAACAGAATGGTGATCTTCATGCTTGACATCAACAATATTCTCCGTCCAATCGACTTGATTCCAGGGAATGTACCCTAAGCAACATCACTACCGTCAAACAACGTCTCGCAAGAACGCCAACACCAAATCCGCCATGCTCTGCTTCTAAGGTTGATAACTGGATAGCGGGAACTTGGCCGACGGCCAACTGGTGAACCCCTCAAAACGCTTCGACGCGGGGCAAGCGTCACTCCAGACCACATTGTGCCGTCAGGCCTTCATGCTGAAGCAAATATCAACCTCACCGTCTTCCCAGCCCGATCGCGAATTCAAGATCCATTATTACCACCTGGTCCACGTCCCAAAAAGCAAGCAAGACGAGCTGCAGGTCCACCAACGAAAGTTTCCCAGACCTCACACCCTGGTTAGGAGGCTGCTCGATATTCCCAACCTGCACGAACTAAAGCAATCCAAATGTCAGAAAAACCTGGGGTAGGTTAGCATTGGGCCATTCCTTCGAAACCGTTTGTTTTCGGTGTGCGGCATGTTGAATTCCGATGACATTTCTAAATATATGCTCGAGATAAGATCCAGACATTTCCGCGGAAGCAACCTTTTTTGCAAAGAAAAGTGTTGACGCGGCTGAAGAGGATGAAGCTCGATCTGAGTACGCCATCATTACCCCGCATTCCGCTATGGCTGCAAACGCCACTATCATCAGATATGCAAGTGCATCGACAGATATGGCAAAATAACCCCAATCACGATTCTATGCAGGTGTATACGCGTCTATTGGAACAGTCCATTTATGCAGGCCGATAGCTTATTTCATGCACTGATAACCACGAGTCAAGTGTGATTTCTTCCATGATGCAAAATTGCATCATCATAAGAAGTTTATCACAATAGATAAGGTATGCCTCCAAGGCGGAAGATGCATTTCAATTTTCATACGCTTCGAGATGAAGCTTCACCGCTGTTGAAATCAATATCTTGCCAAGCACAGCTGAGTAAAGTCTCTGCAGCTGTTATTGTGGCGTTCTCGGATAAGATTCCGAACCAGGCCTCACATCTGCATTGGAGATCTTGAAAATCAGGGTTGAACATGTTGGACATAGAGAATAGAGAAAATTCTATGACCTCCCCAGATATCCAAGCGAGATCTTCTGCGAATTTCTCTTCTATACCCAGGAAGGGTGAGTGTAAATGGACATCGAGACTGGAAAGCACTCTCGTGGTTTGGTGCAACGAGAGCAAATCCCATGGTGCGGAAGAAAAGCCTGTGATCCGGTCTAAGTTCGAAAAGTTCAATCAGCGTAGTCGTCTTTTTATTCGATAAGGAGTAATCTCCGGTGCTCTGGCGTACTTCTCTCTCTCTCTGTTCCCACATATAGAAGATCTCTCATCCTGACATGCATGGAGATCAATTTGGAATAGGCTTTATGACTGGCTAATGACGAAAAATAACAGAGCTACCTGCACATATCGTGAAATGTAGCTTCCGGAAGCGCTTGAACTTCATCTTGGTCTTGTCTCTGCTTTCTGGTCAATAGATTGGCGTGCAACGAGAATATCTTTCAGTGCAAAAGGTTCATGGTCTTATCTATTGATCGCTACTGAGAGAAACCTTCGTCACGCATTTCTATGCTATTGTGAGAACTGGTTGGCTCAGGTTCACTCTCTTGTTGAGGAGCCCTTTCTTGCAAAAACCACGTATCAACGGCAGCAGAAATGTTGGCCTTGGCTCTAAACAATGGATATGTCTGGGATGTTAAATTCTCGTCCTTGAAATTCGGAATTTATAATGGCAATGTCAGATGTTTACATTTTCCGCGGGGGGGAGATCCAAACTACCGCAGAATCTGACTTGCAAGTCAAGGCCTCGATCTGGCAACGCTCTAAAGATTTGCAGCTACTCTTCTACGAAATACTTCACATCCGCTGCTATAATGTTTCGGGCGACAGTCGAGTCCAGTGGCAGTAGACTAAACGCTGGCTGAATAATATGCTCAGCCCGACTTGTGGAGAAAAGGGATATACTTCCTTTTCTATCCTATCATGCAACATTAGAAGAACACCATGTTCCAAACAGTAACTGTACCAAGAAAACAAACACCCGAGCGAGATAATGCTGCGCGATGCTGACCATCAGGAAGAGAACACATGAATAGAATGAGGAACACACCGATTTTGGCATCTTCTGAATACAAATGAAACTCGATAATCTTCGCACTATACTTCAGTCCACAATGATCGTGAGACCAAAAGTTCTGCAACGCCTGATAAGAACCATTTCAGAGTAACAGCTTTCCTCGCGTTTCGCGCATTTCGCGCAAGTTGCGCAATCTGCGCCATCCGCGCCGGCATCGATAAAAGTCACGGATATTGATATGGTAGATGCTACCTGCAGACTCATTTCACAAGAAATGGCAGTTCTAGGTCAAGAAAAACATGCGATAAATTCCCAAGAAATACGGAGCGATTTCTGTATCAATGGTTACTTCCTTGGTGCTGGGTGGTACATGCAACACAGGTTTTCAGAGTAAAGACCTTAAATGTGTGACACGATGCTTGCTGTATTCTTCGGTCTTTCTTACACTCGCCATCCAAGTATGTGTTTATGAGCGAGAGCTTCCCCAAAACAGAGGGCACTTTAGGCTTGAAGATCTAAAATATTGAGCGGTGATGCACGACCGAGTTGATGAGTCGTTGCCCTCAAACACACCAACGCCTACCACTACCTACAGACTTCGAAAGCGGTGGTCTTATACTTCTGGACAGAAATAAAATGACAACAGTCATACCTTGCTCTTTATTATTTCCAGGTGTCTCCTTTCTTTCACGAGCCCACGTTCTCTGTCAAATTATGTGAGACTTGTGAATACGAAAGGAAGACCAATTCACTGTACGACAATGGCCATTTTCGCCATCCTCATTCGCGTTGAGTGGTTCATGGAAATTGCTCTTCTTAAGGTGATCAGATCAATGTTTCCTCTTGAGATAACTTCATCAAAAGTAACATGGCAGATCTGGGCACTCAACCATGATGGGGCTCGCAAGCATCAATTATTATTGTGAGATCTTTGTTCACACCATAATCACAAATCTGTGCACCAAATGCTAACGTTTTTATGGTTGCAGTTACTTATTTCAAATTGTTTGGGTCTGCTTTGTGGCTGCTGCAATAGCTGAAGGACTTTGGTTGTCAAGGCCTTCAAGGATCTGAGAGCTTCATCAGCACAAGAACTTGAGAAATGGGGATCCCGTCTATACCTAAGCTTTGATTTACTTTGATGCCCATAGGCTCCGGTCGTGTGAAGTCATCCCAATTCCGGCAAACCATGCCAGTGAGGCTGCGAATAGTAACATGTCGAGTATTATGTCTATTGTGTCTCGGTTGTATTCAATGCTCTCGAGCAAGCAGTTCAGTTGGTGAAGTCCTTTTCGTCATACTCAAACGACTCCCTCCACCCCTGTCCCAAGAGGATACTTTCCATTTCCAGCACTCATGACCTGAACAATCCACAGAGAACCACGTCCTCGCCAAAAGGATACCACCGAGCATTTTCCAGACGAGCAGCAGGAATCGCTCTTCCCTGGTCGTCATGTCGTCTGGGTGGAGATACCACCACTCCTCCCTCCCCAAGCCAAGTAGGAGCAATAGTCACAATGACCGAGCTGATGACTGAGAAATACTCAGGAACCAACAACGAATTGATGACGGCTCCACCGCCCTCAATCATAACGCTCTTCAACCCCTCCTTGCCCAAAGCCTCAAGTACATTCTTCCAGTCCAGTCTGTGACTACCGGTATCCGTAGTGTTGACATTGACCGTAATAAATTTCCCTCCAGCAGCATTCAGAATAGCTTCCTTATTAACAGGAGGATTCGTGACTCCCGTAATAATGTAAGGCGCCCTTCCCTTGCCCTCGCGACATAGCTGAAAGATCTTATTATTCTCAGTAAAATGCCATCGTGCCATCGGGTCAACGATAATCGGCCGTGGTTGACCATCCAATCCCTCCCCGCCGTATCCCCCAACTCCCTCGATGCGGCAGTTCAAACTTGGATTGTCTGCAACGGCTGTTCCGACTCCAATCAAGATTGCATCGTGTCGAGATCGTAGGTAATGTGTCATCGCCTTTGATTGCGGACCGGAGAGAGCCGTGGGAGCACCAGGGGACAGGGCGAGTTGGGAATCGAGTGAGGTTGCGAAGGTGACGGTAGTGAAGGGGAAGGGAGATGGATTGCCCCGATCTTTTGGAGGGAGGTGAGGCTCGAGGAATGAGCGGCTCTCTGCGGGGAAGTGGAGGACATCTCGAGGAAGAGTAGCCATGCTGGCTACTGTTCTGCAATTGGGGTAGTGTAGCTTGACAGAAGTTTTGGTTGTGGAGGTGGATGGAAAATCGAGCTGATGGTGGATCTGTAGACTTGTCGACCTAATAGTTACCTTTGTGCAAGGTTTCTGCCCTACCCCCTCTCATCATCATTTTAACAGTGAATTGAAGTGCAGGTTGATCGCTGTAACATCTTTTCCTCGTCTTTGAGCTTTCAGTCGCGGGGTTAACATTTCGCCGATGGATCCGGACTTACTCTTCTTGGTTAAGTGCGGGGTTGACTTTTCAGGGGAGCATAGAAAATGTCCTCCTTCTTCTCACAAGATGCAAACAAAACAATGAAAGCTTTTGAATCTCACTCCTCAGATGTTTGAACGTTGCATAATAACTGCTCTTGCTCGGATATCAAGTTCATATATCACAAAAAGGCATTTTGTATGCTCAAGTGGGGAAGTCTTTGAATGCAACGCATTACTCCCTCTCTTATTTGCGAGGACATGGCTACAAACTCCTCCTCATTCCCAGCTATAACTAAGTTTGGCTTCGTTTTTTGGTTACTCAAGGTACATCGAGTCTCAATTGCCTACGTATGAACCAATTGCTGGGTCTGAGAGAGGGAGCGCGGCAAGTATTGTGGATCCGGGTGACTACGATGCTTCCTTTTCGGTCAGTCGGATTGTTCCACTGCGGTGATTTATTAACACACTTCATATTTGCTATGCACTTGCTATACACAACTTGAGATAAATCAACATTACCGAAGCTCATCCCCAATTCCTCAAAATTGCATTTTTCGTCAAGAAGTCGTCGAATACTCCGTTCTCATTTCTCTGCAGTGCCTCAATGGAAACACTCTTCACTTCCCCCCTACTCATAAGATTGAAACTGGACACTCCGTCCTTATACCACAGAATACCCAAATGGTCTGATGGGACAATTCCAATCTCTCCTTGCTCATTTCGACCCATTACCCACAGCCCGTCGGAAGTTGAAAGTTCGAGTATTTCATGCTTCTTGAAAGAGAGGTCGTTTGAGCACCAGGGAGGCGCACTATATCCTTCTCTGGCAAAAGCTTTCGCGACTGTCTTGCCATAGTAGAAAAGGGGATAAAAATTGTCATCAAGCTCGATGTCCAGCTTACTCCAAAGACGAGTAAGAGAGGAATTGGCCATCGTCTCTTCCCAAATGATCTCAGACTCAAGGACGAATGCATCAGAAGAGACTACGCCCTTCTTGGCACCAGCGTTGCGAGCAGGCCACCATTCGCTACTGCCTGCGGCAACCTCCAATCTCTCATCTTTGGTGTATGAAAGTTCATTCGGTCGTTGAGCCCTGTAATTTTCAATAGCTCTGGCATTGTACGTGTACTTCCTATCACCTGCTTTGGAGCTCGAGAAGAATCTTCCAATCCCGCGCGCTTGTTTACTGGCTTCCTTGGTCAACACCCCCCGGGCTCCTCTGCGTGGTATAGCGGCCTTAGTCCAGGTCTCAATGATCTTGAGTTCAGCCGCAGTTGGCGCCTTATGCTCAATAGCTATCGGCTTCCGTTCTATAGCCAGATCATCTTTCAGATCATCGCCAGTCTGAGACACAGAGTCTCCAACGCCTACTTCCTCCAACGCCGCTAAATCCGCTCCATTCTCCACAACCCAGTTCAAGAGCTCCTTGATTCTGTCCTTGTTCTTCTCAAACTCTTGCTTCGACACACCTTCCAGTGCCAAGTCTCTTTCAACTTTTTCCCAAGATATCTCGTCATTCTTCTCATAGGCACTGAGAACAGTGGGTTCTTTGTCTCCTCTCCTCTCTTCCCTCACAGACTCTCTGAGCATGACTTCTATCCTACCCAAAGCCGGCTCCATCCTCCCCAGCGCCGAAAGACTCAAGCTTCCAACGAATGCATTGATGACATTTAGGTGAAAAGTCAACCTTCCTGTCAACTGTGCCAGATTTTCCGAGACAAACTGAATTCTTAGCCAGGCGTTTCGTCCCATTTTATAGTACCGCTTGACGAGATCTTGCAGCTCTCCCAATGTGAACTCGAGATTCTCCTGGATCTTCGTCCATTCTGGAATTCTTTCTTTGCCTTGCTTGACCAGTAATGAGGTCGGATCTTGTGCTTGAGTTGCTAGCCCCGAAAGAACGGTGTGAATGGAGCTGAGTTCGTGACATATTTCTCGAAACTCGCCGGGGGCATCTTTGCATGCGTTGTAAAGATCAAGCACCAGTCTTCCCACGGCAAGGAAATCACCCACTCCGAATCCAAAGGACATTACCAAGGCTCGGGAGCAGAGAGATCCTGTTATAAAGTCTGGAGTACTGAAAGTACCTGGGAACCCCTCGACTAGGGGTTTACTTTCACGAAGTGTCGTAAGTCGAGACCTAGACTCGATGACAAGTATCAAATCCTCGATGTCGATCCAGATATGCGAGTATCTCAGCTGAGGCTGAGACATAGCCCCATGGGGCTAGGCTGGCTCTGGACATGCATGTCACATGTGCGCATGCTTGGCATTTCGAGATCTTGAGAGAATCTCGTTTGGATTTTGCGCTGTTTAATATACTTTGGAGTTCTAATACAAATATTTTAACTTAACCTATAAACTAATGCATCGAAACTTAATGAATGGACTATATGTTGATAGAAACTTACACGAATTGGAAATTATCGGCGAAAATGTAGAGCCTATTACTAAATACGGTCAGGTATGATATGCCAAGACGTCAAGATCGATTGTTATCTATCTTATTATATATATAGTACATCTATGACCTGATTACTCTCCATTCATATCTTGATTCTTGATCGACAGAGCACTCACTGCAGTGTGCCCGTCACCCTAATATCTCTAGAGCTAGCACCAACCATGACACTGAAAGCTCCTGTTGGCACTTTCCAGCTCTTACTTGTCGTATCCCAATAAGACAAATCTTTCCTTCTCAACTTGAAAGTACTCGTCCCACTCGCTCCAGCTGCAAGACTCAATTTGTCGAACCCTCTCAGCTGCTTGGCCGGTGTACTCGGTGCTGAAGATGGAAGCCCGATGTACAATTGCGGGACTTCGGCTCCTGCCACAGTCCCGTTGTTCGTAATCGTGACAGAAACAGTAGCCACGATATCATAAAGTCCAACTTGGCCACCAGGAGCCATAGCTGTGCTGCCAGCCGCGGTGCTCAAAGCCGAGATCGTGAGATTTGAGTACGAAAAGGTGGTGTATGAGAGTCCAAAGCCGAACTCGTAGCGAGGGGCTATGGCTTTCTGATCGAAATGTCGGTAATCGATGAAAAGTCCCTCGGTATATGGATCATCGCTTGCGCTTACGGCAGTACCGTAGTCTGCCGTTGCTTTGGCGATTGTGTACGGCAACTTGCCGCTTGGTGATGTAGACCCGTAGAGGATGTCGACGAGTCCATTGCCGGATTCTTGTCCTGGAACTGTTGTAAAATGTTGTCAGTATACAGTTCCAGGTTCATGTTTAGCGAAGCGAGCCACTGAACTTGCCCCTGAACTTGAGCTGAGAGGGGCTTGCATAGCATTCCGATGAAAAAGGAAGAGAAAGAGCAACTCACTTCCAGCCCAGACGACTGCAACCACATTTGGACTTGCCAAAATACTCTCCAAGATCAAAGGTCCAACTGAATGAACTACAACAATCGTTTTCTTATTCACCGCCGCGACTGCAGCAACAAGATCATTCCCATGATGCCATGGATCAAGATTGTTCCTGTCACCAGCATTTCCTTCAACTGTGATATACCCTTCACCAGAATCGGAGTTGAGAAATACAATTGCTGTCGCAGCTGAAGAAGCGGCAGCCGCACCAGCACTAGGAGTATCAGAAGTGGATGTCGTAAGAGTGGTACCGTCTTTTGTAACTTGAGCTTTGATGGCATCGAGGGGCGCGATAAGATACTGGTTCAGTCAGAAGTGCCATTGAATGTTTTTCCGAATGAAGGAATACTGACAGGGAATTCGGCGGTTCCAGAGCCCCAACCCTATTCACCTCGCATTAGCATTTAGCGTAGAATGAGCGATAAAAGGCAAGGATCAATACCCACCATGGCCAAAGTTCCATTATCACACTTCCGGTCAACACACCCATTCGCACCTTGCGGATTCGTTACAGCATCGTAACCCACCACCGCCAAACTGGCCGGTTTGTTCAAAGGCAAAGCCCCTCCCTCATTCTTCAACAACACAATCCCATCTCTAGCAATTGCTCGAGCGACGGTCTTGTGATCGCCCTGGACATTGGGACCACCCTTGCCTCCATTCCAGGATGACCAGCCTTTGACTGTGGGATAGCCACTGTCTTGACCGACTAGATACCAGGAGGCGAGGATGCGGGTCACCATGTCGTCGAGACGAGAGGCGGAGACTTGATTCCTGATCCATGTTAGAACGCCAGCTAGCTTAGTACGAGAATTTTGAAGAGAGGGAGGCGTACGATGAGACCGCAGATGTAAGAGCAGAGCCCCAAAGGAACTTGTTATCACCAAAATTGTCACCTGGCATAGCCATGTCCTGGGGCTGTTAGCTTAGGTTCAGGTCTTCGGAGAGGATGTAGTACCATGCCAGCATTGGCACTTCCAGCTGTCGTGTGTTGAGCACCCCAATCTTTGCCACGTAATTAGTTGCTGGCTCTATCCCTGCAAGTAATATGATACATACCGCTCACTATATACCCCTGAAAGTCCAACTCTTCTTTCAATAGATCAAGCATCGTCTCACTCTCACATGACCATGTACTGTGGATTTTATTATATGAGCACATACTGATCCCAATTAGTATTGTCAAAGGTTAAATGGTCCAATAAGCAATGTAAACAGGGAGCTTAGAACGTACACGGAAGAGACATTGGCCTTGACGGCTTCAGCAAACGGCCAGAGGTAGAGCTGACCGGTGTTAGAGCTGACTTCCCATAACTTGCGACTGGATGAAAACCCACCTCATGAATTGATCGATCGTCAAAGTTAGCACTCTGAGTATTACGATTGAGTTCTTGCTCGTTGCCGACTAGATATTATCAGTTTATTGTGCGACGATGTGAAGTGCATGCACTAACTGTAGTGCTTTGCACATGCTTGAACACCTGCTGCTTGCATGCCATTGATAGTCTACAATCGCCGATTAGTCAAGGAAGCAATATCTTGGTGCTGTCCTACATTTGCCATACCAACACCTGAGAGATATGGGTCATTGGAGAATCCTTCCCAGTTTCGTCCTCCCTCAGGGATCTTTCCAAGAGGTCCACCGACTGGACCCAACTGTACGTGGACACCGAGTGCTTTTGATTCAGAACCTGTTCTGTGTCAATCACTATTCAACTGCCTACTTGGTAGTCCCGACATACCAAGAGCATAACCTCGGGCATACATCAGAGATGTATCCCATGTTGATCCTGCCATTATGCCAGCTGGAAAAACAGTAACCTGTTGTGCGTACCTCACCCTTGAAAGAATATTAGTATCAGACGTGCATAATCGAAGCAGGCCGGGTAGACTCACCCCAGAGGTCCATCTTGCAAGCACAGCTCTGGGAACCCAATGGCAGCAATAGCAGCAATATTCCCCACACATGGTCCCTTCTCCCATCCCATCCCCGTCACCATCGTTACCTTATTGGCAGTCGACAACTTTGCCAATGCCGTCTTGGCTTTCGAATACGCCGTCGCCCAGTCTCCATCTCCTGCTGCTGCAAAGATTGGCGTGGCGGATGCCAGTAGGGGAAGTAAAGAAACCCTCATCTTGAAAGGGTGGAAAATGACGAGGTGGAAAAAAAAAGGCTCACAAATGATGTAGGCAGGTACCATTACTTAAAGAATACTTCCAACCCATGATATCACCGGTAGTGGCTTAATCTGGCTCGTATAGATACAACGCCGGAACTAGGAGCGCGCAAGACCAGGAAAGAAATTATAGTCGCTTGTCACCTTCCATGTTCGACGCCAGGAACGTGGGAAGAATGCTCGAAACTTTCGAGAAGGCCACGGATTGCCCAATTGAAAAGAAAAGAAGGGGAATCGAACAAGGATTGAAAGTTGTGGCTGATCACAGGACATTCTAAAAGCCGCAGTGCCTGTGAACTCTGATAAAGTTGCGGCTAGAAAGCTACTATGCCATCTCGTTGAAATGACCCTGTTGCAAACTGGGTGCATTGTTCGGTATGGGGACCCCGCGATGTTTGGTATTGATTTGTTCTGGTGCTTGATTGGTTGGAAAGGGATGCTGGGCGGACCAACCAAGTTATTCGGTTTAGCATAAATTCAAAAACAACTTTATATTAAGACGGCCCGAACATCCAGTCGTTATGAGAAACAGTGGGGTTTGAGAATAGAAGATGAAGGAGGGAGGTTTAGCTATCACCTTGAATTGGGAAAGGAAGATGCAGCAATCTATTCTCTTCGTCACCGAAGTGTGAGGGAATGTACTGAGTGAGTCCGTGAAACCTGTCGTTCAAAGACTAGAATAAGCACTTGCTTCAAACCCGAGCTTCAAGTACACCTGAACAAGAAAGGCGCAAACACAGAAATATGAGGAGGCGCATGCTGGGGAATCCATTTCATGACCGTAACCCGCCATACTCCATCACGAAAACACTTTTGTCTGATCTACTTCGCCTTTCCCGTAGGAATACCAAACAACACAAGACCCGCCCCATCCTTCGCGGCTTTATCCACTCTGAAGTATCCCTTTCGCTCAAGTTGGATAATGTCATCCGCACGCAAGTCTTTGACATTCGAATCGCAGAATTGATTTGTCTTCGATGCTGAATCCTTGTTCACAAAGTCTTCCCAGTTGTCGTCTTCCTCCAGCTTGTCCTTTGTGAACAGATGTTCGAATTCCCATACCTCGGCTTTGACAAGATCTTGGCCCTCGGTTGATAGCCAAGTGACCTTCTTCTCAGTCTTTTTAACATCTCCTTCCAGATGCAGCTCCAGTTCAATGTCGGTGATAGGATTTGAGCCGTTGATCTTTCGGACGATTGCATTACCCCAGTTCATGAGAGTGATTTCTTCATCTTGCTTGAAAAGCTTAACGTCTTCTTGGTCCAAGATGAGATGCTTGCTAAACGCAACCTTCTTCATGCCTACCGCCGGATTCTTGTTGTGCTTTGGCTTTTCCTCAACGTATGCTTTTTCGGGGCCATTGGTAAGAACAGCCCGGACGGCATCTTTGATATCAACAGCTGTATGCCTTGGCGCGATGGGGTCGATTTCTCTCTTATTCGAAGCCCAGAAGGTCGTCCAATCCATGTTCACAATGTTCCGGCTTGGACCTTGCTTGAGGATGAAATCTCGAAGAGCTCCAATCGTCATACCATGTCTCCGAACACCTCGAATAGTTGGCATACGTGGATCATCCCAGCCCCAGACAACTCCCTGATCGACCAACTTGGTCAACTTTCGCTTAGATAGCACAGTTCGGATGAAGTTCATTCTTGCGAAATCCCACATATGAACTTGGCGGAGCTTCAAAGTATCTAGGAACCATTGATATTGAGGATTGCGGTCAGTGTACTCGGTAGTTCTCAAGGCATGTGTGACACCTTCCATAGAGTCCACAATTGGGCAAGCAAAGTCGTAAGTTGGGTACATCTTCCAAGCCGTGCCTGTTCGGTGATGAGGGACCTCCACGTTGCAGCGATAGATGACGGGATCACGCATAGCCTTGTTTGGATTGTCGACTGACATCTTGGCTCGGATGGCGTTTTTCAGTCCGACTTCTGTGCCTGCCTTCATCTCTTCAAAAATGGCAAGATTGTCCTCGATACTCTTGTTCCGGTTCTTGCTGGCAATACCCTTCATTCTCTCGTCTCGCATGGTCTCCTGATCGGTATCATCTGCATACGCATGCCCCTCCTTTATCATGCGGATGCAGTATTCGTACAAGACTTGAAGGTGGTCGCTCGTATAACTCGTCTTGTCTGGTTTGATACCAACGAGGGCCAAATCTTCAATGATAGAGTCTTGGTATTCCTGCTTCTCCTTGGAGGGGTTCGTGTCATCAAATCGTAGGAGTAATGTTCCTTTATAGAGTTCGTGTGCGAAGTAGTCGTTAAGAAGGGCAGCTTTGAGATGACCAATGTGTAAATATCCACTGTTCCAAGTTAGCATAAGTCATGACAAGAGCTGGAGAGTTGCATACGATGGCTCAGGTGGGAATCTAGTCACAACGCCCTTCTCGACATCCTGCAAAGCCATATTATAGCTTGCACCTGCTTTGCTCAAGTTTGCCTTCCTGGCCCGTTCAGCTTCATCTTTAGCCTTGATCTCCTCCTGGATTTCTGGATGCGTTTGTTCAAGGTACGCAAACCATCTCGATAGGTTTGCGGAAGTGCCTTTCTTCACGAAAGAATTAGCAAGTTTGCTGCTTCGAATTGCCACCCAAATCTTGCTGTCGAGTTCGGTGATCGAGTATCCGTTAACATAAGTTCGTAGTGTGAGATGCTTGTTAAGATTAACGAGAAGAGGTTCAATAGTCTTGAAATCCGGCTTGTCTTTGGAAGCTTCTGCTGCCAAAGCTGTCGCAAGTTGCGACAGTTCTGCGTTCTTCATCTTGATTGTGGTGTGAATAATTGGAAAAATCGAGGAAGGGCTTGGTGGGGGATAGAAATATTGACTCAGGCCTACGGACCCCTGCTCGCGCTAGTGACAGGAGAAGCATGACAAAGTCTCTCGACTTTTTGAGCATCGAATTGCCGCGACAACGCACCACAACATGTCGACCGCAAGGCCTTGTTTGGCTCAATTGAGCAGGATATGTCTATACTCGAATCGACCTGGAATTACTAGTGTTCCTGCGAGGTCCCTCAGCACAACTGCAGCTGTTGCAGCTCGTGGCCCGAATGCCCCTAAAATTCTCTCGAAGGCGGATAAAGGCTTGAGGAAAGCGTCAACAAATCCGCAGAAGAACAAAAAGAAGGGCGAGGAGGTGAAAAAGAAGAAGAAGGCGCGGACAGCATACAAGCAATATGACCAGCGAGAGCTTGAGCAATTCACCCTCCTGGATGCTATGCGGTAGGTCTCGTGCACATCCGTTGAAGACTCTTCTAACGTTGTGAAGGTACATAAGAGCTTTCGAAGTTGGGCAGAAGCCAACTAGTGTCAAATATGAAATGGCTGTCAGATTCAAGTCGCAGAAGAACGGACCTGTTGTACGAAATCGATTACGACTTCCACACCCAGTCAAAACAGATGTCAGAATATGTGTCATTTGTCCGCCAGACTCGAAGTATGCAGAGCAAGCTAAATCTGCTGGTGCTTCATTAGTTGGAGAAGAGGAGATATTCGAGGCTGTGAAGGACGGAAAGATTGAATTCGACAGGTGCATATGCCAGACGGATTCTTTGGACAAGATGAACAAGGCTGGTCTGGGAAGAGTCTTAGGACCTCGAGGTTTAATGCCGAGCACGAAATTGGGCACTGTAGTCAAAGACCCAGCTGCAGTGTTGAAGGATCTCGTTGGAGGTGCTGAGTACAGAGAGCGTATGGGTGTAGTGAGGATGGCTATTGGGCAGCTGGGATTCACACCAGAAGAGATGCAGCGAAACATCAAAACTTTCATCGATCATATAAAGAAGGACCTTGCACATCTCAGCGACCGGATCAACAAAGAATTGTCGGAGGTGGTATTGAGCTCCACAAATTCTCCAGGGTTCCCCCTCAGTGGACAGTTTACAAAGCTAGATTCGAGTATTACATCTCGAGATCTATCCACTTCCTAGCCTATATGTAGAAATAGTTGTATGATAAATGTATTTTTTCTCCTTGTATGCTTCTAACACCAACGCTATGCTACACATTTTTCCGTGAAAGATCATGACCTCAAGTCCTTCAGTACTTTTACTGCTTCTCCATCTGCTCCCAGGTTCCGATATATACTCAATATCTCGACTAGCTTGGTTCGTCCTGCGTCATTTGTTGGACTTGCTTTCTTCAGAGCTTCCCTGAGATCAAGAAGGATGGTATTCCTGACTCGCTGCATTCGGGATTCTTGAGCAACAATGAATGGATGTTGTCCAATGCTAGCTGACAAGTGTTCAATATGGCGGTAATCGATCACGAGTCGTTGGAGCTTCTTTGTGCTTGTTCCATTGGCACCATCTATTGAGAGTTCATCCTCGTCTTCGTCATCCTCACTCTCACTCCAAACGTCTTCGTCGTTTCCGTTGACAGTACGACCCAATGAAGCCACCATCAGCCTGTCTTCCAGTTCTTCCAACCGAGCGTCTAGCTCTACTAATTTCCGGCCAAGGGCAATTTCTTTACTGACACCTTTCTTCTCAGCTAACAGGGCTTCGACTTCCTGCTTTCTCTCCTTCACTTTCCCTCTCACGTCCTCCACTCCTCGCTTGAACCCTAGAAGTCCCACTCTAACATCTTCGACTTTCTCCTCACCTCCCTTGAGGTCGGAACCGAGACTTAGGAATTGCTCGTAATTGGTGTTGACCAAATCCAGTAACTCTTTTGACAGAGCCTGTGATCTCTCCCTGAGATCAGAACGCAGATCCTCTAGTGTTTGGTGGCGGTCAGATAGCGTAGAAAGATAGTTTGGTGCGTCGAAATCTGGTGCAAGGAAATCGCTTCGTGGTAAAGCTTCAGGATATGGAAGGTTGTCTTCATCGTCAGACGAGATGCTTCCCGAGCCTCCACCAAAGTAGAACTTGTTCATACTGTTTGAGATGCCTCCAAAACACCCAGTCAACCTAGGACTCTCAGAAGCCCTCTTTCTCGGTTCCGCGGCGTGATCTCCAGTCCGGACAACTCTCACGTGTAACGGTCGAATATCAGACCATTCGGCATTTACATAACAGAGGAGAAAACGTGCTCTGCGCCAAGGCTGTGACTCCTCATTCAGGGTCCGCTATCAGATGGAGATAATCTGTGATGAAGGTTGTGATTGGGCATGAAGAAGAATTGGCTCATCCGATTTCGGGTGAAGGACATGTACGAAAGCCGCTTAAAACGAGCTAATTTAGCGCGCATCGATATCTTATCTGATCATCTAAATCTCTTCACCCACCAGTTCCTTTCACCTCCCTCGACTTCCCTTCTCGAAGCCTTCGTAGCCGTCGTAACTCTTTCGCTACCCCATCTTCAATTGATGGTCTTAATTCAGCCGCCGGTGATTGCATGAAGCCCCTGAGACGGTTTTGAATTTTAGGACTCGATTTAGCGATATGGCATCTCCTGCAGTATCCACGTCGTCCTCTGCAGGCTCCCCTGCTGCTATTGCACCAGCACCTCCTACCCTCGCCATCAAGGCCGCAACCCCGTCAACTTCGAGTGCGATCCCCTCGGGAAGTGGTACATCAACTCCAGGTATGATCACACGGAAGGAATGGGTGATCCCGCCACGGCCGAAGCCAGGCCGAAAACCAGCAACAGATACCCCACCTACAAAGAGAAAGGCACAGAATCGAGCTGCGCAACGAGCCTTCCGAGAGAGAAGAGCTGCCAGAGTTGGAGAACTCGAGGAACAATTGGAGGAGACGAAGGAAGAGACACAGAAGAGAGAGAATGATTTGAGAGCTATGATTTCGAAGCTCGAGGCAGATGTAGAAAGATTCAGTGGCGAGGTGAATTCTTGGCGACTACGTTGTGATACTCTTGATCGCATTGCAGAATACGAGAGGAGGGAGAAAGAAGCTGCCCTGGCCGAGTTGGCTTATCTCAGGAATGGTTCACGGACTACTGGCACAGATGCTGTTCCTCTTCCTCCACGGCATTTACGGCAGCAAGAACCGAAAGTCCCAGAGCCACAACAACAATTCGTCCCCGAACCAGAACCTGCTTCACTAGGATGTGGAGGATGTACGTCGTCGACCAACTGTGCTTGCGTTGAGCAAGCATTGGCTATATCTCAAAACGGATGTGGCAAGTGTACTCCTGATACTCATTGCGAGTGCTTGGAGGAGACAATCAAATGCACGGACTTGCCTACACCTCTTGAGCTTAAGAGGTCACACTCGCCGTCCACAGAAGAGTATGCCGACAAGCGTTTACGTTCTAAAGATCCTTCTACACCCCTTGAGATGGATTTCACAGCACAATTCTCCAAGCCTGCTATCAACGTACCTCCCGAGCCAGTTGTTATTGCAAGGCCACATGGCGAATCATGTGGATTCTGTGAAGAGGGAACTTATTGCATGTGTGCTGAGGCTGCTGCCGCCCCTGCTGCCAATAATGAAAGAGACCACGAGAACCGACTTGCACCTCTCCTGAACGCAGTCACTCCCCCACCTTCAGATTCTGACGTTGATGGGACTGCTATCAAGCTGCCTTCTCTACAGCCGAATCCAATACATCGTCCACTTACTGCTTCAGCACCAGCCAGCTCATGTGTCAATGGACCAGGAACATGTCAGCAATGTCAAGCAGATCCAAAGTCGGGGCTGTTCTGTCGCTCTCTGGCAGCTCTCCGGGCGTCATCAACTTCAGGTGTGCCCGAAGGTTGCTGTGGTGGGAATGCCGGTGGAGGAGGTTGTTGCAAGTCCTTACCAACTGCTGCACCATCTGAACCTCCTCCAAGTCTGTCATGTGCTGATACATACAAGACACTTGCTACGCACAAGAACTTTGACCAAGCAAGCGATGAATTGAGCACTTGGCTTGGCAGGCTGCATGCTACCCCGCCTGCTCATCCTGGGAGGGCACCAATGGAAGTTGAAGCCGCGAGTGTCATGGGCGTATTAAAGCTCTTTGACAGGAGATTTGGTCGTGGATGATTACGAAAGGCGGACCCATTAAGAAAGTATATATGTTGTGTCAATATAGCATAGCTCGCAAGGTTTTTCAAACCTCGGCGTTGAGTTTTGGAGTCTTGTTTTGGAATACCTGCTCATAGCAAATCAATCATAGCATTTGGAAGTCATTGCATTGGAAGGTCGGTGCTCTCCGCTTATGGAAAAGGGCGTCTTACTGGAATGTCAAGTACATGTAAATACGAATTATCAAAACAATCATCCCTTGGCATCTTTTGACATTCCAATACCATAAGCACGTTTTAGATCCTACCCCACATTTCGTCCCATTGAGCCAAGTCGCGGCCGGCGAAGCCGTAGAAGTCCAGCTCTGTCAGCAGCATTCTTGCTGCGGCGCTCTTCGGTTCTGTTTTCAACTTTTCAAAGCTCTCGTTGATCTCATCTGCCACACGTGCTCTGCCAAGCTCGCTAGGTTATTCCCGACCTTCTGCATGGAGGATAGATCTTGGTAGCTTGCAGCTCGAGGTACTTCGTCTGTGCCCTTGAAGGATGCAGCTTATGATATCATGAAAGTGCATGGTTAATTGACTGGGTCTGGGATGATTAGATCCCACAAACCAATCGTGAGTGGCGTGTACCGGCGGTCATGATGGAGCTTCAGGCAAGGTAGCTTCGAAGCTATAAAATTCTCTGGGATTGCGCTGTTTTCTTCCTTTCGCTCTGTTTATTCTGCTTTCTCCTCATTTATAATTTGCTTTGTCTTGATATATTACCAAGATGCTGTCCATTAAGGCTACTACTGTGAGCTCAGTGCTCTTTGGAGCAGCTCATGCTTCCCTGTATGGCGAAAGTAGCCAAAACCATACATGCCAACTTCGTACGTCAACTCAAGCCGAATTCTCTTCCAGTCCTAACAACTCAATTACAGAACCCAATTACCTCTCATGTTCTGCCAATGCTCATCCCAACGTTACTGATTCATGCTGTACTGAAACGTTTGGAGGTCTTGTCCTTAGCAGTAAGTTAACTTGTCTATGTAGTTTTGGTTCTTTATCAGCTATCTGTTTATCTTTTTACAAAAATTAACGGGCGTATCTTTAGCACAATACTGGGATACTTATACCGGTCTTGAGTCTTCCGGTCAATTGCTACCACGTAACACATGGACCTTACATGGACTTTGGCCTGACTTCTGTAATGGTTCATACACTCAAGTTCGTTAAGTTCCTTAACTTAGTTATTGTTTTCTCATATGAGGACTCTGGGAGCAGGGATCTGTCCCAAGAGCTTTCGTTGGCAATCTGTCTCGGCTCCCAGGTCCCAGAGCTTCTCATTTCCGTTTCGATGTTTTACTATGCTAATTCATTACAGTACTGCGACTTAAAGTACGCCCACTCCCCAGTCAATCTGAAGCAGACTAACTTTTCCAAAGCCGACAATATGATCCTTTCCCATCTCCAAATACCACCACTGGTACCTCAAGCGGCACTCCTGTTCCACCGTACAAAGGTCCTAGCATCTTAACTTTCCTCGCTCCCTTTGGAAAGCTTGATCTTCTCGCATACATGAACAAGTATTGGATTAATCAAGGTGGGCCCAACGGCGACTTCTGGGGCCATGAGTTCTCTAAACACGGAACATGCTACTCAACTTTCAACCTTCCATGTTATGGACCAATGTACCAAAACCATTCCGACGTTATCGATTTCTTCGAAACAGCAGTTTCATATTATTCTAACCTCCCAACCTACGGCTGGTTATCTGCTGCAGGTATCAGGCCTAGCAACACCACTAGATTCTCTCTGAGTGATATGCAAGCGGCTTTGACGAAGGGCTTCGGTGCTTTACCGTATATTGGATGTACCGGACCGAGATACAATGCTACTGCTGCTGGTAATGGGACTTTGGATAATGGTTATACAATCGTCGATGAGATGTGGTATTACTACCATGCTTATGGCAGGGTACAGAGAGGTCAGGGCCTTCCCGTTAATGCTAGTATCAATGGTGAAAGCGTGAGCAGTTGTGCTAAAACGCCTGGTGCTCTGTTGTATCCTGAGAGAACATTGGGAAGTGAGGCGTAGGGGAAATAGATGTAATGAGGTTATGATAATGTTGATAATGTAATGACCTTGCTCTAATTTATTCCTCAACTCAACATCCTTGAATCTGGTTTTCGACTTTTGTCGCTGCCTACTGGATGTCTTCAGATGTTCCATGGGGCTCTCGAACTCCTTGACCTTGTTATACAATCCGTTTCCTCAATATGTCCGTTTTGCTCATAGCAGCCCTTTCCTTGCCAACTCGACTTTTCTCGCCGCCTCACCCTCCTTGAATCCCCCCTTTGATACGCAGATCATCTTGCCATCACCCAATTCGAACTTCTCCTCGTACATAGGGTGCGGGCAAGGGCAATGGTGTGGAAAGTGAACGCAGGCCAAGGTATCCGGGCAGAGGTAGTTTGAACAGTGTGCTGTTCAGAATCGTTAGCTAAGTATCGCCAGATCCCAAGAGTCAAACCTAAAAGAATTCAAAATTAAAAGATGACAGCTCTAACTTCAAAGCTGGTATGTTCGAAGAGACGAAGGGGAATTACCATTCTCGTAGTTCGATTGGTACCAATTGGAATCGCTCGGTACATTCTGTGGTTCTTGTCTCTGCTGCTGTTGCTGACCATTGAACATCTGCTCAAAGAATTGAAATTGTGCGTTTGCGACTGAGAACAAGAACAGTGCTGCTGAGAGCAGGGAAATGATGATGCGTGCCATCTTGCGCCGGTATGGATTGCTTTCGCAAATTTGCTGTTGTAGCTTGAATGAAGGAACAAACTCCTGTAATCTGTCAAGCAGAATGGGAAAATTCCAGAACAGATCAATGAGTGAAAGGTTCGCTCAAGGATGAAGATCCAAACGAGGGGTGATCTTTCTGGCCAAACTGTCCCCAAATTCAATGTTGATGCCTCAGGCTTCAAGGCCACAGTAATTGTCGAATCCCTGAGGCTTTTATTTCTTGATCAACAGGAACACCATCTCTTCTTCACCACACGCCATGTTACTCCCGCGATTACAGCCGCCATTAAGAGCAGCTCTGACCTCAATTGCTCGATCAGCACCATCTGGGTCCCAAACAACATGCCTCAATGACGCGTTCGCACAGCTTGCGATAAAATCTTCGCGGAGGATGAACGGAGCAGGAGTCACATTTGTGAGACATGCTTCTCACAAAGCACAAGGAGCCGTCAATAAGGCGAAAGATGGACCTGGAAAGAGATTGGGTGCTAAGAAGTCTGGAGGTGTGTTCAGTTCGAGCTGTTTAGGGGAATCCATCATTGACATTGAATAGAACAATATGTTATCCCAGGCAACATCATCTTCCGCCAACGCGGCACACATTGGTTTCCAGGCGATAATTGTGCGATGGGTCGAGATCACACCATTTATGCGACGGAATCTGGATACGTGAAATACTACAAGGATCCAGAAAAGAACCCAAAGAGACAATACATCGGCGTTGTATTCGAACGAGACCAAGTCCTCCCATTACCCCGAAACGCCATGCGAAGACGAAAATTAAATATGGTTGCTCAAAAGAGGGAACAACCTAAAGTGCTTGTCCAGACGGATCTAGTAATGGAGGGAGATGCTTCTACAGGGGTGGTACTGAAGCAGAAGAAGAACAAGGAGAGAAAGGGCGAGGAGGGAAGAAACTTAAGGTTGAGACCCGGCTATATGTATCGAGAGTCGAATTGGGAGATTGGAAGAGCGGCCGAGAGAGCGCAGGTTACGGTCAGAGAGTTCAAGCCAAGGGATCGATGGACAGCATGGAGAAAGGCGACGATCCGTAAAGCGAAGAACGCGGAGAAGAGAGGATTGGGGAGGAAGATAGGATCCAAAAAATAGATGTACGATACGTATGGGTCTTTCAGATCGTCGGGATCTGTTGTATAAATGGAACTATTGTACGATCACGGACGTACACGAATCTGATCATACCATTGCATATGCGCAAATCGTCCAGCATCACTTGGTTGTAATGGAAGGTGGTCGGAATCGTTGGAATTCTCTCGGTACCCAGAGTGAGAAAAGGAACCTGCTTGGACAACTAATGAGCAACGAATCATTGAGGCTCAAAGAGCTGGCGTGCGGCATCCATTCCTTCGTTGCAAAACTCGCCAAGACTGTTTTAGAGAAGTCCTTGCCCCAAAAAAACCCTCACTATAGAACGGGGCGAGCTAACAAGTTGAGTGGTCACTATGTCTTGAGAAAGAAGGCTGCGGTGCGCAGTCAAGCATTCTACGCTACGAATAGACATGTTTCCACAGAGGTTCGCAAGTTTCAGCCTTCTCCACCTCACGCGGTAGAGTAAGTCCTTGTGTGACGGATCATTAAAGATTCCCTTCGGCTCCTCCGGATTGCTTTCGTGAATGTTCCAGAATCTTGGGACAACGATCGGCTCCTGCATCCTAGCGATATCCACGAACTCACGCCAGCCTCCAGACGAAGATTCAGTGAGCGCACGACTGTGCAACAAATGTGGCTTGTTCTGTGCAACTTAACCAACCAAGGAACAAGGATGCTTGTCTGCAGAGCCTCCACGAGTATGCTGTCGAAAAGGGCCTTCGACGCCACAACCCACACCCTGCATGGTTTACACACTCACTGGAATAAACTCATCCTATCGTATCTTCTTCTTTCGGTGTCTAGATCGGGCAATGGAACGGGCCAGTGCCTTATTAGTGCCTTGCCCTGATGATCCGGTCGAATGCGCTCTTGTTGTCACTGGCTAGCCTTCTGCCCTGAATGCCCTTTTGGTAGCTCGAGGGATGGCCGAATACTTCTCGAGCTCTCGCATCTTTCTTTCTTTCGCATTGCATTAACTCACATCATCTTAGTCGCCGTTCAGAGAGTACTCTCATATTCCTCCTGTATGCCTCACTCATTGGGGAAGTTGCTGCCGCATGTATGTACTCACCTTAGTAGGTGACCATGGGGTGGCAACTGACGGTGTCTTAGTCACGGAGTTCGAAGCAATGACCCCTCCACCGCGACACGAAGTACCTCGTTCTGCAACTCAATATACTAGGCTTAGCAGTCAACATCGGGATGGCTCAACCACCTCTTCAGATATAGAACTTACGGTCCGTACGGGCCGTCACTATTATGGTGATGGCTCAGAAAGCTCCCGTAACCCGAGAACTCGAGGCGCCTTTCGCAATATACAGAATCGACCTCCGATTCCTCAAGTCTTTCAATCTGCGACTTCGCTGCCGCCAACGCGACCTCCACTAGTTCCATCGATCAAGGTCTCGTCGGATCAGGACACATCAGGGCGCAAGCAGACGGATGGAATTCAAGATGGAGATATTAGCGACGCCGCTGCTCGTTCATCTGCAAGTGGGGAACTTGAAGACGGTCGCGACGAACAGAGACGTTTGTTGTCAAGCTCTGAAGACATAAGATGCCTTGGAGAGCAGCACCTTTCTATTGATGGTATATTTCACATTTCAATTTGCTGTCTCCCGCTAATGTCCTGCAGACTTCCAGTACAATTACCTATCTACTGCCGCTGCTATTGCTCGTGGATATCCACCCCTCAATTACAAGCCATTCACCATAGAAACTTGGTTTCTCACGGTTACTACCGTCGTTTTTCTTGCCTGTATCGGAGGCATTGTCGCTATAATCATATTCGCACGATCCAAAGGGGGAAACGCCTTCCATATCAGCAAGACTCGGAACCACGTGGCTTATCGATACGTCCCTCCCGCAATAGGAACTCTTACCACGATCTGGTGGAGGATGATCATCACGACTCTTGCAAGGATGACGCCTTATATATCGCTGGCAGCTGAGTATGAGGGACACCATCACAGCCCACACAGACTTCAACGAATTCTACAGAACGATTATGCTCACACAATCTTTGAGCCCATTGATCTCACAAGTGTGGCTGCGAGTGGGCATTGGATGTTGTTTGGATGTCTCGTCATTCAATTCATCATTATGATCGTAATTGTACCCCTAAAGGCAGTTTTCATACAGATCGTTAGCGATGATACAGGCTGGACGGTAATTGTTGTTCGTCCAGTAGGGTACACATTGATCGCCATCTATGCTACCCTGATATTGGTCACACTCGCGGTCATGTGGACTCTGTATAATCAAGACACTGGTTTAAAGTGGGACCCAGCTGCCATTGCCGATCAGCTGGCGCTTGTGCAGGGCTCAAACGTCCTGAATATTTTCCAAGGTCTCGAATTTGCACTGTCGAAGGAATGCACTAGACAACTCAAGAAGCGCAGTCCATGGTATGGTGAAATTAAGCTAGGCTACTGGGAACACAAGCAGACCCAGGAGATATGGCATGGTCTTGCCTGTATTCCGCCAGAGCAAGGTATGTCCCGCTCTTGAGAATTTCGCACATTTGGCTGATGCTTCGGTTAGGTACGGAAGATAGGGCCAACGCATTTCATGATGAGAATCAACTTCGAAGAATCAAGCAAAGTAATCTGCAACAGTACACCATTGGTAACAATGATAAAGGTATCATCGTCCATCTCCGTCCATATGCGGAGCATTCATTGACACCCATTGCCACAGTGATCCCCCTTGATTACAACTATCAGAGAGTCATCGACCCAGAAAGATATCGTTACTTCAGCGCCCCATTTTTACTCAATGATGCCCTCCTTATGACATATGCTGCAGTTATTATTACTGTCCTCGCTCTCATCATCACTGGACTTATCGAAAAACGGATTCAACATGCTTTCAACTCTGTATTTTCCACTTGGGTCCTCGATAAGACGAGCCAACCAATCGAGATAATTGACAACTGGGCAGAGGGGTTCAAATATCGATTTCTGCCAGTCTTCTTCACGACACTTTTCAGCGCTCTCTGGATTCGAGCGGATGTGTTCTATAGATGGACAGAACCATTTTCAAGAATGGACAAAGGTGCTGACGCGAAATCGAGCATTTTACTTGATTACACTTCCTACACACCAGTTTTCGTTACATTCAAGGCTTTGATGAGATGCCACTGGCGAGTCGCTATGTTTTCTGCTTTGGCCTTGATCTCGACCGCTCCTCCCATCATCGCTACCGGTGTCTTCATCAGCACTCCCACAGACTACGGTTACTCGATTTCTATTGAGCCCATCAATTTCTGGGCATGCTTCTCCTTCCTCATTTTATATCTCATCTGCTTACCTGTTGTCCGACCACCGCCCAGCTACCGACTCCCTCGCAGTGTTCGGACAATCGCCGACGTTTTGAGCTACTGCTACAATAGCAAACTAGTTGATGATCTAGGAACAGACGGAAAGCCTATATTCTCGCCTCAAGAAAAGGATGATGAGAGAGTTCATATGAAATACAGAATTTGTCTGACGAAGAAAATGTATCATTTTGGATTATACCTTGGCAAAGACGGCAAACGGCACATTGGCTTCGATGTCGGCACGAGAGATGAAGGTGACCAGCCTATTAATGTTATCAAGTTTAATCCGGGTTTTGGTATGAGGGGGTTGTGGCGGGCGGATTGGGGGTTCCTGAGGAAGCCGAAAGTCCTCAATGAAGAGGTTTGAGTTGCTAGATTTTGTCTGTTGGGCTACTAAGCCTCTTGATTTTGTAATGCTTGTACGATTATCATGTGCATATCTGGACGTTATTTGGAGCTTATGTTTATACAGGATAGAGATAGGAGTTCGAAAGGATGATAGGAGGATGAGCTATGGGAATGTGTGTGCCAGGCATCTTTGCACTGGTTTTTGAGAATTCAAAGATCTGAACTCTAAAATCTATTTATTTGGGAGTATTCACCTGAAGTTTATTGACTACGGGGAGTGTTGTTTGGCGGTACTCGTTACAAGCTGCCGAACATTGGTGGTCATTCTCCAAGAGTAGCGATTATTCAGTGTCAAACCCCCTCGAATTTTAAGCGAGCAGATACCTGCATTCGAGCGATTCGTTTGATGAGGGTATGAAAATAGGGGTCCAGCAAACAAGCGAAATATGTGATAGCGGGAGAGTCTGAGATCACCTGCATATTGCGGAGAACACTAAAGTTCGGGGCTATCGTCTTAGCACCGATACTTCCGACTTCATGTCAGATATATACCATTCTTTGGTCCTGATAGTTTTGAATGGAATTTTTTTGTACATTGAATCTGATCGCAAATGGCTTACGTTCCCAACCCCAAGACGAATGGTGAGTTATTTTCTGGCTGCAAGGAAGTTTCTTCGTTCGGAATGGGTTAGCATGGTACAGAAGTCTCGGGCGGAATTACCATTATAACCTCAGACGACAATTCGTCCCACCAAAGTCCAATTCCGTCTTTGGACCTGAGCAGTCGCCGCTTAACCTAAGCCGAGGGTGAGCATTCCTGAGTCTTGCCTGAGCAACCTGAGCAACCTGAGCACTATAGGGAGGGGTTCGTTTTGGCTCCCTGGGGGCCCGCTTTGGCTCCCTTGTAAATCCGGTTATAGTTTCCTGGAGAAGTCGGCAAAGCAGGGCATCTGTTCTGGCTAGTCTTGCACGGATTTTACGTGGAATTGAATCCGAATCCCACGCTAAGCCTTATATGAACGATAATTTAGCCTCAACCCACCTCTTCGAACCTTTCAAGATATCGTGATGGTATCCGTTCTCGCTCCCATGTCAAACTTACAAGGGTCCCTGCCGGAGCCGATTTGGATACCCGTTGGGAATTGGAGTCCCAATCTGTTACTCCGTACTTCGGGTGAATTCCGAGTCTTCTCGCTAAAGAATTCCAGCCCCTGCAAAGTAGCGGGTGCATCCCGACAAGGTCAGGTCGATCTCCCAGACCTTAGCTAAGTTCATGTGAGAGCTGCTTGCTGGCAGCTCAGGACAGGACAGGTCTGCGAAATCTCCCAACTTTCTCTATCCAAATGTTCTTGGTTAATCGGGTTTACCCTTAACATGTTAGTCCCTATTATGATGCATCACTTGCCACGCTGTTCGCCAAAACGTAATCCTCCCTGGGCTACCAGCAAGAGCAGAGCATGTTCCAGCAGACGATGGGCCCATACATCCCTAACTAAAAGACTCAAAGACAAAGTTGCCATCGTGACAGGTGCCTCATCCGGACTCGGCCGCGCAATCTCGCTGCGATATGCGAGAGAGGGCGCTCATGTCGTCTGCGCTGATTTAAGACTACTGCCACTTGCACAACCAAGTCACGACGACGAAGCACAAAAGGCAACACATGAACTGATCAACGAGGAAAATGGGGGCCGGAGCATCGCGGTCCAGGTCGATGTCGGTGACTCTCAGAGTGTGCAAGATATGGTGCAAGCAGCTGTGGAGGAATATGGCAGAGTTGATGTGTGAGTACAAACGGTACCATTACTCAGCATTCCCATTCCCATTCCTCAATTATGACTGAGAAATAAGTAGCTAAGGATCCGGACAGAATGTGTAATAATGCAGGTATCGCATTTGAGACGAAAGCACCGCGGCCCCTAGGGATTTGGGAGACGCCAGATGAGCAATTCGACGCAACGCTGCGAGTCAATTTGCGAGGTGTGTTCTTGGGTTGCAAGTACGCGGGTGCACAGATGATTAAGCAAGAACCCCGTGCCAGCGGCGGGGATAGAGGCTGGATCATTAACACGGCTTCGATTCTGGGGATGGTGGGATGGTATGGGACGAGTTCGTACTCGTCTGCGAAGGGCGGTGTTGTGAATCTGACGCGGACTGCTGCGTTGGATTTTGCGAAGTATCGTATTCATTGTAATACCATTTGCCCGGGCTGTAAGTTCATGTTCATTGGAATTCCAAATGATGCGGATGTGGGGATGCTGATCTGATTCGATTTCAAAGATACACATAGTGCCATGATTGAGGGTTTGGATAAAGACCTATTCCAGAAAGTATCGGCTATGCATCCTCTGAAAGGGTTTGGGACTCCGGAGGATATAGCTAGTGTGGCGGTTTTTCTCGCAAGTGATGATGCGAGTTGGGTTACAGGCGTTTCATTAGCGGTTGATGGAGGGTATACAGCTCAATAAGTATGGTTGAGATATACACTGTTTTGTGTAGACTATGTACTACATGCAAGGAGACTATATCATGAAAGCCAGCACTGCCTACTTGATATGGACGAATGTCAACAGTCCCTGAATAAATTTGATGTACTATATATTTGCTTCAAAGCAAGATTCAGCAGGTATCGTACACGTATCAACCACTGCTATCTGCTGCTTTCTCAAAACGTAGATTTTGCCACCGGAAGGTGCACCCGAGCCTGCCCTCTCCCAAGATGAAGTCATGTGGTCTAAGACATGTACCCCACAGCTCAGCGGTGTCCCACTTCCCCGCGATTCCCAGGTCCATGGTCGAAGACTCTCGGAGCTATCCCGACAGTGTGGCGCCGACCAATACGACCAGAAGAATTGCTTCGCGCCTTGGATGCACAATTTAAACATAGACTTCCCCCATCCGTCTTCAGCTCTGAGCCCAAAAGGGTTTGATACTCACAGAATTTACATCAACATGAGCACAACAAAGCCGCCTCCAGTTCTCCCAGCCACCTCTATCAAAACAGTAGCCGATGGACTCTTCTTCGGAGAAAGCCCTCGCTGGTACGACGGCAAACTATACGTTTCAGACATGATAGGACAAAAGATCTACACTATCGACGCCTCCGGACACAAACGCGTCCTCCTAGAAGTCGAAGGCCAGCCAAATGGCATGTGCTTCTTACCAGACGGCTCCCTCATTTACAGCTCCATGTTCGACGCCAAGCTGCACCGCTATCACGACGGCACTTCGGAACAATACGCTGATCTGTCTTCATTCATGACTGGTTACTGCGGCGATATGGTGATCGATGCCCACGGCCGCATCTTCATCGATGATACCGGTGCTCGAGTGCTGCATGGTGAGAACCCCTGTCCGGGCCGGCTCCTCGTCGTTGATAGCGACCGGAGTGTCAGCGTTGCGGCCGAGGGTCTCGTATTCCCGAATGGTGTGGCCATCAATCGTGAGGGCACATCGCTCTTCATCTCGGAGACCTTTGCATACTGCTTGGACCAGTTCGATATTGAGAAATCGGGGAAACTCAGCAATAGGCGCAAGATTTGGGACACGCATGACTATGCGTCAGTAAGCGGGAAGGAGTCCGGGAGATTTTGCGGAGTCGATGGGATTTGCATGGATGATGAAGATGGGATGTGGTTGAGTATGCTTGGGTATGAGAGGTTCATTCGCAAGAATGCGAAAGGCGAGATTACTCATCAGATTGAGGTCAATGGACATGCAACGGCATGCACATTGGGTGGAGAGGATGGCACGACTTTGTATCTTGTCACCAACTGGGTACCGGATGGCTGTGACTTGTTCACTGCTATGGTTGAAAGACAAACCAAGTGTACCATCTCTGAGGTTGATGTTTCTGGCTGGATTGTCAACACTCAATAATTTTGAGTAAGCATATTTCCCCAGCCAATATCATCTAGATTCCATGGAGGTTGCAATCCTGTACTCTGAGACAGCATATCTCTGACTTGCATATCCGTGAACAAGAATTCATTATCCACAGAGCCTTGACCGTCGCCTGTTTTGTAGAGGATCGTCTGTTCAGCAATGTGTCCGCTGGTATCGATGATTCCAGGATGAGGATCTGACTTTTGTGGATTATTCATGGCTGAATCCCATGCCGATTTTTGAGCTGTGGTATCATTAGTGACACGAGGATCTCAAAATTGAATAGGAAACCTACTGTTTGAGCTTGCACACATTTGCTGGCGCATGCTGCATAGTGTTTTGGCACATTGTTTCGCTGCATCATTATGCAGACTCATTCTTCTCAAAGCTCTCTGGCATTGATCCCAGGAATGTCGAACGCTGATGGCTTTTCCAGGGTCGAGAATGGTGGGACAAAGTTCTGCCAACACAAGGACCATTGCTGACGAGAACAAATCTAAGAAGAGTGATAGTCTGGTTAGGAGGATTCTCATGGTATCGATTAGATCTTACTTACAGAATACATTGTACCACCAGGCGCCAGTAGCACTGGTTTGCGAGGCACGATCGATGATATCGATCAACTGTCCAGCAGCTCCTACACACTCGGCCGCACAGCGTGGAGCGAAGTGGGAGTAGAGCATACTGGTCGCCTTGTCATGAGATTCACATTCGCCAGATGTCCTAGTTAAACCCTCGAGCTTTGATTCGAGACATAATTGATTGAATATAGGGCGGTATAGAAGCAGTTTGAGATGTATGAATCTATATTCTCGGATTAAACATAACCAAAAGAAACATAGGGCTTGAAAGAGCGGGCTGACCTTGCATGAAGGACGTTAACCTGCCTGTCGACCATCTCCGATGTCCCATGTGTACGATTTCGGCGCGTCCAATGGAGTTCATTCGGTATGTTTGATTCGAAATCTGATAATGCATAATCTAGCTTGATTATCGTGTCAAAAGCGTTGTCCCTCAGATGTTGACCAATTTGATTTCGCCCACCCAAACGACTCCAAAGTTTATAGACGCCAGTCAAGATCTCAGAAAGTATTTTGTAGAGTTTGATTGTTTCCCCGAAAAATACAAGGAGTGGTGGCTGGATGTTGCTTAGGGATGTTGCCACGGATACCGAGTCAAGAGAATCGTCATTAACGGCTAGAGGCAAAGGTACGTCAGATTGTCCAGAGGTGATCGGCGGTCTACCGAGGGTCATGCTGACGACTCTGCAAGATAAATTCAGCCTTGCGTCAGATACCAAAGGGCAGTATTCTTGAGGAATACCCGAAACTCACGTATCAAGCGTCACGCAACCATACCATGAGCGTCGCCTCATTTCTATCTCAAGAGTAGCCCTGTTCTTCGTAGAATCATCCAGATACAACCCAATCCCTTGTGCGACCCGGCAAGCCAACCCAACAATATTCCAGCACCGATCTGGGTAATGTGTGCTTTGGAGATACTGTGCCATAATCAGAAGAGTCTGGACGAGCGCTAAGTCTCCCTCATCCAAAATGTCGATATGTAGAAAGTGTTTGGCACGGCGAAAAAATGTATCCGCGAGCGACTCTCTTTCGTCCGAAGGCAAGTCCGAGAATTGACAGGCCAGCGCAAAAATACCATTCAGAGCACAGTAAAAAGTGGATGGCCCACAATTTGATCCCCCAAGCCCGACCGCCGGATTTGAATTGTCATTTTCATTCTCAACGGCGCTCTCGCGAACCCATAGCTGCTCATAAGCTTTAAGGAAGGTCGGTTTGTGCACAAAAGGGTAAAGACAATGGACTCTGTTCCAGTACAGATCTATCAAATGATCCGCAAATGGGCGAGGTGGCAGAGTGAGGGCATCTAACTTGGAGCTGGAGACTTGGTCGAGTAACGAGGACAGAGTATGACATGGCTGTTTCCGCTGTGGCACCTTGGATGGCTGTGCGCGGACCAGGTTTGCTTCGCCGCCGCTGGGACGACGAAGAGTTTCTTGGACTTCATGCTGAAATGAAACTGCGGATGAATTCCCGTAGAACAGTTCTTGAGCGGTCGTTACTCGATCGGAAATATGTGACGCTGCGCCCATCGCACTCACTGGGGTGTCACCACCTTCCTCCTGGTCAGGTGATGAATAACTGGGAACTTTTTGCTCTTCTGGATCCCGGTCATGAGGTAACTGCGACTGGTCTTCGGCCGAAGATAGATTTGCCAGTACGAAAGAATATTCTAAAGTAGATGGCACAGACCCAAGCTGCCCGTGAAACGATGATGATCCTGGTCCGCCGGGGGTCGCTCCACCGCCCAAGCCTTCTGCTGAGGGCGGAGGTGGAGGTGGAGCTTCGACGTGATTTCTTGCCAGACTGGACAAAGCAGCCTTCTCTTCTCCACGATCGCTCTCGAGCTGACGAATCCGCTCCTGAAGATGGTGTATGTACCTGGTAATGTAGTAAGAAGAATGAGCCTCTCGTCACGCCTCTCATTGTCGATGGGAGAAATCATACGTACTCTCTTTCACTCGACTTCGAACTGGAAGTTTGGGTGGTGTAGGTACAGGGTGTTTCCAGATCTTCCCTCCGTTGGCAATTGGTGCAAGTTGGCATGCGGCCATCGCACCGAATCTTTCGTGACCTACAGGTAACGCAAGCAAGTGCGACCTTAGGACGTCTCTTTGACGCGGTGTGGGTGTGGGTGTGGGTATGGGTGTCGACGCGTTCATCTTGCTCAAAATGAGTTGATGGGTAGATGGGTGATGCTATCGACGACGAAGGAAGAAAATAAGAATGATATACTGTCTGCTGATGTTGATGCTGGCGGCGACGACTGGGCAATGCAATGTGAGATTAGTGTCTCAATTTGCAGTTCCGTGGTGCAGTTCCGTGCATTTTATTAATCAAATAAATGCGGGTGGTGGTGCAGTTGCTGGAAGAAAAATGTCTAATGTAAAGGGCTCGCTTACCGTACCTTGGAACACCCAATGAGAGCCTGCGATCGCTGCGGGACAGTAAAAATTTTACAAGTCCGCGTTACTCGTTACCTCGTTAAAAGGTACAAAGTAGGGTAATTAGCAGTGTTGCTTTAAAATGACTTCATGGGGTGTTATAGTGGACGATGATACACTGGCAGGATGACTGTCCAGTGTGTTGCATTACATATTTATCTCACTGTTCCACCGAGATTTATACACATATATTTGCTTGCAATTGAGACAGCTTACGCTGCTTCGTCGATCAACCGGGGCGGAATGAATATCAAACAAAATCCACAAGCATCTGTTCCAAATCTTACCCTAGAGCTAGCCACAGTCATCACATCTGAGGTGTCGCCCAGCCATCAAAGAAGCCCTTTAAACCATCATAGTCGTCCCTCGCGGTCACCATCGAAACATCTATGCCGGTCAGCAGCAACAACTCAAAACTAGACAGCAACAAGGCCCCAGACAATGACTTACAATGGTCGGGACGAACGATCACGGCAGCACCCTCGTTTCTATCGACGCCGTAGAAGTTGTACGCTGGGCTGTGCCCCAAGTCATTGATTTCATCAACAAATATCTTATGAACGTCTGCACAGGGTCTTGTCAGTTGTTACTGCGAGAGACAGGTCGAACGATGTGATATGTACTGACCGCACATACCCCACTTCCCCGTCACCGGAGAAAACAACAAAGGTATCTCTACATCATCAATCTCATGGCGCATGCCTGACAGAACGACGAGAATCTCGATGAAGCTGTCTATGTCCGCGTCAACTGGCGTGTACGTGTGGAGCAAGCCCGTTCTCGAGAATAAGGACTCTCCGAGCTGAGGGTTCATTAAATCAGTATATACGAGGGAAATCACGTATGCTGCAGTGCAGGATACGGGCAAACGGACCTGCTGTAACTTTCTGGCTTGGGTCACTTCTTGGATATTGCCAGCAAAAAGCACGATGCGCCACCGGCTGTCTGCAGGCATTGCTCTCACCAGCTGAATTACTCGCGCGTCGCAGCGTCGTGTGACTAGTGTGCTTGGAAAACGCATACCGACCGTGATATTTCTTGCTAGATGCGGTGCGCTCCTAGACACGCTTGTGATAGGAGACTCGTCATATGTAGCTGTGAGTCCAGCTGTATACATGCTGGCTCTCACAAAGTGTTCATCAAATGGCTCGTCGTCGGGAGTCTTTGTGCTGAAGGATTTCGTGAAAGCTCGATCAAAGTCGATGAGTGTCGCTGCAACCTTCTCCCGCTCAAGATTATAAGTGTATAAGAGATCCGTAGAGGCGTGGCCTTTGAGAATAGTAGCGAGCTTCCACCCGATGTTGTATCCATCTTGTAAGCTAACATTCATGCCTTGACCCGCCTTGGGAGAATGAGTGTGGCAAGCGTCTCCAGTCAAGAACACTCGATTGTGCTTGGAGAATTGATCTGCAAGTCGTTGTCCAATGGAATATGCTGACCACCAAAAGGTCGAAGCGATATCTAATGTAAAGGGAGCAAGGATATGACGTGCCGTAGCTTGCAAATCATCAAGCTTCACTTCTTTTGGTGCGACCGCTCTTCCCAATTCGATATAGAATCGAACCATCGAGCCTCCTTCTCGTGGAATGACGAGCATGCTGCCTTTCGGCGTTTGTATTACCACTTTCTTGCGAATATCGGGAAAATTGGTGCGGGGGAAGACGTCCATTACTCCCCACACAGCATCTGTTGAATCCCCAATCATGCTGACTCCAAGCGATCGCCGGACAGTACTATGAGCACCGTCGCAGCCCTGTCGTGTAGAAGTGTCAGCTACGTAACATATGGCTGGAGACAGCAAATGCTCACCAGCACATATTTCGCGTCGATTCTCTCATCTTTTCCGCCCTTCGATACCACGACCATCACACAGTGGGCATCAGGGCCGGTAGCAGCGGCGCTATCAACTTGAACACTCTTCACAGTGTATCCATATTCAACCTCTTGCTGGTTGAAATCACGCATAGCGTTGATCAGAATCCCGTGCACTCGAGCTTGATTGAGTATCACATGCGGTTGATGCGAAAGCCCTTCAGGAGTATCTGTCACCCTTCGCGTTCGGACCATTTCCCCACCAGAGTTTGCTGACCAGAAACAGACTTCCAGCACATGGTAGGCGTCGCGCAATAAACGATCCTCCAGACCGAAACTTTCAAAGATCTCAACAGTGCGGCACTGAACCCCGTCCGCTTGACCACTCACCAACGGTCCAAGACGTGAATCAACGATTTTGCATCGAACACCGTATCGTGCGAGCCAGGTTGCTGTACAGAGTCCAGCAGAACCGCTGCCACAGATCAATACGTCCACTTTCTCGGACATGTTCTTGCGTGGGGAATTTTGGGACACGTTGTAGACGGCGGTTGTGACGTGAGAATGGCTCTCCAAATGTATGCAGCTTTTTGTATGTCTCTACAGAGAAAGTGAGGATGTCTTTGGCCGTTTGTATAGTAAGCTCTCTTTTGAAGTCATCTCCAACGTATCTGGCACGTGATATTTCACGATACCGTCCATAAATACCGAACCAAGCCAGTACGACTTAGAGGCGCTGCGCGGCAAGTATGACGATCCTTTCCATCCGCTTCCGTTGATCCTGTGGACGAGCTTCGGAGCCATCCCGTGAGGCATGCATCTTTCTCGACTTTTCTGGTCTCTGACCGTGCATTGGGAAATCGACACCCCTCCGCATTCAGTTAGATGCATGGTCTCTCGATTTCTCAACGACCCCTGTGACTTTCGGGTTCATTCCGCGCGTGGGGTCCCACATCATCGGGAGCACAACCCGGTACATACTTGGTATGGCGGCACAGGAGACAAGTTAGTGGCAATGCGGGGTCGCTTGTGCATGAAGTTCTATTTCCCTATACTAGAGATACGAGAGCCAGATTCTGAACAATCGTGGTTAACGCAGGAGTGCACGCCCCCCAATTGTTCGGAGGAAATTCAACATAGAGATGGAACTGCCTGAGAAGAACATCCCGACTCGAGCGTTGGTAGTCGAAAAGCCTGGTTCACCTTTCATTCTACAAGACGTCACGTTAGATGAGGTTCGTGACAATGAAGTTTTGGTTGAGATGAAATATACAGGTCTATGTCATACGGTCCGTCACCTTGTCAATTTCCCGCCAGTCAAAAAAGAACTCCAATTGACGAGATACATAGGACATCGTGGTCCAGCAAGGTCTCATGCCCGTTGGAGACTATCCCGCAATTCTCGGGCATGAAGGAGCTGGTATCGTGCGGAGAATTGGTCGCTCAGTGAAGGACAAGTCTCTGATAGTCGGCGACGAAGTTCTGCTAAGTTTCAGTTCTTGCGGAAACTGCTCGTATTGTGCCCAGAGCCAGAACGGCTCATGTCCTCACATAACGGCTATCAACTTCACTGGCACTCGGCTCGCAGATGGCAGCAATCCAGCAAGGTTACATGACGGTACTGCCGTCCGGAGCAAGTTCTTTGGGCAGTCCTCGTTCAGCAAGTTGGCTGTCGTGTCGGAAACTTCGATTTTAAAGTGTGAGCTGAGTAGCGAGGAATTTGCAATCATGGCACCGATGGGTTGTGGCTACTACACCGGGGCTGGGACCGTAATGAGGGTTTTGCGTCCAAAACAGGAGACGACATTTGCTATCTTGGGCATGGGAGCCGTAGGCCTAAGTGCTTTGATGACTGCGAAAGCTATGGGAGTGCAGCGCGTCATAGCAGTTGACATCTTAGACACGAAACTGGATCTAGCCGTTTCGCTCGGAGCCTCAGATATCATCAATTCGGGTAGAATCACCAGTATATCAGCGGCTATCAAAGATCTCGTCAGTGAGGGAGTCAATCAAATTTTGGACACCACGGGGCTGGGTTTTTTGATCGAAGACGGCATCCGTGCTCTCGGTCACGGGGGTACCTTTGCGCTTGTTGGAACGCCGCGTCCAGGACAAAGTATCGCAATCGATCCTTTGGACTTCTTCCTTTCGTGTAAACGCATTATCGGCGTGATTGAAGCAGCATCGAATCCTGTTCAGGCAAGTTCTCCCATTTGAATGCTTTCGCGACGTAGCAATTACTGACAATGTTTAGGTGATTCCTGAGCTTGTGGATTTACACCGGAAAGGACTGTTTCCAATTGAAAAGCTTTCACACTTGTACTCCGTTAATGGGCTTGACCAAGCCTTGGTGGACCTCAAAGCGGGGACGGTTGTAAAGCCGATACTATCATGGGAGTCTGTTTAGCTAGAAGAATAGTTGTTAATAAGTAATTTGCCTAACCAATTAACAATGAAAAATGCCTGAGAATTTAGACACGAGCCTATACAAATATACGAGTGTACATATTTAGAGTTAATCAAAATTGCAAGTTAAGATTTGTAAGAAATTATATTGGTCTAATTTTTGGTTTCGTGATGTAGATGTTAAGTAGCCTTCCCCCCTCCTTTTGGAATTTATCTCATGGGTGCACTACTAATCACCCGAAGGTAACTGATAATGGCATTCGAACGTCACTGTAAGACATTCAAATTAAGGACCGGAAAATTACTGAGAATATCAAGGATCATTTCATATGTGCTACGTAGACAGCAACATCACACCAGAGAAACATATCAAGGATGCCCATCTACTTCTGGAACTGCTTCAATCTCGGCCACAGCTCAAACGCCGCTTCGTGGTTGATCCCCTTCAACATATTCCCATCCTTGAATGCAAACTTATCCAACCCATCCGTGTGATAGCCGATGATGCCCGGTCCCGCATATGGATAATCACTCCCATACAACACATGGCCCGGCTTCGCAAATTTCTCTAACACGGTAAGAACATTCTCGCTTCCCGCGACCGCAGTATCATAATAGAAGTTCCTCGCATCCTCAAACATATCTTCAGTCACATGGTCTTTAGACAGATATGGCAGGACCGTAGCCGGTCTACCCACCAGGTACGGAAGGGTCCCGCCCGCGTGTGAGAGGATGATCTTGATGTTTGGGTAGTTGCGCACCGTTTTGGAGACAATGAGATCCACAGCCGTGCGAGTAGTTTCGAAAGGGTAGTCGATGACGGGCTGAGGAAGCAGTTTGCTGATCAGATTCGTGTCAACAGGATGAGTTGGGTGGACTAGCACAACGGTGCCTCGGCGAGAAAGTTCTTCCCAGATATACTTGAAATCCGGATGGCCGAGATAATGGTTATCTGGTCCATAACGAGTGAAGAGTGTGACGCCGTCGGCTTTGAGCTCGTCCAGGGCGTGTGATAGTTCTGCTAAGGCGAGCTCTTTGTCGAGTAGAGAAGGTAGGGCAGCGAGGAAGCCCCAGCGAGCGGGGTTTTCGTCTCGCATCTTGGCGGCGTACTCGTTGGCGTCGCGGGCGAGCTTGGCTGATGCGGAGCCTTTGAGGATACATGCTCCTGGGGCAGTCAAGGAGAGGATTGTGGTGGTGATTTCGTTTTTCTTCATGAAAGCTTCGTCACCTTCTTTGGACCATTGAGGAATCTCCCATCCGGATGGGTCTCCACCAGCCCCGACGACCGCTATTTCAGGTGTTAGTTCATCTTGGAAAGGTGTGTGTTGAGAAGGATGTTCACCATCGCGGTAGAATTGAGGTACGAAGTGGTGGTGGACGTCAACACGGTTGGACATCTTGGTGCAACGTCACTGGAGAGAAAATGAGAGTCCAATAGTGTTTGAAAGTAGATTCTAGTGTTCCAAGGCTAGCCTAGGTGCTGAAGCTATCTGGACTTAGAGTTTGTGGGAGCACAGTATTACTTATAGGTACAATATCGATCTACATGGTTACCCCACAACATCGCAAATGGATCCTAGCAATCCCCGTGGGGAAGAGATGTTCCATCTGTTTAGTGCGGTATCCGGCATCTATCCACCGATCTGGCACAAACGGACTATGGTTTCGAAACCTGCTCCGCAAGTCAAACCAATTAGTTTCGAGCACTATTCCGAGGTAATTACTCAGAATCTAGCCTGCCGACCAATATTTGAACAGTGGAGCCATTCGCATGATGCAGATAAAATCAGGGGGCTTGGAAACGTCCAATGGGCGCTGTTCCTTCCAAACAGGGGCTCGCTTGTCGGAAGCGTCCCGAGCACCACACCAAAGTTCCGGCGACAAGATTTGATTTTTCTGTTCCGGAAATTTGGATGCGAATCTTTGTGTGGGTTCGTACTCGGCCCTGGTACGGGATGCATATCCTCAATTGCTAATTAGCTTACAGTGCCTGTGCTGGAAACATCCAACCGTTGTCGCCATAGCTACTATTTGATCAACACTCTCACACTTGAGAGTTCTTCCTCGCCAGTCACTTGAGTTATACTATTCGATATCAGAGTACTGTATGCTTACTACAGGCGTTTGACTCATTATTTCCCACGACCATGGCTGCAAGGAGGTCTCATACGAATACCTCCGTCCTCATCATTGGCTCCGGCATATCAGGTAGGTTAGTCCAAAAAAAACAAGAGAATTGAAGGCCAACAGAAACTTTTTAGGACTTTGTGTGGCGATAGATTTGATCCGGCGGAACAAATGCGACGACTTTATCATAGTTGAGAAGGGTAGCCAAGTGGGTGGAACATGGAACGACAACAAGTATCCGGGATGCTGCTGTGATGGTATGATATCCAATTTTCACCTATACTATTCTGTTTGCTAGCCTCAGCCTGGTCCATTCTTCGCGACGAGGAAATAAAGCTGACTTTAAAACAGTTTGGAGCCATCTATACTCCTACTCATTCGAACCAAATCCAGACTGGAGTCGAGAATATTCGGGCCAAGAAGAGATCCTTTGTTACCTGATAAGCGTGGCTCAGAAATGGGGACTCTTTCAGAAGATCAGATTCAGTTCTAACGTATCTAAATCATGTTGGTCCGATTCTGAAGGCATCTGGAAAACGGAGGTGCAAGTCACTGGTGATAAAGATGCTGAGTTTGGGAAGGAATACACAATCAATTCACAGTACCTCGTATCTGCAGTTGGACAGCTGAACATGCCCTCATACCCCAGACTGCCAGGTCTCCACAGCTTCAATGGCAAGGTCATGCACTCTGCGAGATGGGACTGGAGTTATCCCATGGAAGGCAAAAAGATCGCGGTGATTGGCAATGGCGCCACCGCAGCGCAGATCATTCCCGAGGTGGCCAAGGTTTGTGATACGTTGTCTGTGTTTCAGCGGACGGCGAATTGGGTGGTACCAAAGTTCAATACAGACATCAGCACAGTGAAAAGGAACGCATACCGGTACCTGCCTGGATTTCGCAAGTTTTACCGAGCACGATTGATGGATATCCGAGAGACCATCTACCAGGCAAATGTGGTTGAGAATTCCGAGGCAAAGCAAGAATTGCGACAGACTGCCTTAGCAATGCTGGAAGCCCAAATCCCAGATAATGCAGAGTTGAGGAAGAGCCTTATCCCCAACTATCCACCAGGATGCAAGCGTGTCATCATGTCTGACGATTTCTTATCGACTCTCAACCATCCGCACGTCACTCTCGAGACAAATCCCATCAAAACCATCAGCTCGTCAGGAATAGTCGTCGAAGGAGAACACAAGTACCAAGTCGATGTCATCATCTTAGCTACGGGCTTTCGCACTTTGAAATTCATGTACCCGATCAAGATCTTCGGCGAAGGAGGTCGCTCTCTGACCGACATCTGGCAAAACGGCACAAAGGCTTATATGGGAATGACCGTCGAATCACTCCCCAATTTTGCAATGCTGTATGGTCCGAACACGAACCTGGGACACAACTCTGTCATTCTCATGATCGAGGCTCAATCACGGTATATTAATGCCATGATCTCGACCGTCTTGGGATCTGTGCGCGGAGAGAAGATTTGCATTACGGTCAAGGAGCAGAGTTTGATGGGATACAACAAAGAAATCCAGGAGCGGCTGAAGCGAACCACGTTCGCGAATCCGAAATGCCATAGTTGGTATAAGGCTGCGGATGGGACCGTGACTAATAATTGGTGTGGGACTGTGGTTGAGTATCAGGAGCGGACTTCAAAGATTGATTGGGCTAGCTATAATGTTGCGTGTACGGGTGGTAAGATAATTAGTAAAGAGGAAGTGCAGCATATTGGTAGGGTGGTTGAGGAGACGCGCTATGCCCAGTCGGCACTTTATGCGACCTGTGGATTCTTTGGACTATGGTTGTTGGGAACTTGTGCACTCAGAATAATTTAGTCCTACGGAAAATAATTCTCTCATCATGCCTGGGCAGTGACGTATTAGTTGAATTAAAATTTAGCCGTTCGAATTCAGGCTGTAAAAATTAATGAAAAAAAACAAACAATTTAAACTAATATAACTAACTATTAATACAAGTATTTATTTTTAATTAGATTTTAAATAAATTTTTTTAATAATTTAAAAAAAAATTTAAATAAAAAATAAAACGAAAATAAATAATATTCAATTTATCAAGATGTCGTGAGACTGTGAGACTGTGATACGGATATATGAGTTAAGCCATATAAGACCACAAAGCCATATAAGACCACAAAGCCAAAAGACCATCAATATGCGCCCACAGGGTGCATATTGCTTAACTTAAGCTATATCTATGCCATAGTCACATGACCTAGTTGAGCCTCATTCAGCCTCAAGCTGGAGCGCTCAGCCAGTCCATATTTCCACGTCACATGGTGCCCCTCCTTTAAGTGAGACGTCTCGGCGAACCTTATTATGACTAACAGCCTATATAAGATTATATCTGAGCTCCTAAGGCATGATTCGAGTACAAGCTCAAATCATCCTACTGCGCTTTGACGTAATACACTTAAAATAGAGTTTTCAAGGGAGCCTCCCCCTCGGCACACAATAGATTTGACCCCAAAGGAATGAGAGCTGGGCCAGGAAACACCCAAAAACCCCAAGGAATCACCACCTTAGAAGTTCTTGAGAGCCTACTGGATTCTCTCTCCTTTTGAGCTATCCAGGGCTTCTGTTGAGAGCGGACGCTGCTCCTTTAGACCCTCGGATAACCCAGTGGGCGCATATTGATGGTCTTTTGGCTTTGTGGTCTTATATGGCTTAACTCATATATCCGTATCACAGAGACCCTCGGCGACTATGGCCTCAGCTACTAACATTTAACACCATGGTGTGTTAAAGGACTCACAGGCACCAAATTTCCTCTCACTTGCTTTTCTGCCTGCGGGTCGTGATGGTGGACAAGGCTTCCTCGCTATCTGTCGCGGTGTATTTGATGAGTTGGAGTTCGAAAATTCGAACGTTGAATTAGGAAGTTCACGTTCTGGAATGCTGTTGTGAAGGGGGTGGCGGGGATCTGTAGGGCACTGTGACGGCACGTAAGAGATATAGGCACGGATAAGTCGGGTGTGACGTGATTTCCGGATCTCCTAGATATTGCCTTTCTATGAAGGATCTAAAGCTAAGGAGAGAAGAAGAGAAGAGAAATAAGACACGACGCGTCTCATATATATACAGGGGGGCCGTTACGTGTAGCGCTTCCTTAGCTAAGCTTAGGAATGTGACAGCTTAGGACTATAGACTAGACCGGGAGGTGAAGAGAATTATTGATATTGCTGAACCACTTAGAATCTAAGGCAAAGAAGAAACAGAGAGAGAGGGCTGAACTGTCCATAGAGTCTGAAACTCATCGCCTGAGGCACCCAAGGCCCTAGCCCCTGACCTGTTCCGTCACATGTTTACCGGAGCCGTGACAGGTAAGGCGAAGGTGGGGGAGTAAGCAATATAATAAGCAACAGTGAACAGGGACTGGAATAGTATGCCATGGGACTTGTCTCGAATCCTCGGCTGCAACTGCTGTTACTGACTAAAATTAGAAGAAGTTCAAGGATTTCTTCAGGAGCCCATTTTGGATCCTTGTTCTCAAGACGGAGTGAGGTGGCGTATTCTTCCCCGCTCTGGAATATTGCGACGACGAATTTTGCAGTGAATTGGTGACGGGCCTGAAGTATCTTGAAAGTGAATTCGATCCAAAGTAAAGCTTCACCTCCCATATATGATACTGCCAGCCGTGATTCAATCCTTCTCATTCGCGACGCAAGGAAGAAAGACAGGAGAATGAAAGAAATCAAGGACGGAGCAAAAGTCGAGATTTGATATTCCAGAACGCTCAGAGACAAGAAATTTTGGGAAAGAGCTTTTTGCTTTGCAATAAAGGTACCTGTAAAAGTTCCTGGTTGCACGACATTGCTCGAAAGAAAGAAACAACTGAGCTGCTAGATTGAGATAATCACGTATCAAGGCCTCGATTCACAGAATCTATGTTTCCCAAAAGAGTTTCAGGTACAGAGTAGTCATTCTCCAGGACCTGTTATTATTACAGATGAATGGATTCTGGCATTAAGCATTGCTAGAGATAGTAGTCTTGCCTTTCCCTCAACGGGAAACATCACTATAGAATAGATGAGGATAGCTCCTGCTGAGCTGGTTCAGAGATCCGGTAGTACGCACAGTATTGCGGCCAGGAGTGAATGCAAACCACAGATTCCCACGCCGCGGGCGTGCGTCGCATATCACATTCTGCGTGGTGTACTTCGCAGTCCGACGAACCCATTTTTGCAATTGCTGAGGCTACTAGAGAATGGTTTCTCCCTTCCAATCCAAGAAAGAGCCCGACATTTCGGGCACCAACTTCTCGATGATGTTTACCATTCCAGTGCATGATTCTTCGATGTCCACGCGGCCTCGCCAACCTGTGAGCCTTGTCTTGATGAAGCCAGGCTCGAACGCGAGTGTTGTAACTGGAATATTGTCTCGCTGGAAGTCAAGTGCGAGTGTCTTGACTTGCTGGTTGGCAGCAGCTTTGGCCATACGATAGCCGATGACTTCTCCATCATGATCCGGTGCTAAACGCAAAGTCAGTCAACAAACAGGGTAACTGCTCAAAACAAACACGAACCTCCGATACTCCCTGACTTGGATGTGATATAAATCAGCTTCCCCGTCCCATCTTTCGTAATCAAGGGTAGAAAATGTTTAGCAACAAGGAAGGGACCCTGTGTTGTCAGCTAGGATACTACAGGCTCAAGGACACGTACGACCACCATAACCTGAAATCTCTCCATCAAGTCATCCTGTCCATGGATATGCCACTCAAGTGGGCGAACATTGATGCCTGAATTCGATTCAGATATTGAGCGTTTAGGCAATGAAGATAGGTGAGAGTTACCACCACAGTTGACAAGGACATCTAGAGACAGTTTTTTGGTCGTGAGATCAGCTGCCGCCGACTTGACGGTGTCCTCGTCCTTGTAGTCTATCTGAATAATATCGGAATTTGTTTCTTTTAGCTGTAGTGCGTCAGAAAAGATTGATATCGCTCGGATAGAGAAGTCATGAAGGTGAGATGAAATGCTGCCAAACGACTTACATCCGAAATGGAGGGATCACTGGCATTTAAAGTTTCGGGGCGAACAGAGCCAATAGTGTGCCATCCTCGGGCCTTAAAGGTTCGGATCAGCTGAAGCCCAATGCCACGGTTTGCACCTGGCACATTCGAAATCAGCTCAGAGCCTTGAACGAAAAACGCAACAGGTGATGATTTACCAACGACCAACACAGTCTTCATTTCCTTTACAGTCTTGAGTTGTGGTCTATGGGAATATTTCGATAGATTGAGCTCCAAGGAATAAATCCAAACACTTCAATGACTTCTTGTTATCAAAGTTAGAAAGTGAGGCTGTCGTTAGCGAGATTTGGGGCACAGAAGACAATCTCAGCTCAGCCACAGCCACTTTTCGAAAGTGAAATCGCGACTCACGAGTTCTACCTTCTTTATATAACATCGAAGTGAACCGAAACTCATTTTTGACAAGCTGGAACTAATGTCGCTCCGAATCACAATGGCCGGCATCCACAAGTTTCTCTTCATTGTAACTTCAATAGCCCTGTTTTCTCAAACAGTCAACAGGCCCAGGACAAATACTGCACTCAGACTACTCATCTCCCCCAGAATTGGCAAGAATTGTATGTGTTTCGGTGAAGCCACGCATGCATTCATTACGCCAGCTCCATATACGGTGAATATACTACACAATCGAGGCTGACGTGAATCAAATCTTTCCGAGCGCGATGGGGACAAGTTGAGGTGGACTTAGCCAATTAGTATTCATACGGGGTTTTGCCACAAATCACTGGGTGAAAGCGTTGGGTTCATTTTACTTTGTTGACCCGGAATATTTTAGGAGACACATCGATTTCCTCTCGACAGCCGACACTTATTACGATCTTCCTGTGCTGCCATCTGCGACAGATGGCATTCTTCGGCTCCGAATCACAGATATTCTCAAGAGGCAAGCTTCTCTTTCTGATCAAAGTGTCAGATCTACACGTCAGGAAGAATTGCGCGCAGTCAGAAACTATCAGAAGCGGCTCGGACAAAATGGGATATCAGGAGAAACTGTCGTTCGGCGCTTCTCGGTATACGATGGAATCACATTTAGCACGGAACACGACATCTCCCTTACCGTCAAGAAGTCGACGTCGGACAATAAGGGCTGGACGGGTTTGTGCGACCCTTTTCAAGACGAGTCTTAGCTAACGTTCAAAGCGATAATTTGGTCAGATGTCGGCGAACCTCTGAATCGCTGTCCAGAAGGACCATGGCTGAATCAGCATCATTCTTACCATCACTCTTATGAACTGGCGTCTTGTACTCCGACAACAGTTCATCGGTCATACGTAGCCCTTAGTCGCCGCGAAGTCTCGTCCCAACCAGACAGACAGATAGAGAATTTGTTCCAATCAGCGAGTCTTCTCCCAGAGCACTACGGCTCGACGCTAGATTTGGAGGCAATGAGAGTAGATGCCTTCTATGCTCTGTCGCAGCTATTCATATTTGTAGCGACTTCAGAGAAACAGTTCCTGAACTCTATGGAATTTCGGGTCAACAATGAGATTTACTCCACAAAAAATGGAACAGACTTCTCAATTGCTAACTTCAAACATTCGAGAGAGCTTTTGGACTCCCATTCTCAGATTCTTGAAGAGACATTGAGATTCCTTAAAAAGAGAGATTCGTCGAAATGGCCGACGGCTCCATCTGGTCACGAAAAATTCGAATTAATCAACTCGAAGCACCGAAGATTTCGAAACTCTCTTATCCCGTGCTCAAAAATTGTCGAAGCAGTGCCTCGAAGGAGTGAGTCTTATCACAAATGATGTTATGCTTCAAGAGTCACGGAAGGCTATGGATCAGGGAGAACAGATGAAAGCACTCACTTTGTTAGTTTTCTTCTACCTCCCTATAACACTCGCAACCAGCTTTTTTGGAATGAATTTCAAGCAATTTGGTCAAGGAGACTTGAGTATTTGGATTGGGATCCTTGTCAGTGGGCTATTGTTGTTTCTGCAGTATTTGGCATATATTTTGAAGGGGCCAATCATCAACAAGTGGCAGGCGTGGAAGAACTCTCGCACATAGGCTACATTCATGTATCCCCATCATTCCTTTTGTATGGAAGACCCAAATTAGACTTTTGAATACACTCGCAGATTGCTATCCTTTCTACCATTTCCTACTTGCTCTCAGGCCTATTCAAAGCTGTCTCAAGTTCTGATCTTTAGAAAAGCCAGGGCCGCCAAAGCCATTGCATCAATCCCAGTTCTGATGGTTGGCTCCACGACAGGTGCAAAGTAGGCCGAATGATTGCCGGGAAGATCCCCAATGGTGCCACTTCTCTCTGCGTCATCCCATATGGCTGGGTCTACACCTCCAATATTCCAGTAAGCGCTGGGAATGCTTTGGGCTTCTGCAAAGATGGAGAAATCATCACTTCCTGTATCTCTCACCATTTCCGAGACAAGTCCTACAAAATGGGACCCGAAGGCACCTTGAAGAGTTTTTACGACCTCGCTGTCGTTGATGATTGGAGGGATGTCGTCAGTCTGAACAATCTCTGGTTCCTTTGGTAGCCCGAAAGCATCGCTCTCACCATGAATGACACGCTTGACAGCTTGAACAACCTTTTTGCGAACGTCCGAGTTGTATGTTCTCACATCGATCTTCATATCAACCACATCCGGAATGATATTGATTGCCGTGGCTGTCCGAAGGTAGACACAGGTCACGACAGCGTACTCAGCTGGGTCCACTTCTCGGGAGACAATACCCTGGAGACGGACCACAGTGGAGCATGCAGCGAGAACCGGGTCGATACAACGATGTGGAGCAGAGCCATGACCTCCTCTTCCGAACAGACGGACATCAAAGCAATCGCAAGCAGAATAGGGCCGCGCCTGAACGGATCTGGACAGTTCCTGCTTTAGTCTTGACCACGTGTTGTCCAAGAAGAACATCGGGCTTCGGAATCTTGTTGAACAGTCCATCTTCCACCATCTTTCTAGCTCCGGCACCATCTTCCTCCCCTGGTTGAAACAGACAGATTAGAGTGCCCGACCAAGTGCTCCTGGCGGAGTGTAGAAGCTCTGCCGCACCCATGAGGCAGGAGACGTGAACATCATGTCCACAAGCGTGCATGAGTGGTGTTTCCCTGTCGTAACGATCGACCATCCGTTTAGAACTGGCGTATGGGAGTTTAGTCAGTTCCTCAACGGGAAGTGCGTCCATGTCTGCTCTCAACATGACTGTTGGGCCATGTCCATTCTTAAGGACACCAACAAGGCCGTGACCACCAAGGCGATCAAAGACTTTATCAAATCCAAGATGCTTGAGGTGGTTACTTGCTAGTGCTGCCGTCTCAATCTCTAGCATGGATAGCTCTGGGTTCTGATGGATGTGACGATAAGTATCCTCGTATTTTACAAGGTTTGGCCGAAACTTGTCGACAATGGCATGAATCTCAGACATGATTCAATCCAACGCACGAGAGAAACTAGCAAAAAGATTAACCAGTGCTTTTCAAATTGATACAAAGTGGGAGAAAATACTATGAACGAACTTCCTGGTTAGCAGAAGGGGAAAGGATGGCTAAGAGCGATGACAGTTAGGTTGCTCTTGATACTTCCAAGGCCAGCTATGATATTGGTCTGGTGAAGACAAGTTTTGGAACTAAGCTATTGATGGCATTTTATCCTTGGCCTTTGACGATGATGAGCAAGTGTTTGCCACCCCTAAGGTATACTGACTCACAGTAAATATTACGGCGCATGCGAAGCCGGATTCGAAAATGATGTTGAGTAGCCACGGAGACGTGTTCAACCCTCCATTGATTCACTATTGGTGCAAGAAGTACGACAAGAGAGTCACGATACGCCCTGTTGAAGTGACTGAAATTGTCTGACCCGGAAGTCCATCGACAAGCTATCTGTGCCCTCTTCCGCGTGGGTGCCGGGATAAGTGGCTTGCTCGAAAGCCCAGCATTCCATAAGAAGCCTGGGTTTGGTTTCAAATCCCCGCTCATGCGGCTGCGAGTTGCACTTGGAGTGGTTGCACAAGTTTCTATACTGGCCAAGTGCAAGGAGATCGTTGCAGGGTGTAGACTTGGAACGCTCTGGTTGTCATTCATGTACTTGATTCATTGTCTCATTGCTTCTCAATGAAAGTCTTTCTTGACCTTAATCGCACGTAACTCACACACTTTCCCAATCAATCTGGGACATGTTCGATTTCCTTCAGCTATCTGCATATTCACTCTCTCGGGTCTCTTCCTGTGCACGCAAAGTTCACTGACGAAACCTACGAGATCACAATCATACGCACCTCCAAAGATTCTCGGGGCATATCGCCTAATCTTACTTGCGGTCCGTTGAGAGCAGTGTGTGGAACACTCGCTGTAATAGCCTTATTTATCGGTGAACAAGCGATGAAGGTGAATTGACCTACTGGTTTCGCAGGGTACATCACACTCTTCCCATTGTACAAAGAGCCAGACGTCATCAGGTGTCTGCTCCGACATGAAGTACCATTTATGATATGGTCTATGATAGATGCAAGTCTCTACTTCCAGATTGTTGGGAAGAACTTTGTCAACCTCGATGACGTCTTCTGGAAGAACGGAGCGTCGGTCGCACATCGCAAGAGGAGCATTTTCGACTTTCCTCAGTGGTCGCCACGCGCTTCATTCTGTCAGGCAATTTCTGCAATTCTAGTCTATCTGGAAGTCTTACTTGATCAATCTCATTCTTGCGCCCTGCTTTTTGTACGACTCGAGCTCAGGTTCCGTGAGGTGCAAGAAGAGCCTATCCAATCCGCCCTGGTAAGAATAGTCTTGCAGCGTCGTCAATGATCAGCCCCAGTTTTGAAAATCAAGTGAGAATGCTTTATCCTTACCACTGTGAACATATCCGATTGGAGCGTAAATCACGTATCGCGTGTTCTTAATGTCCTCCTCTAAGTTTCTATCGTCGTAAGTTGTTCCACCCTTCCTGTACTATGGTTAAGTGGTGAGTGGAGTGTATATGTGGATTATCTGATGGTCGTGACATACTCGCCAGTCATACACGTAAACGGAAGAGGCTCCCAACGCCTCCTTTGTCATGGCCAATTTTTAAGTCTTCTACAACCTTATCCCAAATTGCCAGTGTGGCTCTCGTGAATGGTAACAGGACTAAGTAGTGATGACGCCCAGGCGTTATTTGCCATGCCATCTCTTCTCAGAAGTACTTTCGTGGTCGTTGTCGCTCTTTTCTGCGTGATTTGGACTTCGTCCTTTGTTCGTCACTTGGACTCCATCAGCCCCGATCAGATGTGGAGAACCCCACCCCACCAATCCCTTGAGCCTGCACGGCTCTCAAGGATCCTTTCAAGTTCACTCGGAGAAGGCGAAGACTACATTGCCAAGTAAAAACTCTCCTCAGACTTCGAGATTCTTTACACGGCTGACACCCTCCCTTTGTAGCGTGATCTGTGTTACGGAGCTCCGTCCACCGTCTAAACAGCAACCATGCAACTGGTTCAACGAGTACATATCGAAGCCACACTCGAAGAAAATCCAAATCCTCGAATTCAAATATCAATGGGCACCTTCCAAATTGCCAGTTTGGCCAAGTCTGATACAAAGAAGCGCAGACTTGCTCGATGCCCTCCGGAAGGATGAGGGAAATTTGGGAGTGAGTGGATTAGGCGCACACTGCAGGATAACTCGCTGATTGTAGACCGGTAATCGTCCCCTTGTTTTCATCGGACACGGACTGGGTGGACTGGTGGTGAAGAAGGTATGCACACTGCGTTTCCATTTGGTTTCCCACGGAGGCGACAGCATGTCTGTGGCTGATGATCTTTTCTTCAAGGCTACAACCACTCTCTTTGAAAGATATTGGGACGCCGGCTACAAAGATTTGCGAAAGAATCTCTCGGGTATCGTCTTGTTCGGAACGCCTCATAGCACAGAACGGCATCAAGAGAGGTGGAGCTCTCTAACCTTCCTACTTCGATCCTGTTTCGAACTCAGTGGCCAGACTCTCAATCAAGCTGAGCTAGAAAGGGCGACTGTAGTGAAGCTCTCAGAAAAATTCGAGGAATTTGTTCAAAACACTCCAGTCATATTTGTCTACGAGACGAAGACTACCAAAACGACTAAGAGTTATTTTGGTTCTAAAAAGCGCCTGGTAAGATCTTACATTATCTCGCATGCAACAACAGCAGAGGCTAAATGAGCCTTAGCTTGTCGGGAAGGAGTTGTCGCAAACGTCCGTAAATCAAGAATTATTGATCGAATCCAAAAATGACCATGACAGCGTTTGCACTCTGTCACCTGGCAGTATGGTGCTAGACAGGTTTTCCTCGCTGATTGACGACATCATGAACATGCAGAACGACCGCCAATCCACTAGCGAAGAAGACTGTGAGAGATAACCTGTCGATGCATGCTAAACTTTATTGTGGAATATTGCTGACTTTACTTGTCCTGTAGCCTTTATTAAACCAGTATCTATGTCATGGCCATCGAGCGATCTTGGTGACTCTGCGTCTCAAGCAGACCAAGAACGCAGTATATCGTCAGAAAACCAGATTGCGGACGGAATTGCCACTGTGGCTCTCTCCGGGAGAATTTCTCGTCCTAAACTTCCCTGTCATATCTTGAAGACAAAGCCAGCTTCTATCTTCGTTGGTCGAGATGAGATTATCGATATCTTGGATAAGCAGCTTCTGCCAAGAACGTCAGAGGAGCATAAGACCGGCCTTCAAAGCTACGCTCTTTCCGGGATAGGAGGACTTGGAAAGTCCGAGATTGCCATGCAATTTATCGCCAAACGCCGGAAGTCATTCGACGCAACCTTTTCATACCAGCTGAAAGTGCTGTCAAGATATATGATGCCTTCTCGGAAATTGCGGTTGAACTTCAGCTGCTTTCCTCCGAGGAAGCAAAGGATCGCTTAGCCAGCAAGTCTGCAGTTCTCAGATGGCTCTCTAAGCCGTACAAAACCGCCCCTGAGACTACCGAGGACGATACCGAGTCGGCCGGAGACTTTGCGAACTGGCTCATGGTCTTTGACAACGTGGAGAGCGCAACGATTCTAAAGGAGTACACGCCACTGCAAGGGCATGGTTCTGTACTCTACACGAGCAGAGATCCGTTTGCAAAACACTATCTATCGCCCAATTCGGGCTTGGATGTTTCGCCTCTTCCTGATTCAGCCACTGCCGACTTGCTTCAGAGTCTGACCTACAAGAGCGACTCGAAACAAGACTACGATGAAGCTGTCAGTTGGAATGTCAGTTGCAGTAGGAATGTCAGTTGGAATTCGGTTGTCTCCACTTTTATTCTGGTTTAGGACTAGTTCAAGGGCTACTCTGATGCCTATATATATGCGTATTCCTGCACTCTCACTTAGATTCTTCAGACTTATCAATACTACTCTTTTCTGCCCACATTGTCCCTATGACATACGCACTATTCATCTGATAGAAGCTCTGCTTCTTGCACAGCGCTTGGACTGTCTCCCTATCGCGATTCTCCACGCAGCAGGTGTCATCGAAAAGAGAGACTCTACATTTGAGAAGTACCTCAAGCGATACTAAAAAGATATCAGCATTCGAGGAGATGCTATATTGTCCATGAGTCAGGGTTCTTATGCCCAAACGCTTACTACGGTGTGGGCTTGGAGAGTTTGGCACCCGAGGCATCCGCGTTGCTAAAGTGCTTGCCCTTCTTGACAATGATCCAATTAACGAAAGTCTTTTGCGACATGGGATAGGGCATCAAAATATGGATGTATATCCTTCAGTTGACGATTACGATGAAGTGAGACCAGTATTGAGCCAAGCCTCACTGATACGTCGCAACAAACAACTCAAGACTCTGTCAATACACCATGTTGTCCAAGATGTAGCGCGCCAAGTCATGGGAATAGAAGATCTGCAAGATGCTTTCGAAGTCGCAGTCGCCTTGGTGAATGCTTACTGGAAAGAAGAACGCTTTTGGGCATTTGGTCACCGACTCTCGGATTGGCAGGTAGCTGACTTTGTCGTGTTCCATGTAGTGAAGCTTGCAAAACACTGCCGCACACACAGCCCCACACTCAAACTTGCCTCGCTAGACACATTCATGTCATTGGTAACGCGGGCTAGCATGTAAGAGCCTCAAATTGTGACGGCAAAATTCATTCTATTGACAAACTTTCTCCAAACACCTCAAGGAGCGAGGAGACTGGGACGAATCTCTATCGCTGGCCGAGCTAGTTCTTGCTACCCTGGAATATCGCAAAATCGACATGGGTGAACAGTATGCTGACATATTGATGTCGCTGTCAAGCAATTATCACTGCCTTGGTGACGCAGCCCAGGGGCTCAAGTATGCTCGAGCTCATTTCAAGCAGCGAATTCACGTCGAGGACTCTAAACCACTTGCAGAGAGAGATGATGCATTCCGAGCTATGGCTTACACAGAGCTTGCCCTTGGATGGCTCCTGAACAACAACTACAACGAGGCCAAAGCTTTTGCAATTAAAGGGAGACAGATGCTTGAGGGAACCGCAGAGTTTATCGAAGATCTTTATTGGCCACACTGGGTGGACTACCATCACGCGTGGGCCCTCATAGGACTGGAAAGGGCAGAAGAGGCACGTCCCATCTTGACGGAGATGCTGAAATGGCGCTAACGACATTATGGTGACGATGACATGGAATCTATGAAGTTCGTTGAACACTTCCAAATTATTTCCCTCAAGCCCCTCATTTAGAAGCTCTGCAAACAGCCAACGGTACATGACACAGGACGGCATACGCGTTTCAAATCCTAGGAGTTGTCAACGAAAAGGCTGGAAGATTTGATGAAGCTATCGAGATCTGGGAACGCGCTTTAGTCCTCTACTGCCGTATCGAGGGTGACAGCTCTTTCCGGACGAACCAGGTCCGTGTCAAGCTCGGAGAATATTATGGTCGCCTTGGAAGACTAGAAACAGCGATGTAAGTCGATCGGACTCAGGTTGTTACTACTTTCTGTGAACGGTGCTTATGTCAATCGTGGACAGACAAATGTTCGACACTGCTCTGAAATACTTTGTTGGAGACAAGTATTACAAAGCAGAACGAGCCCGAACATTCTTGAAAAAGGGCCAATCCCTGGTGTTGATGGACGACACAGTGAATGCTTCGGCAGCCAGGCGAGAAGCAGAACGATTGTTCGACGAAATTCGTCCACACCACTCCGGAGACCGCTCCAAAGCGCTTGAGTTGACAGATTTTGATGATATTGTGATGATCATGTCACGATAAGAATGTTCTCTTCATCGGGCGACTTGTTCAAGCTTTGCTGATCTGTGATTCTGCACTCCAGAGCGAAGCATATAGTTAAGATTTCTTTTCTGCCCGTTATTGTTTCCTGAAAATTCTGATTAGTTGGTACTTCGATGTGCTGAGCTTCCTCTCGTCTGACTAGCTACTCGCGGTTGGGCAGCGGCAGGGAAGAAGGACGGAATGGGAGGAGAGAGTAATGCACTTGCAGTTGATACTATCATGCTTGACATTGGCCATATTGGAGACCAATTCAACCGCGTTTGTGCTCTACAGGGTTTGCGTTCCCATTCATTGGTGTTGGTTAGGGCTCTGCCGGCGTGTATTCCATGAATGCACGACTTTCTCTGCTCTGACTTTGCTCCTCTGAAGTTTGCAGTGATGCGACAACCGTACAACCTCCTTTACTTAGGAGAAGGCAGATTAAGCGAGGCTTAGCGAGATGAAAAAAGGGGCATGAAGGGAAAATTTTAGGGCAGCACCACGGAGGCGAAGAGGGGTGCCACATAGAAGATTCATTATCGATTCGTATTATCATCCGCAAGATTTTTCATTGATCTCGACGTTTTGATTTCATTCCTGTGCAGAGCATTCCGTTCCATATCAAATCTCAACAGTTTTGTCTCCTTCAGGAACAGGAATTGGAGCCGTAGTCGACTTCGCTTCAACATCTGGCACAGCCTTTTCATCATGCTCAGCAACTGCTAAGACAGTACCCTTATGAAGATCATCTGGTAAGGTACCAAGCGCACGTTCACCGAATAATAAATCGATGTCTTCGAGTGTCATCTGTTTCGTCTCCTTGAAGAAGAAATATACGATTGGGAGTGTCACGACCAGATCCCATGCTACATTTAGATCAGTAAATAAGTGCTAGAGGGAGCGAGTAACGTACCAACGAACAAGAAATAGAACTTCCAAGTCAGACTTTTTAGTGCTGTGGGAGAAACTTGAGCCCAGAAAGTGGACACAAGCCAATTTCCGATACCTGTGGCGAAGGCATTTCCTCGAGCTCGAATCTGCATAGGCATGACTTCGGACATATATACCCATGAGATTGGGCCCCATGATACTATGTTCACTGTCAGCAAACGATTCTCCCTTCACAGAACCGACATTGAGGCAGATAACTTACATGAAAAGATGACCGTCACACAGAACAAGAAGACGACACCAGCATATGAGAGTCCAGTCTGAGCCGCATCGGGATTGATATGACTATTGATTGCGGCCTCGCATATCAAGGCGATCATAATGCCAATCGTTCCCCATATGAGCGGCTTGCGTCTTCCGACTCGGTCAATGAGGAATACGATGAAGATCAAATCTAAAGAACTGTCAACAATATTTTGATGGTCTTGTGATGACAAACATACTTGCAAAAGGGCCAATGCAATTGTAGATTCCTGCGACAAGGAGCTTCCGATTCCCCCTGATGCCTAAAGTTTCATACATGCTGGTTTGGTAGTAGCCGATGACATCTGATCTCTATTAGCATGAGTCTGGAGGGTATCTGCAACATACTTATTCCTGTAAACTGAGTGAATACCTGGACTCCTACGCCGTGCATCAACCGGGTTCGCCATTGAGGTACTGTAAACATAATCCCCCACCCTGGAACAGTGATTGCTTTTTCAGCAGCGATCGTGGTCTTGATCTCGTGGAACTCGCTTTGGATAAGCTCATCGTTATGACCATTATAATGTAGTTTGCGAAGAACCTTCATAGCTTCTTCTTCTCGATCCGTCTCCATCAAATGGCGAGGTGATTCGGGGAAGAACATGATACCGGTAGCTAGGATCACGCAGGGGAGGCACTGGAAAGCGAGAGGAAGACGCCATTGAATACTGCTTGAATTGGAAGCGGTGCCTGAGCCATAGCCGACCCATGTTGAACTGAGATATTATCAATGTCCGGCCTATGTTTGAGTCGTCATGATGAACTTACACGATGAATCCGATACCGATCATTTGCTGCGAGAGACCAACAATAAAACCTCGAATCTTCCATAATTAGTTAGCATGCATTTTAGTATGGTAATTTGACATCTAGGGACTCAGAATCACGCCCCACCACTGCTGAGATATCTCCCAAGCTCCCAGAGAAGGACACCAGAATTAAGTCTTCAACGCACCTTGGGATCCGCACATTCAGAATTATAAACAGGGACAGCCATGGAAAGCAACCCAACAGCCCATCCAGTGAAGATACGACCCACAAGAATCATGGCAAGATTTCGCGCAGTGCACTGAAGGAGAGCGCCGACCAGACAAATCAGGGCGCCCATGAGGATCGTAATTTTCCTTCCATATCGATCCATGGTGAGACCTCCTTGGAGAGCACCAAATACCGCGCCTCCATTAAACGTAGAATTGATAGCTCCGATTATGGGAGAGTCCGATGTCGTGTGGAAGAAGTTGAGGAAGTTTTCCGATGCAATGACATCTGTCATAACACCTGCATCGTAACCAAACAGGAATGATCTAGAAATTCATATCAGCGAAGGACGTCTTCATGGTACAATCTACTCACCCCGTGGAGGCAAATACTGCCAACGAAATGTTGAAGATCTTGCCCATGATGTTAGATCTAGCTTCAAAGCAAGCCGTTCAAATTTCTGAAAAGCTCGAAAGCAAACACAGCAGACAACGTTGGGGAACCAATTTACCCGGCTCTATATATCAAAGCAAACTGCATCCAGAAACATGAGCTCCTTAACTGCAAGTCCTGGGGTCCTGCACACCAGACCCAGTTTGACCCCAGTCCCCAGATATCGGGCCGGGGTGTAGCAACAGCTGATCGCTACCCAAGTTGAGATTTTCCCCGCTTTGTTGAAGCTCGAATGTTCCGTGGCTACAACAACAACAGCACTCGCCATTTGTAGAAGTCCTTCCGGCAATTCTGAAGCTGCTACTGGGTTACTGAAGCTTGGACAAGGAAAGGCTTGCCGGCAACCGCGCACACGTGACAGAGGAGTATCGATCATATCTTGTTTGAATGAGCTGTTGGACGACTTGTCCGTCAAAAGATACATCATGAGAAAACGTCACTGTGCGACTTTCGATCTTGACAAATTTGAGCGTTTTGGCAGAAAATGGGTTCATCAAAGCGTCAACTTTGCTGCTGAAAATCTGTGATTTTCTCATCTGATCTTGTTGTAACGCGTTCAAGACCCACTCCGAGATTGGACCCAAGAACTTTGTTTTCGTTGTATTTGGCGCTCCAATAGAAAGTAGCTTGGCGTTACCGTGCAGCATATCATGACAATTGAGCCAAGCGGTATGGAAACATTTTTTTGAAAGAAGATCGCGCTAATACTAATCAGTGGCTAATATTATCAGGAAAGCCATGATATATACTCGAGTACGATGTTTCGAGCAGTCTTTTGCTTGTCATGGCCTTGAACCATCCAAGGGTTCAAGATCTGCAATGCAAGAAACCTTGAAAAGAAGACGTCGGTCTGGGGAAGAAACATATCCCGAGGCTAGACCATTTAGGGTTTCTCGGAGGAACGTCCCGATGAACCGTTGAAAAGTGGGCAATTAACATAGGACTTTCACTGAGTATTTGATGCTTGAAAGTGTTTGCCCTCGAATGATCTCTCTGTGGCGCACTGAAATCCAAAATATTTCATACTTTGAATGTCCCCGTTCCTATTGGATGCTATCTACCTCAAACAAGATTCTACAAATTACTATACAGCACCTTATCCTATTCCTGTCCAGAAGCAAAGAAGAATCCCCAAAACAACAGAAAGAGAGGCATTATCATCATCAATCATCATTCCTCCTCCAGATTGGTACAGTGAATCCCAGATCTGCTGTTCACCCGCTTTAATGATACCGTGCCTCTTCTATGTTGCTTCTTCTCTGTGCATTCGAATCAGACAGACTTTTGTACGACTCCTGAAATGATTTGTACTCGATGCTTATGTGCGCCTGCAATGCAGAAAACCAATGGTTCAAACCGCTGGCCAACGATTTCTAAGTCCATCCGCCCAGCGACCATAGAGCACATCTGCAAGCTGCTTGGTATGTTCCATACCAGTGACTGCTTGTCCAGGTAGATTGGATAACCTCTCCTTCTCGGCCTCTGGCAGCATGCTTGATTGCCTGCGGCGGTGTGATTTGAGGTGAGGATTGTTCTGGGCCAACACCAACTTTGTTGGTGATTTTTGTGGCGATGCTTGTGGAGTTCCGTCCCTGGACGATGCCTTGGCTGGGGACAAAAGAGCAGACAGCTTCGAATCACCCTGTACCTTCTCAATCATTGCCTTGATGAGCTGGTATTCTCCCTCAGGATCAATCGCATCGAGCGCACTCCATGCATCAGCAAGGCGGGACAATGCTTCCCGTTTGGCCTGGTTGCCGGTCTGCGCATGGATTTCCTGAAAAGCTGGATCGACAACTTTGTTGAACACTCGCCTACCCAGCACGGCTTCTTTCGATACCGTCTCGCTCATTGGCGGTCTATTCTCATCACGAGTAATCGAAGTGCTCGAGACATCTGAGTCGACTTGTGCCAATGTAGAGTTGTCTGAAACTCTACGGAACAGGCGAACGGTAGATCCAGTATTGCCAAAAGTCAAGTCAGGCTGAAGAGGCTTTTTCTGAACACTTGGTTGTCGGGTCTTGGTAGGTGAAGCAAGTTCCATGATCGATGGCTGTTTTCGCATCGTGCTTTTCTTAACCGTCAAAGGAGGGGAAGAGGAATATTCCAGCGGCGAATCCTTCAAATCAAGTCGCTTCATAGCTTCTTCAGGACCAGCATGAACATCTTGGCCATTGGCGTGTATGACAGATAGCTTCCGCCTTTTGGTGGTACTCTTCCGAGGAGCTATTGTAGCTGCTTTGACAGTATCGAAGACCCAACCATCCGGCTCAGTCTTGGGAGATAATGTGTCGCTGACAACGTTAGTACCATACATCGAGCACATTGGATCAAACTTACAGGGTCTCTTCATAGAATCGCGGATGTGAAGGTCGGGTCCGTCCACCTTCCCACTCTTGCTTCCTTTCAATCAATTCCTGTAATGCCTCGACTTTCCCAGCCGATCGAACGAATCTGTGCTTTAAGAGCTCTTTGGCGGATGCACGTCTATCACTATCTTTGATAAGACATTGGGCAATGAAATCTTTGAAATCCTTGCTGAACTTGGAACCTTCCAATCTGGGAGCCGGCTGCTTGGGGATGTGGAATAAGACTTTCATAGGATGAATGGCTGCATTTGGGGGCTCGCCATTAGCAAGCTCCATTGCTGTGATACCGAGAGACCAGATATCCGCCTTGTAATCGTAGCCCTCCTGCTGTATAACTTCCGGAGCCATCCAGAAAGGCGTACCAACAAACGTATTGCGTTGCGACTTGATGTTGGTGAGTTGCGCAGCAACTCCGAAATCTGCCAGCTTGACTTTGCCGGTGCTGGAGAGCAAGACATTGGCAGCCTTGACGTCTCTATGTATCTTTCCTTCCTGATGTAGATATTCGAGGCCGAGGAGGAGTTCGCGGCATATGATTGCAATATGTGCTTCGTTGAAGACTCCGGGTTTCAGCTGTAGCTTGTCAGTGTTTGCTCCATTGAACCAGAGACGATGTTCATACCAGATCCAGACATGAACCACCACCAAGATACTCCATAACAATCCATAGCTTGTGCCCACGAAGGAAGCTTGCTTTATACTGAGTGACGAACGGACTTGCACATGTGCTCAGTACGGAGATCTCCTGCTGGATCTCGAGGATGTCGTCTTCGCTGGATTCCAGGTCAATCTGCAAGGAGTCAGTATGGTCCATGGTCAATTGAAGTGCGGTACTGACATGCTTGATCGCAACAACCTCTCCTGTAGCTCTATCAATTGCTTTGTACACAGTCCCAAAGCTGCCACTGCCCAACTCTTCTAATACTGAGTACTGGTTTGCCATCGCTCCTTCTGAAGCCATCTTGCCTGTATAGCAAAGCAAGAACGATGCGGTCTTGATATGCAATGAGCAGTCTTGACAAGAAGGAGCAATTGATCAATGTAGGAAAGATCTTGGGGAGGAAACGAAGGTAGGCGGATGCAATTGCGCCTTTAGAAGCGTTGTCAAGTAAACAACCAAAACGCAGGGGCCATGTGTGGAGGTTACACTTCGGGAAAAGCAAACCCAGAGTTTGAAAAGTGCAGATAATGGGATGAACAGAATATGGGATGAGTCGCATTCGAATACGGATTTTTGTTGTAGTTTGTGAATTCTTGTAATGCTCTCAGACGTTGAAAGATAGTGATCAAGCTGCAGGTCGAATGTGCAGCGACCAAGGGTACTTTTGGGGTACAGGCGCTGTAAGTGGACTAGCTTCTGCAGGGATGTTGTTCTCTGTAGCAACCACCGTGGAGACCCACCAAAACCCGTCGCTTCTTCTGCTAAGTACGCACGGTCCATCTTGCCTTTGTTGACATTCGACATCTTGACGTTGAGCCGGTATTCGAAGAATATCCTCATCTCTTATTGCCAACAAATCTGTTTACAAATTTAAGAAGAAGACCATTATTCTACAGTGCGCCCTTTTGCGACGCGTCAATGTTACGGTGGTGAAGGACCACGAGGCGCTGGTTGAGCGTTGCCATTCGTTATATCCACGAAATACAATTACTATGACTGAGCCTCAGTGTCTACCAAATCGATTCCCTTGTTGGGTGAGGGCGACGTACAGTTGGGGAGGAGAGGTAACAGGTTCAAATTTGGCGTCCGGATCCAATGCTAACAGCATCGCAGACCAAACGCGATCTTGGTTTCGTTGAGGGAGATCTTATAGAATGTCTAAATGCTGGTGATGGATCATGGTGGATGGGAAGGCTATGGAGAGACAAGAGGATGATGGGTCTATTTCCTTCGAATTTTGTCATGGTTCTCGACGACAACTTTCGACCAGCCAGCAGAGCGTCCAGCCCTATGCCACAACGCTCTCCAAGCACGAGTCCATTCAATAACCCCCAAGCGCCCCAGAAGACCAAGACGAAAGCCTTTCGAAAACCTTTCACGGCATATGCAGCACCAGATGCTGGGCTTGAGAAGCGTACACAAATCCAAAAACAAGAGAGCTTGTCTCGAGGGCCCTCCCCCGCTCCTAGAGGCGGGGTTCACAGCAATATCCAACGAGTACCATCACCACAATTCCATGGCTATGGATCTCGAGCTCCCTCTCCTGCACCTCCAATGCATCACGGATATGGATCTCGCGCACCATCGCCAGCTCCTCCTATGCATCATGGCTACGGTTCCAGAGCACCCTCTCTTGCTCCATCTTTCCAATACCATAACCAACCACGAGCTGCGTCTCCCAGCCCACAATTTGACATAGGCTCCTCTCCACCACCTCCACCCCCGCCACATCGAACTACATATACTCCACACGGAGCGAACAGTTCCTACAACCAACATCCCAGTGGGTACCATACTCCTCGTGCAGCTTCTCCATGTCCACCATCTCCAGCGGGCGGTATGACTCCGTCGCCGCTCAGAGATGCTATGGACGATGTTATGTCCTCCTTAGCAGGTATGGGAATGTCGAGAGACAAGAAATCACCGTCGCCTCCGTTGAATCCTTGGTCACCGGAAGCTTTTGATCAGACATACATCCAGGCCAAACGTCGAGGTCCCGTACGCCCCAATACGGCAATTGGGATTGCACATCAGGATGATTTTGATGGCGATGAAGAGGAGGAGTCACCATACAAGGGGAGCTCGAATTCCCGATATGGTGACCAGCCTCCACAACTGAGCAATTATGTCAGGAGAATGGAATATCGACTAAACATGATGCACAATGGCAAACCAATACCCATGCCTCCACCAGATGACAATGATGATGTTGGGCCTGCTGTTCCATCCAAGGGCGCATACGCTCGACCACAATCCTCTATGGCTGGCTCTTCACCGGCAGACCCGAAATTAAGGCACCGGAAATCTGCTTTTGAAGTAGGACGTTCCATGCTTGGGAGAACATTCACAACCAAAACCAACTCCACCACATCTTCTTCTGGCAACAAGAGTACGACTACCAACGGCAGCACGAGTACAACCGCAACAGACCGAAGTCTCATGAGTGGCGCCTCAGCAAGTGGCATGTCGTATACAAGTGCGGGGAGTTTGGCTAGGAAGAAGGAGGCCTTGAATGGTCGAGCTCAGAGTGCCATGGGCTCACGGAGAGACCCATTCATGGAGCTTAATGGCAGTCAAGCAGATTTCGGAGGCAGTGTAGCTGGGATATCATATCACAGCAGTCATGCATCTGGGCAATCCCGAACCCAATCTCAGGCTGGATTTCGCGATGAGTCGGGCAGCATGCTTGGTGGTCTTGTTGCTCCGAAAGCCAAGAAGAGTGGATTCTTCAAGAAGATTATCGAGACAGCGAAGACTGGAGCGGCAAGCGCTAGGAGCACAATTGCTTCAGGAGAATCGCCAAGACCAGGCACCTCCTCCCACATGTCAAATGGGATCACTGGTATTGGCGGTGGTGGCTTCAGTAATACTACTCCTAGCAATGCGGCAAGTGATATGGGTCTCGGTGGGAGTGGGAACGGGAACGGAAACGACTGGGTTCAAGTTCGACGAGACGTCAATCGATCCAATTCCTTAAGTCGCATTGAGCTTGTTGAGAGAAAGGAGAGGTGTATGATGATGGACCACCCTGCAATCAGCCCTGTCGAGGAACTCTATGAGATATGTGATGGCGATGAAGGAGCGAATGGGCACCCGGTGACGGAGCCTACAAACTTCCAGGCTGTAAATCTCAGCCTCGTGGACAAGAACGCAAGATTCATCAACAGCTTGCCGCCTATGACGAATCCTGTCAGCTTGGCTACAGGCTTCGTCTGCAGACCATATCGAAGTGACGTTCAGAGACTCAGAGCAATATTCACATGGGTCAGCGAGAAGGTCACTTGGGAGGAGGATTTCGAAGCAGAGATCGATCCGAGACGAGTCATACAAACTAAGCGAGGTTGTGCCGAAGAAGTTGCTATACTTGTCGCCGAGATGTGTGTCTCTGTTGGTGTTCACTGCGAAATCATCCGAGGATATCTCAAGACTCCGGGTGAGGTTCCAGAGCTCTCGATCATGCCCCGTTCCAACCATTGGTGGAACGCCGTTGTCGTTGATGGGGAATGGAGGATCATGGATTGTTCACTTGCTTCTCCATCTCATCCTCGTCGAGGATTGTACTCCAGTGCTAGCTCACAATGTGCAGAAAGTTGGTACTTTCTGGCGCGGCCGGTTGAGATTTGTTGGACACATATCCCAGAAAAGCATCAACATCAGCACATTTGTCCACCAATCGCTCACGAAATTCTACTCGCTTTGCCATGTGCCTGTCCTCCGTTCTTCAAGAACTATCTTGAAATGGTTGACTACGACACGAGTCTGATTCGGATTGAGGACTTGGAGCTGGTTCAGATCAAATTCACGGTCCCGGCCGAGGTGGAATGCGCTGCCGAAGTTGAAGCAAAAGCTTTTGAGCGAGATGCTGATGGCGATTTCTTCGAGAGTGGAGAGGTGGTGAAGAAGCGTGCTTTGTCACAAGTCGAGTGGATTGGCGGTCAAAAGAGATACACGGTCAAGGCTCTGCTGCCTGGTGACGAAGGGCAAGGTATTCTCAAGATCTATGCAGGGCCACGAGGGTTGATGCAATCTATCAGGGATATCCCACATCCTCTCGCCTTTGCGTTACCTATCATTCATACTGGAGATAACCCACCCTACGAATTCTTAACACGGCATCCAACACCTCATGCTCAGCGGCACGATATCTATGTTGCACAACCACAGTGCCAACGGCTTGCTTGGAACAATACCTTTGTCTTCGTATTTCGACAGCATCCATCTTCAGTGGCTGTAGCTTCACCGAATCCTGGTGGTACATCGCCTATTCCTTTCATCCGTCCGAGTTCGGCAATGTCGTTAAACAGTTCATCTGCTTCCGGCTCAAATCCAAGCACCAGTACGAGAAAACCAGCCAAATTGGCTATTCAAGCTCCAGGTGGCAAGGTTTTGAGACTGATGAGAAAGGACGATAAGATGCAGCAGAGTACAGGGCAGGGTGTTGAGAAAGGAGATGGCGGCACTTGGGAGACCATTATTAAGGTTGGAGAACGAGGAGTTTGGAGAGGATTAGTCTTGGCGGACAGGAGTGCGAGATGGTGTGTTTTTGCGGAGTGGACTTGTGTCTGATTGAGTCTCTGAGTATCGAGCTGTTTATGGGCAGCGTTGGATCCGAACGAAGAGTACGGGATATTCTGGGGGAGTTCTGAGGAGATGAATGCATTTGCTTGGCGTTTTTCTGGTGGACTTTCTGGTTGGCCATGTGGAAGACATGCAGGGCACTTGTACAGTAGATAGATGCATTTGTGTCAGCGTTGTTGAGTTTTAAGATGTAGGATTAGGGTAGGCGTAGGTGATCCATGCGGAGTCGATAGGAATACGTGGAGTTGAAACAATTGAAAAGTAATCTTACCTTTCCCGATAATATCATTTTGCAAGGACAACGCTTGGGTATTTCGTTCAAATATCAACTGAATGGTTGAGGGCGTAATGAATTGAGGCTTGTTGGCGGGGCATATCACTGCCAGTTAACCCCTTATCAAAGTAGGGAAAAGCCCCGCGTCTCCGCAAAAGGCAATCTGATGGGCCTTAGGGCTGAGTGTCTAGGAAGACAGGCGGAGATCCTGTCGTTCCATTCAAAACAGCTGATTCTGATAATTGTCCCCCAATACATTTTGAAATGTTCGACAAAAGAAGTTGTGTCAAGAAATAATGACTGCAATAAGCGGATAACGTCTTCACTCATAATACGAGTCCGTAGTTCGGTGAGGCTATCGGTTTTCGCATACTTTTTGTTTACTTCATTTTGAAACTATACGCCTCTTCGAATATTTCAATAGTCCACAGCTTCGAGTCTCACTTGAGCCATCTCTATCTTCAAGTTACAGTTTTGCCAGGCTCTTCGTTCCGAATCGTTCACTCCAAACCTCTCGCCGCGCGTCATTCCACCTACTCATCAAGGCTTTCCGCCATTTTTCTCGAAAATCGGATTCAAGCATGTACTCTCTGACACAAGAATTCGTCTCCGTCCGATCTCTCAAACAAACGGCACTCGCAAGAATAAAATTAGAGTGAAACTTCTTTTGGCGGAGACACGGTAGACCGGCCGGGGTTGGTTAAATTCGAAGTGGAGGGCCGCTTTAGGTTAGAAGAAAGTCAGGCTAACCTTGTTGGTCGCCATCCCGCGCCGCAGAGTCCAGTTTGACATTTCCGCGATCCGCCTGCAACACAACATAACACCTTTGCGCTTGCGTGTCCAGCAACAATTGGGACTTTGCATCATGAGCTCTTGACTCTCTTTTTCATTCTTTGCAATCAATTGACGCATTGATGAGGGATGAAATTTCCAGATGGACGACTGGAAACTCCCCAATTACGCTGCCGCACGGGGGGATCCAGAGGACGCAGGTGGTGCCGACGACGATGAGACGCTGTTAGCTGGTCATGATCACGACGATTCTGAAGATGAGGAGAAGACCGGAGAAAGCTCTATGCTCGGCAGCAGGAGGAGCATGAAGAGCAGTTTTTGGATGATTTTGATGACGATAGCCACGTTGGCGGCGAGGAGGATATTGAATAGTGGTTTTCGTGAGTCCCCTGCTATCTGCTCGTCCGGTTACCCCTGGATTTGAGGCTGTTGGAATGCAGAACACGTGCTGACTGCCGTTGAAGCTTATCGTGAGTCTGCTCAATGCGATGTTGTAATCGCCAATTCAGATGCCGGATGAGAAGTTGATTCATTCTAGCTTATTATTATGTTCTGCTCATTCAATTGGGAGCGTACACTTGCGTGGTTTTGATCGTACTCCTCGCCAAACTCAAACATTTCCGAACAGCACGGCGGAAACCAGAAGATGAGAAGCACACCTGGCTCGAGACCATCTTCATGGGATTTCGAACGCTTCTTTCCTCGTCTATCGGCGCTGTTTCGATATTATGTGCAGCTCAGGCTGTCCTCCATTTCCCAAACCTTCCACTGCTTGCGATGCTGCCGGTAAGGCTCTCGAACACGTGCAAAGCATTTCTAATGGCAATTTAGATTTTGACCTATGTCAGCGACAGCATTCTTTTTCGATTCGCATATACAATTCACCTGCTTCCAAGAGGACAGAGCACTTCTTTGAGAAAAGTTTATCGTATCGTGGTGATCGTATTTTGTGCTTGTCTTGCAATTTACGATGACTACCGACTTAATGTCCACGGTTTGAGCATTCTTTTAGCTAGTTTCGGACTCGCAAGTCTTGCCAAAGCTGTTTCCAAAGCAGGGCCGAAAATTGAAACCAAAGGACCTCAGTCATGGGAGACTCCTTTGCAGACTTATCTGCTTGCCGGAATTCCTCCCTTGGTGTTGGCTGGTGTGGCTACTATGAAGTTTGAGAATATCGCTGCGGCATCTGCGATTTCTCAGACGTGGACCGTCCTGTACCGGGTGATGAATCTTGGGCCTGGCGTTGTCCTGCAAATAGTTTTTGGCAGCTCGATCCTGAGCGCATATCCATTCATGTCCCAGGAGCACGTGGGCGGCGCTTTGGAGGAAGTGAGTGATCAGGCAAGAGATGCTGTTGCTTCGACCTTACAGGCCGGCTTCTGGACCTTCGTCATTGGAGTCCTCGGTAATGAAACCAACTTCATTACTTGGACACAGGTAATCGCCTTTACACTCATCTACATCATCAGCATTGGACCGAAACACATTGCCTATTACCCGCCTCGGTTTATGAATCTACTCTTACGATTGTTTCGGCGCAGACCACAGCCTATCCATGCCGAGCCGTGGCAATTTTCCGTTGTCCTGATCTCCACCACGATCGTCTTTGCCATTCTGGTGAGCACTAATACTACTTTCTGGGTTGATACCATTGCCTATCACCGCAATCTCGGAACGTGGCTTGGTCCAAATAAGCTCATTCTCGATACCATGTATCGACCACCAGAGCTTCGTTCGTTTGATGTAGTCATTGCTCACTCAGCAGGTGATTCTGTGGAATCGATTATCAATCTCGTCAACACATACGCACGACACTACTCCATCGGCCATCTCGCCCCAAGGGTAAAGGTTTATACCAGAGACCCCACTTTTAACCTTTCGCAGACCAGTCCTGAATATCTGAGAGGAGATTTTGAAGGCGAGCTTTCGGTTCAAACCCTTCGTAATGTGGGTGGTGCTTCAAGTTCCTTCCTCCACCATATTCTTTACAGCTGGGACAACTTTCCCGTTCAAACGATGTTCCTCAGCACACACAGCATGACCGAAACCTTGCTTCCGCTCCTCCATACCAGATTCGAGGAGTATTTCGTAGCAGCTGGATTTCCCATCCCAGATGCACTTCCCAAAACTGGGTTTTTGAATCTCGGAGACCACGAAACGTGTTGGTGTGGAGGATGCTACGATATCTCGGGTTGGGAAGATACATTCCACCTCGTACCCAGCATGTGGAGCGCTGCACGACCAGAGTCTAAGAAATGTGAGAGTGTCCTTCTCACGTACGGGAACAACTTCATCACTACAGCGGCTAGGATTCGTGGTATCAAGAAGGAAATCTGGCAGCTCCTTTATGATGCGTTGGTCAATGAAGATAAAACGAATGCATGGGCTCACGCTCCCGAAAAGATACCCAAGAAGCTCCCCGGAGAAGAAGGAAAAGGGAGATGGGCCAAGGGACAGATTTATGGGGAAGAAGACAGTTTGGAGAAGCCATATTTGGGGCATACTGTAGAGAGATTATGGGGTATTCTATTGCAGTGCAGCACTGGGGAGATTGCGTGGAAGTGTCCGAGTTTGGAGAGGGAATATAGAACTGGTGGGAACAAGGAAGATTGTGGATGTATTGAGTGAGAGGCATTACCTCTCCATTTCTCATAGGAAGCGGCGGCGCTGGTGTTCACGGATGGGTATATTTGTATTGTTTGAAAAGGAGGGGGTGAGCATGCACGAATCATTCGAGTTATAAAAGCTAGATTCTGATCAATTCCTTTTCAGGACTTTCTTGTGGTCATAAATGGCATTTGTCAACTGAGCTAAGCATGAGGCTCTGGCCCCAGTTTTTAGAACTCGGGTTCGGTTCCGTCTGACCACGCTTGTTTCTGACCACCAGTCTCGACCCCTTTTCCAACAATTCTTATGTACTTTGCCGAGTATCACTCATTGATTTGTCAGGTCTGCGGTTCATGCACAATTCGCTCCTTCCTCCGCAAATGAACAGCGCCTCGCTCTTTCTGCCATGCTAGTATATGGTCAGAATCTGATTCATCAGGCATGCAAGAACTGTTCTCATTCGTGTTACTTTGGATATATAAAAGCAGAGGTTAGGTACTGCTGACACTCGCATTACAGTAAGCAGTGTTGGTCCAAGATAAGGGTTTATTTAAACTTCTAGAAATTCCATCTTTCTCATTGAAAAGTGATTGAGAACACACTTTATATCACTAAACCAATATCAAAGAACGCAATGTCGAAGAAGCTTACCGTGTTCGTAACAGGTGCTACTGGTGGCCGTAAGTTGTTTTAAACGTTATGGTAGAGATTGTTGAACTTTCTCATCTCACAAGTCCTCGCTTCCGGTCTCAGTCTCAAGCCGACACTCATTTTCTTACAAACCAGTCCTTCATTCCCTTTGGACAGGTTTTGGATAAAACTAACATACTCACAGAAGGAGGCGCCGTCGCCAAGTATCTTCTTACTTCGGGACATGCAGTACATGCCCTAGTCCGAGACCCCTCCAAACCAGCATCTCAAGCACTCGAAAAAGCTGGAGCGAAACTATTCAAAGGAGACTTTGATGATATCAATGCTCTTGCTGCTACTGCTCAGGTATGTACATACCCGTTCCTTACAATACTCATGACTTCAAACGTTCGACGCCCATTCAGAGTTCTTAATGGCATCATAAAGCAAACATCAAACCCTCACAAACAAACTTGCCAACCTAACACCCACCAGTCCTGCAACGCCCTCTTCTTAATGGTCTCTCCCACCTATCCAGATCAACTCCTCGAATTAACTCACGCCCAAAACGTCATAACCGCCGCGCTTTCGACTTCTCCTCCTATAACCCACTGCGTCGTTTCAACCGCGACAGGAGCAGAGTCCCACCTGTCCTTCGCCTCCTTCGACCCCAACTTCGCCTGGCTAGCAATCTATTGTATGTTATTTCTGTTTTTGTTTTGTATCCATTTTAGGAGCCGCGATTTTTATGATCATCCTCAGAAGCTACTCATCAAAGAAGATATGTTTCAAGTCTTTAAAGCTTCTCAGTACCTAGAAATCCGTCCAAAGCGTATGTTAATAGATCGATAGGGTCCAACAAGAAGAAAATCCAAGACCTGGTCATGCAGAACTTCCAGAAGTGGACAGTGCTACAACCAGCGTGGTTGATGAGCAACTGGCTATCCCCCGTGGCGGCATTTACATGGGGAGAAGAGTTGAAGACCGACAAGGTACTGCTCAATGCTTTTGGAAAGGGAACGAAAATTGAGCTATGTGCTGCGGATACGGTGGGGAGGTTTGCTGTTCCGGCGTTGGAAGGGAGGGGTGATATGCAGGGAAAGATCATCAAGCTGGCGGGGGAGAGTTTGGATATGGATGAGATTGCGAGGGTGGTTAGTGAGGTGGGTGGAGTCGAGGTGAAGGTGAGATATAGGAGTGAGGAGGAGGTAGAGAGGTTGAAGGGTGTTAGTCCCATTGTTGCTACGCAGGTTTGGCAGAGGGTCGATGGGAGTGGAGCTGATGTGGAGGAGGTGAGGAAGTGGGGGATTGAGATGATGGGTTTCAAGGAATATCTTGGGGAGCATAGGGACAGCTTGCGTGCTGCTTTGGGGCTTGAGTAAGACGTTTCAGTTTGTTGGTTTGTGGAAAGTGTGGACGCTACGAAGGACGTCGGGAGACACAGCTACTGTTCTAAACGATATTACAGTCACCCAATGCTTAATGCTTAATGCTTAATGCTTAATGCTTAATGCTTACTGCTTGTTGCCCATAAGTCTGAAGCCACCTCAACGCTATGCATAAGAATCTCATTATCTTCACAACTTGCAATGAATCCTTTCCATCTCTCGTCTCCTAACCCTCCCAATAACCACCGAGTTCACGACATGATTATATGGATGTACCACAGCACAAATATCCAGATACTTCGTGACCGTCTCACTGCTGGGGTCAAATACCTATGCTTAACATTAGCTCAAAATCTTTTCCTCTTTGTTAAACAAGAAATATATACCGGATACAGAAGTCTCCGTAATCGATCAGCACTCCTAATCACCAACAAAGCATTCTCACTCATCCTCGAGACCACATCCACAAGTACCTCTTCTTTCTCCTTCTGAGTGCTTCCCACTAAAGCAGCCAGGTACACAACATCGAATTCTGTCAAGTCAATATCTGGATTCCTTGCATCCGAACAAATGAAGTCCATCCGCTTTCCTCTATCGCCGAGCTTCTCGCACAATACTTTCGATTTTGAGATAGCCGAAGTGTCAATGTCGATATTGAGTACAGATATTGGAGGTGCAGTAATTCCAGGTAGCTGAAGTGGATCTCCAGCAACTCCACATAAACAGAGACTGGTAAGAGGCAACGGTCCAGATCCGAGAAAGGCAACTCTTGAGATTGGTGACGTCTCTTGTCGGACGCCATAGATGGCGGATAGCTCGAGTTTGGTGAGATCGACATAGTTCTCAAAGTATGGGAAGAGTTTTAGACGGTTGAAAACTGCTTGTGGTGAGTTTGAGAGCACATGAGAATGTTGAGAAAGACCTCACCTTCTTCTGGAGATGACTCTCCTTGGCCAATGATGATGTCTGCCCAATGGAACTCAAGACAGCACTCTGCGACATCGCAAACCTTTCTCAAGTCTGATCTGATTTCAAGTAGCTTTGGATCTTGTAGAACCTATACTCGTTAACAAACAGAGGATTCAATCGTGAGTTGATGAAAACTTTACCAAGTCCGTCACTTCAGAATATCTGTTCAAGATAGAGTGATCCACCAGCCTCTCAAACAGCCCATCAACTTCATCACAAGGTTTCAAACTTTTCATAGCTTTCAACTGCTTATAAATATCAAGCACCTCAAGAACAATCCTCTCCGCTTCCGCATAGCTATGCCTTGACAAAGTTCCAGCTGGTGCTGCTGAAAAGTAGCTAACGAAAGCCGACCACAACGAAGCCATCTCAATTCCTCAAAGTTTGTCTAATGAACAGAGTCGATGATACCCAGACCAAGATTATTTTGTAGCACGTAACATCCGAATCTTTCTTTCCGAAAGGAAGTAACCACCAGGCAGATGACATGAAGAAGTGAATCACCCCCCTCACCCACCAACCCCACTATGAAAATTCATTCTGAGAATCTGCCAGCACATCTCCAATGAACGTCAGGCATCAAAGACTTGCATATGCAAGGGCGTGGATAGCGGGTTTGACGTCTTCTCTCGCATGATGCAAACTTGAATGCTCTTTGTTAACTTCGATTTCAGCCGTTACAGCAAACACTTCCTCACGTTCTTTGAAACTGGGTTCCTACGAGGAGAGTTCCAGGAGATTCAGCAGAGCAATGCTCTAGCAGTGCTATATGGCGGGCGTGTCAATTACCTTATCTCTTTGTCATGATTCTTGAATTCGTCCTTCTACCCATCAAGGTGCCTTAGCCATTTCTGCAAACATACACCCACATTTGATCTCCCAATTTCCCTAATCAGATTACATATCAATAATTGTAAGATCGGTGACAACCTCGCATTAATGGCCTCGCAGGGGCTGGCAGTCTCATAGTCCAACTGTTGGGTATGTTTAAAGTCACGTGAGGTCGAGCACTTTCTCAATGTGAAGTAGAATCAGAACAATCACTGAAGTTTGAAGCACCGGGAAGTGAATAGCTAAGTTGCACTTGTGCAAAGCAAATTGATATTCTACCAATCATTATAGTCTGAGAGCCCAAACTCCTCGCTAAAGCAAAGGTCCACTCCTCAGCACTTTTGACCCAGCCAACTCCTAACATAAGATTACATGAAACAATCCCTCGCATCCCTCTCTACATTATAGATACGGCATGAATAATGGATCGCACTGTGCTAAGTTGATTGGGTTGACCGCCTTCGCAATTAAATCAATCACCGTCTGATTTGCAGGTAGTGCTCCAGGAGGACTCTGAGCCAAACTCAACGTCCGCTTCACTATGATATCACTGTTCGTCTGCACCGTATCCCTTAGTTGATTTTCAGGCATCGTGGCTTGACCTCGATGACTGCTTGTGAACCAGAAGATCATCTCGTCACGAACAAACAAGCTTAGCTGCTGTTCAAGTTCGTACTCTGGCTCTGTCAAACAACGAGCAATGGCCATGATCGCACATCCGTATATGCCTTCCGTAGCCAAAGGTCCCATGAGTGTCTGCAAGTTTGGCGTGAGACGGAAGGGAACAGGCTCGGGGTTGTGGAAGAATGCCTTGCCAGCCGCCATACATGACATCAGTTCAGAACCCCAGATGTTTCCGGTAGCACGAGCAATGATAAGCTTGTGGGGGTAGCGATTGTGCATATGTAAGATGTATGTCATGAAGGTCAACGCAGCGAATTGGTAGGAAAATTGTCTGCGGAAGAGCCAGAACTCGGAGAACGAAGGATATGTCTTGGTGAAATAGTCGAGGGCGAGAGTATGTGGAACCCACTTCTCTTGAATGGCAGTGAAGGTCTCTAATTTCGCTGGTGCTGCCTGATCAGGGTGTTTCTGCATTGGATTAGCATCATGTTTGGCACTATCATGGAAATTTCTTACCTTAGCTTCAACCAGAGCGCGCATCTTGTCCATAGTGAATAGCACAGGATCATCTTTCGACATACCACTCTTCCTGCAATGATCCTCAAAGACGCCTTGGAGAGAGATGTAAGTGGCGTCGTCTTGCACCATACGAATATGAGGAGCGAGTGGTATCATGAGTGGCAGATGAAAGTTCAGGTTGCGACGACGACTCTCCTTTCGCTTGCTCAAGCTCCCATTGAAATGTCTGAAGAGTTGCAAGATACGTTCTTCGCGTCGGCAGTGACGCGCGGCTGGATGCTGTATGGCGAATGGGTGAACACTTCCATCATGTCCTCTAATTTTCAGTCTTCTGTGACAAACGCCAATGCCGCGAACAAGATCGACAACAGGCAAGAAACGTTCAATGCGGACGAAGTCTTGATTCTTATCCTTGTGCTGAAGATACTGTCCAGGAACTTCAACTTCGTCAAATTTCTGGAATCGGAACTCGCTGAGGTAGATACTGTATGACTCGAGATTGGCATACGTCTTGCGCCTATCGAGCTTGGCCTCGAATTTGTCACGCCATTTTCGCAACTTGTGAATGTATTCGTACATGGTAGGCTTCTTCTGAACAAAGTCTGCTTCGAAAGAAGTGCGAATATGGGCAGGCAGGATGGTTTCAGCGAATCGAGTAATGTTGGCCTCAGTAGCAGCAGGAAGTTTAACATCTTGCGCATATGAATTGGGTGCACGGCCAACATACGAAAGAGCGTCGTTGAGTAGAGCAGTGATCAGTCTGTAAGCATCCTCGTCGGGCGGGCATTTGAAGTTCTTCGCAATCTGGTCGACCATTGTTTCCATAGACAAAGCCAACAATGGGAAAGCAGTCTTGAGAACCGCCATGATTTCTTCTGTGTGCTCCCACGGTGGCTTCTTCTGGGCAGGCTGAGCTGCGGTAGCTGCAGGCTGTCCGTTCGCCGCATCAGTTCCATTGGTTCCATTGGCCTCAGACGGTTCTATCTTGACAGCGCTGTCAGGGTTCGCGGTCCCAGGTCGAGATCCCGTGGCGCTGTCGGGTCGTGCCCCTGCGGGAATCTCTTGGCGCTGAAGATTTGGTGAGCCGTTGGCCTTGGGTGTCGTACCGTTGGCAGCTTTGGCTCTAGCCTGTAATCGGCGGTCACGCTCTTCCTTCTGATCTTGTGTCTTCTTGATTTGGAGCATGTCTTCCCGATTGGTCCTCAACTGGAAGTACAAGGCTTGAGGATATGCTTTTGCAATCTTAGCCAAGATTGCGTTGGCCTTTGGACCTTCCTTGTGGCCCAGGCCAGTAAGCAACTGAGGAATGAATGTGATCCAGTACCAGACCGGGGTCTCTCCTTTGTATTCGTCGAATTGAGCCGAAAGTGTTCCTTCAGCGTCGTCAAGACTCAGGAGCCAGAGGATCCGAGTGAGCAGCTTTCGAGACTTCGCGTTCTTGAAGAGCCCGGCAGCTTCCAGGTAACAACTTAAAGCATTCTTGGCATAAGTATAGTTTCCAGGGTTCTCCTTGAACAGACGATCATTGTAGTAACCCCATTCTGCCCATGCTTTGGGAAGCTTGATATCGAAGAACAGCGCCATTCCGTACGCCTCAGCTGCTTCATCACGTTGTCCAAGCTTTTCGAGGAACATGCCCTTGAGAGTGTAAAACTCAGCCTTTTGGTTGGGTCCGAAGTAGTTGAGATTGGTGTTGTTGATCACATCGAGACCGTTGCTGAGTTCGTTGGGATTCTGGTAATGGCATTTGGCTTGCTCTCTCAACTTCAAGAATGCCTCTTGAATTTCGATATTTGGCAGGGTGTAGATTCGACTCAGTTGACTGATGCATACTTCAGGGAGCTGATGCTTGCGGGCGACGTGAGCGAAGCGATTGATGATCCAAGCGGTTTCATGAAATCCGCGGTAGGCGAATGAGGCACCATTTGCATTGGCGCCATTTTGTGGAAGAAGATTGAGGTACGTCGTGTTGATGAGGCCAAAGATGTGCTGACGCCAGGTAACCAAATCTTGCCACGCGGTAATGTCATCCCAGACATTGGGAAGACGGTCACGCCAAGTACCAAGGAGTAACTTGAGTTCTCCAGACTTGACATCGAGGTTACCTTGGTTTGTTTGAGCAAGACTCTGGCAGATGACACTGGCATCATGAAGCTCTACAAGCTGTTGGAAATTCTGCAACAGCGGGGTATGTGCATTCGTGATTCTCTTGGGAAGCTGATGCCACTTTCGAATCGAGAGTTGAATTGCTTCGTCGCAGACCTTGCTGAATTCTGCCTGGGATTCCGTCTTATTGTGCAGCTTGAGCAGAGACATGAAAGCCTGGAAGAATGTCCGACGTGGAGTCGGTGCATCCATCACGCCTTTGATCATGTTATCAAGTGCTTCGCGATGGTCAGCATTGCTCCACATTTCTACTTGCTTCCAAGCGCACTCGAGGAGAAGATCTTGGAAATTCTCATGTTTTGCAAAATCTGACAAGATTTCCCATTGTTGAAGCTTCGTAGCGCACAGGACCCAGTGATCTTCCCAGAGCATGTATTCACCTTGCGAGAAAGGTATCGCCCCAGTACGAGCCTTGATTTGAGCTGTCTCGTACATGTGCTGGGCTTTATCCCACATCCCATTCTGCTCATAAGACAGAGCGGCATTTGTTTCCACGTAGAGACATCTTCGGCGCCATGTGCCGTAGAAAAGGTCGTCTTCGTTCAGGCCGGCGTAAAGCTCTACCAAGGCGTCCAGATTGCTTTCTCGTACAAGCGCACTGTCAATCTCTGGTTTGATTGCAGCATTTTCGAGCTGTACCAATGCAGTGTACCAGGCATCGTATGTCTTGGCCTCAAATTTGAGTACATGGGGAGGAATTTTGCACTCCGGCCAGGCTCGTGCAGCTCCTTCTAGGAGTGATTGAATGACATTGGGTCTTTTGTCAACTTGTCGAGAGTGGTAGTCTTTGGTTAACAGTGCGACCATGCCTCTCTCCAGATCTCCTCGCTCATCCTTCGGGGTTGCAGCCCAGTACATAGGGAACAAAGCTACCCAAATTTCATGCGCCACGTTTGGATCTAGATGTTGAAGTTGCGAGAGCGGCTCAATGATGTCTCGAACGCGAACATCTCCAAGCTCGACCAAGAAACGGCGATGGGACAATAGAAGAGCGTCAAATTTGCTATCGGCTGGTTGCGCAGGTGTTCTGTTATCATTTGCATAAGTGGCAAAAATGGTTGAGACCGGCATAGTCCTAAAGTCTTCATGATGCAAATGAATGGAACTGTTCATATCAACCGCACCAAGAAGCAATTGGGATGCTTGAGCCAACCAGTACGAATCTGCAAGAGTATCCCAATTTTGAGCGGTGATCACATACGCCAGGCGAGCACTGGCCGTCTTGGACTGACTCTTGTCGAAGATGGCCATGAATCGATTTCTCATGTCAACATCCTGAGCTCTGGTGCCGATCAAGAAGGCATGCTCCATGCGTACAGTAAGCTCGGTTCTGGTGATTTTTGGATCTTCATAGATGCGAATGACAAGCTCCAAGAACTTCATCAGAAGAGTCTGATCAGTGCGATTCTCAAACGTCAACATCTTGTGGAGGACTGCGGTCTTCTCTTTCAATGTTGGCCAAGACCCTTCGGACTTGAACACCCACGTTTCGACCATGTCCAGAATCTTCAAACAAAGCGAATTGCTCAATGACTTCTCGACTAGGGTGGCCAGGACGCTCAAGAAAGGACGTCGGTTGTCTCCAAGGACGTCCATGCGCATTGATATCACGTCGATTGCTTTGAGCATGAGTCCGGTTTGTGTCTCGAGCTCATAAGCAGTCATGACACCAGCAGGTTCGGCTTCGCCCGGACGAATGGGACCGACCATACCAGCTTGACCCAACAGAGCGTTATAATGAGCTACGTGCTCACGTGCGAGCTTCGCCTGTAAAGCCTTCATGATCTGATTGATGTGCTGATCCATCTCAGAAGGCTTGCGTTGTGCGAGAGTCCAGAGGATGTTGATTCCTGAAACGTAGTTGTTTGCTGACAGAGTTTCAGTGGCAATGGTGGAAAGGAACGTGATAATCTCAGAAGTGGAAGCCTCTGCCTCGCCTTCGGCGTCAGCATCTTCCATGGGCACATCATCGGGGACTGCATCAAGGATGCGTTTCATGAGAGGCTTGAGGTTTCGTCCCTCATCAGTCTTTTCATCGGCGCCGTGTAAACAGTCCTGGATTTCTGGAAGACCAGATTTCAGAGATCGTTCGAGGACATGTTGAAGAGCTGTCATGTTTTGCAAGATCCAGCTGTCGGGTTTCACGTTGACAATGATGCGAACGATTTGGAGTGTATTGATGATGCTTGTGAGATACTTCTCATCACTCTTGTTGTCCTCCGTATGCTCTCGATCCGGGTTAAGAGCTTGTGTAGTTCTGTCGGTATTGAGCACCTGTTCTGTCACGTTCGGAAACAGATCCACCAGCGATTCGCCCCAATACTGAGGTTGGAGAAATCCGTATAGAAGAGAGATGGCCTTCTTGCACATATCCACAGACGGGTGTGGCTGTACTGGTGCATTGGGAGCGCCTAAGTCTTTCGACTTTGCGGACGGGAGAGGAAAGCGTTCTGGGAGACCAGCGATGAACTCGACCAGGTATTTGATCATCTTCTGTTGCACAATTTGTGGAATTTTGTATTCTGGTCTTTCCATAGACCCAGATGACCCTGGTTTCGAAGGTGATGGAGATGATGTTTGATTGTCGGTCAAGGCATCCAACTTTCGCTTTTTCGTATTCGGAGACTCCGAGAATGCGCGGATGGGGGAGGCATCCTTACCTTCCACCCGTTTCTGCTCCCACTGCCAGATCAAGGTCATCAGATTGAGCGCCAGCTTCTTGTTCTCATTTGATGGAGTTGGTGGTTGTGCTATCTTGCGTAATGAGCTGACAATCAAGTTGATGAACTTGTCTCTGGATTCGTAAAACAAGTCTGCATGTTTCACTAAGAAATGGAAGATGCTCGTCATCTGTTGAACATTTTGACCTTCTTCGGCAAGAATGCGGCGGGGTCCTGCTGCCCAAACTGGATTTCGATCCCCAGGAGATGTGTTCATGCGCTTGGGAAGCACAGGGGCTATGAGCTCAAGAGCCTGCGTAACGAGAGCCCGACCTTCATTCTGATTCGTCTTCAGCAACGAGAAATAGACTTGTTGAACTATCTTTGCTGGAGTCTCATAATGTGCGATGAAGTATCCGATGACGACATATGCAGCATGTTTGTTGATAACATCTTCCAGTCTGATATACGTCCAACCAAACTTGATGATATCTTTTCTGGCGTCTTGCAAGATGGAGTGGTGGTATTTGACAAGGAAAGCTGACAACTGAAGGACCTCCATCCTAGTGTGATCGATGCCTGATTGTAACAAATCGTCAGTAGAGTCGCCAATGCTGACCTTCCAGATCTTCTGATGGATGGACTCAATGACGGCTTTGTCCATCAAACGAGGACCTCTGTTGGGACTTGAATGCTTGGAGTTCCGCATGACATCCATAGCGAGGATAGGATTAACCAAATTGTGTAACAAGAATGTCTTCGTTTGTTGAGACGCGTTCTTTCCAGCATACACATCCAAGCTCCGCATGACAATGCTCTTCCAGTATTCCACCGAGTCAGAACTGATGACGCGATCGAAAATGTACTTGAAAAAGGTCTGGCTAGGCTTGAAGTCTTCGGCAGTGACCGAGTCGATGAGACTAAACAGCGAGTCTAGGTCTTTGGGGTGGTACTCCAGGAATTTGGTGAAAATGACCATGAGTTGCTCGCCGGCTTGCTCTGCAGCGAGGCGCAGATTTGGAGGAAGAGTGTTTGTGCGAAGATGTCGTTCCAAGTTCTTGCCCACCAACTTGAACCAAGTCATGTTCTCTTTCTTCTCCATCCATTCCTGGGTCTCTTTATTCTCGAACATACAAACCGAATGCATGATATTAATGGCATTGATAACCGCAGCATATCTGGTCTCCTTATTCTCGGCACCCATGTCTCCACAAGCTTTAATCATATGCTCCACACCGTTCATGACGACTTTGCGGAGTGGCCCACTTTCTGGATCTTCGAGAACTTGTGCTAAGAAACGACCATACTTCTGGTCCTCGATCTTGCCAAGAAGGAATAGCCAGACTTCGTTTGGATACCGATTGAGGAATTTGTACAGAGGTGCTCGAAATGGGCTGTATCTTGTTCGGCGGAGCTTCTCCTCGAGATCAAGAACAGTGTCGATGAGTCTCTCTTTAAAATGTTCAGCTGCAGAGGGAAGAAGATGGAAGATATTGAAGACAGCAGCGATAATCTTCATCTGATCATTCTGTTCGATCAACAGGAAAGAGATCTTTTGAAGAACAGCAGGCTCAGCGAGAACTTTGATATGGTCGAGCAGTCGAGAACCAATCTCCACTTTGAAGTAAGTCGTCAGCAGTTGCAAAAGGCGAGCTAGACCATCAAGACCATGTGTACTGAGGCGACGTGGATCCTGCAGATTTGCTAGCACAGGACGAAGGCCATTCTGTAACAAATCCTTCGGTAACTTCGTAGTCTGCGACAGCACAACTTTCAAAGCATCGTTGGCGGCCTGGATAGTCTGTTTCGATTCCGAGTACAAACACTTGAAGAAGACGGAAACGATCTTGGTTCGCGTAGGATTGTTTGGACCTTTCTGAAAGTCTTCGAATCCCATAGCTGTAGTCAACATCTTGATGCAAGCAACTCTGAGATTGATGATGTTTTCATGAGTTCGATGCTCCTGAGGTTTGCCAGCCAATTGATCATCAGGGGCATCTGCCAACGCCAACGCCTCCATGAGCAATCGGTTCAAGTGGTCATCGAATGCAACAAAATCGGATTTCAACACCATGTAATACGTGATGGCATCAATAGACCCAATTTGCACACCGAAAGGCAGAGCGCGCAATGGCTTTGAATACAATGGCTGCAAACCACGTTCCTTACTTGGCTCGAGCAATTCCCAGATCTCCGCTCCAACCTCCTCAGCAACAATCTGTAGGGCCTGCTTGGTCGCTTCCCGGACGTGGCGATTCATATGAGCAAGCTCTGTATTCAAAATCGCGCAAAGCTGGAAAAGCTTTGATGGGCGCACCTGCTGAGTAGTCTGAGAAGGGGCGGAAGGAGGTTGCAAATCAGATTTAGGCACGTTCTTAGTGCAGCGATGAAGAAGGACCTCCAGCGTGTCTTGGGCTCCTCGACGAGTCTTTGCTGGCAAGTCCGGTGGCATGTCTTTGATGACATACATGAGAGCTCGGAACAACTCGATCTGCTTTTCTTGAACCCAAGCATCGCCCATGTCAATTGTGGTGATCAGGATGTTGATGCCAAGGCTGCCACCGGCTTTGGAGAACCACTCTTCCTCGTAGCAGTTATGACAAAAGAGATTGCTTAGATGTGTGAAGAACGTTAGCTTAGAGACGTCTGTCTTGGAACCAAAGATAATGGCCGTTGAATCGTAAATCTCCTGGATAGCAGCTTGTGCAGCTTCTCGTACACTAATAGTATCGGATGATAAGCATTCTACAATGGCATCTGCGAGGACCCTGCTATCAATGCACAGAAGTCCCTCGCTAGACTTCACATCGAATGGCATGGTCTTCTGTCGCATCTCTGCGAGAGCTCTGCTAACTTCAAGGATAGTGAAATGCTTGCAAATATTCGTCAAAAGGGTGGTAGCCTCGGACGTGAACTCCGGCATTGAAACAGCAAAAATGCAAGCCTTGATGAGCTTCTTGAGCATCAGATCTTGACCATCCTTCTTGAACACAGATCGTTCTCGGTCAGAAGTCTCCAGCGAGGAAAGATCCGCTTCGCACTTTCGCGCAAGGAGATCCTGGGCTTGGAGGCGAACCAATCGTCCGAAGTCATCGGGAAGACTGTCGACTCCCAATCGAAGCTTCAGCTGTGTCTTGATGAAATGCAGAGCTTGCTTCTTGTAGTAAGCATCGGCCTTCTTTGCTGCGGCACCTTTTGGAATTTCCATGAGCTTTCCAATGGCCAGATCGATACCAATCTCTACTGGGAACGCTCTGTCTTTCTTGGATCCGATCAGTTTGAGGTCGAAGCTGGTCAGATCGTCGGAAAATTGCTGGAACGTCAAGGCAGGCGCTCCGGTCATGAACTTTCGATTTCTACCACCAAGCTTCCCAAGAATTCGCATGGTGGTGTGCGCATGGAAATGGCTGTAAGGGGTTGGCCGTAGATGATCGAACAGAGCAGTCATCAATTCGTCGATGACTGGTGCCATGATCGGGTCAAGATAATCAGCAGTCAAATTATCAACACAAAGTTCCAAAGTCCGGAGTCCTTGCCCAACAAGATCAGAGCCAGCTCTCAAAGCAACGACAAGAGGTCGCATGAGGTAGCTAAGATGTGGAAGTAAGTTGCTGAGTCGTGCTGGGACAGTCAAGCAGAGCTCGACATATAAATCACGGTCAGCTGGCTTCCTTGCTGCCAGGAGAAGGTTGTTAAGGACCTCCAAGAGCATTTCCAGGAGTGGAAGGATTTGCTTGTACAGGTGCTCGAATTTTCCTCCACCTATGCTTCGGAAGAGTGACCTCAAAAGCAAGAAGTAGTTCATGGGCTCTTCAGCTGTTGTCGACAACTCGATAGATTTGGTGACGATGTCGAGGACGTGGGGTAACAGAACCGCCTCGTTCTGATTTGAGAAGAGAGTAACCGCCATGAATGCAAGCTTGAACAGTCTAAGTAGGATTGACGACTTCTTGACATTTGCAGTACCGACTTGATCGATACGGTCCATAAGGAATCGCAGGAGCATGCCAGCAAAGCTTGGTGATGTTGCTTCGCTTGCAAGGAAGAATTGTGGGACGTGGAGGAGAGCAGTGTGTTCAAAAATCATATCATAAAGCTTGGGTATCTCTTCGTGGAAAACTTCGTGGAATGTAGCAGGATCAATGCAATGGAACACAGTGGCGAAAGTTTCGAGTAGGTCCTTTTCTTCCTTGCTGCTGGATATCATGTAATGATTTGCCATGAACTCAACCGGAGAAGAATATTGAGACTCAGTAGCAGGCTTCTCAATCTCGTAATATCGAAATACGTAAGCACCCTCTCGGAACAATTTGATGATGACTTGCACTTCTTCCGCTGTGAAACCGTAAGAAACCTCTTGCCAGTGTGGAGGCGCGTTGGATGCATCGATCGCGGTACCAGCATTGCAAGCTTTCAACTGGTAGAAAGTGTTCTTGAGACCATTCATCAAATTCTTGAATAAGAATTTGTTATCAGCAACAGGATCCGCGGCACGATCTCGAGGATTTGAGGTCTTGATGGGCATGGCGTTGAAAATGTCGATTTCATCCCAATCTGGTGGATGTTCCTTGTCCGCTAGGTAGTTGTCTGGTGATGCATCGATTGACTGCTGAGCATACAGCTTCGAGAGTTTGACAGCGTTGGGGTATTGTCGATTCATGGCTGCGAACTTGTCGCCGATAGCATTCAAGATCATAATCAGGTAGTGCCGGGCATCAACTTTGTTGGGCATCTTCGCAATGCACTCTGCCATGTTGAGAAGGAGTTTCGCGCTCATTGTCTGGAAACTGGTACCAGGAAAGCTGTCCTGCAGATTCTTGGTGTAGACCTCGACAGTTTTTCGGATCTGTGGAGGATCCAGAGCATCTCGGACGTGGTGGATAAGATCGGCTAACATGCTATATGCTAGAGGTCTCATGGTCTCATACACCGTCAAGCCGTCTCCAATCAACGTTCTCTCGTCGAGGAGTTCATCAATCTTCTTGAGAAAAATCTTCCTGAAGTTAAAATTGATGATGTGACGAATCGCCACCAAAAGCTCTTTGCGTGCACCAGACTTTTCCCGGGGACAATCTTTCAATAACCGCACGACGATGTTTGGCAGCGTTGGAAGAAAATCTGTCAACTGCTGGGAGTATACGCGGAGCAAATATGCTAGAAAACTCATGGTCTTCACCTGGGCAATAATGAATTCTCCAAAAGCAGCTCGGTTCCGGATATTGGGGCTAACGCCTGTAAAAATAGTGCCTTTGAGAGCGGCATCAGCATGGGCTTGCTCCTGAGGTTTGGCTTGCAGCAAGAGGACGCTCTTAATCAGTGGGACGAAAAGCTTGACATTGGGTCCTACTGTATTTCGGTAGACCTGGAATATCGACACAACAATGATGGGACACTCGGCCAGTACTTTGAACGACTGCATTCCTTTCAATAGAGGCCGAGTTTGTTGTTGTGGATCTGCACCAAGGTCAGAGACGGATGCCACTGGTGAACCCGGTCTGGGCGAGTTCTGGTATGTCTGCGAACTTCCAGGTGTCGAAGGCACGCCAGAAGCTGGATTGTCCAATTGGTCCCGTACCACCGACTCCATTTGGTCGAACAACTCCTGTATCAAGGTGAGGAAGGGTTGGACCTTGTCTGACAGCACCTTCGTCTGATGCCGCATAATGTCCATGATCGTCTTGACGCATAGTGCCGCATTTTCCTCGTTGTCGGTCTTGACGAGGTTCATTAACAGGTCCACTACTTCTTTGGCATATGGTTCGAAAGGCTCGGGAGGGTTCACAGGCAAACGATGGAGGATTTCCAGTACACAATTCCGCAATCGCTATGGAGAATGTTAGTAAGGTTCCTGGCCAAGCTTGGATCATCCTACCTGTTCTGCAGATGTGCTAACGAAAACTGGGGGGCCTTTCAGACAGTTGATGAAGATTGGGATGAGTCTCTTCAAGAAGGCTGGATAAATCTGTCCCGTAATGTAGTGCTCGAGATTATCTCGCAACTGAATAGCTGCTTCGCCCTTGGTTTTGGCATCTGGATACAAGGTCAGTGAAGAGTTCCTGTCAACAGGGGAGGCTGCTGCAAGCAAGATCGTACCGGAGTCTGCAGAACTCAATTTTTGCACCACCAACTCTATTGTAGTATTCATGGCTGCGACATTCGCTATGCGCAAGCCCTCACCAATAAGGCTTCATGCGATGTGAGGGTTGTTGTCCTCCAATATCGAGTGCTTCGGGCGGCCTGGATTTCACGATCTCCACGAAGCTGCAAGGCGTCGATTCTGGGCGTCAATGTCGCGTGCGTACGGACGTCTGTTGAAGGCGAAAACCACTCAAAGGCTTCGTATTAAAATTCGACTTAGGAAGATCAAAAGGCTACAAAGAAAGGAATATCATGCCGTGAGGTCGAAGTCCAACGCTGGCAGATGTGAGGAGCTGGGCGGGCTGCAACAAATTCGACGAGGCTCGCGATCGCGACTGCTCTGGGGGAGCTGCTTGACCTTGAAAGATTATGTAAGCAGTATTTTCACGTGATCAAGCGGCCGCTGATTCCCGCAATCCTGGCCAATCAAGCGCGAATGTCAATTGTTAGAGAAACAGAACCAAAACACTTGGGTAGCTAGAGGACTCGAATCTCATCGCATCACTTTACCTCACAGCATACTTCGATTCGGGTTTTATTGGTTATTGATTCGCTCGTGACACAGCTACAAGATGTAGAATGTCGTGCAGCTCCCTAAGCTTCTCATACCTGAGTACCTGCTCAGATTGCTTTACTTATTATTTCCTAGAAGAAGATGCTTGTCTCAATCTCCATCTTCTCCGAAGTTCGGTCTCACAGTTGTTTTAAGCAAGAATTTCGAGAGTTCGTCATTCAGCGATGTCAAGACTCACATGCTCTTGGCTCCTTTATTCGGAATCCGAATGAGTACAATGTACCTGAGTATAACCTCGTATGTCAACAAGGTGATGAAAGTCCCTGAGAACCCAAGTGGACATGGGCATAAATAAGTAATTGTGCTCAATCACGTGGACATGCTCCCCACCTGGGCAGATTACAGTTTCCAACGATGATTTCGTCCCTCTATCCTTCTGCCTACATCATCTTCTTTATTCAAAGGGCGACCATGTTATCGGCATCGAAACAATGAGCCACTTTCCGTCATCTTTGCTCTTCGCCAAAACAAACACAATCCTTCCTTTATGTGTCATCTCCCCCGCTTTGAAACTCGTCCAAGCCGTCCATACCATTGCAAGATCCCCATCAACCTTCACAAGAGCTTCATCTGGGTCAAACCTCCCCTCTATATCTCCATATTTTGCTGCATCTGAGATATATCCGACCAGCTCTGCCTGAGAGATGTTCACATGACTTGACGGATTGATACCAGTCCGAGTGCAGCTCCCAGAAGATAGTGTGAGAGATCGTAGGCTTTCGGCTGAATTTTCCTTAATTGCATCAGAAAATGATTGGATTGCCGCCAGAACGGAGACCTCTTCGGAGGTCTTTGATTTTGCCATTGGTAGACTTTCGAAACACTAGCGGTAGAGAATGCGGTAGTTTCGTCGTTTTGTTTCCTCATCAGTTGATTCCCTCCTATAACTTCTACTCGATTCTTCAATTTCTTCTCATGAGCCTCCCTCCCTTAACATGTGAGTCGTGATATCCAGCGCTGACGTAAGCGCAAGCGATTCCGATAGGACAAGAGCTGCTGTCATCCCAATGACTCATTGGTCCATCTTGCGAGGCTACAAATTGCCTGGATCATCTAGCTTCCTCTCTAAGCAGTACACTGTTATGAGCATATCAGGCTTAATAATCTGTGGTCAAAAACTCAACTGCCATTTTTGCTTTTCAACTTTATTTTATGCATTCGGGACATTTCTGGTGGAACACGCATTATCTGACTGTTGTAACCACATACTGGACATATCAATCTGCTTCTCATCCGCAATATTCTCCTGCAGGACTACGTGACACCACCTTCGACAACATGCCAGACCAGTACGCTAAAACACCATCTGGCCAACCGTACATTGCTTTAGCCACCACCTCGACAACGCCAGTTTTCCTAACGACTTTCTATCTACATGACATTCCGACTTTGCCTCCTCTACTGTCGATGCCATCCCTCGCTCATCAATTGATTGCAATCCCACAGCCATACACCTTATCTGACGCAGAATGGTGGGTCAATCTTCAAATGAGCGGGAAGTCCAACCTCCCTCTCCAAGTCCTTCGTGCTGGAGACCCAGAGACGGGAACATTGATCGGAGCCATAAGCCTCATGCCGAAAGACAGTGAAGCTTTACAAGCAGTGAAGCATAAGCTGCGGTTGGCTGAAGTAAGGATGGCAACGGAAGAGAACGAGTGTGAATTGGGCTATTATCTTCATCCCGATTGGCAAGGAAAGAGGATCATGAGCGCAGCTGTGAAGGCGCTGTTACGATGGGGAAAGGAGGAGCTCGGTGTTGAAAACGTTGTCATAAAGATTTTGGAGGAGAACTCAAAGTCAAGAGCTGTGGTGGAGAGGCTAGGAAGTATGTTTGCGAGGTGTGAGCAAGAAGATTCGTGGGTAGACTGGCCAGAGACCAAGGGAGGAGGTAGAAGGAAGTTGCTTGTTTGGAGATGGACGGGAGAGCATGCATGAATAGTAAACCCTACGTTTGAATATTCAATCTCCTTGTTCTCTCTTCCAGTAATTGTCCATCGCTTACTCGTTAATTGACACTATATCCAATTTCGCGGGTGGTTTTCGGCTTTCGTCTTCAATAAATCTCGTTTCCGTCTTATAATATCAGGATTTCGGCTCTGTAACAGCACAACGAATCGTTGCTGCTCAATACCCACGTGGGTCTTCCCATCTGTACCCACAAACCGGCCATATCCATAGCGTTGGTCAGGATTGCCGTGAATTCGCCCATTGCCATTGTAGTCTACCATCGCTCGACTATTAGAGACGAATGCAATGATGGAGGCTATCGAAGTCGGCATACGAGGCAGAAATCTTGTTGGGCGATATATATAGTAAATAATAGCAACGAAGAGGTGAAATGAGAGGAGAACAACGGTAAGTAAGAACATGGTTTCTGACAGGAATATACGAGGCTCGATGAAGATAGCTTGCACTGTGACTGAAATTCCATCAGGTGCTGTACTGAAGATACGAGGATTTAGGCCTAGAAGGATTGCGAATAGTTTCTGATATAAAGCTTCTACCATCGGACCAAGGACTGTTGCATCTGGAAGTGGCACATTCGGATTGACCAAGTCCGTTGAATTTTGAATCTTAGTCAGTAGAACGTTCATCCAGTCCGAGGTAAAGGTATCGTTGTGCCAAAGAAAGTCGAAGTTATCCATTGCAATAAAGAAACTAGTCTCTTGAAACAGCCGGTTCTCACTGTTGATGGGCCCAAAGAAGCTACTGTTGAAAGGACCGGTTTCGACTGATTCAAGAGTAGCGTTGGGGTTGAAATATGAGTTGATGTTGATGTCGAAGTCAGTGATTTGATTGGAAGAAATAATGCGACCTGTAGAATCGACCTGTATGTCGAATTGAGCGACGACAAGCTTCTGCGTACAGCTCAAAAACATAGGTGCTACTTTTCGGGCCGGTAGAGAGGTTGTATTCGTTCGACGATCATTTGTTGTCTCGGCCGCAACACGAGCCCAGCCTACTACCATAGAAGCCTCGCAGAAACCATCATCACCAGTACCCGATAGTGATTGCATGGTATTCAGGACCGCCTCAAAGGCCAAAGGGCCGTCCATGAAGGTGTTCATCTCGTCTGTTGTTTCATTTACAGCGTTTCCAAAGCCTCGCGGGTGGATACAGGTTACCTGTGTGCCATTGGGAAGTACATGTGAAGTTGAAAATTGAATAGTCGAGCCATTCCGAGCCACCTCAAAAAGTAACGATGGCGGCTCAGTACATGTCACCGTTGTCCCGAAGCCAGTTGTGTTTCCACGAAAATGCTGAAAGACGGCATTCACGCTTCCAGCAGAATTTACGGACTTTAGATCGAACGGTAAATAGAAGAACTTCTGGTCGACCCAAGGTGGCAGGGGAGCTGATTCGGTAATGTTGGCCAGTGCGACGTAGAAATGATCCTGCAACCTAGATGAGTATGAGATTGGTAACCGCTGGCGAATTGACTCACAAAATATACATATGGACCGGATAAGTCTGTTGGATTGACAAGGGTGAATCCATTAAAATGAGGCAACAAGGTGTAGGATGAAGCCACGGGAACCACTGCAGTTGCAGGACTTTCAACTAATAGGCCGGAGAGGGCAACGGCAAGAACATTGCTCGAAACAGCAACAACACAGACAGCAGCCAGGATGTAATGTCCTGCTCGTAGAGCACGCCAAAATGCTAGTTGTGGTGGTATAGAAGTATACTTGACCTCTAGAGACCTTGAAGCTCTTGCTCGTCCTTTGCGCAGTTCCTCAAACGGTTGCAGGAGACAGAGAAGATGGTTAAGCATTGTCCAGACAGGTTCGATGAATGTTGCAAACGTGGTTGGTGCATAATTCTCTATGATCGAGCGCACAACTGCGTCGTTGGTTGGCAACGATATTCCTAACGGCGCGTTAGTCGGATTCTCTAGTGAGGATTATGCTTACCTACCATCGTTATTTGAAGCCCACACACTCAAGAAGCTGACCGCAGCTACAGCTACACCAATAATAGTAATGAAAGAACCTCCAAATACAAGCCTCAACTCCACTGGTTGAAGTGCAACGAATGATTCATTGTCTTCACCCGAGACATGGGATTGTTTAAGCGTGGATAAACCTGTGTTACCTTCGTCTAAAGCAGTCAAGATGCAGGGAGAGCCATCATGACCTTTCCCAAGATGATACTCTCGTGGAGATAGGGCAAGGGCAAGTTTCGCAGAAGTCAAGGTACCATCATCGTGGATCACCGCTGACAAGCCGGACGAGGGAGAGATCAAGGACATGAGATCAGCAATGGTTGCTGGGTCGCGTGTTAGGCAACTGCGTCGACGGTGTGAAAAACACCATAAACATGATGTGAGCACGATGATGAGTCCCAAAGCTGCTTCGACAGCTATTGAAATTGGACGAACCAGAATTATAGCCGCAGGATAATCTGTCTGTACGCCACTTCGAATGTACTGCATATCATGATCCACCTTCCATGTCGTCAAAGTGCTGAATGCAGCAGAGAAAAGGACTCGATGAGCAACTTGAAAAGCATTCCGTAGGTTTGCGGGATCCGAAAGAGTTGAGACCGATGTAGGAGATAGCCCAACAGCGAACCCCACCATATTGGAAACAGGCAACGTGATGTTGTAATCTTTGATGCGGGAGTTTTGTTGCAGTATCGAAATTTCATCCAAATTGGAGCTTCCACCGGTGGAAGGGACACCTGTAGCTAACAAGTACTCGAAGTTAGTGATGTTGAAAATGTCGCCTAATTTTGTGACCGAGGACCCCGCTGTCGTCAGGGGTTCTACTTTCTGAACTTCTCCAGTCGTTGCATTTACCGTAACGTACATTTCCTGCGATGTATAGCTTGGCTCACAGAACATGGCTGTGAAGTTGCTGTAAACGCCATTCGCTACACGAGAAGATGCCGAGGCCCAGAGTGCTAGAAAGTTATTGGAGAATTCCAGCGAACAGGTCGGATTTTGCAAAGCCCAGTCTGATTGGGGATTGTCGAAATAACCAATGTAGTTAATCATGTAACCGAATATTTGCGTGTCGCTCAAAACAATATCTGGAACCGTACAACCCTTTCCGTTGCTGAATGTGTAGCTCAGCTGCTCCTGCAGGAGTACTTCGGCAGGCGAACAGGTCAAATTCGTGTAGAATACGTCAGAGATAGTAGACCATGTTGTCGTAGCTTGAATCTCGGAGTCACTGAACGTCGGTTGGAAAGGGAGAAGGGCGACATCACTGGTTGTGTAGGGGGGGAGTCTCTGATCAAGCCAGGATATGCCGTAAGCCATATTCATGAAGTTTGCGTTAAGACCAGTATCTTGCAGAGGGAGGGGTAACAATTCGAGACTGGCTGTCATATTAAACTTAGTGTTTCGTGATACACTTCCAGTGTTGAATATTGCTGATTGTAGAGGCGTAAGAACCCAAAATATCATCAACATAACAGATCCGGCGAAAAACACCCCCCAATGTCTATCCATAGAATTTAGTGTTAGATAAATGGGCAGGTGGTTTGACTAACTTCCTGCGCACGGCAGTGATAGGAACGAACGGGAGAAAATCAAATGGATATTGAAGCAACAAAGAATTGGAAGCAGTTGCACCACCATCTTGCGAAAGTTGAAACCATGGCTCTAATCTTTTGACATCAAGGTCAATCCAGCTTGGGAATCTGTCAGCAAGAAACTTAAAAGAAAACATGGGCCCATACGTCCATAACATGCTATAGCATACAGCCAGGATCGTTGGGAGATAAGAATATCTTTCAGCAACGTTAGCTTCGCCCTGGGCTTAACAGCAGTGACGCTACCCGAACAATGAGGCAATTGTGAAACTACTGGAGTCCACCGCAAATGCAATGCCACCCTCGCTGTTGTTGCGCGTACTGATATGGGAAAGTACTTCAAGAAGGACGATCAGTGACAGTGACACGATAATCATTGTCCCGAGGACCGGCGATCGTAAAGTTCTTGGCTTCCAGCCACCACCTAATGGGCTGTTAGCTTAAACAGTGAAACTCATGTGTGAATAAGTACCAGAGTGCCCTCGACCCCATGAGCTGCAACGTCTCCTGCACCACAATATAAATGTATTTTTCTCGGTTTCATATGGTGGAGGGTCATCGACTTCAACCCTCGTCCATTTCACCAAAGCTAGCTTCATGATTGATTAAGTATCTAGAGTGGTGATGAATATTGGATAGAACGGTATGTTGCAAGTTTTACCACGAGAAAACTGCATCGTGTAAGAAGAGAAAGAGTGACAAACAGGAACGATAGTTTCATAGAAATATGCAATGTATGTAGGACTACGAGAGAGATGACCAACACACACTAAAACAAACGACTGGTTGGGGCGGCAGGCGTCGGGTATTGATTGGCCGTAAATAGACGAAGACTCAGCGGCGGGAAGGCTGCAGACATCGGAAACATTGGAAAACTACAGCCGTCGATCTCAAGGCCACCTGGGCCTGTTGCCAAGCAGCCAGTGATTGGGTTCTTGACTGACCATCACTGGATCCTCTGCAATGTTTACCCGAGCGTGGAATGGTTGCACAATTCTCAGATGATGAAAAAAGAAGCAGACCCTAAGGCACATATAGGATTGATTGAGATATCATTCTAGGCCATGCCTAGCGTCAACTTGCGTGCCAGGGATACATAAAAAGGTCTCGATAGCAGAAGGACATTTAGGGAAACCAAGGATGAGGGAAAGGAATGACATCGAGAACAAATGGCTCATGATCAATAAATCGGATTGCGGCCGAGTATGGGAACACCAACAAGCAATAGCGTCGTGTTGGACGAGAAACTACAGAGCGCATGTTGCTTTGCTGGATGACACGGCACATGCAGCGTTCCGAAGCTGGATGAAGGTACAGTAGAAACGAAGTTTGTGGGAGTAACGAAAGAAGATGTATTCTTGGTTCGGTCGTACAGGGTCGGGTGGAATATGAAGAGTGTTTTGCACAAATTTATTATTACTTACCTAGGAAGAGGATGGAGTTGGAATGGGGGCGAAGAGCAGGCGGCAGCGGCTGACAGAAAACAAAGCTAAATAGCCGCCAGGGCTTCAGATAAGCGCCTTGACCCCACCAACCATAGCTCTCAATCAACCGCCAACCAAGGGAACATGAACGAAGAGCTTCAGAATGAAATTGAGGCCATCAACTCCATATATGGCGATGGCACTCTGGTCAGAGCGACCGAACCCGCTACCTATGTCCTACGACTACCAGAAGGAGACTCGTCGTTGAGAATTCAGTTCCCATTCGAATACCCTTCTGCTCCTCCCACAATACTCGGAACACAGAGCTCGGGGGAAACACGGAAAGGAGAAGCCGCACATGTTGTCCAGATATTTAGAGATGTCCTAGGGAAGTTATACCAGCCTGGCGAAGTTTGCCTCTTCGACGTGATCGAGGAAGTCAACAATTCTCTGAGCAACGAAACGACGGATCGAATCGACGATGAAGATTTAGAAGGGCATAATAAGGCATTCGCAGAGACTATTGTGCCGCAGGACCAGTCAGCAGGCGGTAAAACTAACGTCTTCGAACCTCCTTGGACGATTTCCGATGTCGTGGTGGAATTAAAGTCCGTCTTCATTGCTCGCTCTGCACCAGTCACGTCTCCCAGCCAAGCAAAACAATATCTCCACCACTTGTTAGACAGCGACAAGAAAGTACGATCTGCGACGCATAATATCACCGCATGGAGGATCAAAGGCGAGAATGGCGCTACGTATCAAGATTGCGATGACGATGGGGAGACAGCTGCTGGTGGAAGAGTGTTACATCTGATGCAGCTGATGGATCTCTGGGATGTTATGGTTGTTGTGACAAGATGGTATGGAGGACATCAGCTTGGGCCAAAACGATTCAGTATCATCAATACAGTGGCTCGGGATGCATTTGTGAAGGGCGGCTTCGTGAAGGAAGAAGTCTCAACGAAGAAGAAAGGCAAACATTGAACAAACGAGCTGTGCCGATCAACTCCTAATATTCGGTCAATTCCGCATCAGGAACCTACGACAACCCGAACCTCGAATCGTTGAGAGACTTCTGACAAGCACGGCAGACCCATTACCACAACCTTACGCACGATGATCGAGAAAGACTCGAGGGAATGAACGTCATGGAAGAACAATCGCTTGGGAACTTATCGAAGATGCGACGAGTGGGACTCGCCGCCGAGAGAAGACCAGGACTTGGAACAACACAAGACGCCAACTCCAAATTATCCATTTTCGATAGCTATGGTCGCTGGAACACAAAAGTTCAGGCAGGCGAAGTTAATCAAGACTTCACAAGCGTCTTGAGAGCGTTCCGGTACAAAGCTCCTGCTGTGATGGCTCCAGCTGCTGTGATTAAACCGGTGAGAATCATGCCATTCGAGACTTGGGTCTCTTCAATGACCCTGGGCCAATTCGTTTCCCCCTTCGTCTTGACGTCTTCTGCCCCACTGCCTGAAATATCGAATTCATCCCAGTGGATTGCGCTTGTGCGTTTCTGATATGGAACAACTGCTTCAGACCAGTTATTGGTAATCAACCCAGCTTCATTCTTGTACCAGGAGTTGCAGTTTGGGTCTGCAAATGCAGATTCTCTGAGTCGAGCTTGGATTTCGTTATTGTACGCCTGTACAACGCTAAGTTTGGGCTCGATTCTGACATTTCGACCCTTCTTCCTGGCAGTTCTGACTTGTTTGATGAGAGCATTGATATACAGAGCTTGCGCCTCAATCATGAGGATGATGCTATTGTGACCGAGATTCGTGTTTGGACCTTCTCAAATGTCAGCGTGCGGTCCTGATTTCAAGCTGGAGGATGCTCACCATAAAGCATGCTGAAATTTGGCATTGAAGGTACTGTCATACCGAGATAGGCTGATGCACCAGATTTCCATATTTCTTCAATGGGCGTTCCATTTGACCCAAAGATTTTGATTGGGTACATGAATTGAGTCGTCTTGAAGCCGGTTGCTAGAATTAAAAGATCGAGTTCATGCTCGTTCCCTCCTTGTACTTTCACACCGTTCTCGGTGATCTCTTCGATAGCTGTTGTTTCCAGTTGTACATTCGAGCGTGCAAAGGTAGGAAAATAGTCATCGGTGATGATTACCCGCTTGCAGCCAATGGCGTAGTGCGGTTGAAGCTGCTCCCGCAGATGCTCATGTTTCTCCCCTGGAAGCTGAGTTGCCAGATGATCCTTTGAAGTAGACATCATGAAATCGTGAACAGGCGACTTGGTATCAAAGACGACGTCGAAGAATGACTCGCGGTAATCCATCAGTGATGCACGATACCTGCTACGGATGAAAGGCACATATCTGTAGATAGATTGCCATGTGGGAGATATGGGCTTGTCTTCTCGTGGAACCACCCAATTTGGCGTCCTCTGGAAGACGGTCAAACTTTTGCAAGCCTCGGCAATTTCTGGGATAATCTGAGCTGCGGTAGCTCCGTTGCCAATGATACCAATACGTTTTTTTCTGATATCATAATCCCAATCCCATCTAGCAGAATGCATGGCTTTCCCTTGAAAGGTATCAATTCCTTTGATGTCGGGATACTTTGGCACATTCAGTTGTCCAACACCAGAGACCAGAAAGTCAGATGTTATGATGTATTCTTTGCCAAATTCCGAGTCCTTGCTGCCCAGTCGATTTATTTTCGTTTTCCAGGTGTTTGTCGTCTCGTCCCAACGTGCTTCCTCCACTGACGTGTTGAAACGGATGTGTCTGTAAAGTTGGTACTTATGGGCAATAGAAACCAGGTAATCGAGAATCTCTTCTTGGCCTGGGTATTCTCGAGTCCAATTCGGATTCGGCTCGAAGGAGAGAGAATAGAGGTGACTCCACACATCCTACTCATAAGTCGTTAGCTCTTGTAATTAGGTCATTGATTCTATACTTACACAGCAGCATCCTGGATATCGTTGATCGTTCCATGTGCCTCCAACCTGGTTGCCTTTCTCCACGATGATGAAGTTGGTACCATTCCCTTTCCGAATCATCTCAATCGCTGTTGTCATGCCAGAGATGCCAGCACCAATAATCAGAACGTCTGCTCGATTGGTGTGTCTGCCATAATCGATCGTTGGTGATGGGTTAGGATCAGACATTTTGCTTATATTGAGTTGGTCGAAGGGGTGTACCGCTAAGTTCGACTTCACAGCAGAAAAAGGTAAAATCGCCGAGAAGATAAACAGAGGATCGCAAGGACTTCAAGAATGCAAGAATCTTTTCAACGAGAGGTTTAAATACTTCATCACACCTAGACCCGGCCGCCCGGTTTTCCAAGTATAGCTATCGCTGCGCAATTGTGGAGGAGCAGATGGCCGAGGTTTGTCAGGGTCATGTTCTACTGCCAATCAAGTCTAAGTGATTGACTCGAAGGAGTTGACTCCAACTTTACCCCACACTTCGCTTAATGTAAGAGCTACACTAAATTGGGAATGGTGCGATTTAATCTCCCATACCTTAATCCGTGGTGCCCTTGGATTCTCTTGTAACTTCACTCGAATGACTCTCATCGAGACCAAACACGTTCTTGAACGGAATCATGCTAAATATGATTCAGAAAACGTTTATTCCCAGGTGTCTGTGTCTCATGGATGCTGAGAATCGTCTGCACACGCGCGAATCATCATTCGAACAGTCACTAAGCAGGAGCACAAACGAACCTTATTCAAACCCAACCTATTGAAGTTTCAGCGCGTTTTAATATTGGAATCATATTGTTCATGTTCATTCACGTTTTGTCAAAGCCAGGACATTTGTTGATTCAGAAGCTCCATTTTGCTATTTGTTCATGAGACTGTGTCTCGATTTCCTGAAAAGGTTGTATGCACGACTCCCCCCAAGACTCCAAAACTCAACAAGGGTATGTACATGAATGTTTCCTGCCCAAACGCCAACCATATGCAATCCAAATGCAACGAGAGAATGATATTGCTCACCGACCGGCGATGGGACAATGATCTAAGATTTTTGGAGATGGCGGCGAAGGTGTTGACCGGAGAATCGGACTGATCGCTTGATCTTCTTGCTAGTGGCAGTGATGTTGATGTTGGTTGACTCGCCTGCAGTGCAGCTAGTACCAGCCGCAAGCTCCATGACAACAGACCAAGTTCCGCTTGCACATTGTTGGTAGGAAGTTCCACCGATGCAGTTCCACTCTCCCTCTGTCGTGCAGGCAGTTCCTGCAGCGATGGCAGAGCCTGTACCGGTTGTGCTAGAGCTACTTCCTGTGCTTGCTGGAGCGGCTGAGGAGGCGACTGGGGTAAAGGCGATGGCGCTGGAAGCGACAGATGCGACTGGTGTAGATGAGGCAGCAGGAGCCGAAGTGGCCTGCGACGATGCGACGGTGGCGAACACTCCGCCAGTGGCAGATGGAGAAGAAGAAGCGACAACAGCGGAAGACGCCTGAGAAACAGCAGCTGATGTTGCGGACGATCCCGAAGAGCCAGCAGTTGCAGATGCACCTGCTACAGTGCTTCCACAAGCAGTTCCGGTTGGTGCTACTGGAGTGGCCGTGGCTGTACCATCCTGCTCAACAGAGTCCCCTGGGGCAGGGAACTTGAGATCTGTAGAGTCAACAGTTCCGCAACCATTGCCAATGTTTGCAGTGAACATGTTTGGAAGAGCATTGTAAGCGGCAGTGTCGCGCTCCATTAGCATGGTGTAGTTGCGTTCCATGAGCTCATCCTCGTCGCTGCGCTTGGAGGAAGATGCGGTCAAGGTGACCGGAGCACAGTTCATGTACATCTCACGGTTCCCGATCTTATTGAACCAAGTCCAGGCAAGTGTGGCAGTTCCTGTTGGCAGAGACGTGGGAATAGTGAAGGAGTATGTGTCTGGGTCGACAGCGCTGGCAGAGTCGCCGTTGTTACCCGCAACACCCTTAATGGGGCAACCTCCTTCAATGGAATGGATGACTTTCCAGGTGCTGCTCGTCGTTGGGGCTTGGTCGTACGTAATAGAAACTTGGCAAGAGCCACCGCCATGAGTAGCACTTCCGGTGAATGCAAGACTTTGGCTAGATCCAAGAGCCATGCTGTTACTAGCACCTTCGGCATCGTAGACGCCAGTGCGCTGTTTGCAAGGGAAGTCACTGCCATCTGCTGCTAAGGGAGAGTTGTTCAGGGTCGATTTTCCGTAAGGTACAGGAGTGTTCATGATCATGTGTGATCGGCCGAGAGTTGCAAGTCCGAGGACTGCGAGTGTAGTCGAGTTGCAGTGCATTTTGACGGAATGTAGAGAGCAGTCGTTAATGAAGAGAGTAGTCGTGCCGGACGAGAGTAGTCTCTTAAATATTGCAAAGGTTCAAGGAGCGTAGGCTCGAAGCGATTGTTGAAGTTTCGTGTAGAAAGACAAGACTAAAGATTCAATGTCAATATTTCCATTCACATCAAACACTCGAGATTCTCTTACCTTCCAATTCGATTGAGTGGGACTCGAGACTTCTGACTGTTTGAAGGAATGTGATGGAGCTTCTGCCGCAGGCAGTATAACAAAGAATAGAAAGACGAGAAGAAAGGACTAGCCTAGAGAAAATGCAGATGCTCGAAGAAATATGCCAAGGAGGTGGATGATGAGAGAAGTTGAAACGAGGGACCGGTGTCCATCTTATATTCTTTGTCTGTGGGCACGTTCTCCGTGAGCACACTTTGGCAAATTCATCCAAGGGGCATCACGGCATCTGCAGCCACAACCTCCCCTGTTATTTCCCCGGCTCTAGATCCGCACTACGTAGAAGAAGGATTGCTACAGGGAAAAAAAGTTAAAAGAGGTCATAATTGGCTGTTAAGAGCTGGCACCAAGACAGCTCTTTCTTGTCAAACGCGCACGACGTGCTCCACAGCGCCTCGTTGTGTTCAGCTCACGTTGTCTTAACCCAAAGCTTGAGCTTGAAAGTCGACCAGTTGAACCGCTTAGCTCAGCGCAGTCTAGAGAATCTGAAGCTTAGATGATCGATTGGGTGCAAGGAGGGACGATGTTTGCGGGGAGCACTGACAGTGCAGACGATGCCAGGGGTTGATAGGCCTCGGAAGGTTTGTTTCGAAGGATGGCGAAACAAACGGCGGCTCAATCACACGATCTTTGACCCCTGACTAAGGTGATAAGCCATAGGCATATGGCCAGGAACGATCTTGACTTGGATTCTCCACCGCCGCTCTCCCCTGAATGCTGCTGACTGAAAGAATGAATGCGCACCACAGGAGGCGATGTTTCTCACATAAAGTGGTGGAAGGGCGATCGCCAGAACGAATCAGCCTGCATAAAGACGGCCTCGCCTATGATAGCGGGGGATGTATGGCGGCGTGGACCTGGCAGCTTGGCAGGGGCTGACCATTCAGAGGGCTCATCGTCCCAAAGACACTGAAAATGCGGCGCATCACCCTGTCGCTGTCGCTGCCGTTGGCAGTTTCCAGTTCAGGCTTCGATTCAGGGACCGCCGGTCCCCTTTCTCCCACTTCCACCGCCATTTCTCCCTTTCTACCGTCCCGACGTCTTGTTCCTTCATGATTTATGCTTGGTCGTCCGAAGGTCGCCCAGAACTCATCCCCGCCCAGAACCACAGCATGGGAATTGACTGGCTGGGAGTTGGGCGGCCAGGTCCTCGAAGCGACCTCGGTGCTCTGCTATGAAACTCCAGCTGTCTCATCGTGGTGAAATAGGCAAGAGGGTCGAATTCTTTTGTCAAAATTCACAGTCACCTCAACACTTCGGGCTGCTGTGATCACTTCAATGTGGATGGCAACATATGACTCGTCGAAGACTTCCTTGAGCGCGGGCGTGTTCGATGGTCCTCACAAAGGACTGCTGGTTCATGAGAAAGTGATGTTTCCCTCCCCTTTCAACGCCACTCGTTCACCTTGAAACATCGAATTTTTGCGCCGAGGAACGAGCCACAACGACGACGATCTTCCAAGTCCCGAATCGTCTGTTCGCACTGAGCCACAGAGCATCAACTCGCAATCTCCGACTTCTGTGGGGTTCGCATCGCGGCATTGCATGAATCGCAAAGATCTTCCCTTTGTTATCCTTTTATCCAGGTGGCGATGTTCATCCCTACATTTGACCAATGCTCAAGGCATTCTTGAAAGGCGTTGGGCTTTCTCCTCGTAATCGCTCACGAGCTGGAAGACCATTAAACGGTCACGAGATGGGATGAAAAGTTGCGTGTCGCTCAGCTCCGAAGTTCTGGCTGTGAAAGCTTCAGCCTCAGTAAACGGCCATCAATGACCGTGTTTGAAACAGTACACATCATTTTAACCTCTTCAACGGCCACAAGTTCCAACCTGATCGACCCGACTCTCTTCCTCGGTCAATCAACCTTAAAGCATAAATCTATTTTGGGAAACTCGAATCCTCGTGTCACATAACCGCGAGTTCCGCGTCGATGGGACAAGCAACGCAGAGGTCGAGACAGCAAAGATAAAGCCAACACAGAACCTAACCACTGACAGAGTTGTTGGTATGCAATCACACGATTTCTTTCACGATCGAAACGCAGAACAATCATCTTCAAAGGCCATCGCCAAGGTCACGTTTCTGATTCTAAAGGCGCCTGTATCTATTGCTATTCATGTTTCTTCCCATGCGCCATGCAATAACCAGAGAATACGCCCAAATCAATTGCTTCAAGCAGCAGCGTGAAGCATATCCTTTTCCGTGTCATCATCCAGCTCAACAATGAAGCCGTGGTCTCCATTTGCGTAGTGGTCGTCACCATGGTCTAAGTCTAGATCATGTTAGTGACATCAACCATAAATGCTCATTGCGTACGTACCCGCAAACTCCTCACTGGCATCAGTCCAGAAATGCATTTTCTCCTTTCGGAACTCCTCATAATCCCATTCTTGTTCCTCCAGTCTATCAACAGATGCCGACCAGATATAGGATTGTGCTTCCACAGACTCTCCCTTCTCATGACCATCCTCCAGAATCACAACCTTGACTTTTTTTCTGGCGTATTCGCTGCCCTCGAACATGTCAAGATGAGCAATATCAGAGTCCGTCAACCCAGTAACGTAAGTGCCTCGGACGCTATGTCCCTTTTGAGAAATGATGGCAGGATAATCCGCATACTGAACCTTGCGGCGTGAATAGTCGTGAAGGAGGGCGGGTCGAATGGAGAGTGCGGCAGCACGCTTCTTCAGGATGGGATTATCTTGAATATTGCTTGTACCGTAGCAGACACGGAAGAGAATTTCGCGCGCCATCTAGGAGATCAGTTAGAATAGCAGACATTTTGCGATAGAAGAAGGATGTACCAGTGTGCCTACCAATATTAGCATAAGTCAGCATCAACAGAAGTGGAGGGGAAACATGCCATAGAAGAATGCAGTATGACCACCCATATTGATTACGATGAAGTATCTTTCTGATCGAAGTTCCAGGTTCAATGGTGGAAGATATTTAGATCTGCCTCCCAGAATTTTGGGGAAGTTGCGAATCTTTATGCCATTCGTTTTCATTGTCACGATATAAAGAGCTGCCCCTCCAGGTACGATAACGGCCAAAGAAAGCTAGTCTGTATCGGGTTAGGCAGGCTTCAGCCAACCGGCTCTAGCCTTGAAAGCCGATATTGATGCTGCCTCAAACTTCTTTAACTCAACGACATTGACTACCTGACCTCTCTGCTGCATCAGCTGCGTGCTCATTTACCTCTCACGGCACCAAGTGGTTACTGCTTGAAGATTTCAAAGGTGAGACCGCAGTCTCATTCCCCAGATTCCTGTCGTGTTCCATTTCACCCTAACCGGATCCAGTATTCTGGTCCTGTGAAGCTCCATTGAAAGTGCTGGTGACCTTTGAATTTTGATCATTCTCTGTCTGTGGCCAGCTTGTGCGTTTCAATCTCTGCCCCTGCCAATCCTCTGCTGTTATTTGTACTTTTTTTTCTCCTCAACAATATTCGTCCTTACGGATTGTGGCCGCCGTTACGCATACCGAAGGAATTGTACATCGCAGTAGTTTTGCTGTCGTGCCATTACATGATTCGATAGAACTCGAAAAAAGATCAGCCATTGTTGCACTCTTAGTCATGAATCCAAAAGCCTGCACCTTGATGCAAAGTTCATGCAGCACAACATTCGAGGCGAATCGGGTTCTGCCCTATTCGGGATCTGCACGAGAGGCCCGGTGCAGGTACAAAGGCTGCACTTAAGCCTGAGAAAAAGCTGCTGATCTATGTGCAACGAAGACAAAGGCGCTTTCTTCCCCAACGCTGATGTGGGGGCGCGTTTCTATAGACTATTGGAGGCCACCTGCTTCTTTCCAGTGCATTCAATGAGTTGCAGACTATCACGAGCACTTAACATCGGGTCACAGCATATAGTGAGGCCAGAATTTTCTCGCAAATCGCAAGTTCTGGACCAACATCGAATCAATATTCCCCAAAACTGCACCTCGAGGATGGTCTTTGCGGCAGTGAGCCTCCAGGCCAAGAGTAGGGAAAGCGTGTCAAAAGTCTATTCGTCTCTATAATTTACTCTTTGATCCGACCAACTCCTCCACCTTGGCGAACTGATAGTAGTAGTCTAGTGACTTGGGATTCAACAACGTCCCACTTGGTTTGATGATTTTGCCAGAGACGATCTGCTTCACTGGCAACTCAACCTTTTTCAAGTTTACTGTTGTCTGCCAAATGTCAGCGGATTTCCATTGCTCGCATAAAACCACTCACAGGTATCTCAGGCGTCTCGAATACATGCTTAGGCACATGTCTTGCACTCAACTCTTTGCGAATCGCACTTTTTACCTCATTAACCAGCCTTGAGCTGAACTTTTCATCCGGCTTCATCATCAAAAACAACATCACACTCTCGTCGGTATCCTGAGGTCTCCTCTGCCCAACACATATGCTATCCGCAATTCCAGGAAATTTGTCCTCGATCACCGAATATATCTCCGCACTCCCGAATCGCACACCACTGGGGTTTAGGACTCCATCAGCTCGACCGAGGAAGACCAGTGCTTTCGTAGTGGGGTGAATCATCACGAAATCTCCATGGGTCCACACATTATCATATTTCTCAAAGTAAGCGGAGAAATATCGAGAGCCGTCAGAGTCGTTCCAAAAATATACTGGCATGTTGGGAAAAGCAGCAGGGGCTACGAGCTCTCCTGGAGTGCCGTGATCGACGAGTGCGCCTGAAATTCCCTTCCCACCTTCTACCAGGGAATCGTATACTGCGACAGGAGTTCCGAGACTGGGTCCTTGCGTTCCGCCAACATACACTGGCGTGAGAGGATTTTCCTGTCCAAAACATCCAGCCTGACAATATTAGCTTGTGTTGGCAAAGATTTAATACACAGCCTACCAGATCTGTCCCTCCAGATATGTTTGCTAAATGTACATGCTTTGGGAACCCCACATCATAGAACCATTCGAAAAGCTGGTCGCTCAGCACCATGCCGGTACTTGTCACTGACTTCAAGTGACTCAGATCTGTGACCTCCTTGGGTATAATCTTGTTCTTCTGCATCTCATGCATCCACCTGGGACTTGTACCAAGCATCGTGACTTTCTGCTCTCCAATTATCCTCACAAAAGTCGTCAGATCTGGTTGAAAAGGACTCCCATCGTATAACACGACACGGGACCCAGCTAGTAGGTTGGCAACGGATGCGTAGTACATGATCCAGCCCGTAGTTGTGTATTGCAGAGCCACACTGTCAGCATTCATTTCTCGATGCAGTTTGCCTTCCTTTGCTGAGGAGAGGAGTGCTCCGCCAATCGAATGAACGATACACTTCGGTGTACCAGTTGTTCCAGATGAGTATGCAATGAAGAATGGATCGTGAAATGCTGTTCTTTCGAATTCTGGTATTTGCGACGCCGCTTTCGAGAGGTAGGTCGCAAGTGTCTGGGTTCGAGGCACTTTGCTGATATCAACCGGCTGTTGAAATCGAGGCATCGATACCATTCCCTCAAATTCCGCAACATCTTTCATTCCATTTGCAATCTCGGTCATTTTCGATCGAAGATCCACCTTCTTTCCATTGTACACAGTAAAGTCGTCCATGAAGATGTACTGAAAGAGAGTCAGCTACTGGATACTTTCGAGAAGCATACACTTACTTTCGGAGAAACCTGCAATGCTCGCTGCAGGACTCCTTGAACTCCCATATCCGTTGAGCTACTGCTGAAAAGACCTCCAAGAGTCGTAACAGCCAGCCAGACTTTCAAAGTATCCACGGAATTGCTAGCAACAACCACAACTCTGTCTCCCTTCTTCACGCCATGTGATTTCATAGCACTTGCCAATACCCCAACTTCTCTCCTCAATTGCCCCCAGCTTACATCTCTCACTTCCGTATATCCCTCCCGAATTTCTGTCAGCGCAATCTTATTGTCCTCTTTCCCTATTGTTCCCCTCTTCGATGTTGGCTCACCCGGTATCCGCGAATATAGCAAGTTTTCAGCGAAATTCAAGTGTACGCCATCGAACCATCGAGGTACGGAATCTATTCGAACAGACTCGTCAACCACCTTTGTGTAGGATCCGCTGTATACAAAATCGAGAAATTGGAACGCCTGGTCCCAGAATTGAGCTCTATTGGTGGTCGAATATTGGTACAATTCCCAAAAGGTCTGCAGAATTAGTAGGCATTGCTGTAATTGGGTATTCTAATTCACACCTTCAGTGACAAATGATGTTTCTGGTTTATCTCTTGCATGAGTCTGTACATTTCTGTACCGGACGGATTGGAATGCTCCCAGAGCTTTCTAGGGACGTTGAGAGAATCCATTTTTAGTACAGAAATTGACGTTCAAGTCTAAGGGAGGAAATGTAAGAAGAGAAGGAGTCGGAATAGAAGTGGAAGGATGTTCGAGCTCCAAGTTTCCCCTTCACGGATTGTCCAGCGATAGCGGAATGCGGGGTGAGCTCTGCCCCTCGGCTGACTTCCGCACTTTCGGATTTAAGATTACTGACCCCACTATTGTAATCTTCAATCAATGAAGCTGAAGAAGGCCAAATGAACGGAGTTCAGAGCTCTCTCAACTGCAAAAAACAAGCTCTTGGACTTCAATGATGCTCGTTTTGTGCCCCTGCTCCTAAGAGCAATGTTTATTTTGCTTACCCTTGGAATTAGGGATATCCATAGAATAAATCAGGGTGATTGACTGTACTCCATGAGATTCAACTCTTCTGGCTTGGAGGGTGAGATGTAGAGTTCATCAATGGTGTTTCTCAATCTAGCTTCATATGCTTCCTATGTCTAATTCATACGCTGGACATATATTTAAGTTGATCTCAAGTTCTCATGACTTCTGCCATGACACTCGATACCTTGTCGTAATGGTTGCACGAGACCGACTAAACAGAACCAAATCGCTCACATCGCTCAAGACCAAGAAGTCGTCAAAAACTCCAGTTACTGGATCTGAGAGGCCTCAGCTAATACGAATCACGCTTCAGTGGCTATAATTCTGATTATGTTAATCCGTGGGCTGTCAAATCTTTTCTCGCGGGTAGCCCAGTTCCAATATCCGGGGGCTGGCCGCACCGTACCAAGTCCAACAAACTCCAACAGCAACTCTCCGATTTCCAATAAACAGCGGAAACCCTCAAAGCTAGGACTTTTGGCAGCTTCCGCACATATGAAGACTCCGCATTCTACCCACGATCGGCTTTCGGAAGCGCTACGAGTCCGCTGGAATTGTGCCGTGTCTGACCTGATTCCAGACCCTGGTGCATGTCCACACTTGACAATGGTCTGAAGTGGCTTGACGAAGAGATGAATATCTTGAGCCCTGAACCTGCAGTTGCTATACCGTACTCACCATCTCAATTGACAAGCAGACAGAATCAACACATCTATCTACTTCCACAGACATCACTCACTAACTCGAGCAACCGACACACCGACGCCCGCAATGTCCCGATTCTGGCCTCATACTCCCTACGCTGAAGAGCAACCCCTCTCCCATACCATCCTCTGGACACACGTCCTCACACGAGCCGTAACAGCTGGATCAATAGTCGGCACAGGCGTGGGCATCTCCACCGTCCTTCTCCGCAACTTCAATATCATCAAGCAGCGAATCCCTCCTGCCAGTCTAGCCAGCACAATTGTACGCTCTTCGGGAACAGGCGCAGTCGTGGCTACAGGATTACTGTGCATCGCTCTACCGATACGCATGCTCGGACGGGAAGAGATTGAATGGCAAGACAGGAGTTGGAGGTTGATCGAGAACAAGGGGCAAGTTGAATGCGACGACTGGACATATCCTGGCATGACTGCTGGCGCAGTGGCTTTTGCTCTGAGAGGGCAATGCCTAGGATGGATGGGTGCTGTCGGGAGTATTGGTTTAGGGAGTGTAGGTGGGATGATGGGATATATGGGATGGAGGCATGGTGTGAAAGGAGGGAAGTTTGAGGAGACTACCGTCTAGAGAACCAAGGTCACAAAATGGTGCTCCATTGTACAACAAAACTGACGGCACGGGAGTAAAGAGTGGGCGTTCGGATCTGGCAGCCAACAGCTTGTATTATCATTGATATGCCCTCTGGATATAATAATCCCACCATCGCCACTGCCTGCTCAATGCAAGTGATCTAGACTTTTCCACCTAAAACGCCATTCCATGCTTGAACCACCAGGCGCCAATACACCTTCCCATCATCAATCAAGATCTTCATCACTGAGGTCCATAAGGCTATTTCCCTCTACACCAATCCCACTGCTCATTCTTGGCCTGAATTTTTCCTTGCCCTTTCCTCCATTACGTTTAAGCATAAACTTGCCCGCCTCTGCCTTCTTCGTCATAAGCTCTCGTTCAAAGTCATCATCGTCTTCCAGCTCTTCAGCGCCATAAGCACCACCTCCAGCCGTTTCTTCAAGAGACTTGTTCAGAAGTTCAGTCGCAATGGCATCTTGTGGTGCAATGGCCAGCGCTTCATGAAAGACGTAGACAGCCTCAAACGGTCGCCTTTTCTCCATCAAAACCAATCCCTTCGCACAGAACACCGAAGGATCTTTTCCTCCTTGCCTCAGCACCTCGTCAAACTGTGCAAGCGCCAAGTCCCACTGCTGCAATCTCCGGTAAGCGTGACCGAGATTTGCTCGAGTAGATATCCAAGCGGAAGGGTCACTGTCAATATCATCAGCCGTCTTCAGAGCTTCCGTGAACATTGCAACAGCTTCTGGTAATCGTTCCTGGTGATAGAACACAACTCCCATCTCGTTCAACAATAACGGATCTGTTTTGCAAAGTCCATACGCTGTCTTGAGGAACTCATCCGCCAAAGTCATGTTATTCAACATGTGGTTCTGCATTCCAAGAAACAGCTGAGGAAGATGTGTACCCATGAAGAGTCGAGCAGCAGTCGAATATGCTGATATAGCCTGGTCGTGTTCTCCCTCTGCTGCAAATGTATGCGCAAATCCAATCCATGCCGGGCCGAAATGCGGATCCATCATGCTCGCTTTACTGAAATATCGTCGAGCCTCCGCCACTTTGTTGATCGCTAAGTAGTATACCCCAACAGCGAGCCATGTGCATGGTTCTTCGGGATGATTGTCTGCCAGGTCGTGGGATATCAGGAATAGGGCATTCTTCAACTGCAGCTCGTATAAACATGCCAGATGTAGAGGATATACACTGAAATTATACTTGTCTTCCTCCAGAATCGAGTTTGTAATCCCCAAGGCGAGCCTGAACTTGCACTGTGTGAAGAGAAGATCTGCTTTCGCCAGGAGGAGATCGGGGTTCGAGGCGAGGTGGTAGTGTGTCGAGAGTTGTTCAGTTGCATGTTGGAATTGTGCAGGGTTCTTGTACTTCGAAAGGCGCGTAGTGTAGAGGTTCTTCGTGAACTCGGCGGCATCGTGGGAGGAAGAAACATCGTCTGGTATGGAGATGGAGTCGAAGTCTAATGAGTCCAGAAACTCCCACTCCTCATCTGGCGACATTAAACAGTTCTTCATCAGCTGCTCAAATGCCTCGAAACATTGAACGTCTATCCTGACTGCGTCCTTGTAACACTCCTTTGCCCGATCGAAAGCATTCTGCTTCGCGTAGCAAAGACCTCTGAGGAAACACATTGCGGCCTCGAATCGAATATTTGCAGCCTCATCGTGAGCGACTTCATCCCGTCTATCATGTCTCTCTCGGAGAACAGGCTTCGACCCTGTTCTGCCGTGTCCTGTGGTGTGTTGTAACTTCCGCCGGCTGTTGCTCGAGCTGGAAATGAGGTGTGTGGGATTTTTGTCGCCGAGAGTATTCAGTGCTTCATCGAATCGCCCTTGTTTGATCAAGCAATGCCCCGCAAGGTATCGACAGGATGGGTTTCGCGCGACGAGATCTTGTTTCGAGAGGAAGCTTTGAGCCCGAGTATAGTTTCCTGTGGAGAAATGGACTTGCGCAAGCCAGAATGCATCCTTGTCGTTTTCTGCGATATATCAGTATGCGTATCTAATGCCCATGAGGATTCAAAACTCACGAGTTAATGCTAGGAGCTTGTCTCCTATGAAGATTGCTGAATCATATTGGTGTTTATTTAACGCATCCTGGCGCCAATCCCGTAAGAACTTCTCCATCTTGTGCCTCGTAACATTCGTGAAAGGTCGTCTAATCGTGTATTATCCATCCGCCCAGATACTCGACAGCTTGGCAGAATATCGACTCTACCGTAGAAACATTGTTATGTTCTGAAGGAAGTCGCGTTCTTGTCACAAGGCTGAGAGAATAATAATGCTAGTCTCGATCGGGAATGGCTTGCCGAATCTTGGTTCAGCCTCGAGAACGAAGGCAAGGCGACGACATCTCTCTTCACAGATTTCACAGTCTCGACGACACAACTGCACGACGATACTATAGGAAACTACCGCCGGACGAATCTCTGTGACGACAATCTTACGTCTAACTGTACTCGCGCTTCTCTCTTACCACAAGCTTCACTAAACGGCTTTTACCTCGACCTCCCACGGCATCCTTCTCCCATACAACCACACTCTCTAGAACCCAATGTCGGAAAGAAAGGTTCTCTCCAAGTATTATCCGCCAGACTTTGACCCATCGAAGATCGTTCGCTCGCGCGCGCCGAAGCAAGCTGGTCCAAAAGTACAGACAGTGCGACTGATGGCACCATTTCCCATGAAATGTACTGCTTGCGGAGAGTACATCTATAAGGGTCGCAAGTTCAATGCGCGCAAGGAGACAACAGAAGAAAAATACTACTCCATCCCGATCTATCGTTTCTATATTCGATGCACAAGATGCTCTGGCGAGATTACATTCAAGACCGACCCGAAGAATATGGACTATGAATGCGAGCGGGGAGCGAAGAGGAACACAGAGCCTTGGCGTATGAATGGCGGCGGAAAGCAAGAGAGTGACGAAGAAAGACTGGATAGATTGGAGAGAGAGGAAGAAGAGAAGAATGCCATGCAAGAACTGGAGACAAAGACCTTGGACGCCAAGCGCGAGATGGCAGTTGCAGATGCCCTGGATGAGATTCGGACTCGAAATGCAAGGAACGAACGGGCAGGCAAGGATGGCCTTGAGGTTACTGTGGCACGGGAGAGCATCGACGATGAGAAGCGAAGACAGGACCAAGAAGATGAGGAGGCTGCGAGAAGAGCATTCATGAGGCGGCATGAAGCTCTGGAAGAAGTTATTGATGATGAACCTGAGGATGTTGGAGAAGGTCCTGCGCCTCCAATCACAAAGGAGGCTGCATTGGAAATGCCTCCTCCCAGCTTCAAGCGGGTTGTGAAGAAGAAGAAAGACCATGCAGCTGCATTGGGGATCAAGAAGAAGCCATCACTTGTATGATGGCGAGAGTGTATCATTGGCCTGGTTCTCGTTCATAGATGATGAGCTGCACATTTTGATGTGAGTTTTCACGTTGAAGATTGTACATATTGCAGTTCTCTACGCTAATTCGATGACTCAGTCTCTATTTGTGTGCATGATATTTGACATTTCTTGGGCAAGCCTCCTTTTGTATTTTGCTCCGTCGATTTCGACCAATCTCTCAAGCATCAGCTCAAGTTAAAGTCTTTGTGCTATTTTCAAATGCTCCGTTCCTCGCTTCTTGTTCGAGCTCGAGGGTCGCGGAAGCCCTCGCCTCGCCCTGGCCCTGCTGCTGTACATTGATTTACCACAAAGTTTTCTTAAGCTTGATAAATACTGGCAATATTGGAGGCTTATGATAAAAGCCGTAATGTAGCTGGCAAAGCTACCTGACCTCTACACGGACAGGATTCATTACAAGCGTACACATGCATCAACCTCCTTTTGCTCTGCCCTAGCCGCACTAATAAAGCGCACGATACAAGGAATGGATTGCTACTCAATCACCTGTATTTGGTTCATTCTGCAAAGTCTTCATAAAACTTAAAAAGGAGAGGCTTCATGATCAAAAATGCGCTCCTATTATTTCTTGGCCTCTGACCGCTCACACGCGAGCTAATGCAAAGAGCCCATGGATGAGCTCTACGAACTGTTTTGAGCAGCGATTTTCTAGATTGATTGTGTCTGCAGATTGCCGATTGACAATGCCAAGGCGTTCGAGCTGGTGGTCTCGTTGCTCAATCGCCTCGTGCTTCATTTTGTTGATCTTCCATGATCGTAGGAACAAAGTGCAAATTGATGCTGCAATGAACATAAAGCCCACAAATATTTGTGCATCAAGATAGATGTTCCCAGTGGGCCGTCGGAGTCCCAACGCAATCGACTCAGCAACTATGGGTTACGAGTTAGTTGACGTGTATGCATGCGCATCTGAAACTATAACAGCAACCTACATGTTGTGGGTACGACCATCAACACCAAAACAATACTTAGAGTGCTTGGAACCTCCGAAAGTCCAGAAACTTCTGCCACAACTGGAGCAACCGTAGCCCAAAAAGTCCCACAGACCAGGCCTGCCAGTATTGCGAAGAAGCACAGAACACCAAAACTTTTTGCGAAAATCCAGACCAAAAGGCAACTTGTACCGCAGACCCCGGTCGTCATAACTGCCATGTTAATTCTTCCTAACATGTCACTTGAATGACCCAAGAGTGGTCGGCCAACGAACAAGCTCAAATTAAGAAGCGCGATCACGATAGAGCCTTGCCGAGCACTCAAACCAATGCTGCTGGCGTAATTGGGAAGTGAGAATAGTAGGACCGTATAGCCTACTGCAGAAGATCGGATAGTCAGCATGGTTCTTATAGGTGAGATTTACTCCCATGGTGTGCTGGAAAACTTTCAGGTGTAAACTAAGTCAAATCTAGGTGAGAAATTCTCGATTGCTGGAATACCCACACTCACTCAAACATCCCCACCCTAGGACCAACCAGACCTCTATGCGTGCCAGGAGCCGGTAATTGAAGGCAGAATGGTTTGGCCTTTGGCGTGCATTCTGGTCGTTGATTAGGACGATGGCGATGAAATTTCCAACGAACCCGCAAATGGCGAGGATGCGAAATGTTCCAGCTGGTCCTAATGTTTCAAGCATCTGACTTGCTGCCAAACTATAGACAAGGCCCCCAAAGCCGGCACCGGAGGCACTTAAACCATTGGCCAGACTTCTTTTGCTGGAGAACCATTGCGGAATGATATTCGAAGATCCGATGTAGAGAAATCCTACGCCCCAGCCAAAGCAAACGCCCTGGCTGAGAAACAAATGCCAAACTTCAGTTGCAAACGAAGCGCCCACAAGAGAAGCCGTTAAAGCAACAAGACCGATCAAGAGTGTAGGACGAGTGCCTAATTTTCGCGAACTCGTGTTGATGAGAGGGGTGATAACAAGAGACATGGAGATGGAAATGCCACCAATCAAGGCATAATCGAGAGCAGTCGCACCAGGATAATGGTTATGGGTAAGGAAATAATCGAGGAATACTCCATATGCCTTAACAACGCCACGAGTCGTTAGCTGATTAACAAGCAGCCGTTATCTAGCACAGTGGACTCACAAAATCAAGACCCCATGTATTAGAATTAATCAAAAAGACACAAAAGACACACATCCAGCCATACCCCCCATCTCGCGGCACATATTCTCGATCTCTGGCAGGAGTTGATGCGATTTGCTCGACATCTGCTAATGGAACCGAGTGTAGCGCTGTTTCCACGTAGTCGTCTCTCCGAGAGGCCATGATATGCTCTTCTCTCAATCCAAGCTTTCTGGAATTCAGATCCGTTGAGGGGCGAAAAGACGAAAGTGGGGGAAGAGTGACAAACTTCCGAAGGACATGAAGTTAATTTCAATAAACTGAGAATGCTTAACGAACATGGGGACAAAAGTCCGTGCGTTCAGGGCATCAGAATCATGAATTTTATTAATTAATTAGCTGTAGACCAGCCACATCGCTTAATTAAGTCGTGTACCCAGAAGTCCTGCTGCTCAATAAGCCCATTGATCCATTCCTGAGGAATTTTGTCCCATTCTTCTAATACTGCTACAACCATTTGAACCTCAGTTGTTGGCTGCCTTAGGCGCCTATGGAGAGCTTGTTTTATTCTCCTCCAGCACTTCTCAATAGGATTCATATCAGGGCTAACTGCAGGATGGGGGAATAGAGTAATACCCATAGAAGTACGCCAAGTAGCACAAATATTGCTAGTA